TGTGAATTTTTCTTACAGATCTTAGAAAGAGGATTCGATCATATGTTGGACATCTGAGTCAATATAATTTTCTATGGAAAGATGATATGCATAGGGCTTACTCTGATTTCATGTGTGCCAGTCCAAATATCTCTGCTATAAGAAAAGAGGTAAATATTTTGATAGGAAGCATAGCCATGTAACAGTAACATCAGAGGTTCTAATACCAATCAAAATTATTGTGATATATTCGATATAGCAAATTGTTTGTTTTTCTTTTTGAACTTGTACATTATTTCATTTCACAGGTTGAGAATCTCCTTGATATTGAGCAAAAAATATCTTCGATTCCTGATACCCTGCCTGCAGGTTGTATTGTATTATGTCCTGGTCCTATCATGGATGCTCTGCAAGGTCTTGCAGCAGCATGGAAAACTCAATATGCACTTGTAAGTTTTGAATAGAGAATTTGCATATCTGATCACATATGGATTTTGAAATAGAGTTCTCATTTGTTTTCCAGCAATGAAGTGTATACCAGGATTTCTAAAATAAATTAAATATTTGAATCTATTAAAAAATAATTATATTTAAATTTCATAATGCACTCAAAATAATGGATAATTCGGTTTTGGCCATCCTTGCTAATCAATATCACAACAGTCTCTCAACTTGTTTGCTGGTCAATAATAAAGGTAAAACTTATGTAACATTTCATTTGTAATCACTTTTTAATCTCTCATTCTGTCATTCCGGACATTCTTATTTTTTATGTTAATTACTAACAAAATAAGTTTGGTGTTCATGAATCCAATATTTTTAGTATTATGACATCATATTTACCAAGATTGGTCATAATGGTAAAATACCTGTACAGGTTCTTCATGAAGATGCGAAGAAAAAGTTGGATTCTGTTGTACAATACAGGAATAATGTTCAGAACAGACTTTCTGCCGCTGTAAGTTATTATTTTAAATGCGTTGATAATAAAACTAAACTTACTATCATTGTGTTTAATGTAGTTGAAACTTTAAGAATATTTCAAAACATCTGCTTTTTAAAATTCTCATTGCACAATGATAATTTTATTCTATTGAGTATCTCATGGTAATTAAGCAGTCTCCCAACTTTGCTTCTTTTCGTCATCGTCTTTTCTTGAGTGAATGCACTTGACACTGTTTTGGAAAAATGCTCTCAATTTTTTAGGATAACATAGAAATGAGCCTATCTGAACAAGAGCTTCGTTTGATTACTTATAAAGAAATACAGTCATCAGCCAGGCAATCTACTTAGTACAGAAGTGATGCGCTGAAAAGCTTGAATACCATTCTTCGAGTGTTTTGATCATTTTTTATAATTCAATTCCACAATATTCCAGGTTATTACTCTGGATCAACTCAACGGTACATTGAGTCTAATTGATGAAATCCATGACATGGAAAATAAAATTGATGGTGTCTATCTACCAATTGAAAAAATGTATGAAAAACTGAAAGAATACGATTTGAGATTGGCAAGATCTGAACTTCAACAGGTAATAGTTGCCTCTGTTTATACCTGACTACTTTTTTACTGATTGGATGTGATTGGCTCCCAGTGGTTTGCATGTCAGACCTAACTATATTGGCATTGCGGGTTAGAGATATCAGGCCCGAGTCTCATTCATGCTTCACCAAGTGTGTGATAAATTGGATTCTTCGTCAAACAACTTTATTAAAAGTCGGCATATATGGGCAAGATGCATCAATGAATAACTGTTTGCGAAGGCTCGGTGGTTGGCTTATCATGCTAAGTTTAGGAATTCACTTACCATCCATCGCATCTCTGATTACCCTGTGCAGATTGGCAGGTTCTAATCTTATGGGAGATAATTATGTGCAAGAAGATTGCGGGGCTCTTTATCGTCATAGGTCATCAAATCCATGCATCTGAAACAAATAACTGGTTAATTATTATCAGGAACAGGAATCGAACGAGAGGCAGTGGTTTGCCATAGGAATAAGCTGTCTCATCGGCTGCCATGCCATAAATACGAAAATCTCAACCTAATGTTTGTCAATGTTGATAGTGCTAGCAGATTTGGACATCCCATTAACTGTTTTTATTGCCCCCAAGGTGTTACTAATACAATTGTACAACAAACATAATTTTACTTATCGTCAGGTGGACAGTCTTCGCCAAAACTGGAGTGAATTAGTCCAACTTGCTGATCGACTTGGTCATACTTTATTGAAAGAACGTCGTGCATCCTTCGAACAAGAACTTGATAAACAATTAAAAACATTTGTTGTTGAAGTTATTCAATTCAGAAATGCATTTGATGCTCAGGGACCTGCAATACCTGGAGTCCGTCCAGCAGAAGCAGTAATAAGATTACAGGAGTTTCAGAACAGGTATGATGAATACTGTTTTAAGCGGAATGTACTACAAGGAACATGCAAAACAAATTGTATTTATTTGAACATTGCACAATTTTCAGAATGACAAGAGAATGACTGAATTTGGGGATTGTCTGTGTTAGCCAAGTAAATATACCCCCTGCCCTTACGTTCCAGTCCCTTTACACAACTTGATGTGAAGTGGGTGAACAAAATTTGTTAACTCCATATTGGTACACATAATTCTGATGCAGAAAAAAATGGAATATCAGTTTAATGAAAAATCATTCCAAAACTTTGGGTGGACAAAATCGGTATAGGGTAGCGGAGCGAAAGCTAGAGTAGTGATGTACTTGATAAAACTTATATTGCTGTCTTGTGACGACTGGAAACCCAACTTTTCTAAGGTCTATGTACAACAGTTCAATATTTTTTAACTTTACATAATCATAGCTCAATGTTTTTTTTAATACTCTAATTTTAAGTTTTATCAAATTTAAATATTTTTGTATTCAATAAAATTGAATTATTTGGACATTCCTTAATTTATCTTTTTTTCAACTTGTTTATGATATACGCTAAAATTGCTGGCATAAATATATATATTTTTTAATTTTAATACAATATCACATTTATTTGCAGATTACAGAAAGTAAGTGTGTTTGTGTGTGTTATTTGTCACATGCACAATCACTTATTGCACTCGCTTATTATTTCACATATTGTGATTGCCTGAGAGTTTTGCTTAGCACACACACACACAATATTTATATTATTTTATGCAGAATCACATTCACCTTGTTCTCTTATGTGATTGTAATCAATTCAACTTTGTTGCTTGCTAATTTTTGTGTGAACATGCACATTAATTCTCGTATCCACCATGGACTGGTAACCAAACGAGAAGGCGGGGTTCACCAGTGGATCGGGCTATCTCATAGTATTTCTCTTCTATAACTTGTCAAAAAAAATTTCATGAAAATTTAAATACTGTAAGTGAAATTTGAAATGCTATTGTGTCTTCCAGTTCTTTTGCACATAATTACATCCCTGAACTCAAGAAATATTGTTCATGCTAAACGGCACATTTTCGATGCATGTAGTAAGGAATTTTCAAGACAAATTAAAATATTGGGAACATATTTCATGTCACATCACGTTTACATTATTGCATGAATTGTATACCATGTTGTAATTTCTTATACACTATTTCTGAATAATTTTGTTCAATGTTTTTCAATGCTTTTAATGTTATCCACAATCCTCTTCTCTCTATATTTCCATTTCATAAAGCTACATGTTTGAACAAATACAAATTAAGTTAGTTTGATGTCAGCTATCATTTATGATATTTTCATGATTAATATTCATTTATTACTATGGTTGTTTTTTTATACTTATTTCATTTTTAAAGATTTTTGTGAGCAACTACTGTACTAATGCAAAAGTGTACTCTGCAAGTTAGTCATTGTCATGCCGTTAATTTGAATATTATTTTCCAGATTTACTCTTTATGATGCGAAGAGAAAAACGCTTGATTCTGTCCAGCGACTTTTTGGGATTCTTCCAAAACCTTTTCCTGAGCTCGACAAAACTGGAGAAGAACTTAAACTACTTGGCATGTTATATGGATTGTTTCAAAAGTTTATTGCTTTTGATAGAAGATTTCGAGATACACTCTGGGAAAATGCAGGCTTGCATACAGCAAATATTGAAGTGAATAAATAATCAAATTTTGAAATTCTCATTAGAACTGGCTATGGTATCTAAATACGACTCTGGAAACTGGTACTCAGACATGCTATAACATGAAATAATCACAAATTTTTAATTAAACATGTATACCTCTACTATATCATAGTATACATTGTGTGTGTTATTTGTCTCCGAAAAACTCCAACAAATTGGCATATTGATAATTAGAAAACTGTGCGACAATCTCATTTAAGTTGGTGTCTTTTGTGGAACAACATTTGAGTTATCAATCATACTCGAATTCCCATGTCATGTTGCTACATCCTGAAGTTTTAAATCCCTTCTTACCCAGAACAAGCTTATTAACTTAAAACATGAAGCTTCATATTAGCTGGTCATACAAAAGTTCTTCTTTCTCCTGAAGGACCTGCTCAGTATCACTACCCTTTATGATGATTTTGATTTCAACATAGTAATGATTTGATGAAATGATTGTAAAAAGACCGATTGTATGTTCTATTTTTGCAGGTTCGTGGGCATTGGGATGAGTGTTTGAATCTTCCAGACAAGTTAAAGGATTGGGATGCATACACAGAAATGAAGAAAAGCATTAAAACATACTTGAATGTTTTCCCTCTTTTGCACCGATTGGCTGAAAAGGTATTCAAAAGGCTTTGATGGTAAAACATATTAATTCCGAGTCTATTCCGATGTTTCTTATTATATGAAGATTTGGAAATGTACATTTTGTTCAAATCTGTAATACTTTTTATTTCAATTTTCAATCTCAAATGTTTTGATAATATTTTAACATTTTTGCCTTGTTTTGCAGGGAAAGTTTAAAGATATCATGATACCAGTTAGTAGTTTTTTAGTTACTATATTTATGTATTGTGATTAAAGATTGGGTATTTTTATCATTTTTTATCATTCTTACAGAAAATTCGAAACCGCCATTGGCTTCAAGTTATGTCTGTCACGTTCAGTAAATTCCAACTTGAATCAAACATCTTCAAAATGGGACATTTGTTGGACATTGGACTTCTTGAGTAAGATAAAATGTAAAAATGATGGTCTACCACAAAGATCCTTGCTGAGACCACTTCTTTTCTTTTTTTGTATTCAGACACAGTGCAGAAATTGAGCAGATATGCAATGCTGCAAACAAAGAACTTGAACTTGAAGTAAAAATGAGAGGAATTGAAGAAGAATGGACTGAGCAGGCATGTATAAAATATCTCAAATTATTGTTGACCCCAAAATTACCGATTTGTATGGCTCTGTACAAGATTATTAAACAAGAGTGGATTTGGCATGCTTTGAAAATTCGATTTGGAACAGAACAATATGCTTTTATTTTTATTATGCAAACAAAGTTCCTAATCAGTTTATGGCATTCTTTGCTCACAAAGAATGATTATCGGTCTAATTAGTCTTTCCTAAAATGAACTGATTAGAATTTACTGTTTTGATGATAGAAATAGTGACATTAATATTTTTAAATTATTACTTTCATAGGTTCTGAGCTTTGAGAACTACAAAAGAAGAGGACCTGTGCTGTTGGTTAAAGAAGATTCAGAAAGACTTTTAGAACTTCTTGAAGATGCTCAAGCATTGTTGGCCACTATGCTGACCTCAAAACATATTGGTAAATGATATCATCTCTTTGGTTTATTAGCCTCCATGTTATAGTCTACGATCAATATATGTTAGAATTTTTTCCTTACTTGTCCAAGTTACCACTTTTCCTTTCCTTCCTCCAGTAGTTAAATATTTTCCTTTATCTATCACTTTTTTGCTGGTGATAGAATCGAAATAAGCAAGTTTACATACTGAATTAGTTCAGGAAATTCAATAAAGTACAGTTTATATTGTGTCTTCTATTTTTTTTCTTCATTAGGACCACTTAGAGAGGAAGCTGCATCGTGGGCTGAAAAACTGAAAGGTGTCAGTGAAGTTCTCGATACATGGCTGGAAACGCAAGATCTCTGGCAAGAATTAGAAGCCGTGTTTTCAGACCATGCCACTGCGAAAGAACTTCCTCAAGAAGCAAAAAGATTTTCTATGGTTGATAAAAGTTATGTGAAACTGATGAGAAGAGCCTATGATACAAGGAATATTCTGCAATGTTGTTATGGGGGTGAGTATTTACTTTTATTTTCAAATATGGGATCATGAATAATCGTCACTGTCACGGAAATAATTAGGAAGTGAAAACCTAATTTTTGGATAAATACAGTACAAAAATTCTCAATAATCGAGAATTTTAGTAACAATGAGTTAAAAATAGCTGTAATCTTATCAATGAAGTGAAAGTTATTCAAGATGAATTTATCACGAAATAGTTCATGACATGTAACGGTTCCTAGTAGGGATGGAATGAAATCATTCCGGTACGGCATTGGCCTCCTAATTTTTTACACTATGAGTGAGTTTTTGGGCATTGGATTTGAACCCAAGATTTTAACCTGTGATGCAAGACTTGCTCAAACTAATTTTTGATAATTTGTTTCTTCAAAACAGGTGAAGTTCCAAAAGATGTTGTTCTTCGTCATATGCAAGAAGAATTGGAAATCTGCTTCAAAAGTTTGACTCAATATCTTGACAAAAAACGAGCAGTGTTTCCACGATTCCATTTCCTCACTGACTCCGTTCTACTGGCAGTATTGTCTCGACCTAATGATTTGGAATCCGTCCGAACACATTTGAGGTAGGAAAGCATTTCTATATTTAGATATTGCTATACTGTCATGACAAAAATTTGTTATCATTATTCATTGATCATGGCTGTGATCATATTATGCTTCAACATTATTGAATCATTACATTAAGCAATAATTTTCATACTTTTGCTATTATTAGATAGTCAATGTTATTGGAAAATAGTTATTCCATTGGCAAGGCTGTGTCAAAATAGGATGATTCCGTAGTTAGTTTTGGCTGGAGAAATATCACAACTAACTCATGAAAGTGAGATGTCCCCCTTTTATGCCTGACATGACATAATCACGACCCATAGTTAAAGATGCAAAGACTAACTTTCACAACATTGGTTGACCATTTCTAAACAAATTACTGTATATGATTTTATCCATGATTAAGATCATAAAAAATGATCATATTTTACAGATCAATTTTTGCGAGCATTGCTGATATTAAAACTGAGAAAACTGGGAGTTGGTCTGAGACTGTCAGTTCAATGAAATCTCTACGCAACACTCCAACACCCGATTCGTCCCCTGTTCTTCAACATAATCCAGAAACTCACCGTCGAACTGAAGATGCTCATCACAGAGCGTCAGGAGTAAGATTCAAATCGGTAAGTATGGAATGTATTTACCCTCTTTATACAGTCTAGGTCCCGCGTCTGAATAGGTTCTCAACCTAACACTCGGTGTTGGCCACAATAAAATATGTAATGAGTGGATGAGAAATCCCAGTTCTTCCCAAAAAAGAGTTTCCATATCCTAGAGACTGCTTATACAGAGTCTCGTTCAGAGCAGATATAACACATGTCATAAAAACTATCAACTATATAGGTCATCATTTTTTACTTTTTTATCATCCTTTGTTGACTGATTTTACAGAGGATGAAATCATCTGACAGCTTACATTTTTCTGCAAGTTATGCAGAAGAACCTGCTGATGTTTTGCATGCAACTGCAGTGCTTGCAGCGGATGGTGAAATTTTGAACTTAGATGAAGAGGTATTGTTGTGTAGTTTTTTCAAATTAATTTTTGTGATTTTAAGATGATGAGGTATTCATTAAAAAGACATAATATAGGTAGCAATTGAGGTACTAACATTTTCAAGTTAGCCCTCGCACAAAGTGTATTAACATACACATACTGTTGTTAATATTGATCTTCATTTTTGCTTGGAGTAGTCTATTAAATATCTTACCTACAATGTTGTAAATTGTATAGGCTTCACCAAAACCAAAAAATGTTTCATCCAATCTAGTACGGTACTTTCAGATAGTCTTCCATAGTGCAAGATTTAAACAAAAAAACTACCTTTTGAATAAAATAATTCTATTCAACTCAAACAATATATTCATTTTTCAGATCAGTCTTTTTGAAGGAGCGGAATTATGGCTTCAAAACTTACAAGATTCTGTACGGAGATCGTTACATTCTAATATCACAAAAGCAATTGCAGATATTGATGCCAATACTCCACTAGAAGAAATTGTGTTAAAGTATGTTAAGTTATGTATATTCTAGTACTGCAGTATATTTCGAAGGTGGATCTTTTTATTAATCATAAAATTGTGAAAAAGGAGTTGGAATGAAATGAATAGCCTGAAATGAACTTTGAACTTCTGAACTTCGACCTTTGGTAGGCGTAATGGTCTAGTACATGGTTTCTCAAACGGATTCCAATTTCTCCAGAATAGCAGCTTCTTTCTTATCAGGGGCTGCTTATATGAATCATTAAAGCAAAAATGTCTTGTGAAAAATCACTATTTTCAACATACAGTATTAACATTCAATGCTTTTTAATTCTAGATACCCTATACAAGTTGGAAAATTGGCATTACTATACCTATGGACTCGTGAATGTGAAGCAGGAATAGCTGAATTGAAATGGGAAAGAAAAGCGATGCAGAATGCAAGCAAAAAATTTTCTGTGATGATATCTCGGTAAGTATGACAAGACATCTAGAGCCAAGTCAAAATTTCTCATATGTCTCATCAGGGATGGCCAATTCGAATAAAGTATTCGAATGTATTCGAATATCTCGTCATTCGAATATCGGAATTCACGTTCATAAGAATATCGGATATTTGTGTGACGTCATACATTTTCGACGCCGCTTTCAAGACGTTTCCGTTGAATGAAAACATTCTCGATAGAAACTTGCGCGTGATTGTTTTCATCACTCATCAGCGTAACGTATTATTTAGGCCCGTAAACGCCTTTACGATTGTGTTATTTTCTATAAAACGAAAATTTTCCACAAATTTGTTTCACGATAACGATAACATTTATTTTATTTTTTTTACGTTTATTTTTTTTATTTGAATTGTGAATCTGGTAAATACGTTCATCGGCGGCGAGTTTCTAAAGACAACGCAACTTTTTGATTAAAAAGCTGCAATTAAAAATATTGAAAATAAAACCGTAAACAATATAAGTTTTATTGAGGCCCGCGAAAATTCAAAAACGCTTTTCTAGGCAGGGAAAATCGCAAAATTTCGTGTGCCTCTGGCACACATTATGTTTGGTCGTCGTTTAGAAACACATCGTCACTAATTGAGGGCGGGATTTGCCTGATTATCCATAACTTCAAATTGCCATCTAATATTTTCGTGTTAACACGATAGGCTACAAGGTTTAAAACGCGACCTTTTCCCGGGTTGTGAGGATGTATATAATATAATCTAAAAATAATTATATCCTATATCTATGAAAATAATTTTATCTGAAAATAATCAGAGTGGCAGCATTTCGATCAGGCGGAGTCACTGTTGACAAGTACATCTAAATAGCTATAAACTATCAATTACTTTGTGCACATATACTGTTGGTTTGTGGCTTCATTCTGATATTTCTATTGAAGCTTATTTCCTAATTTACTGGGTTTTAATCAACTAAAACAAAAATGTGTTATTTTCGATTTTAGAATGTATTCGGAATTCCAGATTCGAAAACATTATTTTAGAATGTATTCGGAATAGTTTAGTATTCGGAAATGGCCATCCCTGTGTCTCATGTAGGATTCTATTTAAGGGTGAGGATTGTTGATAATAATCAATACAGTCACCACAGCTTCTTATATAGTTTCGGTCATGCTATCAAAAAAGCTGTCCCGTTTCAGTTTCTAAGTTTCAGATGCATTGATATGGTTGTTTTAAAAATTCATAACTGCCATTGGTTACGTGTTTGATATACCTTGTAATAGCTGCGAGGCCAGCAATATTCTGATATATGATCATCCTATCCATGATTTAAACCTGCGACCCCGTACGAAGTTAAATGGTACAATGGCGAGCATATTTGTAATAAAAGTAAGAATCAAACTGTTGTTTTGCTGAATCTCGATACCGGTGCAAAAACAATTTCTCATCTTTAGGGAATGCTCTCTAATACAGTTTTCTTTTCAAATCAACAACTACTATACATAATAATAGATCTTAGTGATATAAAACCCATCATATTTTTAGCGTGATAAACATTTATCTCCAATGGGATTCGAATCTGCGTACCCATGTAGGGTAATCATAGGTGCGTTAGCAAGCGTATTGATATTGCTAAGCACGATACACTCCACTCCACTCCGGTTATTAGTGTTCTCATTAATTTATAAGTGTATTTATAATTCATTCCTGCATTTTTTTTTAGCCTGCCGACAGTCATCAATCGCACAACATGGAAGGGTGGAGATGAAGCAATGTTACCAGTGCATCGCGCTAGATTGGAAAATTTAATTCATTACTCCGTTCATCTACGAGATTCATTGGACGGGATGGGTTCAAGAAAAATGAGAGACATAAGTAAGAATTTTTTTTATATTTCACAGCAAACGCACAAACGAGATAATAAAGAGAAGGTAAACATTGGTTTAAAATCAGGCCTGACTGCCAATACAGAATGGATTCCAAAATCCATTTTTATGAGGTTTTTTCTTGTCTTTGTATAAAGAATATGAATCTTCTGATTCAGCTAAGGTAATTTGGCTTATTGAATTGAATATACCTATAAAAGGTGTTTTTACGCTAGAAAATTAGAAATTAATTAAATTAATTAATTAGATTTAAATAATTAAATCGTTTATATTGCATATATAATCAAAATTATTCACAGTTTTGTATTAACAAAATTTTAGAATACCAAATTGACTTACCGTATGACCTATGAAATTACCTACCTAAATTCTGTGTTATTGGAAATTTATTCAAAAAATTACCACATTGTAGATTGTGAAATGTTAAAACAGCGAGGAAATAATTTTTCACCATTTTATTAGGTGATTTTGAATGGCGGCGAAGTATTCGTTTCTATTCTGAAGATGTTGATGGATTCCAAGAACATAACCTTCATATACTCGATAACCAGTTTCATTACGGACTTGAATTCTACGGCTTATCGTCATCTGCAAATCTAGTGATTGCTCCTGCGACAGAAAGAGCTTTTGTCAGCATGTCGATAGCACTCGCTCAATGTCAAGTATGTGGTTTAAAAATGTGTTTCACTTTATCACTCTGAATAGGACTTTGGTTAAGTTGTGCAGAACTATTGATGCTACTAATTATTTGATAAGGTTCTCATGGGCTCATCACAAAGTGGTTCTTTTACCAGATTGATTTGTTGCGACTCCCTCTACCAATCATGCTCTACTCAATTTAATTCTTCCTCTTCTTATCCTAATTGATCATTTTTTTTTTTTTTTGTCCCAGGGTTCTGCAGTGGTGGGCAATGCCAGTAGTGGAAAAACAGAAACTGTTATGGGTCTTGCAAGTTTGTTTGGAAAATATATTTTCATGATCAATTGTACACGATCTACTGATGCTACATCACTGGGAAAAATACTACAGGTTCGTATTCAGAAGTTCACAGTTTAATTTAACCTACAAAATTCCCAGTCATAAAAAACATCTCTCAGAAAGTTCCACACATTGAAAATGTCCTATATGGAATACTCCCTACAATTCAACCTGGGTGGGGGCAATTAGTATAGAATTTAAACCAGTTAGGGTGACGCTGCAATCCCCACAATTAAGTATAACGCTATCACCACTGATACATCTCAACTACAAATATACAAAATTGTTATCACAGGGCCTAGCTGCTGATGGATGCTGGGGTTGCCTTGACGACGTGCATCTACTGTCACCTAGTGGTATTTCTGTCATCTTAGAATTCAGTTACAAGATCTTTTCATCAATGCAGAAGATCATTGATTTCAAGGTTTGTTGTAGATATTTGTGATAATTTAATTACCAATAAGAAGAATATGATTATGCCTGATCAAATTAACAGAATATTAAAAATTGGACCACATTTTATTTAAATTGATTTTATTAATATCCTTAAAAGCCTTAATCTGACTCTTATATTAGCTTTATTAGTATTCCCTCAAGTTGCTTTATTCATGTATCCATTTTGTGTTGATTGATGAACCAAAATGAACATCTGTATCATGCTTGTACCAATCCATCATCTTATGACAATAATTCAATTATTATTAAATAATTTTTTGTATTTTACAGAGACAAGATTCAAGTAATTATGGTGACAATGATGCTCAAGTCAATCTAGTCAATCCAGGATCAGCTATGTTCATCACATACAATCCATCTGCTCCACATTTCAAACCATTACCAACTGCGATCAGGTAATTTTTAGTAGAGCTTGGTAAAAGCATATACTCATACATAAGGGGCTATTATTTTTGGACAAACCGGAATTTTCCAAGCACAGCATTGCCCTTTGAATTTAACCGCACATTAGGCAAAATAGGAGGCTGACCTTTATCCTGCGAGGTCAATATAGTTAAGCCCAAAACCCAAATCACTAGGCCATGGGTTATAAACTTTTATTGAAACATTAAGTGGAGAATATTAGTGTTTTACGAATTGTGTCAAATATAAAGCGAAATTCCTCTCCAAGAATGACAAAATTCCTCTCAGGGGGGAAATTACTCCTTGGTTGAGAAACGTTGCCTTACACAAATACAAAGTTGAATTTTCGATACTCCTGTAGTGTGTGTACCAGGTTAGGGTTAGGGCATAATTTCATTTTCGATTTTTCTTATTTTAGTACTATTACGAGTTTGGGGATTGTCTGTGTTAGCCAAGTGAATATACACTCTGCCCATAGGCTTCTGTTCCTTTACACAACTTGATGTAAAATAGGCAAACGAGATTAGTTACCTCCATATTGGTATACACGCTTCTGGAGCGCCATATTTTCTTCCTGAAATAGAATTTGTCTCTGTTTGGGAAATGCTGTACTAGCCCATCACTCTCTTTTAGGTCTCTTTACCGGACAGTCTCTATTATCAAACCAGATATGAGTGCAATATTGAAAGCAAAATGTACTGCACTCGGTTTACGATCACCCAAAGCTCTTGCAGATAGACTGAAAACACTTGTTGAATTGTCACACCAACAATTGCCGAGATCTTCATCTCAACATCATGAAGTCTCATTGCAGTCATTGCTTTCTGCTTTGACATTGGCAGCACAGAAACGCAAAGCTAGGGTATGTGATTAAATCATATTTTTTGTTAAATAAAGCTCAGACGCCTGATTTTGCTCAATATTTGCACCAAAATTGATATGGTACACATTGTAAAGTATAATGAAGAATTAAACGAGTTTACCAAACATATCAACGATTTTTATAAGAAAATATAGACATAGCCTGATTTTACTAGACAGACGCCTGATTTTGCTCAATATTTGCACCGTGTCACTGCTTGAAAACCTTCCAAGGCCCATCATGTCTCGTGTCGCATGAATAACATTTGCACTATTTTTATATGTGGTGTATCTGTTCTTTTCACTTTTGTTATTTGTGCTGACAATTAAATAGTCGATTTATTTATTGATTGTGATAGGATGTCAGTCGTCTGAAACATCCTCATCGAAGCCTTGGGTTGATACTCCATTACTCATCAAGTTTCTCGCCGGCTTCACACTGGATGACAATGAATACTGTTTACTAACTATCTGACCAATTATATATGGATGAAAATACTTGTAAATAGTGTAATTAAATTCATATCATTTTCATGCCACAGCAGACTGCTTTTCAATGTTGTTTTCCATAGAAGTATTCATTTAATATCTAATTTAACCTCATACGTTATTTCTATTTCTTCATAGGATGAACGTTCTGAAGCTATATCTCGATCTGATACAGTAACAGGCTCAAGAACTGAAATTGATCAACAAAAAATGTCAAGATCAAACAGTCAAACATCAGTCAGGTATTTAAATCTAAAAAGAAATCATACTTATTCTCATGAGAGGAAAGTTTATAAGATGGGTATAATTTATGCCCAATTGTGACATTGTGTCATTTTGCTAGTTCAAGTTGGAAGTGAATATCTAAGCAAGTAAACATTCTATATTCTAGCAAGTAAACATTCTATGTTCTAATAGAAATGTGTGAAAGAGCAGACGACAACTTATAGTAGTTAGGTGAACCATATCTTGTTGACAGGAGAATATCAATATTTCACAGGATTCAAACCCACAGACTATGTACAGGAGCACATTTTTTTTCAAGAACCTCATTTATGTTGAATTCACTCCTTCATAGCTGTTTTTCTTGTGAATTTCTTCAAGTGTATCAAGTAATATATCTCAAGTCAAGTAATATATGCTGACATGATAATGCACCACCATATTTCTATATAGTTTCTTCAGCTCTCGGCACTTCAGTGATTGCCTGTAACCTTGCTCAAAAAAGAGTCTTCTTTACTTTTAAATGAGTAGGTTTTTAAAAAAATTCTTTTTAATAAAAAGCTCCAGTTTTGCACACAGTAATCATTTTTTAGTATGTTCTTGAGGATTTTACTTATAGTACCGTACTAACATACAACAACAACCTATTTGAACACCTCTAGACAACCACCGTCACCTGTAGTAGCTGTGCCGAGCCGACCTCAAGCAGCTGTTTCTGATAAATTGATTGGAAAGAAGACAAATATGCCAAATACATTGACAGGACAGGCTAAAATTGACCACGGACTTGTTGCTCAGGTAAACTTTTTATTAAGATGTAGAATTTGGGGATATTTACACTTTTGCGACTAGATTTTAACTAACAAATTATACCAGAAATATAGGGGTTCTCATCAAAACAACTAGTCAACATAGACTGTTCATTTCTATATCATGATGCCCAAAGAATTCAGTTCAGGCTAAAATTGACAACAAACGCAATATGCAATAAAGGAGCACTTTTCATGAATGCAGCTTATCTAAATTAATGTTTCATTTTTTATAGAAGTTTAATTTTCTCAGTTATTTTGTCATATTTATTTTATATTTGAAAATTATCTGAAATAAAAATTTTGTTCCAAAATCTATATCCAGTTAGGGCATTCAACATCAGAATCAATTTAGATTGTTTTGTAGAATTCAAAAATATTATTTGAATATGAATGGGTTTCTGGGCAAATTTATAATTTTTTCAAATATTCTATTTTTACAAATCATTAAATTCAGTGTTACAGTCTTGGCACATAAATATCATCATGATTTTTGTCAAAAAGCAAATTTATGTAACATGAATTTGCAGAATTTTTTAATCCAAATGTTTTTGAACTATTATTTTAAAAGTATTCAGTTTGGTATTTTTGATTGTTCATTTTTTGTTTTCCTATTTCAGGCTATCATTGAGACTATATCGCCAGGATTATCTCCATCTGATACCGTTGTTTTTCACTTTATCTTGAAAGACACTTTCAGTGGAATTCCGATGGTGAAAGAATTGCTTGGTGCAATGTCCGCTACCGGAAGTCACTCAATAACTCCGATTCAAACACAATTGTCTTTTGGTCCTGCTAGCTCTCGCAAAAAAGAACAGATTTTGGAACCAGTTTTAACACATGTTAGTTCACTTTTTTTTTCTTCATACTTTTGCCCAAAACAAGGCAATAAATAAGCAGCTATAACACTTATTCGTTATTTCTAATTCTGTATAAAACAGTTACGTATTTGAATCTTGCAGAGAGTTATACAATATTATAGCATATACAATATTAACATAACATATTATTATACAATATTGTGCTTGGCATCTATGGCGTTTGCTTTTTTGAATGAGCTTTCTAGGGCAAAAGTCGAATCACAAAACTCAATTTTGTCATGAAAATATATGCTATTAAATTCATAGTAAAAAGTGCTCGATTATTCAAAATACTTCCTTGTAATTATTGCACCAATTTTTCTTAACAGACTGTGTCTATATATCTGCAGTGTTGATTTATATCTAGAGGAGATTTTTATGCATTTTACACACTCAAAGCAAAGTATTAATTCCTCAACAAAAATGGAAAACACTACTGATACAAGAGTTAGAAATGTCCTATTATGTCTAGGGCTCTGTATGTGCTCATTCTTGCCACGAAAATGCCAGCATATAATGTTTAATTTGAAATGGATAAAAATCAATGCTGTTAGAAAAACTTTCCTCTTCCACAGAATAAATATGATTGTAAAATGTGATAATTTTAAAAAAAAAATTATTTTGTTTACCACTAGGTTGCAAATGAAAGGGGACTCATTCCTGGACAAAACTGGTTATCTAAAGCCGCTCAATTATACCAAACAGCAGAAGCCAGACAAGGTGTTGTTTTAGCTGGACCAGCAGGTTGTGGAAAGTCAGTCATGCTTTCTGTACTTATCGACGCTTTGTGTAAATTACCCCACAATCCTGGGGCCGGGAGAACAATCAGCCCCGGCATGTCGAACCATAAGTTGCAAAAACTTCACCCTTTGACTGTGGACGATCTTTCTTTGATGTTCGGACAAACCAATAACTCTCGTGAATGGTCAGATGGTATTTTAACTTATGCTTGGCGAAAGGCTAACAGGGTAAGTGAAGAATAGATGATGGAATTTTATGGCTATATCTTCTGACTAAGTAGTTGCACATCCTTCTAACCGTTAGAAATACATTTTCCATTGTAATTCTGTTTGCCCGTTCGAATCCCATGAGGATAGTTATGTCTGAGAGGATTGTTCGACTCCTCCACATCATAGGGTGGTTCAAGTAATTGCTGGTCGGTTATGGCTTCCCCCACCATCAAGTCCATGGCGAGGGGGGTCAAAAATTTTCTCGCACATATTTCTAACAGCCGTGTGATATGTGCGCAGCTGTCGAACCTATGAAAAACCCATTCCCCGCTTTGGAGTTTTTTCCTTCTGTTTGTTTGTTTGTGTGTTGTCGTTTATTTTGTATTATGGTTCAACTAGTTCAAAGTAGACCCTATAAATAATTTTTCTAATAATTCACTTCAACATTTCGTTTTGTTTCTTGTATGTATGATATTGCTCAAGGATTCACTTTGAATACTCATATTTGAAATGATTTTTTTTTTTAGATTCATCTTTCTATCAAAGTTTTCATCCTATTAATGATCTATCTGTATTTATTCCATACAGAATCAAAGTACAACGTGGCTCTGTCTTGATGGTCCGTTAGTATCTTCTTGGGCTGATCGTCTCAATGGTGCATTATCTGATCAGAAAGTCATGCAACTGAGTAATGGAGATCGACTCTATCTCACGGATAATATGAGAGTTGTATTTGAAACAACTGATCTGAGGAATGCATCTCCGTCATTGCTATCTCGTACTGTGAGTGACTAGGACTAATGACTGAATTTTAGTACTCTTTTTGAGGAGGAATAGATAAAATAATAGCATCATAACACTAATATAATACATGGTAATTGTAAACCTTGTGTTTTAATACTCATCATATTCAAATGTACTTTCATTTTTACAGGGATTGGTCTATCTGGATAAAAACGTTCTTGGTTGGCGTCCTCTTGCAAAAGCTTGGCTCGAACAAAGAAACGCTGATGAAAAACGTGTTCTAGAAAAAGCATTCGACAAAACTTTAGACAGTGTCTGTAACTTTGTTTTCCATGATAAAAGGTAGATTTTATTGTGAATTTTGTTATACAATGACAATGTCTATACAAAGGTCTTGCTTGAATTAGAATAATTCTTTTATAAATATTATCCTCTTTGGTCTTGTTGTGTTTCCTATTTGTTTTATTTTTATTTTTGCCAGGATAAAACTTCCAGTATGTGAAGTTGGATTGTTGACAACATGTCTTACATTGCTGGGTGAAATGCTGAATGAGCATCAGCAACATATTGGTAAGATATCTTGAAGATTTCTTGGTTTTTATGAATTTATACTTGTATTTATTGGGCGTGAAGTGTACATATGGATCACTTGTTGTTGGGGCTGTTGCTTTTGTTGTGAAAAATCGCTATTCAGAGACTACAAATACTACAACAACAATTTTTTCAAAATTCCAGGTGGTGATCTTCACATTGAGAGATTGTACTTGTTTTGTCTTGTCTGGGCGTTTGGTGGACTTCTGGAAGGAAACACTGTTAAAACATTCAGTGATCTTCTTCGAACATTGTCATCTGCGTAAGTTTTCTCAAATTTAGGAATATATTGTTATATTCAACTTGAGATAGAGGGATGCACATATAGGCCACTAAATTATATAGCAGTTCAGCTTGGTTGCTGGATAGTGTGATATATAAGTAAATATTCTTATTTCTTTTTTCTAGGTTGCCAGATTATGACCATGATATTTCAGTATTTGATTATTATGTTGATGAATCAGGTGAATGGGATACTTGGATGGCTAGGGTTCCTGAAGCTACTTATACAGGAACAACCGACATGCTTGGAGAGGTGAGGAAGATAATTATTGAGACATATATTTATGTCCTTTAAAACAGGGATTCAATACTCTTTTCACACTGTGGACCGGTTTAAAAGTTTTTTTGTGGATTGGTCCTCAAACACATGCTTAACTTTCGACTATCTCTATAACAGCAGCAAATTCTAATATTCTCTGTTAATTGACAATAAATGATGAAAACTGAAAAAGCTTAACATCCTAAAATTTTCTGCTCTGATAACCAACCTTGACTGGTTTTACTATTTCATGTAGCTTAATGAAAAACCATTTCATTCATATTCATGTTTATAAAAATCTATAATATATATCAATAAATGAAACATGACGAGCTTTTTCAGAGTGCATGGAGTTTTTTAAATATCATTCTTGTTATATTCAGGTGTTTGTTGATACTGTCGATACGATTCGTACTCGTTGTTTACTTGACTTTGCACATATGGCTCGGAAGCACACTCTAGTGGTGGGCGAATCAGGAATCGGGAAAACAGCTTTAGTCAATGATTTTTTGGATACTCAAGGTAGGACATTGTTCAATCCAATATTCAACTCTTGCCTACTGTTCAACCAAGGTTGCTTCTTCCAAGGCATTTTTTGACGTCATACAATCCCCTGAACAGTGGCGTGCAACCGGTCAGACGTAAAATTAAACTGGAGCTGAGGACCAAATCATTGAACTGCTTTTTCACTATATAAAGAATAATTAGCTAATCTTGATTAGGTTGAACTTGTCCTAATTCGAACCTCCCTCTTATATATTTAACATCCTTTTTTTCAAGAGGCAGTAATTTAAATTTTAATGACAGTATGCTTTTGAAGTCTCTCCAAACAAAATTCCATCTTAATGTGGCGTTATACACAGTCAAAAATGCTGATAGTATCAGCATAAATAAGAAAAAGTATTTGAAAACAATGGAATATGCGTTCTGTTATAGGCCACCTATTTAGGTTTCACAGGCTGTATGATACACTTTTCCGCCCTCAAATTGTTACCTTTCCCCACATAACATAATTTTTATAATTTTATCAGACAAACAATTCAGTATTCTGCGACGTCTAGTGTTCAGTCGAGCTTCAACTGCTTCTCAACTTCATAGTTTCATGCAACATAATATTCAACATAGACAAGGATTTGTTTATGGCGCACGAGATGGGAAATTTCTAGAGGTATTATAACTATTAATGTTCATAGTTTTTAATTACCATACCCAAGTGAGAGTTACATAGAATGATTGTCTATGCGTAGACATTTTAGTATCCCGTTTTCCTTGTAGAATTTCTACAAGCTTTTATGTAGTATGTGAAAATAACTTGATCTCACTGTTTTGGCATGGATTATCAAGTTTTATGTATCCCATGCCCGGATACATATGGCATTGTGATTTCTGGATTGGCCCAGCTATTCCTACTTTGTTAATTCGAGATATAGCATTTGAGGTCTTACTTCTTTAAAAACATACATACTACTAAATAGGGACGTGAAACTGTTTATTTCCATTTATGTTGGGGAAATTGTATCGATAACAATATTTTTATATTCAGGCTTTCATTGATGACTTGAATCTACCGTCATGTGATATAGATGGCGTACAAAGATGTAATGAATTGCTTCGTTCTCTTGTTGATGATCAAACTATATGTAAACTGAATAAGCCATTTGAATGGAGAACTGTTGAAGGTTTGGAGGTGGGTTTTAGAGATTTCATAATTTTTATGCTTCAGAGGGTTTATTATTTTTCTTTTAATAATGAAATTTTTTTATTAAAAATAGTCACTGTTGGATAGAATATAATTTATTATATATATGTATCTACGAGGATAAGAAATTCAATAAGATGGTGTCATCATATGGTTAATCTTGTCCCTCGTCTGGTTACCATTCCATGTCATTTATGGCAGTAGCTAACCAGTTATTTGTTTCATGAGCAGAAACAAAAAACTATTTTGGTACCAGACATGGACATAACTGGATGAGATGCTGTGTTTTGCCATATTATGATTGAGCTGTCACATCAGCTTTCCTCTCTTCCTCTTAACCTACATTTTTCCCAAAGGGATGATCAAAAGTAGATTAAGTTGCGAGGCAGAATATAGAATATAAAACTATTTGTTCCTAGGCTTCATTTTTCACGAGCACTTGAATAAAATTTTTGTTCTTTGCTAACAGGTTCTTGCAACAATGTCTGTGAATGCTGCGTCACCTGGAAATAATCTCGATCCTCGTCTGCTGAGACATTTCGCTGTTTTCCGTCTTCGAAGTGCGTCATCAACCGATGTACACAATGTCATTTTTTCAGTGCTGGAAGCAAACATGTCTGACAAACCACTAACCCAGGAACTTCACGAATCAATTGCACTAGCTTGCAGTAAACTTCTTGAACAACTGAAGGAAGCTTTAAGACCAAGGTATGAATATTGCTTACAATTTTTAAGATTCTATTCTATTTGTGGTGTAATTTTTGATATGCAATGCTTATTCACTCCTTCCACTCTGAGAAGGCCTGTACAATCAGGCACTGATATCAAACGATATGAAGGGTTTGATTTGACGTTACCCACCCGATTTATTACACTCTGGGTGGGCATAGGAATAGACCCGAAACAGTTCAAACACTTTAGCTGCTAGGCCATCAGGCCCAATTAAACAAATAACACAAGATTGAATGAAAGTTTCATTTAATCCCACTATTTTCCACGCATTTGGTTCTCGCAAAAACCTATTTTTATGTCTCTGCTCTTTTCATTTCTTTTTAATTATCAGGACTGACTAAGATATAACTTTTTTCATTAACATTGATATTTTTATACTTTATAGTCCTCTACCTGGCCGACAGCATTATGCATTCTGTCTTCGTCAAATTATAAAAATGTGTCAATGTTTAAAACGAGTCGATGAGGAGAACCGTTCATCAGAAACATACGTTGTCGCATTCTGGAAACACGAAATGCAACGACTTTTTGCTGATCAACTATGTCGTTCCTCTGATCTTGCCTGGTTTGAAAGAGAAATTGAAAACGTTACCAAAGAATTTTTTAGTCATGCGATTCAAAGTTCTGGTGAAGATGGGAAAAGTGATGCAGAAGTTCCACCAGTCTACTTTACTACCTTTGCAGGTTATTACGTGGTTCATTTTTGGGATTTACATATTTATTCTGGGGGGAGGGAAGGCCAATAAGATGGCTTGATCATTTGGTGAACCACAACCTCTTGTCCGGTTACCTGTCTATGTCAAGAATGGACTGAATGGTGGAGGAAGCCGTATGACCAGCGGTTGGGTGAACCACCCAGCGACCCTCATAACCTTGCACATAACCATCCCCGCATGAGATTCGAACCTGCGAACGCACGCACGAATCAGAGGTAGGATGGCGAGCGTATTCTCAACGCTCAGCACTATGGGCCACACCACCGAGCATATGTATAAGCTAGATTTATCATAGCAGTTTTCATATTTGTCTCGACCTGAACTATATTAAATCTTGTGTCAATCGGTATTCAATAAAATGCAATTTGCTGCTATTAATTTTCATCTTTTGGCGCTTGTTTAAGCGCCCATAATTTCAGTCAAAGATCAGTATTCTCTTTCTGGTTACCTTTCTTTGAGTAGATGTTGAACTCAAATACCAAATCTCTGTTACAGTTGATGCTAAGGTTCACCACAGACCTCTCGCATCAAGTACAAGAGAAACAACCAAAGTAAAACTTTATCCATTACCAGAATTGAGAGCAGCATATGAATATTTACAGGTAATATGATTTTGTCTATTTTCAAATATCAACCTGTTGATGTAAGCCTGATGACCTCGTCTCGGTCAGTGGTGGACTGAAAGTTCAAAATCTCAGATTCAGGACCTGCTCAAGCAAGCAACCACTATCTATGTTACCTGAACTGTTATTGACTTTCTTGGTTATGTTAAATTAGCTTAATCTGATTAGCTGCAATACCTAGAATTCTGTGCACTTATTGACCTGACTGAATTGGAGATTTTAGGCCAAAAAAAGGATGATGAAATGATTTTTTGTCTTTTCAGGCTCATGTCATCCATTACAATGAAGATAGGCAAGTAACACAAGATTCAATAACTCGGCTGATGTTGAGTGACGATGTTTTGCTTCATGTTATCAGAATGCACCGCGTTCTTTCGTATTCTTATGGGTAAGTTGAATTTAGTATGGTAAATTTAGTGGAATTTATAATTTTTAGATTTTAGTATGGTATATGCCTATTTTGGGGAGAAGTTGGGTATATGGTATTCAATCAGTGATGTGATAGGTAACATATTTCTAAAATTGACATAATTACATACACTTTAAACTGGGAAAAACAAAAATAAAATATTTTATGAAAGTGATAATTGCTTATGCAGGAATTGCTATGCTATAAGATACCAAATAAAAACCCTTTTTTTTGTTATTCACTCAATTTTCAGTGGAAGTATGACTGTGGTTGGTGCTGTCGGATCACATTTATCGAATCTAACGAAACTTGCCCTACATGTCGCTGGATTGCAACCTTTTAAAGTGGATGCATCAAGACCTGCTACGTTTTTCGACAGTCTTAGAACTGCTGTTAGAATAGCAGGAACAGAAGGTGTACCTGTGGTTGTGGTACTGACAGCAAGGTATACTGTTTTATTTGCTTGCAATCCTTATTCACGCACTGTACGTCTTGTCAATTTCAGAAAATGTTTCTGTTTTTTTTTTCAAGAAGCCCTTCTGGTTATTTTAAAGGGTCACTAAACCATTACTATGGGGTTATGTGAACATGATATGTGCAATGGTGAGCAATGTTCGACTTTTTGATCGACCTCTAAGCACTGTTGCATTTTCAAATCATCTTGCAGCGCTGCAGTCTCCGAATGTCTTCTCTATGAAAGTTTAATTACGAAATAAAATAAAAACAATATCCAAAAAGAACTTTAATTTATGAATAACATTGGTTCTTGTGTACTGGCAGTCTACTGAAGAGGGTTTTTACTGTAAAAAATTGAGACCATGAAATCTATACAGTAGTTTATACAATTCTGTTTGATTTGCCCCATTTCAGCGTTGAATTAATAATTTATATGACTTTATGTAACATATGCTTCATTTTATTTTCCAGAGATTTATACGATCCTTCGTTTCTTGATGCCATAAACAGTCTTCTCATAGCTGGTGAATATCCACATCTATTTTCGAATGATGAAATTGAAGGTTTGCTCCAGGTAGGTACATTACCAGCAGTTTACACTCGAGGTATTTCTTTGATGTTTTCTGTTTCATATCATACCAACAACATTATACTTTCAGTTTTTCATTCAAGAATATTTGAGAGTTTTTAACCATGTCGTCTTATTCAGATTAGGAAAATTTCTATGTTCATCCTGTGTGAAAAGGGACCTAGACCTAGTAAGGCCACGTAAAATAAGAACATATCACGACCCATTGGCACTGGTTAGAGAGTGAGATTCATTAACTAGCTCAACTTAGGTGAGAAAGTCATGAGTGACAACAATAAATACATGATTTATAATTCTTATCTAAGTGAGTCAACTGTTAAGCCCTTATATTACAATCCAAGTGATTTATATGAAATAAGGTGTCATATGATCACAATATCAACAATTGACATTCTTATATTTGATAAAATTTTTCATTAGCATTTAAGCAGTATTCTATACCACACAGACAATAGCGTTATGAGTGTATGACTGTATAGGTTGACTATTTATACGGAGACAATTTTCAAAATTAAGTAATCTATGCAATATCTCATTTTTTAATCACATCTTTTTAGTCTGGTTTTTGATGATCTTTTCAGACATTTTTTAAAAAACTAGAAAAGATTGTGGCTATAATTTGCCTAAACTTTAACTTTCACTCAAACAGCATTTCCTAATTTACAAGTTTTTGATGTCATTCGCCATTTTTAGTATATATTGGAACAATATCGCAACGATCCAGATCAGGTAACAATACCAATGTAATGATGCTTTTTAACAGAAAACTATTATTTGTAATGCAAAATCAAATGCTAAAACCATGATTTTTCGAATTGCATAACAGCTGAAACAACTGCTTTTTTGATATAGGTACTGCTTACGCTATATGCAATTATTTTATAACATAACTAACTTGATTGATGCAGGCATAAAGCTAGCATTTATTAATAGTGATATGAACAAATGCTGACGAATCTATGAGATATAGCAAGGGTGGGCAAATTACGGCCCGTGGGCCGGATCTCATCGAAGTGTTTCATCTGGCCCACTTGTGTCTGCTGAAATTGCGACTATAGTTTTTATTGATATTGATGTCTGATGGAAATATAGATGAAAAAAATGTCATAATGACCTCGATTGTTACATTGTGCTTTTTATTATTATAAAAATGTTAGCCTAGCTGTTGTTCTTATTGATAGTTTTTCATATTGAGTTTTGAGTCTCCGGCCCAGTAACCGAGTCTATTATCTGTAACTGGCCCACTCAGAAAAGTAATTGCTCACCCTTGACCTATAGAATACAAATATGCTATATTTTGCAATATTTACCACGGTCGTCATTGTATTTTCGAGATATATGTTATATTTATCAGCGAAAGAAATAATTATAATGAATTTTTCAATGTATTAACATTTATCAAAAAGATGAGAGCAGTTTGATTCGACTATTGTGTACTTTGTCATATTTTTGATAAATTTTTATAAAAGTTAGAAGGAGAGAGTTAGAGAGTTAGTTTAAACCATTGATTCAAAATTATGTACCATATTTACATTATTATTTATCAAACATTAAAGCTTTGCATTAATATGTGGTGTAGTATCAAACATAAATATTCAGGATTCAAACTTACACACTACACAGCTGTTCAGCAGTGTAAATTGCAAATGCATGTTCGACGTTCATATTCTTCATATTGTTCTACTTTATTTATTGGTCATCAAGTAATTAACAATAGCTCAAATTTTGCATCTTGCAATTAATACCATCATAACAAGAAAATTCATATAAAGAAAACTAATCAATATATATTAGAAGATTTATGTTAATTATACAACCTACATACACCTGGCTTGATTATTTTTAAAAAAGTTATGATCAGTAGCAAAATTTATTGATTCTTTGCAATATATTTGTTTTCATTCAAAATCACTCAAATTGATCATCTATATCTAATTTAAAAAACTGATTTATTAGCTATACTAACATTTTAAAATAGATTTAGCTTTCAATCAAAATTATTTATGATCAGTCAATTGTATGTCAAGGTGTGAATATATATGAACAAAATTTTTGAAATTGATATTTCAAGGTCATTCATTACAAGTGGAAATTGGTTGATAACTACAGGACTAAGCAATTGTGATCTGACTAAAGACATCTTTTTAAGAATGAAAATAATTTCTAGCTTTACTCGAGATATGAACATTTTAGCATTTTGTATTTGACCCATTTTACTCTTTTAGATTCTGTTTCAAATCAATGGTTATCACTTTATATGCAAACTTTTTTATTTTGGCATTCTAATATGCAGATAAGATAAATAATAGTCCTAAGATCTTGTGCTTGAGCCCTGATTGGTTCATTGTTCAAGATGATCACTTTCCCAACCTCAGCTAGAGTAGAAAATTAGATGAACTATGTAGAATTGGGATGCTTCTACTTTCGACAATTTCTGTAGTTCTCTACCTATGAAAGACTCATGCAAAACTTGATAATAATTTCATCATGCCAGCATTTAAGTATAACAATTTTACAGTATATTTTTTGAAATAATAAGCCAAATCGATTTGATGTGATTAAATATAATGCATGATAAAATTTTTTATTTAAAATATCATCAAGCAAATCTTTGTCACCATGAAATAAATCTTCATTGTGTGCTTTGGCAAGTGCTGTTAGTCTACAAAGCAATACTGTAATTTTTTCTGTGACAGAAATATGATCTATTTTTATTCTCTTTCATTATTGTTTATCAAGTTTTTAAATAAAACTTATTCAACTTTTTGAAGTCTAAATTTGGCGCTCCAGAAGTATGTGTCCAATATGGAGGAACTAATTTTGTTCGCTTACTCTACATCAAGCTGTGTAAAGGGAGTGAAACCTATGGGCAGGGGGTATATTCACTTGGCTAACACAGACAGTCCCCGAACTCGTAATAGAACTAAAATAAGGAAAATCGGAATAAAATTATGGCCTAACCCTAACCTGGTACACACACTACGGTTGTACCCAAACCTCTTTGTTCTATATCATGACATGAATTTACTCATTGTTCTTTAGATCATTCTTCAACAAATTTATCTGAATTTTTAAGTCATTTATAGAACTTTTTTTCATTATCTCAAATTTTTCATAAAACGCTGACATCCTAATATTTTGTCCTATTATTCGAGTTTTTTTATACATGCTCTTTACCTTACGTCTTACCCTCCGAAAAAAACACTGATCTCTAACGATTTGTGAAGAGCTAATATTTTTGGGAGGAACGGTAGACATCAGATTTGAACCTATGATGTGTAACCTGCGAAGCCAATATAGTCAAGTCTAATTATGTAATTCAGGTTCTTGCACCAATCTTAAGACGAAGCCATCCAAATATGATGTCAGATCCGATGAAATTTTTTGTTTCCCGAGTCAAATGTAATCTTCATATTGTACTCAATCTTCCACCTAATCACAAACTATTGAGAGATGCATCACAAGCTTATCCAGGAATTGTCTCCGAAACACAGGTTAGTAACAAAGATCAAGAATATAATTAATTTTATTCAATTACTAATTATTTAATTACAAATTAAAAATAATCATTCGAAGTTTGTTTTACATATGTTTTATTTTTTTTATTCAAAAAATATAATTTTCAAAGGCAAAAAATTAACTGGGGGCTAATGTTATAACAAAATTTAAATATAAAAGGATATTCATAATATTTCAACAAAAGGGTGCATTTACTGACAGCTTCAAAATTCAAATACCTAACAACTTTAACATATGGGTAAAATAGCCTTGTTTAACAAAAATGTTTGAAATATTTTGGTTTCCATAGTATTATAGTATCAAAAAGATTTTTTTTGACCATTTTTTTTATTCCGGCATTCTAAATTTGTCATTTTTGCAATGAAATGTTTTTAATTTTGTTTCAAAAATCGAATGGTATTTTGTGGCAAAAAGGGCTTTTTAGATTACTCGAAATTCAAAATAATGACAAATTTCTGAAATTAAAATTTTAATATGGACATCCTAGCGAGAGTATAATGGTAAATTGCTTGCCACTGATCGATAATCATTGTATGCCAGTTGATTTTTCAATAAATTTTTGAAATTTGAAATAGATTATCTGGATTCGAGATTGGCCTCAGGAAGTATTGATTCAACAAGCTGAATTCTTCATTAACAATGAAAATGTGGCAAAAGAAGCAAGTTCAAAGACTAGAGAATATCTTACAATGGCAATTGCAAACATTCACAGGTATGGATCATAATTCTATTTTAAAAACAATCAATGTAGTTTCTTGTGAATGATAAAAAAATTCAATATTTATAGTCTTCCAAAGACTTACTGCCCATAAACAACAGGGCAGTATGACAGGGTTTCTCAAAGTGGACCATTGACCCTTCTAAGGGGCCGCGAAGTCATTCTCTGGACGCACTGAACAAAAGCCATTCACAATGACTGGATTGAATTAACTGCTATTTGCAGATTATTGCATTTATTCTTTCATTTTCTTCTGTTTGCTTTTTTATTGTGTTGAACAAAATAACTGGCGGAGAATCGTTGAGGGAAATCTGGGTATTTTTTCCAAGAGCAAAAGAGTCATTGAAAGGAATAATAAAAGTTAAAGAACCACTGGATTATAACTTGTTACACATTTTATCATGTTATACCTAACTTACATAAAACTTCTCTTATTTCAGTTTGACTCTTCGTGACTGTAAACAAACATTATGGAGTGGTGATACCAATCCCACAGTTTCTGTTACTGGTACAAGTTTGCAGACGAAGAAAGACAAGGAAACCATAAAAGTGGAGAAATATGATCTGCCAAATCTACCTTACTCAAAAACTATATTACTGGAAAGGATTAACTTACTGCATAGGTAAATAGAGGCATTATAAAAATTTAAAAAAGAAGTTTTCTGGGATTAAAAATTGTAATTAATCATGATTTTGATTCGTTAAACATATTCTGAATTCTAATTTATAGGACTTACTTATTAATGAAGCCAGTTTGCCAAGTCGCAATAAGGATGATTTTAGATATTTTCATCAAATCCGCCAATTCGAAGCACTGTTTCACTAAGAGTTTTCTATTTGCAACTTGATTCTAGTTGAATCAAGTCCTCAGATCAAAGTTCATGCAGAAAGCTGGTTTCGAAATTATTTAAAATATAACTCAAGTTCAGTTACTGTAAAATGTGACTCATGTTGAGTAATATTTTGCGTCACACCAACCTTATTATTGTACTTTTTACTTTAAAGGGATTTTAAAAACAGTGCAGCGAATGAGATTTACATTGGTCCTTACACTTATCGGAAATTTATGCATTGTTTACACACACTTTACAATGCCGCGAGTGAAAAGTTGAGACGAGAGACAGGTCGATTACAACATGCACTTGATACTTTGGATGAAACTCGCAAAGATGCAAGACTAATGCAAAAAGCAATTGGGGTGAATATTGTTTTTGCTATCATATTAAATTTTTGTTTCTTTTCATTGATGACAAGTATTTCTTTGCTTTTACTTGTCATTTTGCCTTTCTGAAAATTTTTTAACCTTATCTAAAATTTTCACAATTACAAAACTTCAATCTTGAATGTTAATACAGGCACCTCAAAACCAAACAAAACACTAATATTTATGCTTATGTAGCTTTATCTATTACTCTCTCTCTGACATTTAAATGGAATTTATGCTGATCACCAGCCATCAGAATTTGCTAGATTATGATAACATTCATTAGATCACACTGAAAAACAGACAAAAAAATTGATATATTTGTGTTCAGGTATTGAAAAATCAATTCTCCTCTGCACAAATCAGAGTGAAAGAACTTTTCACAAAATTAACTATTGAAGCTACAAGACTTGAAAAATTGAAAGCTCATCTCGGAATCGGAAACGGACCTTTGATTGCATTTTTACAGGTAAGATCATCACCACAACAAAAAATATTTTTTTCAAGGTTGACATTCATTTATAGCATGCATGTTCATAATTAGACAAATTATTTTCTGGATACAGTATAGAAAAAATATACATGAATATTCAATTGTTCAACTCGTAAAATATGTCAAAACTGATCAAAAATGTTCCTGAATCATTGCAGAAAGTTGAGAAAACATTATGTTTATTGTGTTTTTACAGTTGTTATGAATATACTTTCAATATCCCCATTTAAAAGTTGAAAATATAAAAAATTCAGTGATCCAGTGATAGTTTGTTGTGAACTGGGATATAGATTCATATTAATATATTTTATACAACAGTTTTTTATGATTATCACTCTGAAAAAGGCACTGTAGAAGCAGCTGCTGATCTTTTGAGAGTTCTTATTTTTTTAGAAAAAAAAAACTGCCTATCCAGAACAAGGTAGTAGGCATAAAGTAAACGATCTCTATAGCCCTGGCAGTGATAACATATACAATACTAATATTTCCTCAATATTGTCGCTCACAAAAAGCAAAACATTCTAACACATTTCAAATTTTAGCAACTACAACAAGATGACGAGGATGAGTTTGATGATGACACTTTACTACTGCATGAAGAAAGAGATGAATATGATGAATTGTTTGAACAAATGATGGAAGCCAATCTCAAATCAAAAAGAATGCAAATCGACGAGGACTTGGTAGAAGCTAGGTAAGGGGGTGTTCTTGGATTAAACGAAGCCTGATAAATCAAAAGATCAGTTAATAAAACTTGGATCATTTTATTAAATTTCCAAATATTTGACCAAAATCATTATTTACTCCTAATTTTTTGAACATATACCTATACTGTAAATTAGTTTTGCATAGGTGGGAACCATAACTCTGAAAAGCAGAAGAACTTTGTATACAGACTTCATGAATCTGAATAAAACATAGCTATTTAACTTATTCAGAAAAGAATTGGATGAAGCCAACTCAAATTTGACATCTGCTAAAGCTCAAGTTGAAATGTGGAGAAATAAAGTAGACAGAGGATGCATAGAACGACTCAAAAAATTTCAGAATCCACCTGTACTTGTTGCACAGGTATGATTGGGCAACAAACAGAATTACCTGTTATGTTATTATCATAATCCTGTTTTGATTATATCATTAGTTGCAAATGAGAGCAATTTTTTATAAGAACAACAACAACATTGTAAACAAGAACAATTGCTCTGTATTACATGTATTGGAAGTGTATGCTGTAAGTATATTGAAGCAAAATAGTATTGTTTTTTCAATCGCAAGTTTTAATGGAGCTAATGTTTTGAAGGAATTTAATTAAGCTTGATAGCAAACAAATACCTAATAATTTGTGCTTATTTTAAATGTTTTTTTTTCTAATTTCAGACGCATAATTTAGATAAATTCAAGGAATACTTCAATAATAGGTTATCAACCCACAGAATGAAAGAAACAAAATACTTCTGAAATCTTTAAAATATAATTACACAAATTTTATTTACTTTGCCTTCATTCAATATATACCCCAAATTTTTCTATTTTTTCCTAGGTTCTTGAAATGGTTATGGTTCTTGTGGGTGCCAATCCTTATTTAAGTACGAGACCCGATCAGCAATCACAAATGGGTACTCGGGGTTCAGAAACAAAGACTCCTAAAAACGGACGCAGAGAACACACCACTGAACCAGTGGAATCAAGAGTTTCATCGGGCAGTACGCTGCGAACAGCAAGAAAAGTAAAAGCAAAAGGAAGAAGGCAGAGCACATTTGGTAAAAGAACAAAGATAGAATTTTCATATATATCCTGGGGGAAAAAAGCCAATAAGACGACTCATGTCCTGTTACCTGCCCAGGAAGCCGTAACTGACCGGAAAACCAATTGCATCTAATTATCCCATCACCAACTCGATTCAAACCTGCGAAGGGTGCGATGGCTCGATCCATGATGTGCCAACCTTCCAGCCATAATATAATACGGTCTTATATGCTTTGTTTTCCTTTGACATAAATGTAAACTTATGGGTCAGTCTACCCCATTGACCTTGCAGTCTTGCTCGCCCCCCTTTCGTTTCGGATATAAATCATTATCTATCTATCTTGAAATCTATTATGACATTTAGAAAAAGTGAATTTTTACATATATACAATATATTATAAATTTGGGAATTGTTAATTGCATACTTATTCTATGCAGCGGCTTCGAATGCAAAATCAGAAGGTTTATCAGCAGCTGATAGAAATAAATGGAAGAGCATGCAAAATTTTATGAATGATACCGTCAGATTTGTTGAAATGATCCATGCGTGAGTATCAACAAATAAATTTTTAATCACAAATTTAAATGGTATAAAATAAAAAATGTATCCCGAAAATTGGGGATCAAATATTGTCTGTTATCATGCAGGGTGAACTGGGAAACTGGACTTGAACCATCTCTTCTTACTGAAGTTGAGTCTTATTTGAAGAAAGGCAAGGAGGGTCAAGAAGGGGTCACAGGTGAAGGGTCATTGCTTGAACATACAACTTCCGTTCAGGGACAACAAAGGAAACCTAACAGTAAGTTTCTAGTGGGTAAAGTGTTAGACTTTTCACTATGTTGGCATTGAATATCATGGGTTTACATACCCTGCCCCTCCCTCACCCAGAATAAATAAATTTAGTAAACATGGCCGAACTGGAAAAAAATGTTCTTTCCAAAAACTGTGGGTTCTTGTATATTAGTGGGAACAAAAACGTGGAAACATCATAAGAAAAAGTGTCAAATCATATATCCACCATTTATTGTCCATATTGGCTTAAAAACTATTAACTGAATGAATTAAATTTTTGATAAAATTGGACAAAAAATGTCAAGTATTTATTTTTCTTTCATTTAATTATTGGAAAATAATTATTAAATTGTTCTTATGCTATCTATGTTATCTTATCTCCTTATCAGTGACTGGAATAACAATATCATCAGCAAGATATAGTAGCGAAGACGCAGCCGTCCTGGTTGAGTTTGTAATCAGTATTGTTGAGTATACAAGGTATGTCAAATATAAGACATTTATTCAAGTGTATATGATAGGATTGACATATTTATCTTTGGAAGAGAAAAGCCAATATAACGGTTTAATCATGTTGCAAACTGCCTATTATTTAATCGGGAATCCATGTCAGATATAGGGATAATTAATCAGTTTATTGTTTCATATGCATGAACTAATGTAGTAGAGGAAGCCAAAACTGACCAGCGGTAGCATGATCCACCTAGTGGCGGCTGGCGATGAGCCCAGCAATAATATCACACGCAATTATCTTTTGGATTCTGGCATTGTAATCAGATGTGTTATGTCAAGAGTATTCCTAACACTTAGCACAATGCGTCTATCCGATTTAAATTCCAAATCAGCCAATTTTTATTTCAATTACTTAACTACCTATATTATATTCAGATTATGTGGACCGCTCAAATCAGCAACTGATAAAGTGAACGGTTTGGAAGCTGAACTGGAACAATTAAAACGATCTGAAATTGATGATCAAAAGGTAAAAATTTGATATGTTAACGTTTTTTTACCTATTAAAATGGACAATGAGATCTTATTTAGATTTCAAGTTGTAATAACAGTTCAAAGGTCATAACTCGAGTCTGAAATTAGCATGTATCTTCAGGGGTCAAAACCATATTTTCAAAATTTGAATTTGTCGGAAATGCAGAGTTTCAATGATGATAAAAGAAGTTAAAACTTACTCAGTACCTTACAATGACTTAATCTCAAAAAACATTAATTTTACTGAGCGATTTTTTCAAATTGTAATAACAATTCAAAGACCCTCATCAGAGTCTGGAATTAGCATTTATCCTCCGGGGTCGGAGCTGAGTTAAATATCAATTTTACTAAGTGTTGTTAACGAAGGTTTTAATGCACCAAAGTTTTTGTTATGTTTAGGAGATTGAGTCTATATTGTCTGTTGAGCCAACTATTTCAATGACATTCCCTATCGAATCTTTATTATTGGGTGTTGCTGCTCGATAACCATATTTGGTTCCTCGCGCATCGCCTTCCCCAGTTAAAATGTGTGATTATCCTTTTTCTTCATATTTTGTGTAAAACTGACTTTTTTACTTGTTGGAAAGACTAAAGTTGACTTGACTTTCTTCTTTGTTTAAATAGCCGCAAACAAAAAGTGACCAAGACAATGATACTGAATCTGATACAGTAAGTGACGCAGCCAGTGTTTTTAAGGAAACTAACATTGATGGACTGACAAAGGATGACGTGGAAAAAATAGCAGATTTAGTCAACGATTTACAAGAAAAGTAAGATATTCTTCACCATTTATTTTATCATCTGGCTATATCTACACTCAAAAAAGTGCTCTAAGTATTAGATAGTGTCCTACATCAGTGGTTCCCAACCGCCGGTCCACGAAATTCAATAGAACCATGTTTGACATGTATGACATCAAAAAGACAGAAGCTAATTTATCATTAAATTGAATTGTCTTCTTTTTAATTGCATACTTTTGTTGCAGTTACATTCGTTTAGACATGTTTGTCTTTCTGACATTTTGAATTGATTTTAAAGGTTCACCTGTCCGTAAAATTAGTTTTGAAATTCTACCGGTCCGCAGAAGGTTGTTGTACATGACAGAATAGTTGGTATTCCAGAATTTTGTCCTGCAATATATTCTGATTTTAAATAAAGTGACATATTGCACATCAAATTTTATTTTATCCTATACAATTTTACATGACAATATTATGCAAATAAATGAATAAAATGACATAAAAATAAAAGAGATTTTAGTTTCAAGCTTCAATTTTAAATTTTGTTCAAACCAATTTCTTTTGACCTATATTTAGTGTGTGGTGCATTAGTGGTTATTCCAACTCTTCTATCAGTACTTTTTACCATTTTTGTTGAAGGCTCTGAACCTTACTCCGAGCAAACCTATTAAAAATCCAATTTGATCAAATAAATAATTGTGAAAAAATTTAAATACATTTCTAGCCAATTGCAATAATCATTTGCCAAATTTTTTAATATTCTATAAAATTTTGCTTTTTTCAGATATGACAATGCGGTTGTAAGAAAACACCATTTGAGAACTGAACTTCAAACATCGAAAGAAAGATTGAGATCTGCATTAGCAACATTAGAAAGGTAGCCATTACAAAAATCCGTCCTTTTCATCCTGATTTCTCAATTCTAGTCAAACATTTATATCATAATATCACATTAGAATTGATTTGTTTACTCAAATCTTTGCTATCAAGAAAAGATTCACAGAGAGAAGAAATACTAGGACCATTTGTTTACGGATATGGATCTGAGCCAGTTCTGAGATGACCTAATTGATGATGACGCCTTCCATCTTTCTATTTTGCAATGATAACATTAGTCCTTATGTCATCATCTATTCAATTTTTTGTATTTTTTCCCAATTTTTCCTGTTGACGGTCAGTAGGTGCTGGAACCTACACCATTGTATGAAAAATATTCAAAAAAAGAAAATATGTGAATATTACCTATTTTTGAAAATCTATCCTATTTTTCAGCCTCAAGCCTCTTGAAAATGCATGGAAGAATGAATTGGATGAAAGCGTTACAGTTGAACAAGTTCTGACAAACTGCATTCTTGCCGCAGCATTTCAAACATATTGCGGAGGAATGACAATCGACGCAAGAAGACGTATGGTGTCGTTCTATACCCATGTTTGCAAACATTACGAACTTCCATTGCCACACAAGATGCTATTCACCAATTACAGGTAATAAGCTGATTTATGCTGGTAATTTATGATATATAAGGATTCACACACAACAGGGCCATGTACAAGCCAGTCATAGGGAGGGACCATATCATAGGAAGATAATAAACATATATTGGACAACTGCTTATTAACTACCAATTCTATTCAATGTGAGAGACATGTGTTCGACAATCCTTCTGCATATGAGTGTCCCTCAGAACAGCCATTGAAACTTCCTCTTCAACGATTGGCTTTAACAGTACATTACCCTTTATGTATTAACTTTAATTTTCCAGATTGCAGGAATTCATTTTTGAGCCTACAGAAGTTCAGTCAATTAGGATTAAAAAACTACCAACAGATAACCAATCTCTTGAAAACGCTTGTGTTCTGGCTGCGATGGAAAGCAATATGACATGGTGTTTGATTTGCGACCCAACAACCAAAATTGTTGATTGGATAAATGGATATTTCTCACCGGATATGAGCAAAGAAAATCATGATGATGTCCCAGAAGAACCGACGCCACATCTTGTACAAGTTTTGTACCGGGTAAGTGTTTATTTTTACAGAAATCTCCTTGAGAAAGATTTCAAACGTTTACTAGAAAATGATTTTTATTTGATGTTTACATGTCATAAAATATTAACACACCATCACATTATAAATATTCAGATCTCAATATTGACAAATTTTTTACAGTAGTCTGAATTATTTCTCATGGTATTTTCATGAAGCCTTCCACTTTTTCTTTGCATAAGACCATGAGTCACGTAGCCTAGAATCTTCGATTCCATCATGCGCTACACAATTTTTATGCCCTGGTAGAATATTATTTAAAGGGGGGGGGCTGTATTTTTTTTTCTTCATTTTTTATATATGTTCTTACACATTAATATCCTAACATTTTTTCTGTGTTCTCGTTATATCTTTCATGCAGGATCTACGTTCTCAATTTGAAACAAGTTTGAGTGAGGGACAAATTCTTCTTGTCACATACTGTGATGTTGAAGCACTCGCTCGTGATGATAGATTTCATCAGCTGTTCAGATGTAGATCAGCTTTCCTAAAAGGAAACACACCTTTCAAAATGATGGTAAATGATCAGGATAAAGCAATGTCTTATTTCAAAATAATCCGGCTTTCTGAAATTTGCTAACATATTACCTAAATAGTTCAATGATTCCTAATGAATAAAAATGGTTCATGGAGTCACCTTGCTGGACTTGAGGTCAAGCATTCTTTTACACATAATCATACCTACATGATTTTGATGTGCGAATCTAAGGTTGATAACTAACAATCAAATTGTTACCAATTCTAGAGACCCAACTTTTTATTCCCAAGTGTAAGGACTCATTGACGACTCAGCAATGTCTCCCTACCTTTATCTATTCATACAAGACAACACCTCATCTTATCATCTATTTCAGGTTGGTGATCATGAAGTTGAATGTAATCCAAATTTCCGAATGTTCCTTCACACCACGAGTTTACCACAACATGTTCCACCAGAACTTGCTGCCTATACTACTCTGTTGTACAACCAAACCACAAGAGATGGAATTAAAACTGAACTACTAGACAGGTAATTGGCTGATCACACCACTTTTAGTTTTAGTTTTATATGGTTCATGTTTTATGCTGAAAACCATTCACATGAACCACCATTGAGTTTATAACTAAAAACTCCAACCCTTCAATTTTTAATTAGTCATCAGAACTATAAGATTTTCTGCTCGATTACCAGCTGTGGGTCCTCACGGTCTTACCTTCATCGTTAAAACTGTGTTCCCTTTTGATCCTAATTTTTTAATTGACTCAACTTAAGTAAAAAACAGCTTAAAAAATTTAAACTCAACTAATTTTGAGTAATCAGTGATGCGGTGAGCAAGTTTTATCTATGAAATTCATCTCTCGTTATTATTTATCCTTTTTGGTGAGAGTATCTTTCAGTTTTATCTATTCCTATATTTTATCATTTTGATAAGATTTTGTTTACATATTCTAAGATTCATGAGGCATGAAAAGCCACGACTTCGAGATGAATGGACGAACATGCAGATCGAAAAGTCGAGAAATATGAAAGTTCTTGCAGAATTACAAAATCAACTGAAAGATATTTTGGTCGGTGGACATAGATTACTGAACGATTTGAATGTGACACACAAATTGACTGAGATTAAGAAAAACTATGATGACGCAATGGAAATGTAAGATAATAACTTGTTACAGAACTAAGCTACCTAATTAACTGAAATGTTCAGTTGAATCTATATGCTAAACAAGACTCATATAGGAGATTTCTAACTTGTAACATAGACAATATTTCATTCAGTACTTTTTTTTAAATAACCTGAAACAAGGGTATATACAAACAGCAACTTATGCGCAGGAATATTGAGCAAAATCATTTTCGCTTTGACTTGGCGCACCTAATTTAATTATATCCTGGTAGAGGTGGGATAGGATTCACATATTTATCCCGGGAGAAAGGTAAGCTTATAGGACGGCTTAATCTAATGGCGAACCACAGCCTATCGTCCTGTTATCAGTCCATGTCGGGTATGGAATTAGTTAGCCAGTTATTTGTTTTTATTCGGAAGCATGTACCTGATGGTTGAGGAAGCCATAATCCGCCAGCGGTTACGTGAACCACCCTACGGCAGCAAGGTGTCCAGCAAACCTCTTGCACATAATTAACCCTGCATGAGTTTCACACCTGCGGCCCCCAGCAGGGAAGTGTGGTGATGAGCGTACTCCTAACGCTTAGCACAATGCCCCACACCGCCGAGCCATGCGTTGGCTTATGAACTAACCAAAGCAGAAAATAAAGCTGTGACACTTGATTGGCATGTCACTAAGCATTATTCAAACATTTTTAATCTGATATTTTATTTCAAAACTAATTGAAGTTGTTAATTTTGATAATGATATATTGCTACATGTTGGCTATTGGTAAAATTAGTACCAATCTGAAAAAATGTAATTCAGTCAAACAATTGATTTCAATTACTTAACCTATTTACCAAAATTATAATAAATTTTTTGCAGGAATTGAGTATATGGAAGTTCGAACTAATTGAAATAATTTCATTATCTTTTTTAGTTTCTCAGAATTTTGTTTGAGTTCTTGTTTTAAACCAATTTAAATCTGACTCAATTCTAACTTAGAATGACAATTTTCTGTTCTATTCCAGGCAAACAAAGATCGCAAATGCAGAGGAATCAATTGAACGAGCGAAGGAAGGCTTCACTGAAATTGCAATTCGTGGATCCGTTCTTTATCAAACTGTAACGAGCATGTCAATTGTCAATCCACTGTATTATACAAGCTGGCAGAGATTCTTGGGGTTCGCGAATAATTTGTAAAAAATTTCCATTATACAGCAATAAACCAATGATTTTCAAGTGCTAATATTCTGCCAAATTTGAATTTTTCAGATTGTATGATGAAAACATTCGTCAATCAGAGAGATCATCATTGAAAGCTGTCTGCAACCAAATGACTTACAATATCTTTTCTACGATTTCTAAATCATTACTGGAGAAGGATCGACATATATTTAGTCTGATGACGGCATTAGAAGTTGAAGATTCTTTAGGTCAGTAGAAAATTGTTGCATTGATGTAATTGTATTGTTTTATCCAAAAAAATTAGAATATATAATATGAGAGAAATTTCCATAATATAGACATTGAAAAAAAAAATTTTTATATGAAGCGTATTCACACCTTTCGCCTTCAACAATGTGAATTTGAAAATCTTATATTATCCTTAGTCAAACCTAATTTTTGTTTAAAGGAAATGTCAACATTGGCGAACGAGAATACTTAATTGCTCCATCGTATGGAGGAGCCTTGATGTCGGCATTAGGACATCATCCATCGGAAACAAGATCACAAGCGAAAAAGATATTTGATTGGATGAGTGAAGAACAATTTCATAACGTTCAGGTAAAATGATACTTCTGGTTGGAAGGAATTTGTCTTTTTGAATAATGTAAATGATTTATATATGTATTCTATCAAAAATTTAACACTTTCAATAAAATCGTAATTCATGTGAATCGAATAAATTGAAATATATCGTAATTTTATTACTTATTGCAAACCTTGTTAGAAAAAGTAGAATCATAAGTCTCAAGTCACAAATTATCCGTGTCTGGAGTCGAGTCAATCGCTGAGTTAAGTCTCACTGGAGTTTAATTGAGTATGAGTCCAGGTTATTTTATTTCAATAACACGGGTCACTTCGAGTTTTTGATAGATAGTGACTCCAGTCCAACTTTAGCTAATTTGATGAATAGAGGCATCCCAGCACTGTATGTTGCCAAAACTGAATGTGATAAATTTGCGAAAATAGACAATTCTTACAAAACGAAAACATAGTTCACATTACCGATAATATTTTTTTGGAACTACCGTAGGTGTTGGGAATGTACTATGATTGGTTCTACGACTCCTTTGATCGAATGCCGAAAGAAGGACGTGAAATGCAATGGAGGGTTTTATGCGAGGCTGATTCACCAGAACAAACCAACAAGAACAGATTGCCTGATAATGCTGATACTCATTACACACCTCTTCAGAGATTACTGGTGATAAGGTAAATTATTGTAACTTTTATCTCCTAAATTTTAGAGTTCAGTTTTTTCTTTGCTATGATGCTAGTAGATTTGTGAGAATGGTAATTTTTATTAGTTAAGGTTTCTGTATGTTAAACACACACTGGCGTAATTAATATAATACAATAACAGGGCTTTGGAGGTCGACATATTCTTTTACGATAGGATATTCTTATAAAGAGAGAGGAAAGTCATTGAGATGGCCTAATCATATGGCTATCCATAGCATGGGAATTGTTGATTAGTTATTTATTTCCCTATGATGGTGATGAGTCCAGCAATCCTATCGCACATGATTCGAACCTGCGAAGCCACGCAGTGTAAACTGAAGAGCAATGGCAAGCATATTCTTAATGACAACCGCCTAGTATAGATAACTCCTAAGTGCCTGTATCTGTCGACCCAAAAAACTTGGTAACCATTTATATCTGTAGAAAGCACTAATTTCAGTAATAGATTTAGTTTTATTTTTTACTTTCTCCATTTTCAAACATATTTTTCTATTTCAGAGGGATTCGTTCGGATCGTATCGTGCAAGCTTCCACAGAATTTGTAATATCTGTTCTTGGTAAAAAATACATAAGAGATGAACCTCCTGATATTGCGACTGCTGTACGGCAAAGTGATCCAAACACCCCTATAATACTATTGTTCACAAATGGTGAGAAATATTTATTATTATTTCAACTGATTGTACTATTCTTTCTTTCAAAAATAAAAAGATTACCGGTATTCAACACAGCATAGAAATTTTGAAAAGTCTTCTGTGGTCGCCTTCACAATTTTACTTCGAACAAGGCTGTTGATTACGTAACAGACTCTTTACCGTGCTTCTCAACTTTTTTCTTTCGTGGCCCACATTTGTTGCACAAAAAATTCTGTGGCGCATTAACTTTCTCATGTAAGGAAAAAAAAAATAAAAATTTATTTTTTTAGGATGGACAACACACTTTTATAATCAAAATATTAAAATGAGAATGAACACACTGCAGCAAAAATAGCATTATCATTCATTGCTGCTACAATCAAAGTTTAACTAATCTATCAATATTTCATTGGGCTTGTGGCCCATCTGAAAATGTTTCTGTAGCCTAGAAGTAGGCATGGCCCACTGGTTGAGAACCAGTTGGCTAGTAATTTTAGAAGAAACCTGATTTTTCTGGTTCGGCAGGTTTCAACCAATTTATTACACCCTGGGATTCGTTTTCTTAGAATTATTCTTTTTCTCAGAAAACAACTCTATACATGACTACATGAAAAAACAAGTTGAATCAAACAATGAAATCAAATTACAAGTGATTGAATTCGTGGGCGAAGGATCATCAGAAGAAAAGAAAGTTCGAACTGGACTTTCTAATGCAATGGATAATGTGAGTATCTAACATGAAATACAATGACCTTCGACATACAAAAAAGTCGTCGTCCAAACTTGTGTCACAGAAAGAACAATTCGAATTTGTTAATTACCACACTTTTATTTAACATAGGCTTTCTAGTAATTTCAAGAATTGAGCTTATTACATGCGTTGTTCACTTCGCACAAGCCAACTGTTAGGGCATTGTAACATCATAGGCATAGATAATAAATCGGACTCAGGTATAAGCTTGCAATGCAAAAGGATTGGAATTACCTGCACATCCAGATTAAACTAAAGCAAAACTAGTTTACAGAGCATTGGGAAGAATTATGCTGGTGTCATAGTTCAAAAATCTCTCAGGAAAATTCCAGTTCAGCTCTATCTGTATCAATGCTTGCACAGAGCCTTGGAATGTGGATGAGAGAACACTTTTTAAGAAAATTGTATCGTTATAATGCTTTTATGCCTGAACTAAACTGCTAACTAATTATATGAGAGGATTTGTAACAAAACCTTTTTGTTGTCTCGTACCATTACTAATTTGAACTTCATAAAAATGTTAAAAAAATCAGTTTTGTTAAAAAATTGCCTTACATTAATATTGTTTCAATCTATTTCAAGGGAACGTGGCTACTTTTGCACAATGTCCAACTTAACAAGAATCTTCTAAACACCGTTTATTCGATTGTATCACAAAGTAACAACAATGCATCATCACTTACGAGTCACGGATCAAGCAGAGACGCTCATGCAAACTTCCGATTGTTTCTATCTTGTTCAGCAAGAGCCAATGCTCTTCCTGACCCATTGCTACATACATCTATAAAGCTTGTGATTGATCACCCCAAGGTAATGTTATATAAAAACATTTTATTAATATTGTATGAGGTATGGATTTTCATACGATTCGGTCGCCTTATATGCTTTGATCTCCATCAGAATATAACTTTTTTCTTGTGCTGTGTTAAAATTTTTGTTTGGTCTTGTTAGTTCCCAGTTATCAAAATAATATTGGATAAAGTCATTTATACAGAAAATCTATTTGTTGATTTTGAGTCAAAAAACTAGCTTATAAAATATTTTGTGGTGTATGTACTTGCTATTTTTGTATTTATCTCGTGGGAGGGGAAAGCTGACGAGATGTTTAAGTCATATGATGTACCCCATTTTTTTGTTTTCGATGAGGTAAATACCTTCCTATATTTTCGTACTCGTGAGAAAGAGTGGATGACTTTTTTCTATTACGAGCTTTTCTTCTACGTGCAAACAAGCACATGCCTCTTTTATTCCACAACTATTTGCAAAAATTTTACTTGTTTTTATGCTTGTTTTTTCAATTTTCCATAATTTCTAGTCTAAATAAACTTCTCCTCTATCTAGGGAATGAAAGACAATCTGCTTCGATTTTTCTCCACCGTTGTCGATGCAGACATCTTCACCGCTTCCACTCGGCCTGAATATCTTCCTTGTTTACACAACATATGTTTACTGCATGGTGCAGTAAGTCTACGATCAAAGTTTCCAATCAATGTAGGATGGCAGGATCCACATGCATTCAAGGACATTAATATTGAACAACTAAAGGTAACTTTGTTATCTGTTTAAAATATACCGGTAACTTTCATGCTCTAGAAGTATGTGTACCAATATGAAAGTAACTAATTTTGTTCGCCTATTTTACATCGAGTTGTGTAAAGGGACTGAAACCTATTTACCCCGGTAACACAAACAGTCTTCACAATAGAACTAAAATAAGGAAAACAGGACAAAACTATGGCCTAAGCCTAACCTGGTACACACACTACTGGATTACCCTTTTATCTCAACTTCTTCATAAGTTTATTCTATTATGATAAAGTGGCCCCAAATTAGGGATGGGACGAGTCCGGCATTACAGAGATTCGACGAATCCGAGTAATAAGTCAAGGTCTTGAATCGAATCTGCCGAGTCCGTGACGTCACGATGGAAAAGCAGAAACGTGTTTTTGACCAAGCTACAGCAATGTGTGCTCACAAACATACGTTGTAGCTCATGTTACTTGCCTAATGGTTCCACAGGTAGCTGTTGAATCATTTCAAAAATATACTTTTCCTCTTTTTGGCGACCATAATACAAACGTAAACATGGGTCAATATGCGCCTTGGTTGTGAACTGCATTTCCAGCCCACCATCCACTGTTAATTCTAGGCGGCTATTTCGAAATTCTTACATGTCAATATGAAAAATAAAAAGCTTTTGACTACAATGCATCTACATAATTCCCGTCCCGTGCGCAAATGATGTCCCGTGCGCAAATGATAGATGCCACTCGTGGTACATCTGCTTGCAATTTAGTAGTTCATGTAAAAATGCTAAAATTCTCCATGTTTTCCATTGCTCCCGTTTTAAGAAAAAGATTGCACCTAAAAGATCGATTTAAAATAGGTATTAATAAATTTCGCCTTGGGTTGATCCAGGGCTTGTTTCACCTTTATTCTTTACGCGAATCGAAGACTCAAAAAATATTGCGCTAACACATATCTTTTTATTCATGTGTAAACCCCAAAAAGTTTTGAGGGCGACTGGCAGCGACAGGGAGAGAGAAAAAGACATCACTGTTATAGGCGATCAATAGTCCTTAACATGCGTTATATTATCTGGATATCTGTCGTCATTTTTAGGAGTGTTTAATATACACACGGGGGATATTGTTACAGATCTAACCTTGAATTTTAACCAGTTGGGGTATATCTATTGAGATTTATGAAGGTAAAAGTACAAACACAGGCGTAAATGAGATAAAAATAAATGGCGTAAATTAAATCCACGCCCGGATCCGAATCCTGGCCCATCCCTACCCCAAATATTACTGTCAATATATTTTGAGTGCACATAAATGCACTATTTGAGAAATTGATTGTAATAGCCAATCTGTGAGTCGAGTTGTCTTAGTTGAGATATCTGAGTGGTAATGTTTGGTCTAGTAGAACATGTGAATCAATCATTTCTTTTTGTTCGTAAAGTTATATTAATTTATTCTTATTGGAAACCATTTCTAGATGTCTCTTGATGCAGTTCAGAGAGAATTTACAGACATGATGGTTGGTGGATCATCAGAAGTTGCATCAAGTACAAATGCTATGATCAAGAACATTTCATGGTCTGGTTTGAGGTGAGCTGACTTATTTAAAAGTGTTGGAAAATGATGAAGTTTGTTATATTTTAATTAATACCAGATTTTAAGAGAAGTTTATACACTTCCGAGCTGAACAAACCTCTAGCCAATCGGCTGTTAATACAGAAGAATCTAATATGTTTTTGCGGATGGAATTTTCTGTTTTGACATTACTCCCTCAATTTTATTACACTCTAGCTCAGTGGTTCTCAAACTTTTTAAGCCGCACCTTTAGATTTAGAGTCTCCCGCCTCAAAAGTAACAATAAGCTACAAATAACAGATAGTGAGGCGAAAAGATGTTTTATCTAAAAAACTCGTTGAAAATACGTGGATGGGATGCAAATATCCAAAATAAAGTAAATATCAAAAATAGGGCGGGTTAGATAAAATCTAAAAGATTTTTAGAAAAAGATAAATTTTATTTTTAGCATCACGCCCCTTAAAAAAATTATCTACGCCTCCATATGTAGGGCACACCCGCTTGTTTGAGAACCATTGCCCTAGCTGATGTGATGGGCAAGGGGTTCAAAAGAATGATTTTCAACCATCGACGCCGACACTATAGTCTTTCACACTCACTTTTGACACAATTCTATACTTTTTCAGATATCAAATCGCTGAACTCACTTATGGCAACTATGTTACAAATGCAAATGATCAACAAAGTTTGAATTGTCTCGTTGATTACTGGCTTGCTTCTAACTCTGTAAAAAGGGAATTTGAATTACCTAAAGGTTTGTCATTTATATTAAATCAATTTTTTGTCTTTCTCATCAAATTTTTCAATTCAATTGTTCACTGGTTCACGTAATCCCTCTGTTATTTTCCTGATTTTATTGACTTAAACTTTGCTGGCACGTTGCACCGCCATAATCTGTATAGTTTCAGTAGCCTTTGTAGTTCTATTCAGCAGCTAATAAACTTGCCATATCGTCAATATTTTATTTGTGCAGTGAGGTATAGACTTCCAGCAGTCTTTTTCACTGCAAACACAAAGCAAACATCAGTGAGTCAAGCATTGGAATCATCTCCTCATCATTCATTGGATTGTCCTGAAGGCTGCAACTTACATCCATCACCTGAAGGTGTCGTTGGAAATGATCAGTATATTTTTACAAGGTACGAACAGAATATTACAATTTATTCAGAAGGGCGTATAAGAAAACAGTAATGTCACTATCATAGGGTTAGTTTGAATAGAATTTTCATATTCATCCCAGTAGGAGGAGGAAAGGTGATAAAAAGGATTAATCATATGGTGAACCCATGCCTATCGTTCGGTTATCAGCATATGTCGAGTATTGGAATAGGTAATATTTAGGTATTTGTTTCAAACAATGGATTTGTAGTTAAGTTATATATGATATACCAGCAGATACATGAACGACAATGAGAAGTCCAGCAGTTTCTGGTATTAAATAAGTCCTTCGTACAAAATCAGAACCTGCCTACCTGCACAGGGTTATCAGATTTACAATGGTTAGTGTGTTCCTGATGCCGAGCACAATTTACCAACTGCAGAGCACTTTATGGAGCATAATTGGTTATCATTCATGTATAACACTCTTTGATTAGGAGAAGTCCAGCAATCCTCTCACGCATATTTATGTTTTACATAACTCAAACTTACCCACCTTGTATGAGATATTCAGCAGTGAGATGAGAACATGGTACCAACTGTTGACATCACTGTTCAAGCAACTTTTTTTTGTATAACTTTTAAATATATTTGATTCGTATTTTATATTTAGTAATGGGCGATAGAACAAAATATTACGATTGTCATTTCCTTTTTTATGCATCAAGAAAGGCTCCAATATTTTAGACATAAAGTAAAAATAAAAATTGAATGTTTTTTTTTCAATTTGTGTTTCAATCTCAATTCTAGAAATGACACGAGAACAATCTACTATACAACTAACTTTTTCAATTTTCAGTTAAATTCTCATAACATCTCATTCAGACTGAACCAGATTTATGACGCGCAACCTGAGTCAAAGACATTATCGCACAAATTATATCCTCAACCTCCAACCTCTCTGCTTGGGCCTCATCATACAAGCATCAGTTCAAGCAGCAGTCATCCATGGATAATACACAGGTGGGAAAAAATGTTTGTTATGATTTTTTATATGCTGAAAATATCTAAAATGATATACCAATAGTTCCATTATTTGTTCAATCTTTAACCCTGCTAAAACGCTTAAAAACAGTGAAAAACAGTCTAAAAACACCAAGAACCCTGATAAAACGCTTAAAAACAGTGAAAAACCGTCATAAAGTTGATACCTTCCGACACGAAAAACAAGCCGGTAAACCGGCTTGCCGGGGCACAGAGCGTACTCAAACAAGCCGGTAAACCGGCTTGCCGGGTTCAAGAGGTTAATGGAACCTTATCCACTGTTACGTAAACCCCTACTTCTGAATAGTTTATAGCGTATTGCACTAACGCTGAAAGAAAAAAATATATTGGTAGGACTACACCAAATACAAAGTAATATTTCTATATTTAATATCCAAAAACAACAAATCTTCACTGAGATGGAACTCCTCCCCAATTGAGAATTGTGCATAACCTCATTTCTTAACCTGGGGTAAATTTACCCCTGGGGGTAGACGGGGTATAAGCAAGAAAGAGAGAGCGACTTCGCATCTAAATTCAGAGCTATTTATACTTTACCTGATGAATTTTTAATATCAGATGTATTGGGGGTAAGTCTTGTAACCTTGTTTGATAAAGGGGTAAATTATTCAAAAAAGGTTAAGAACCACTGGAACCCATACTTGGTTGGCCCAGAACACCCTGCATTTGAGTTGCAACTTATATGGATCTTTTTCTGAGCAACTTATTAAAGGAAATTCTACCGTTTTGTTTACAGGGGTGTGTTTGCCACTCATGTTCAAGCTCTACTGAAAAATAGAAAGGAAATTGAATTATGGGAAATCTGCTACAATGCATTATCAAAGATACCAAAGACTTGGAATCGAGTAAGTATCAGATATTATTGTTGTAACTTAGTATGTTGTAAAAATTTCAGTTAAATTTACAAATTTATTCTACAGGATTATCTCGCTGAAAGAATAAAAAAGATTGGAGGTCAGACAACTTTCAACTTGTTTTTACATAAAGAAATGGAAAAAATGAATTACTTGCTTCTGGAAATAAAAAGGTGGAATTCTCATTTGGATCTCATTTATTGTCATAATAAAATTATATGAATACAATTTCTAAACTGTATGTTGGGACGCCGGACTCCTCAATGTTATAGGGCGATTCATGTAACTGCCAAATTACATTCATTGACCTGAAACACTAAACTTGTAGTCAGCCATATGAGAGATGAATGTTGCCGTATCACTTCTCAGTTATAAAATAAATATGAAAAGTCCAGGTATCTTGGTGATTAAAACTATATATTTATGTGCCGTCAAAGAATTTTTCTATATAGAGACTGTACAAAAGTTAACATAATGGGGGGAAAACAGGATTATTTTTACGATAAATTGATAAAGCCTCACCAATTTACTTTGTATTGATCAAAGCCCAAGCGAAGTTTATTGCCATTTTCACAATTTGGGATGAATATTCTATAATGTTTTTATGAAATTAGTCCATGATTTGTTGGCTTATCAATCAACATTCACGATTAAAAATTAATTTTTTACATAATTTTTTATACATTTTGTAGGAGTCTGACTTCAGTGAAGAATGCTGTTGAGACTCTCGACCACATTGGAGATCACATGACTCCAGCTGATGTTGAGACGTCAGATTATCTTTACTATGGTAAAATACCTCAACGATGGATGGAACTCGCTGGGGAAACTGCACCTCCCGATTCAACTTCACTCACTGCATGGTTGAATGATTTAGGACAACGTTCAGCGCACTTAGAGAGAATTTTAATGCTCGTACGTACAATTTTATCAAACACAGTTTTTTTTGGAAATTGATTTGACAACAGCAATACATTTCAATATGAGGTTATGGACCAAGTTGTTGTCTGAGCAGACTAAGCAAAAATAAATTATTCTCGGTAAAATAAATATGTTTTATAATTCCAAATATCATCAAACAGTGCTGTTTGATTAAAATATATCTTGTTTTGTATGAAGAAGTCAGGTCTCGGATTTATGGAAGATTATATTATATCTTTCATTTTTGTGATTTGAGATATATTAGTTTTGTTCTTCGTAAAAGGTGTTAACAAATATAGAAGACAGGCAATTAATTCATCACACATTTATAATGACTCGCTTATACACAATTTTGAAGCACAATTTTGAATTTGTGGACCCAGTTATGGGTCCACAAAATGCAAGCAAACGGTTTTGCATCGCAACCAAATTGTGATTAAGCAAAAATGCTGTACCATTATTTTATCTACGAGTATTTACTGATAAGAAACTTATTGGTGATATTCCATGTGAATAATTATATATTTTTAGATTAAAATTCACCTAGTCGTATTATATTTTCAGGGAAGAGACAAGGTAGCAGCATACTGGCTCGGAGCATTTTTCAATCCCCATGCATTGATGTCAATTTTTAAACAAGAAGCCGTCAAGAACCATCTAGAAAAATACGGAAGTGTCGATAACATTGTTGTACAAACTGAAATCACTCAACGAGATAAAGACCATGTAGGTTTTATTTAATGAATTAGTATTTATAATTAGTTGTTAGAATGTGATTGTCAGTTTCTTTAACTATTTGAATACTTTTAATGTTCAAAATAACTTCAATTGGCATTGTGAACCATTTTTCAAACATTTTACTTGACTTAGGTAGTTTGGTGTCTTGGCTTGATTTGAGACATGATATGATCATGGTCTTAATCATTCAATGTTGGACCCAAAATGACTTGTCTATTCTTGTTTTAAGCAAGTCGCAATTTAGACTCAATAGCAGATTACTTGTTTCGAAACATAGCCACTCTAGAGCAGAAGGTAAATGAAGCCCATTGGTATCAGCAAAACGATGTAATATGCTGATGATTCGACTTCCATACTGAAAAACTTCATTGGGGCATGAAGTTTTGCTAACAACGGTAGTTCTTCATTTATCCTCGGCATGAATATACCTGATGGCAATCATGCGCTATAGCCACCCTAAGATTTAGTTTCAAAAACGTAACTAGACTGTTGAACAAAATCCTGTCGGTGATAACAAACAAAATCCTGTTTGTTAATATCAGTTGTTATGATATTAACAAATATTTTAATTGTAGCTTCGTGACCCACCTTCTGAGGGCATTTTCATCCATGGTGTCTACTTATGGGGAAGTACATGGGAGAAAACAACTGGTGAAATGCAAGATTCACCACCAAAACGTGGTCCAACAGGACTTCCTGTTATCCATGTTACTTTTGTTATGGAATCAACAAAACTTGGAACAACAAATGACCTTACCAGGTAACAGAGAAAGAAATTTTTCTTGTAGTGTTATTAGTAGGAGATTGCTTGTACTATTCGCTAGGAAAGCATCAAATATAGGAAAAAATATAGCTTGATGCTCGTGCATCTAGAACAGGGGTGGGCAAGGTTTTTGGACCAGGGGCCAACAATTTTGCCCACCTAGACTGGCGGGCCATGTAAGTGTAGCGTAAAAAGTTACATTTTATAAACAATATTTACAGTGTTACAAGAGCAAAAGTAGAAAACAATAAACCTTGTGCCAAAAATAAATTTAATTGCTATCTCAACAAATTTCTTGAGCTTTTTTTAGCTGAGACGTCAAAATTTGGCTTAGTTCGGTTGTGGCAGCATCAGGCCGGTCCCATTGAATTACCCAACGAGCCAGATTTGGCCCACGAGCTGTAGTTTGCCCATGTAACATCTAGCATGTTAAACTCATCAGCTATTCTCATACCCAAACCAATCAGGGGCAACAGTTTGCCCTATAATTAAGATTAGTTGTTGGCTTTCTTCTTTTTCATATAAGTATGGTATTTTATATGAATTACAACTCCACAACAAATTTTTCAACTTGAAATATTATTGTATAAGTTTATGACCTGTTTCATGCATCTATAAACTGGAATGGTTGGTATTTCCATACATTATGGTGACAGGTAAACAGACTCAATTGAACTAGGTTATCGACTTCGCCATGGGAATGAATAGGGAAATTTTATTCAGTGTTGACTAGTTTGTTGATAGACAGGAACCACTTGTTTGTTTCATTAATCAAATAGTTCCATAACAAGTTTCACCATTGGGTGAGAGTAAATGTACACTTTTCGCTCTCCCCAATTTACAAATTTCTCAAAATAGTTTTATTCAATTTTTTTGCAGACCGATTGATTATTACTCATGTCCAGTTTTCGTTACAACGACAAGCAAAAGAAAATCTGTCTTTGACCTTGACGTATCAAGAGATTCCATACCTTCCTCACGATGGGCATTGAGAGGTCTTACAGCCACTGTTAGACAATATTGAAATAAGAGTTTTGTTTTGCAGAATATTATTTCACGAATGAGCTGTAGTTTGTATATATGAGCGTGACACTATTATAAAGTGTGTGTTCACTTTTACTTCACACAAGAACTAAATTTCTAGCAACTCGAAATTTTACCTTGAATTTGTACATATTTCCTCACTGTCACCCTTTAAAACGCAAGCAGATGTTCAGCTCTGCATATGCGATTGTTCAGGAAATTTTCGTTTGACATTTTTGAAAAAGATCAAAGTATAACCCAAGGTTCCGCTGTAGGTCTTCGTATATTTTTTATCTATTCTTATTTATGTGTATATAATAATCAGAAAATCAACTTTTTACCTTACCTTATTAGCAGTTAGAACAAGTCATTTCCATTTCCATCCAAATGTTAACTATGAAATATTTTTAAACAACATTTTTTCATTAGAAATTCATTTTACCTAGCTATTCATACCTGTTTTGTCCATCCATCACTGTTTTTATTTTCTACATTAGTGGCAAATTACGCTCATGAGATCACCTAGATTTTTATTTATTTTTGTGTCTGTTAAAATTTGTTACCTAACATCATTATCACTGTACCATACCTGAACCAAAGATAAAATAAGTATTCATATGTTCGGCTATACATGGTCACTTGATTGACCCTGTTCCAATTATAAATTGGTTTGCAACTAGCAAGAGCTAACCATTACCTTGTATGTTACCTATTTTCTATATTCCTTGTGTCTTTGATTTATCACTGTTACATTTTTAGACGGCTTCCATTTACGATCATGTGTTCTTTAGTATAATCTCAGATTGATCGGCATTTTTTAGATTTTTTTTTGCAAATGGCTCATTCCATGTAGATTTTATTTTTCAAATAAATAAAATATTCGAATAAAAAGATTATTTTGAACAAAGTATGAAATCAAATCGAGAAATTTAGGAAAACAATGTGCGTTAACAGAGAGTTAGGATTTCATGTTTAACCCTGCGAGGAGAAAAGCGTCGTTTGGCGAGGAACAAATGAAAGGCTCTCCTGCGTTATGTACATCTAAGGAAGTAATAGGCGGGAAGACTGTAATTCGTCAGCACTTACCCACGATAAAAGTTCTACTCATATGTGACAGCCCTCTGCGGAATTCAATTTAGTGCGCAGGAGGTATCTTTCGTCCAGCCAAAAATGGGGCTAGAAATAGCGTGATTCCAATAGGATTACCCATCGAAAACACAACCTAAACTTCACTGGTGATACGTCCAATTTATCCACCCAAAATTATAGTTTCCTAGGCGTTTTTTGATACAATATTTTAACAAGGCTTATTACAAACCACTTTGTGAGAGCCAATTTAAAAGCGAAAACTCGAGTTAATGATAATAATCGTCTATACTAATTGTACTATGTCAGTGTATCCAAGGTTTTACAGAGGCACGAGGAAATGATTCACTAGGCACCATGACTATATTATTGGACTAAGTAAATAAACTGTGATTGGTCGAATTATTTGACGCGAATGCCTTTATTTTTTACGTTTGTTAAATTTTATATTGGATCCCGTTGGATTCGAATCAGAGACCCAGATCAGACTAAGCCGCAGTTTGATGGACAAAACGTCATTATTTCCACGATATCACTGCTGCATTTTGCAGCAAAGCTATGAACCCTTGTCACCCTATTTAACTGCTAAACCGTGGGCTATTTTTATGCAGCAATTTATATATAATGGTCTCTTTCTATATCCTGAAAATGACATAATGATAACAGAACCCGCTTATTATCGCATTATGAAGGACAAAAAAGATCATTGTGCAGTTTTGGTATAATCGTCCATATCGCGAAAATTGGCCTGAAATTGCCGACCAAATTTGTACGCCTAGCGGGTAAATTAAGTTTGCAAACCCGATACAATCATTTAATTATGATACAAGGCTTTTTCCAAATTGTATAACAACAGCATCTGGATTTAAAGTAAAGTTAGGGAAACTATTGCGACCCTCACAATAACACGGAGCAGGGAAAACCATGAAACATTTTTCAAATTAAGTGAAAGACGTAGCTTAAATCTGGAAGCCAGCTAATTTCAAAAATCAGAAGCAATGCATTAATTTCTTGTGAGCTAACAGTTTGTTTGCAAGTGCAGTAGAAGAAAATGAGAAATAATATGATACATACATGATATGGTTTTGCGGTACCAATATCAGTATAAACTTAAATGTTTACATTTCAGTTAATATATGAGGTTTGGGAAGATCATACAAATTCTACAGCTTGGCTTAGGTTGAAGGCAGGTTACATAATATGTAATTTCTCCTTTTTTGTCACTGCTGCTGTTTGGTACATCACACCTTTCCCACGAAATGGGAAACAATACCGATTGGGTCATCGGAAGTATTTTCGTCATTTGTGATATTTTGAACTCCTAACAACCACAAAGGTCCGCCACGGTTGATTTAAGCTCAAGTAGCGAATCGGTGCGGCAAACATCTGAGAAAGTTTGGATAATTTTTCACTTTTGCTGACTAAATTATCGTTAATTTGACAAGTTGGGGTAACGGGTTTAGAATAATAATAACAAACGCAGAACAATCCTCTCAGTGTAAACACAATGTCACTGTTGGATGTGAAATCAGCGAACCAGGCTATTTGTATTGTAGAATTCCACACGATGGTGACAATTTAACAGTCCATTTCAGGACGTGTGTTTACGCCAAACTAGAATCTAGCTTGTAAAACCAGTTTGGTAGCTTTGTAGTTTTAGCACCATACTTTTTCAGCACCATTAAGTAAGAAATTACATCGGGTAGTTGTTAAGTGAATATCTTTAGTATGTATTAATAGAGACGTTTTATTTAACGTCTGAAAGGAATACACAAAATATGGATATATGTTTCATGTACCTAACTTCTATATCTCTTTTGCTGATTATGGACATGACTGAAGGTGCGTAACATGAAGTTTTATTTTAAATATATATATATATATATATATGACAAATAATTACCACCGGTATAATGGCGAATTGAATCTATTACTGGCGTACTCGTTTCAGGCTGTTTAACGGGCTTGATGATGCACATATATCAGAACCTAAATAATAAGTGTTAAACAGAAAATTATATTTTAGTGAGATGTCCCATATCGAGACCAATGATATAGTCAAACTATCATTTGAACGAAAACGTATCTACTTGTTAATGGATGTTGAATAAATATGAAATCTTTTATTCAATAGTTGTTTTTCTTTTAAGCCGTTCCATGCGGAGATCCGGGAAGAATAATTCATGGAAACGCAAAATTCCTAAAGAATGGAATGCTTGTGCAATTTTTCTGTGACCCGGGTTATCAAACGATGGGTCCTCCAATGCTGTCATGTTCCAGAGGGAAATGGCGAGGAAAGAAACCTGTTTGTGTCGGTTAGTTCTTACTGCCACCTTTTCTTTACCTTGTTATATTATGCATAATTGACAACTTATTCGTTGGTGTTTCTATGAAAAAGCTGTAGCGGTCTGTGTTGCATGGTTTACCGCTTAGTTTTCAATTAAAAAGATATATATATATATCGAAAACGGAGGAGCGATACTTCGAGTACTTTGTTTGAAAAAGGAATCGCATTAAGTACAAACTACTATGACAGACCCTGTTATTTATTCCGCATTGTGGATTTTTTTGTAGTTCCAGCAACTTCGTTTTGTACTCGACGGAAAGTTTGGGTTTTTTTGTACAAAGCCCTCGCCACTAATGCAAAAATGCGAGATAACAAATTAGTGATTATCCAGTTGGGGTGAGGGTTGGAAATATGAATTGCCAGCGCAATCTGCATTCCCACCCCTAACTGGATAATCACTCGGTTTGATAGCTGGCGGGGTGTTATTTGGCGAGGGCTTTGTACATAAGATCCTAAGTTTGTACCTGTCTTCAATAAGAATTCAAATTTGTCTACAACAAAACTTTCTGCTTGTTCCACTATATATATATATTCACCTGAAATATCCCACGTTCAAACATTAATTGTGTTAAGCCAAGTTAGTTACCTTATATGAATTAGAAAAAATACTATTGATATTTTCTAGCTCCAGGATGTCCCCCATATGTTCAGCCATTAAATTCAATGAAATACGAAAAAATGAAGGGTGCCGTTGTTCGATACCAGTGTCAATCTGGATTCCGTACGATTGGCGAAGACGTTATTTACTGCGATGGGTTTCACTGGAATGCACCACCGCCAATATGCCAAAGTAAGTGTGTTTATTAATATCAGTAAAGGTTTGTGAAGTGGACTTGTGGATATTCAATGAAGTAATCACAGTGTTAGCTTCTCACGCATATCTTTTAGTTACCTAACGATTCGTGCAGCATCGGCCAATCCACGTAACCAACGTGAAAGACTTGATGTTCTCAAAAACACTTGTCATTTAGGAGTGTAACGACGTCGAGGTTCTCAGATGGCAAATTTACTGTATATATTTCCACCAAGACGTTACCAATAAAGTAATTTAAGGATATTTTGGACATCAGAGCTTCGACCACTTCCCCATGAGCATCTGTCTCTTTTTTTCTGACTAACGCTTGTATTTGATTGTTTGTTTTTCCTATTAATATATTTTATCAGATACTTCTCCCACAACTACAAAAATAGTTCCTACGAATCCGCCACAACGTATTGAAGAAAATAGAAACATTTCAACGCAGATAAACTCAACAGCAAAGTCATCAAATTCTAAGCCAGAATTAGTTGATAGACAATATGTCGAAAATGTTAAAATGCAGAAACCGATTTTCGTCGGACCTTCAGACAAACCTCCAGTTTTTCATTCCGAGTTTCTGAAAAAACTTGGTTCGAGCGGAGTATTACCTTTATACAAAGGCAGAGGATCAGAAGAAGATGATGAAGTCACAGATAGAACAGAAGATGTATCAAGTCGAATTACTCAAGAACGACAAATGCCACCACTAAGTATTCCGGATTCCCAAAAAATGGCCCCAACATCACCACAAGTTTCATATAATTCGTATGTATCACAACGCCGTCCCTTCGAGCATTCACAAGGAAGTTATAGAAATTCCTATGAATATCGAAATCGGTATATGCTGCCAATAATGTCGCCAGCTGGCCAGTCTCCGAGATATCGACCCATGACGCATTATGGAGTCCCACAATACTACCGTCCCCGATATGTACCCATGCAAACAAGAACATCGATCAGGCCAATACTATTAAATAGGGAGGAACAGGGCACGCTGAAAACCCCCAAATTAAATCTACAATCAGGAATAACGCGCGAGGTGAATGTCTGATCAATTCCGTTTATACATTATGTACAACTGAAATCGAATTCAATAAAATCGTGAACATTTTCATTGCAGTCAGAAGATGAGGAGGGAAAGTCACAAAGACATCCACCAGAACTAATCCCAAACAGTCGAACTTTGGATTCGATCTACGGGAACGTAGGTAGTGATTAAATATTTGGTAGTCGCATCAAATGTAGAACTAATATTAGGTTTCTAATATACAAGTCATTTTAATTTTACATTGAATAATTTCAGTGCGATCTGTTCCGACGGTGATTGAAGCGAGGCGTGATGAGGTACTCCATAGATCTGAAGATAATAACGGTGGAGGTACCCTTCCTGAGATTTTATCTTCACTATGTTTATCGTGTTTTTCAATTGAAACAATACGTTATTGTTCACTATGCGAATGACGAACAAAATAGTGGGCTTCGAGACACTCTCGCCTCTTTATCTGTGGAAACTTGCCTAACCAAGCCTTTCCTGAATTCGTACCACTCTCACCGAAACACTTTTTTCCCACCAAGCTTTTCAAATTAGAGTTTTATGCAACATATAAGTTGGCCTCGATAAATATAGAAAACCCTAACGACTTCTATATTTCGAGTTTTCTTCAACTTCGAAGCAGCAACTCATTTCAAAACTTGTAATTAGAAAATTGTTCATTATCTATTTTCAGGACTAACAAGAGAAGCAACCCAGGGCAGCGACAATGGAGTACTGGTCCCGGGAATTATGCAGGTACATAACAACTCTTCAGATTAGATAGGTATTCATTAACCTGGGGTAGATTTTCCTGGGGCTAAATTACTTTGTTTTTGGGGTGAATAAATCCAAATCCAAAGCTCGAATCCAGTTTGACGTTGAATCTGCGAGCATTACCTACTACTCAGTCAGACCTTGGAAACAGCTAGTCACCCGTGCGAATATAATGAGGGTAATTTGGCAATTTCGTTTTTCAATAAATGAGCGCCAGTGAGTACATTAGGGGTAAATCTAATAACACCGCTTAGAGGTTAAGTGCAAAAAATGTTGAGAACCACTGGTTTAGTTTATTCTAATGTAGTTTATGTTATATCTACTTGTTCTTTTTAATTAGATACCGGATGATCTCGCAAGCGACGAAGAACCCCAGACATCCACTGAAATTAAAAACTGCCCTCCACCGAGGAGACTGTTCAGAGGATATTACACGTAAGCAAATGACTTTGCAATGGATATTGTAACAAACTATTGTAAAATAGTTTATATTTGTATTTCATAAATAATTTCGCAGGACCCAACCAAAGCCCAGAGACTACGAAGGAGATGACTATCAATATTTTGTTGAGTATCACTGCCTCGTTCGTTTGAAGTTAGTAGGAGGTGATAGGAATATTTACTGCATGAGAAATGGAAAATGGAAAGGAAAATTGCCAAGATGCGAAAGTATGTGTTACTTATTGCTATTTTTGGCGAACTTAAGATATATATTAAATATCTGATGAGGTACCGGTGCGTAGCAGTAGGGTTAACAATCAACATAGGCTATTTTAAGGGTATATTTCTATAAGATTTCACATAATATTGAAGAGTAATTCACCTGCCTGCTACTGTAGTCTGACTTTACCGGTATAACCTAGTCTGCCTGTCCACCCAAATATCTTACTGCTACCAACCTGATGAAAAGCGTTCAGCCTTTTACTAAAGTTTTCTTCTATTGTCAACAGAGACAGGTATGAATAAACTTTAAGCCTGCAATACCTACTGAGTAGCCTACAATTGTTGCGAATTGTCAAACCATGATCACAAGCTATCACACTAAATTTTCGCGCCATTTGTTTCCGTAGTAACATGTAACTGGTGACCTTCCGCCTAACGAACCTTGACTGAATCTTTAAGTTTTATAAAGCTTTTCAAATAACATATTTTTTCGCGCAAATAAATGAATTATTTTTTTTCACAATAATATAATTAAATAACCATACCTTTATGGCCCATTGAAATTATTGACAAAGTTGTTGGCTGGATAATTTTCTGTACTTGTTTTATCAACAAATATCATTCAACAACATTCCAGAAGACGTCAAATGTCAGCCTGGATTTAAGGAAGATTCGTCAGGACGATGTTCTGGTGAGTAGATTTATGAGCGGAAGTTTGTACAAGCACTTGGCCCCCGATTTCACGAGTTTGGTATTACAAAGTGGGACTAAACTGCAAACTAAACTAGAGAGAACTGAGAAACACACATTTAGTATACCCTCTTGAGCGTTCATTTTTTATGCTATTCCATGATTTTGTCAGTACACTACGATATTATTTTCTCGTAGATATTGACGAATGTCTTGTTGATAACGGAGGATGTCCGCAATCCTGTGTGAACATTCCAGGAAGGTTCTTTTGCACTTGCGAAGAAGGATATTTTCGTTCCACTGATGGAACAACGTGTTTGGGTGAGTGAATAAACGCTATACGGACTATCGAAACTTAGGAAAACACTTTCCATGAAACCATGCACTGTGGGTACGCAGGCAAATACTTGTTGAGAATAGTTACCGGTATGTGCGAGAGAATTGCTGCTCCCCTTGTCGTCTCACGGTGGTTTACGACTTCGTAACCCCTGCGAGGTTCGAAATCCGTGCATAGGGAACAATTTACAAGTAAGTAGTAGTGAGCATAATGAATGAAGAAATGCCATGTTCTATGTAAATCTTTACCTGCTCGGTAAAGTGGAGTGCAAACTTCTTGCTCGACTCTTCGGGTCATTTTAACCATATTTTAAAGACACATATACCGGTATTTAATAAATATATTTTCTTTATTCAAGATATCGACGAGTGTAATGCACCACGAAAGAAAATTTGCAATCACGAATGTTACAACACCCCCGGATCATTCTATTGTTCCTGTCGAGAAGGATATTCCCTTATGAAGCATGATAACAGCCTTTGTTTAGGTTAGTATATCAACGTATTATTTGTAACTTCAGATATTAAACATTGAGGAACTTTGGTTCACGTGTGGGTTGCTTTGCCGGGTTCATACTTTCTTTAAACTTGAACTCTTCCCATATTCAGAACATTTGCTGCCGCGACTGATTACCAGGAAATGTGTTTGGAACATTGAATTGAATTCTGAAGAAACCATTAAAATCCAGATGTTCTAAATCTAACTGGTTCATTTTGCCACAAAATTGGTGAAAGATACTCTAAAAATACATTATTAATAAACCTTTAAAACATTAAAATTATGAAAATTGTACTGTATTGATTGAATGTATATAGGCAGGCACTAAACCTGGCATTTTTTTATTATTAAAGTTTCACTATATTCCCACAGATATTTGCAATTGATTTGTACTTTATTTAGTCTCACTCACGATTCTTATTGAAAACTCTTTGCTTTCACTACTTTCAAAAAGTTTGAAACCTCATTTTCATTTCAGATATCAACGAGTGTTTGATTAGTAGCCCATGTCAGCAACTATGTAAAAACACGTTCGGAAGTTTTCAATGTTCCTGCAACCCAGATTATCGACTAAACGAAGACGGACTAACTTGCTCAGGATTGTGCCAACCTGGGTATGTGAGCCAGCTAGATACGGACTCTGGCGAAGAAATTTGTGTTGGTGAGTCAGCAAAATATTTTGAAACATGGCTCGGTGGTGTGGCGCATCGTGCTAAGCGTTAGGAATACGCTCGCCACCGCACCTCTGATTACCCTGCGTCGGTCGCTGGTTCGAATCCCATGTGGGGATAGTTATGTGCGAGAGGATTGCTGGACTCTTCGTCGTCGTAGGGTGGTTCACGTAACCGCTGGTCGCTTGCGGCTTCCTCTACCATCAAGTATATGCTTCCGAAAACAAATAACTGGGCAACTAATCCCATACCCGGCGTGGTTCGCCATAGGGTCAAGTGGTGTTATCGGCTTTCCTCTCCCCGGAATAAATATGTTAATCCTATCCTATCCTAAGACAAATCGTGAGTGTATTTTTACTTCGATTTTTAAACACACAATATATATTTTTCAGACAACAACGAATGCGAAGATAACGAAGGCCTAGGGGCGTGCCAACATATGTGTACAAATACCGATGGTTCCTTCTTTTGCTCTTGTTCACCTGGTTACACCTTACAAGACGATATGCTAACATGTGAAGGTATGTACTTCGTCAGTAAATTGTTGCTTAAATTTTTAACTATCGCGAATAATTAACCATGGTCGTTTGTACACCACCACTGTGGGTGCAAGGGACGGCGCTCCCGTAGTATGTGAACCAATATGACGGACACTGGAACGTAGTATGTGTACCAGGTTAGGGTTAGAACATAATTTGTTTTCCAATTTTATTTATTTTAGTTCTATTAACAGTTTGGGGGCTAGTTAAGTGACTCCCGTAGTATTTGTACCTGAAATTATGGCCTAGCCATAACCTGGTACACATACTACGTCCCGGTGTCCACCATCTTGGTTCACATATTACATGCGTACCCAAGGAACATATCCGAGGTTACAAGCCCCTAAAATGTTGTTTTGGTAAATTGTAGATACGGACGAGTGTCTTACTAGCAGCCCCTGTCAACACCTTTGTCAAAATACTCCGGGAAGTTTCCGATGTGCATGCAACGTGAATTATCGTTTAAACGCTGAGGGATTGACTTGTTCTGAAGTATGCCAGCCTGGATATGTTATGAGTGTGATCGAAGAAACAGGCGAAAAGACGTGTGTTGGTATGTCGACTATCCACTTCAAATTAATAATGAAATTTAAACTTTAATGTAATAAATTATAAATCTGGAACATTTTAGATGAAAATGAATGCAGTGAACATGGTGGTCTCGGGAATTGTCAACAAATATGCACAAACACAGATGGATCTTACTTTTGTTCCTGCTCACTTGGGTATAAATTAAATGAAGATATGCAGACTTGTTCAGGTAAACGATGCTGTGTAAAAGGCTTAATTTTAATTGAAAGTCCTAAAACGAAAGAAAATCATATTTTAGATCAAGATGAGTGTGAATCTTCTCCCTGTACGTATGGTTGCATCAACAATGATGGGAGTTATACGTGTACTTGCCCAGAGGATCGCGTTCTTTCTCCAGATGGATTTTCGTGCTCGGGTATCTTGAGTTATAGTTAATTCGTACAAAAGATATCATGCAACAACTTTGTTTAATGGATTATGTTTTAACAGGTTGCAAAGAGAATACATATATGGACGGAAACGGATGTCTTCCATGTCCACAAAATTCAGTAACGAAAAAAGCAGGAGGAGCTGACAAAAGCCACTGTTTGTGTTTGCCTGGATACAGAGGGAGTCCAGAATTGAACATAGCATGTACAGGTATTATCATCAAATATGGATGAGTTTACATAAACTAAATTTTAAGGAAACTAAATTGGGTTTGATTTTTATATTTTGTGCCTTTCAGACATTGATGAATGCGAGGACGCAAACTATGGTTGTTCTCATAATTGCGCCAATACGCCTGGCAGCGTATCCTGCGAATGCCCAGACGGATTCCGACTTGGACCAGACGGGAGAAAGTGCCAAGGTTACAATTTAATTATACTAAAATCTTTTGTCTATTCACGATATCACTATGAGAAAATAGATATCCTTGTAATAATTGGTTTCATCAGGTGCCGATAAATCGAGTTACGTTCTATTTCATTTGACAGACATAGACGAATGCTCACTGTATCGGGGAGCGTGTGGAAGAGGTGGATTGTGCAGCAATACCGAGGGAGGCTATAACTGTACTTGCACCAGGGGATATAAGATGGAGTCGAGAAATTCAAACGTGTGCATAGGTATACATATATTAATGCGAAATGCTTTTCTGAAGATGTTGAGATTGAAATTCAGACATTTAATATAGAGGCATGCATTAATTGAAAAGCCGACGTGTGGGACTTATAAAACGCTAAATTATTGCTGTAATTCTCTTTGGGGTGTTTGTTGTTTTCGTAAAAAATCTAAATTTTTGCAATTAATGGACCGATCGATTTCGATTTTTTAATACAAAAAGATGGAAAAAGTCGCTGAAATTTATTTATTAGTCTGCTGTCTACTCATTTTTAATTTTATCTTCAATTTCTGATCGATGTCTTCTGATTGGCGGCTTGAAATACAATCATATGGCTATTTTCTGTGCCTATTATCGATATTCGCGCATTTTAGACATCGACGAGTGCCAGACGAATAATGGAGGTTGTCAAGTTCATTGTCATAATCTTCGACCGGGATACAGATGTTCATGTGATAATGATTGGCGATTGAATCGCGATGGAAGAAGTTGTAGTCGTGAGTATTAACTTCACTGAAAATGATTTTAAAAGTCGCAAGAATTTAAGGTTTTTGGACATGAAGTGAACAAAAGACTCACTTTGCTTAATTGTTGTTGTATGGATTGTGAAAAATATATTTAATCGCACCATATATGGACGAATTGATTTTCAGTACTAAAATGTAAAAGGTCACTAAAAGGATTTTGATTGTTTTTTTTCAACGTTAAGCTAACGTTAGTATACGGAGCCCATATTGCTCTCCAACATTTGCTAGTTTTTATTATTCACGGACGTACTTTCATATTAGATTCGTTACAATTCTTTTAACATTTGGCTGAAATTTTTATACATTTCAATAGTCATCCACATATTTGACTATTTCTCCTTTGTTTCTCTAGCGTTGATTGGCGCATGTCCTAAACTGGAACCTCTTTCCAACGGACGCGTTCTGCCTGAAGCTCCTTGCGTTCATCACGGCACTGTAACACGGGGAAGATTCTGCCTCTATGCTTGTAATAGTGGGTACAAAATGGTTGGTGTGAATAGGCGAAGATGCGTTGATAGTGGGTGGACAGGGAAACCGCCCACATGTAGTCGTAAGTCTGATCTTATACAAAGAAAGTAAACTAGACATTTGTTGATTTTCAAACAACATATATTATTTCACGTAAACAGCTGCAGGTTGGTGCCCTCCAATGGCTATTCCCGATGGAGTGAAAGTAATACCTCCAGCATGTGCGCAAAACAGCAGCATGCCTTGGATGATGTGTGTCTTTTCTTGCAAAGTATCCACTCACGTTATGAAAGGAGGGAGAGTCATACGATGCAATATAAACCACAGATGGGATCACGAGCCGCCGACATGCGTTGCCAGAAATCTTACTGGTTTGTATATTCTTATATGATTCAAGAGTTTTGTTTCTACGCTAGTGAAAGCATTCTTTCCAATATTCAGCATCATCTGATAATCCACAAATTCAGTGTCCGCGAGATATTGACGTTGAACTTGCACCAGGGGAATCTTCTGCAAAAGTTACGGTAAGGACCAATTTTTAAAGGCGCTTCAGAAGTATGTGTACCAATATGGAGATGAATAATTTCGATTGATTAATTCACAGCAAGTTGTGTGAAGAGACTGAAACCTATAGACCTGTGAGAGTATATTCACTTGGCTAACACAAACAGTCCGCTAACCCTAACACGGTACACATACTACGGGAGTACCATTTTTAATTAATCAATCAATTAGGGTTGAAAACATAATTTCTATAAGTACATCGTGCTGTTTCAGCTTCCAAAGCCAGTTACAAACATGGAGATTACAGAGCAGAGAAATGACGGCAGTGAATCCAGGGATATATTTCCAGCTGGCACAACAAGTGTTAAGTTTACGGCGTATACTAATGATAAGATACGTCAAGCTTCTTGCGTAATGCGTGTTCGAGTGAGAGGTATAATGAATTTTATAATCTTAAAGTTGGTTAATATTCAAACTCTGAAACTGTATTTTTAGACAGACAAGCACCGATAATTCAACAATGCCCAAGATCAATATCTATTGAATCGGCGGAAAAATTCCCTCAAATATCATGGAAGCGTCCTGTTTTCAGGTAAGGAAAGAAATTCGTGTATCATATTTACTGAGATGGTCATGAAGTGAACCCATGTATCGTTTTCCCAAATTGTTGTTGTTAATGTTGTTGTTGGGGTTATTATATTTGCTGTTGGGGAAAAAAACAATCAATTTCAATGATCTAGTACATAAAAATTAAAAAAATCGCTAGAAGGTTATTGTTTTTTTCTCAAAGTTCCTCTGTGTCTTGTCCAATTTTTGGCTGTTTTTTTTTAATCAAATGGTACACTTCTATTCGCCACTCTTGACCGCCTCCTCCACGCTTTGCCGACCATCATTTCAGCAAATTCCGTGCTCTGAGGCTTTATCGTGTCATACCAATGCGCAGTCATCGTGTCCCTATATTTGAGCATTGATCTCTTGTTTCACAGAGATAATGTTGCGGTTGAACTAGTGAAGGAATCAAGATTTCCACGTGGAAATATCACTTGGGGTACTTACAGCGTCTCGTACACTGCCAGTGACGCTGCAGGAAACATGGCGGAATGCGCTTTCACTGTCTCAATTCGACGTAAGTTTTTCTCATTCAATAAAATTAATTTGAAGCGATCGCTAATTTTTAAAACTTATCTCAAAACTTACAGGCCCTAAAAGCTTGCAACAGGCAGGAGCCATTTCTTGTGGCAGACCAACAGGTCCTAAGAACGGCCAGGCACGTTGTCAAACCTGGGCACGAGGAGTGTATTGCATTCCAAGATGTAATCCACGGTACGCGTTCCAGAGACGGCCACCAACATTTGTATGCGATAACGACGGTGTTTGGACTCCAGGAAATGTCATTCCAGATTGCATTGGTGAATAAATATTTGTTCACATTTGCTAAATAGTTTCGTTAACGATGTATTACCGCCTGACCTAGTGTGTGGTAAATAGGGTAGGCAATGTTGAACTAAAAAAATGTTAGCCTCCGACATACCAGTAGCTGCCTATTACCAGCCTTGTTCGGAGTGTAGACCTGAAAACATCGTTTATTACAAGAATGAGTGGCTTTTTAATAAAGACTTTGTTGATAACTTAAAGCGCAATAGTAAATAAGATTTTATCTTTATCTATTCCACTCTAAAACTATTTCTTGGATTCTCCGCTGCGCACGGCGACTCAATCACATATTAGTAGACCCGTTTGTGGAGGGGGTTAAGATGTTCTTTTTTGCCTAATCTTAATTGCCTAATTAGGCGAACGAGAAATGCATTTCTTGAATGTAAACGTTGAATCAAATCTTTGTTTAAGGTTCGCCAATTTCATGATAACTATAATTTCGCAATCACATTTTTTACTTTTAGATGTTCGTTCGATCGGAGAAAATATCCGAAATCCTGTAACTACACCAACGTTGAGTACAACAACCACAACCACCACCGAGCCATCTCCCACTCCAACGGAAATCACCTTGATATATAGTGCTCGTACGTCTTCATCCCCTACGACCGTTGCAACGCAGTCTCTAACAAGCGCAAGGTATTCGGAAACAGGCGTACCAACATTGGCAACTGAAATCCCGGAAATTAAATTTCTGGAAAGACCAAAGTTTTTCTTGGTACCGACAGAGCCTACTACAAGAATCGAGACAGTAAGCCAGCACCGACCATCCCCGATAACACCTGTTTATATTACTAACGCCGTTGTACACTACCGCGCATCACAGCCTCGCCTTATAAAACTAGCACCTGAGACAAACGATTGCCCAAGAGGCCAAGTTCCCGAGCAAGATAGCGAAGGGCGGGAAAAATGTGTCGAGTGTCCGCGAGGAACTTACAGGCCTCGAATCAAATCTGCGGTGAAATGTCTTTCATGTTCCCCAGGCTTTTATCAAGATAAAACAGGGATGGGCTATTGCAGTAGGTGTCCAAATTACATTCCCCACGTTCATACAAGTGCGATACGTGGGAATACCAAACTGATCGGTCTGAAATCCGTAGATGACTGCGAGATGATTCACCGAAGAATACAGACGCGAAGTAGTGACATCGCAGTCAGAAGAGCATTGGCAAGAAGGAGAAGACTTTTGCGTCATTGACAATTGTTTAGTAAATTCCTGCAGATGGGACAATTGAAGACGCAAGTCATCACTCGAAAGTTCTTTAAAATTCCGATACTTTCATTTCGTAAGGGGACGCGGCGTGATCCCCATTGAAGGGACAAAATATCTTATCAAAACGCTACTTTGAAAAAAACTAAATCAATTATAGTTTTGTATATAAATATACTATTGTACAGAAGTGCCCATGTGCGTGTTGAATGTAATTTAAAAACACATATACGGATGATGCTTCTTGATTTGTGTCCAGCTCCTTGCCAATAACGAAATTTCATTCGATACCTCGTTATAGAACATAGATCAATATGGAACGCTATAGTCTGAATTCATTTTTTAACGTTAAGTCATATTATCTATTTTTATTTGTCAAGCATTTGAGTATAAGCCTGCTATTTCATCTCAATTCGTGTGTTTTTTTTTTCTTTTAAAACCTGTTATCATCAACTTCAGAGTAGTAAAAGGAAGATCCTGTTCAAAATCAGATACGATCGCAATTCATCTCCACCGATTTGTTTGTCAGTTTTGCTAAGCAATATGTGGATTCCGTAAAAATCCAATATGTTAAATAATTAAAACGCAATGGTAAAAATGTTTTCTTTTTGTGTAAAAACAAATAATAAAAGGAAACCACAGCGCAATAATCGGCAGTCCAGCAGCTCTTGACAACAAAGGCCGGTCGAAAATATTATGTCCAAGAGTGAATAGGAACATTGAATATATTTTCTAGTGGCAAAGTATCGTGAAGCAATTTTTTAAAACAACCATCTTGGTTGAATGAAAAAAAAACGGTCATAACGGAAACTTAAACGAATAATTTATTAAAGTACAATGTCGCTCAGATTATCCGGAACGACTGTTATGATAACTGGAGGGGGAAGTGTTATTGGGCGATCAGTTTCTGAATTATTCGCTAGAGAAGGTTGCAGTGTAGCAGTTTAGGATTTAAATTAAGACGGGATGGAGGAAACATCCGAATTGATTCTGATCCTGGTAACACACATTGCACTATTAAGACGGACGTGACCTCTTCAGGTCAGCAACAGAGGCCTTCAAGATTGCTGAGGAAAAACTTGGAAAAAAAATTACAGTTCTCGTTAACTGTGCAGGAATTGCAACCAATCTATCTTCTTTTGACCAGATGGAAGAAACATTCTTTTTCAACGTCTTCAACGACATTTTTCGAGTTAATTTGAAAGGTACTTTTATAATGCGCAAGCAATTTTTGTTGTCACTGGCAAACTTTAACACTACTTCTAAGGACACCCGAGTAACAGTGGTAAATATATCGAGCATTGCTGGCATAAAAGCATAACAGAAATGTCCAACTATGTTGCTTCTAAATTTAAGGTCGTTGGCATCACCAAAACATTGTCTTTGGTATACGGAAAACATGAAGTTCGATGCCATGCATGCAGTGTCACCTGGCCTGACCACAACGCCAATACTAAAGGCGTTATCCAGAGATTTTCTACAAGCGATTGAAGAGGGTACACCGATGAAAAGATTGGCGAAAGCTGAGGAAATAGCGAAATGTATATTATTCCGATGAGAGTTCGTACGTAAAGGGGACATGACTCGAAATCACTGGAGGATATGGTGTATAATTTACGGGGGATGACATGCTGATTGTCATTGCAAAGAACTCAATAATCACGCATTGTCAATATTCTGTAGTTATATGACTAAAATCATGTTGTGAATTGATATATATATATATATATATATATACTAAATTCAAATCTTTCAAAAATTTGCCGGCATTGAGAGAATAAAATGTTTAGTATCGTGAATGTATACTGCGAAGGAGGTTCCTTAGCATAACCAAATAGGGCAAAGTATAAGTAATCAATCCTCGACCTCGACCACTCAAAATTTGTTCGAATCAAAGTTTTCAATAACCTTGGTTATCAAACTGATAATGACGACATGTACCTTACGTTTTAGCCCACGTACATTTGCTCCTTTCACTTTACCTTTTACTTAACACCCACAGACAGTCGCATCTGAGCCAAATATCGTATTGTCTAATATTCTCTGCAACTTGATTGCGAGATCTGGCCACCACGCATTGGTCTAAATTCAGTTTTGAAACTGAATTACGGAGAAATGATTTGTGCTCTGTCCAAAGGTGGGAACTTTTGAGTCTATACTTTATCACATTTACAATTTATCGCATCTTAAAGTAAAAATCACTGATAGAACACACGGCGAAAGATTATTCGGCCGTCGCCAAAAATACAGTTTTCATTGTGTAATTGAATCTAGGCAACTGGAAGCACACGTATATACATTTTTGCGACTTTATATTGAATTTCATGAACCAATGGACAAAATGGCCACTAAGGCGCTGGCGAAGTTAAACTTATGAGTTAATAAAGTTAAAATAATCAAGTCAAATTTTAATTTTTTTTAATTCCTTGAAATCCTTTCATTTAGTCAAATCTGGACTTAGTTTACTCAAATGATGTTCTATTTCGGATTTTCAAAACAATTTTGATTATAGGTCGAGAGAAGAAGCATATTTTTGAACATCAGCCAATTGTTTTCAGCTTGTTGGGCAGTGGAACTACGATTCAAAAACACGAACAACAAATCTAATCAAAGATTAACTGTGGTAGCTTTCGATTGTATTATATAATATGTTGCGGTGTGTTATTTGGTCCTGTTATTCGTGATTGCTATGTTCGTTTCTTTGTGTTTTCTCAATTTTTCTACACACCAAATGTCTGAAGGGCGAATTGCGAGCAGTTTCAGACAAGATTTCAGATCATTTATTCGCACCGGTGTTTATTAACATGTGAAACAGGTTTTTACTTCATTAGCTGTTGTACAGTCTACACCAGGGCTGCGCTGTATTTTTCAGAATTGAGTAAAACGATTTTTCGAGTGATATAGTGTACAAAGATGTGATACAAACGACCTGTTTATTTTCCTGAAATGAGCTCTGTCAGCCCTTTCAAACAAGCCACGAGTGCTATTTTGAATCAAAACCAACTGAGAGGAGATATCGATACATAAAGGTGCCATAGTCGCACCTCGCACCATAATCTGCACCAAGATGGCACACAACCGGAACCCCAACCTGGTACACTTACTATGTTCAGGTTGTGCGCCATCTTGGTACACATACTCCAGGAACTCCAAAAACAACACCAATTTAAACCCCATATCCATACGAATTATGATCTGTATATACATAGAGATGTTGATGAACCCAAATGACATAATTTTCCGATTGCTGACACATAATTGATTCCAGGGTACAAAGAAAATAAGGACAGATTGGACTCGATTCAAACATGGCCGCCACTTGACCAGGCTGCCACTTGACCAGAACAGATGCGCGATTTTCACGTCTAGCATAGCTCCCTTGTTTGTACTAGGAGAGACTCTAATGTTGGATTTGTCAAGCTTGATCCAAGATCCGCATCTTTTTAGACTTGTGGTTTCCTGTGCAAAATTTCGATGAGACGAATGCAAACTTCTGTAAATATGTGAACTATGCTGTGTGCAAAGATTGCCAGCGAAATGGTCATGCACGCTCCGTTGATTTAATTAGGACTGAATTCTTGAGGTAGGAGATAACAATCTCTTGCAAAGTTGAGAGTTTCTCGCAGGAACTAATATGCAAGTTCAATGTAAACTAATATAGCAGCCGATTTAGACTACCGGTAAAGATAGTGCTGATTCTACTAAGACAGTGGTACTCAACCTTTTTTCTCACTTGGATAGTTTTTGTTGTGGAAAAATTCTTTTGCCCATTAGCTTTATCATTCAAGTAGAAAACTTTTCCTCAAAAATGAGCACTTTCACTTTAATGAATAGAATGAAACCAGTAGCATCATTCATTGCTACTATAATCAAAATTTGAGTATAGTGACACAAATAAAGCTAAATTTTTCGATAACGCTAGACATTTTTATGGGGCGCTCTTGAAAAATTGTTGTGGCCCATGTCCCACCGTTGAAAACGGATGTACTAAGAAATGAGATTCATTGCTGTTGTGTCTAGTCTAGAATTTCGGATTGGGAATGTATTTATTAAAATAATCAGAAAACTTCATTATCCACTCATTTTACCGAAAGAGTGATGATTTTGAAAATGATATTTTACATTATATATCCTACGATTACTTGTTGCGCATCTTTCGATTCCAAGTCCAACGTTCAAATATACCAGCGACAAATAGAAATAGATCGCAGCTTTTTCATTCACAAAGATTGATGCTTTTATACGAAGTTCAAAATTCTTGGTATGGATCTCTGCCTCCATTGATATCGCAATGTCGACATAACGAGAATAACGAATAGAATATAAATAAAATTTGGTAGCACTTGAAAAATATGTACTGTTATTTTCAGTTAAAGCGGTTCGGAAATTTGATTTGCTATTTGATTGTCACTACTAGTGTGTGCCAAGTTTATATAAGAAAATATAGTTACCGTAATTGCAAGACAGGCCGCAATAATATTAAATACGTTGAAATGAATTGTAGTGTGTACACACGATAGAAATTTGTAAGTCTATAAACATTTGAAATTATAATCATTATAAATAACATGTATAAAACTTTATAAATAAAAATCACATTTCAAAATTATCGCGTCACTGCGGAAATCACCGAGAGAAGTTCAGAAGTAAAGTAAATCGTTCCTCGCAAAATAAACGGTTTTTATGACGCAAATAAATCCGGTCAACTGACATCACCGATTTGCTTAAACGGAGCCACGGAACTTGCCCAGCGATTGTTTCTTCTGAAAAATATTTATGTGGGTGTTGTATAGCGACCCGCAATTCTCATGCAAGTTTCTATGAATTTTAATCCTCCGGGTACACATGAGGCTTCTGTTACTACGCCATTTGTTACGTTTATCTCATGCAATTCTAGTTGGACAGGGCGTGCAACTGGGTACTTCCAAAATTCTGAACAGAACAAAATTCATATATAGCACCCGTCGGTACGATTTATATTTGCTTATCATTGTTGTTTTAATTTCTTGCGTCTTTTAACTTTATTCTCTCTGTCAGGCACAAATACGTGTTTTGTAACTTGATGTTTGGTTTTTTGAAAAATGTACAATATGGTAACCGAAGGCGCTGGCTAAATTGCACTTATGACTAAGGTAATAAAATAATCTAGTTTAAGTTTTAGATTTTGTTCTTTCCTATACTTGAAACTTGAACTTCAATAAAATTAAATTCGGCCCTAATTTTATCATATTAAAATGTGGAATGAATGACGAAGCAGTAGGTATATCCTTCGGTTCCACCATCCCTTAGCTGTTTTCCTATTGTTGTGCACAAATTGGAGCTATGATTCCAAAACACGAATTAAGTATGAGATTTATTATATACGTTTTTTGTGCCATGGCGTTTGATAGTTTATATATATTATAATATATTGTGCTATGTTACTTGGTCGTGTTTTTTCTACACATCAAATACCTGAAGGGCGAATTGTGGTCAACGATAGAGACGATGTTGAGATAGTTTATTTGCGCTTATGATTATTAGAATGTAAAGCACGTTTTGCTACGTGAACGGCCTTACGAACTACACACAACGGATAGGATCATAACTTAAAGTTTCATTAAAACGATAAATAAAGTTAGACCTGAAGAAGGAATTTAAAGAACAAATCTGCGCGAAGCTGAAAATTTAACATGAGAATGTTTTTTTTTATCAGATTTTAAATAAAACGAATAAGTACAATGTCGCTCAGATTATCCGGGAAGGCTGCCATTGTAACTGGAGGAGGAAGTGGGATTGGGAGATCGGTTTCGGAATTATTTGCTAGAGAAGGTTGCAGTGTTGCAGTTTTGGATCTAAATCAAGACGGGATGGATGAAACATTGAAACTACTTGATACGAACCATGACAATGTACATTGCACAATCAAGGTGGATGTAAGCTCTTCCGATCAAGCAAAAGAGGCCTTCAAGACTGCCGAAGAAAAACTTGGAAAAAAAATTACAGTGCTTGTTAACTGTGCAGGGATTGCAATCGCTCCATTTTCTTTTGACCAGACGGAAGAAACTGTCTTCGATGACGCTATTCGAGTTAATTTGAAAGGAACTTTCATAATGTGCAAGCAATTTTTGTTGTCACTGAAAAGTTTCAGGACTAATTCTAATGACACCCGAGGAACGGTGGTGAATATATCTAGCATTCTTGCCACAAAATGCGTAGCAGAACAAACAAGTTACACTGCTTCAAAAATTGGGGTCGTTGGAATGACTAAAACAATGGCTTTGGAATATGAAAAACATAAAGTTCGTTGCAATGCAGTGTTACCTGGCCCGACTTTAACACCAATGATACAGCGATTTTCCAGAGAGTTTCTACAACCGATTATGGATAAGATACCGATGAAAAGAATGGCAAAACCCGAGGAAGTAGCGAGATGTATTTTATTCCTGGCCTGCGATGAAAGTTCGTTCGTAAATGGGGCATGCCTCGAAATCAATGGAGGTGCATAATTTATACGAAGATTGAACGTGCAAAACACTCATTTTCGATATCCTACATTCCTGCAATTACCGGACTATATAGCCTACTTCTTGTGAATAAATATAATATACTAAATTCAAAACGTCATAAAGTTATTCACGGACATTGAGATAATAAAATATATACTTGAGTGAAGTAAATGTATATACATTTAAAAAAAAAACTGAAAGGTGCGTGGATTGCCTAAACAAAACCAAAGAGAGCTGAATAGAATATTCGAATATTCGTGCTTTTGACAAAATTCCATTTCACTAGATCAGCCTAGCTTGAGGGGTTTATATTTAGATCCATATTATGATATTTTGCGTCAGTTGAGAAGACCACGATGCCCTTTGCCTCCGATCGATGAACATCCATAAACAAGCTTTTCTCCAGGCCAAGCTGATTATCTTTTATCTAGGTTCATTCAATATTCCTTGTCCAACCAGTTTGTCATGTGCAATCATGTAACTCGAAAGCTATGCATTTAATTGTGATAGTTAAACTACGGTGCAACTACCAGTATGTAAAAGTCTCAATATATAAAGTCTCAATGTTGGTAAACAAATTTCCAAGGTTTTGAATATATTACGCGATTAGGGAGTTATTTGGAATGACAATCAGCACATCATCCCCTGTAAACTATAAACCATATCCTCCATAGCAGCCTTATACCGGAGAATCTGAGCGACATTGTACATGTTAATAAACACCGGCGAGAATTAATGATCTGAAATCTTGTCTTCTGGATTACTGCTCGGAATTCGCCCTTCAGGCATTTGATGTACAGAAAATATGAGAAAACGCAAATATACGGACGGATAGCAATCATGAAATCATGCAAACACGACAAAATAACACACTATAACATATTATAATAGATACATACAATCGAAAGCTACGACACAAACAAGTCATAAATCTTTTATTAGATTCGTGTTTTTAAATCGTAGCTCCTCCTCCACTTCCCAACAAGCTGAAAACAACCGACATATGTTCAAAAAAATATACTCCTTCTCTCGCCCTTTTAATCCGAATACGGAAATATAATATGAGTAAACCAGGTCAGATTTAACTAAAGTTTAAGGTAATGAAAAGAATAAAATTTCAACTTGTTAATTTTATTAACTTGGTCAAAAGTTTAATTTCGCCAGCGCCTTGGTGGCCATTTTGTCCATTGTTTCAATAAATCCATTTTGAAAAAATGCCAGCCCGCTTATATATTTAATACGACGCAAATTGCCGTTGGCACCAATTCCCCTGTGTGCTAATGTACATTAGATTAAAACAAACATGGATGCAACTGTCTGTGGGTGTTAACGTTCATTGGTGCAAAGTTTAATAAGCAAATGTACGAGGGCAAAAACGTACGGTACATATCGCCAGTATCAGTCTGATAGCCAACATTATTAAAAACTTCGATTCGGACAAATTTTGTGTGGTCGAGGTCGGGGATTAATCATTTATATTCATCTCTATTTGGTTATACTTAGGCGTTCTCTCTTTTGCAGTATGTTTCAAATATAGTATACATTGACATTACTAAACATTTTATGCTCTCAATGCCGGTGAAAACATTTCCAAAGTTTTGTATTTAGTATATATACTCTATATATATATCATCAATTCTCAGCATGATTTTAGATATATAACAAGAGAGCTACGCACAAATATATGGACACGTTAGACCAGAGCGAATCAGTCCTTACCGGTACCTTTGACGCTACCGGTACCCTCAAAAAAGTTCTGAATTTCCAGTAGCAAGAATTTTGCAGAATCAAAACGTACAGCCAGTCATGACACTGACTAAAATCCGTGTTCCCATGGATAAAAAATAATACAGCAAAATTTTAGACGAAATATCAAATTTCATAGAATTCACGCAAAATTTTGAAATAAATAAAAGTAATTGCCTTCTAGCGAAAAAATTAATCTTTAACCACTGAAAATTTCAAAGCAATTGGTCCAGTATTCGAAGAGAAAAGCGACTCTTTAAAAACGTGTCAAAGAACAAGAACAAGAACAACAACATAATATTGAAACGATCGTTATGTCCACTACGTGTCCAATAACAGAATATTTACAATGCGCGATTAGGGAGTTCTCCGGAATGACAATCGACGTATTCTACGTCTGTATTTATACCCCATATCCTCCAGTGATTTCGAGGCATGCCCCGTTTACGTACGAACTCTCATCAGATGCCAGGAATAAAATACATTTCGCTATTTCCTCAGGTTTCGCCAATCTTTTCATCGGTATACCCTCTTCAATCGCTTTTAGAAAATCTCTGGAAAACACCTTTAGTATTGGCGTTGTGGTCAGGCCAGGTGAGACCGCATTGCATCGAACTTTATGGTTTCCGTATTCCAAAGCCAAGGTTTTGGTGATGCCAACGACCCCAAATTTAGAAGCAACATAGTTGGACATTTCTCCTATGCCTTTTATGCCAGCAATGCTAGATATATTCACCACTGTTGCTCGGGTGTCATTGGAATTAGTATTAAAGTTTTCCAGTGACAACAAAAATTGCTTGCACATTATGAAAGTACCTTTCAAATTAACTTGAATAACGTTGTCGAAGTCAGTTTCTTTCATCTGGTCAAAAGAACTTGGACTGGTTGCAATTCCTGCACAGTTAACGAGAACTGTAATTTTTATCCCAAGCTTTTCCTCAGCAGTCTTGAAGGCCTCTTTTGCTTGATCGGAAGAGGTCACGTCCGCCTTAATAGTGCAGTGTGTGTTACCATGGTCAAAATCGAGAACTTTTAATGTTTCCTCCATCCCGTCTTGATTTAAATCCAAAACTGCTACACTGCAACCTTCTCTAGCGAATAATTCAGAAACAGATCGCCCAATCCCACTTCCCCCTCCAGTTACAACAGCAGCCTTTCCGGAAAATCTGAGCGACATTGCACTTATTATTGTACTAAATTATTCGTTTAAGTTAGAATGTGAAAAAAAAAATCTTGATTTTAAATTTATAAACTTCACATCGGTTTGTTACCTATAAATTATTTTTCAGATCTAATTTTTTAACCGTTTCCTCGAAACTTTGAATTGTGATCATATTCTTGCGTGTGTACTGTGCAACAGCTATAATGAACAAAAACCTGTTTTACATGTTAATAAACACCGACGCGAAATAATGATCTGAAATCTTGTGTTCTGGATTACTGCTCGCAATTCGCCCTTCAGGCATTTGATGTGCAGAAAATTTGAGAAAACGCAAATATACGGACATAGCAATCACGAATAACACGACAAAATACCACACTATTACCGTAAATATATAACATATTATAATATATACAATCGAAAGCTTCGACACAAACAAGTTATATAGAAATCTTTTATTAGATTCGTGATTTTAAATCGGAGCTCCACTACCCAACAATTTGAAAACAACTGACTGATGTTCAAAAAATATACTTCTTTTCTTGCCCTTTTAATCTGAATCCGAAAATATAGTATATTATGAGTAAACAGGTTACGAGACTTAATTTAGAATAATGCGTTGTGGCCAGACCTCGCAATCAAGTTGCAGTGATTGCCAGACAATGCGCTATTTGGTTCGGATACCTTATGCCTTATCAATTTGGAGAAATACCCAGCCCGGTTATATACTCAACGATTCCCGTTGTAACCAACGCCCATGTGTGCAAATGTACATTATATTAAAACAGACATAGATGCAGCCAGGCGAGTAGCCAGAATTTTTTAAAAATGGGATGGTTTCAAAATCGGAAGTTTCCATTCCCTTCTGTAACAGAGGCCGCGATTACGCGCTCGCTAAAAAGAGCCAACATTTTCGTGTATACCGACTTTTTGTCGCGTAAAATAGTCAATTCGTGACAGCTACGAGAATCTAAAATTTCTTTCAATATTAATATCATTGTGTCCAGCCTAACTCGCGATTGCGTCTTCCTGTGTCAAAATATAAACATTACTAATCTAAAATACCACGTCAATCTGTTGACGTAAAAATAGAAAATAAACATGCCTAATTGTATTTAGTTTTAATATTTTTTTGCGATCTTCCGAATTCGTTATCGCCGTTAAAAAATCTCAAGATCTGTGATAAAATCCCGTGAAGTACAATTAAATACTCATAAATTATATCAGTAAATCGAAAATACATATTCATCGCCTCGAAATTCCCGCGGAACGACTTTTTCGACGGATATATAGTAATGTTTTTCTGTTGTGCAAAGTAATGAATCCATGACCGATACGTATTTTTAAAATGGATAAAAAAGGTATTTCGATTGTAGTGTTGGTTCCCAGCGCCGACCAAACATAATGTGTGCTATAGGCGTACGAAATAGGCGTTTTATTCTGTGGCGGGCCTCCTGCAGCTAAACTCGTATTGTTTACGATTTTATTTTTACTTTTTTACATTGCCGCTTTTCAATCAGAAAATTTGCGTCGCGCATTCACTCCCTTATTTGTCTTAGTCGTTCGCCGCCGATGAATGTATAATACCTCTCATCGAATTCACAAATTTGTGGGAAATTTGCAATTTAGATAGAATAAATACCAACGTAAAGGTGTTTACGGTCTCAATAACACTTCACGCTGACTCAAAACAATCAGCGATTTTAGCAAACTGCAATCGTACGCGTTATTAGAGACTTTTCCAAAAATTGGCGTCAATGGATACAACTGTCTGTGGGTGTTAACGTTCATTGTACGTGGGATAAAACGTACGGTAGGCTACCTATCGCCAGTATCAGTTTGATAGCCAACATTATTGAAAACAATAATTCGGATAAATTTTGAGGGGTCGAGGATTGATCACTTATACTTAGCTATATTTGGTTATGCTTTGACAATCTCTCCTTTGCAGCATGTTTCAAATACATTACGCATTCACATTACTAAACATTTTATTCTCTTAATGTCGGTAAAAAAAATTTTAAAGTTTTAAATTTAGTATATATGTCAACTCCTAACATGATTTCAGTCATGTAAGAATATTGACAATACGTGATTAATTTAAAATATCAACCCACTGTAAACTATAAACCATATCCTCCAGTGATTTCGAGGCATGCCCCGTTCACGTACGAACTATCATCGGATGCCAGGAATAAAATACATTTTGCTACTTCCTCGGGTTTGGCCAATCTTTTCATCGGTATACCCTCTTCAATCGCTTGTAGAAAATCTCTGGGAATTGACTTTAGTAGTGGCGTTTTAGTTAGGCCAGGTAACACTGCATTGCATCGAACTTTATGTTTTTCGTATTCCAAAGCCAAGGTTTTGGTGATGCCAACGACCCCAAATTTAGATGCAGCATAACTGGACGCTTCTGCTACGCATTTTACGCCATTAAGGCTCGATATATTTACCACGGTTGCTCGGGTGTCATTAGAATTAGTATTAAAGTTTGCCAGTGACAACAAAAATTGCTTGCACATTATGAAAGTACCTTTCAAATTAACTCGAATAACGTCGTCGAAGGCAGTTTCCCCCATCTGGTCAAAAGAAAATGGAGTGGTTACAATTCCTGCACAGTTAACAAGCACTGTAATTTTTTTTCCAAGTTTTTCTTCGGCAGTCCTGAAGGCCTCTTTTGCTTGATCGGAAGAGCTTACATCCGCCTTGATTGTGCAATGTACATTGCCATGGTTCGTATCAAGTAGTTTCAATGTTTCATCCATCCCGTCTTGATTAAGATCCAAAACTGCAACACTGCAACCTTCTCTAGCAAATAATTCAGAAACCGATTGCCCAATCCCACTTCCCCCTCCAGTTACAACAGCAGCTTTTCCGGATAATCTGAGCGACATTGTACAAAAATATCTTATTCGTTTAAATTAAAATCTGAAAAAAAACGATCCTCATTTTAAATTTATAACCATCACATCGGTTTGTTACCTATATATATATATATATACATTCTTCAGGTCTAATCTTATTTATCGTTTCCTCGAAACTTTGAATAGTGATCAAATCCTTACGTGTGGACTGTACAACAGCTACATACAATTTGCAAGAGTACAGACTCAAAAGTTCCCGCCTTTGGGCAAAGCACAATTCATTTCACTGTAATTCAGTTTCAATACCGAATTTAGACTAATGCGTGGTGGTCAGGTTTCTCAGTCAAGCTGCACAGAATACCTCGTAAGTTACAATGCTATATCGTGATCAGATACTTCACGCTGTAACAACTTTCAAAAATGCCAGCCCGCTTATGTATTCAATACGACGCAAATTACCGTTGGCATCAATGCCCCTGTGTGCAAATGTACATTAGATTAAAGCAAACATGGATACAACTGTCTGTCGGTGTTAACGTTCATTGGTGCAAAGTTGAATAAGCAAGTGTACGTAGGGTAAAAGGTACGGTGACCATGTCGCCATCGCCAGTTCAATAGCCAACATTATTGAAACTTTAATTCGGGCAAATTGAATGGTTGAAGATTAAACACTTTTACTTAGCTTTATTTGGTATTACTTAGGCGATCCCTCCTCGGCAGTATGTTTCAAATACAGTATATATACGTACATTCACATTATTAAACATTTTATTCTCTCAATGCCAGCTAAAAAATTTCTGAAGTTTGGAATTTGATATATATATATATATATCAATTCACAACATGATTTCAGTCATATAACTACTAATTATTGACAATGCACGAATAGCGAGTTCTCTGGAATGACAATCGACGGATTCTACGTCTGGAAATTATAAACTATATCCTCCAGTGATTTCGAGACATGCCCCGTTTACGTACGAACTCTCGTCGAATGCCAGGATAAAATACATTTTGCTATTTTGTCTGCTTTCGCCAATCTTTTCATCGGTATACCCTCTTCAATCGCTTGTAGAAAATCTCTGGTAAACGTCGTTAGCAGTGGCGTTGTAGTTAGACCAGGTAACACTGCATTGCATCGAACTTCATGTTTTCCATATTCCACAGCCAAGGTTTTGGTGATGCCAACGACCTCAAATTTAGAAGCAATATAATCGGACACTTTTGCTACGCATTTGATGACAGTACCGCTCGATATATTCACCTCGGTTGCTCGGGTGTCATTGCAATTAGTGTTGAACTTTTCCAGTGACAACAAAAATTGCTTGCACATCATGAAAGTACCTTTCAAATTAACTCGAATAACGTCGTCGAAGTCAGTTTCTTCCATCTGGTCAAGAGAAATTGGACTGGTTGCGATTTCTGCGCAGCAAGCACTGCAATTTTTTTTTCCAAGTTTTTCCTCGGCAGTCTCGAAGGCCCTTTGTGCTTGGTCGGATGAGGTCACATCCGCCTTAATAGTGCAAGAGAACTTTTAATGTTTCCTCCATCCCGTCTTGATTTAAATCCAAAATTGCCACACTGCAACCTTCTCTAGCAAATAATTCAGAAATCGATTGCCCAATTTCACTTTCCCCTCCAGTTACAACAGCAGCCTTTCCCGATAATCTGTGCGACATTGTACAAAAATATCTTATTCGTTTAATTTAAAATCTGAAAGAAACGATCTTCATTTTAAATTTATAAACATCACATCGGTTTGTTCCCCATAATATTACCTATTTGAACAATAGCTAATGAGGCAAAAACTTGTTGTACATGTTAATAAACATCGGCACGAATAAATGATCTGGAATCCTGTATTCTGTATATATTTGCTCACAATGCGCCCTTCAGGCATTTGGTGTGTAGAAAATATTGGTAAACGCAAATATACGGACATAGCAATCATGGATAACGCGACAAAACACCATACTACAACATATTATAATAGTCCACGGGTGGCCAACCTGCTTTCGACCGCGATCGACTAAAATCTTCAAAATAGCTCGCGATCGACTGATCGTTAGGTCATAAGTTCATACAACCAATGCGTATAGAAGAATATGCAGATGACTGTACACACGCATACAAAAAATTCCATCGCTGCAAATAAGCCTGGCTATGTGGGCGCATTCTTGAATAAATCGCACAGTAAAAGTGCTTGTCTAACTTTTCGAACATAAAACGAGCCGATTTTTTAGCGTGTAATTTTTTTTCGCCCAAAGTAATTGAATCCATTAGGCATATTTCAAATGTCTTGCTTTACCAGTTTAATTGTGTCCAACTTAACCTGCGGTTGCTTCGACAAAATAAAAGCATTATTACTCTGAAATAATACGGCAATCTGCGGACATAAACATGTGTGGTAAAGTGCCCGAATATATATCGTTTTGCGATTTCGTGAACTCAACAAATGTGAGCAGCACTGGCTTCACTCTAATTTAAAGATTAGAGTGAAAATATTATCGTTAAAAAAATCTTTTCGTCTGCGATATCGGAGTAAAACTTATTTTAGTACAAAAAAAATTGATTGAATTTACTTTAAACTCATATTACTTTTATATCAAGTTGCGTTAGGCCCGTCAGTAATTTTAGAATTGATCAAAAGGTACATTGCGCTCAAAATTAACTGTCTCAATTTACAGTGACTATATGGTTTCAAAAGCCAATCAATCAAAATGTGCGTCATAGCACACGAAATTTGTCAGTTAACAATCTCTAAAATAGTATTGTGAGCTGTTGCGGTATTCCTAAATCAAAACTAACTTTTTCAATTATTTTTAGCATCTCGATTCTCGTCGCCGATGTTTATATAATAACTCGTTTTTCTCACTGGTTTCACAGTTCCGTGTGAGAAAAAAGTAATTACCGTCGTTCTCGTGGCACAAGACATATATATGTTGAGAGAAAAAAAATTGTGATTTAGGTGGAATAAACATCGACGTAAAGGTGTTTACGGATTAAATAACACGTCACGCTGACGAAAACAATCGACGATTTTAACAAAATGCAAATGCACGCGTTATTAGCGCCTTCTTCATTTCCCCAAAAATTCAATCTAGGGGGAGGGGGTCACCCCGAACTACAACCGTTGCGAATAAATTTATCACTCTCCTGTTGGAGTGATGCAATAACTTTCGCATGCTACAGAAGTATTGTAGGATCGTTCGTGAGTCAAGACGCACGAAATTCGGCAAGTTCATTTCTAAACTTCGGCAGCGGCGAAACTTTTGTTACGTAATATGCTTGCCCAGGCTCACATACTGTATATGTATGACGTATTTTGCGCATGTACAGTACAGTATTCTTTCTGTTTTGAAACACACGACAGGCGCTGCATAAAATTGGTTCGAGTAATTTTTTGTGGTATGTTATTAAATTCACTCACATCAGACGCGATCGACTACTTAATTAAGGAAAGGCGATCGACTTGTTGGCCACCCCTGAATTATATACAATTGAAAGCTACGACAGAAACAAGTTATTTAAAAATCTTTAATCAGATTTGTGTTTTTCGTCTTTTTGAATCGTGGCTTCAATGGCCAATAAGCTAAAATCAACTCGCTGATGATAAAAAATATCAATCAATGTTTGGCTCAGATATCTTATGCTCTGACAATTTAAAAAAATGATCAGCCGGCTTATATATTTAATACGATGCAAATATATATGTGTGCGATTCCCGTTGGTACCGATGCCCCTGTGTGTACCATAGATAACGTTCATCGGTGCAAAGTTGAAGGACCAAATATACGTGGGCTGAAACGTACGGTACATGTCCCCAGTTTCAGTTTGACAGCCAACATTGTTAAAAACTTTAATTCGGACAAATTTTGAATGATTGGGGATTAATCACTTATACTCAGCTCTACAGTATTTGGTTCAGGAGGTCCTACTTTCGCAAAAATTTTCAAATATACATTCACATTATCAAACATTTTATTCTCTCAGTATCGGCAAACAAATTTCTAAATTCAGTATGTGTATATATACATATAGCATGATTTTAGTCATATGATTGCAGAATATTGACAATGATTAGTGAGTTCTTTGGAATGCCAATCAGCATATCATCCCACTGTTAATTATAAACCATAGCCTCCAGTGATTTCGAGGCATGCCCCGTTCACGTACGAACTCTCATTAGATGCCAGGAATAAAATACATTTTGCTATTTCCTCGGGTTTTGCCAATCTTTTCATCGGTATTACCTCTTCAATCGCTTGTAGAAAATCTCTGGGAAACGTCTTTAGTAGTGGCGTTATAGTTAGGCCAGGTAACACTGCATTGCATCGAACTTTATGTTTTCCATATTCCAAAGCCAAGGTTTTGGTGATGCCAACGACCCCAAATTTAGAAGCAATATAATCGGACACTTCTGCTACGCATTTGATGACAGCAGCGCTCGATATATTTACCACGGTTGCTCGGGTGTCATTGGAATTAGTGTTAAACTTTTCCAGTGACAACAAAAATTGCTTGCACATTATGAAAGTACCTTTCAAATTAACTCGAATAAGGTCGTCGAAGACAGTTTCTTGCATCTGGTCAAAAGAAGATGGAGTGGTTGCTATTCCTGCACAGTTAACAAGCACTGTAATTTTTTTCCCAAGTTTTTCTTCGGCAGTCTTGAAGGCTTCTTTTGCTTGATCGGAAGAGCTCACATCCGCCTTGATTGTGCAATGTATATTACCATGATTCGTATCAAGAAGTTTTAGTGTTTCATCCATCCCATCTTGATTTAAATCCAAAATTGCAACACTGCAACCTTCTCTAGCAAATAATTCAGAAACCGATTGCCCGATCCCACTTCCCCCTCCAGTTACAATAGCAGCCTTTTCCGAAAATCTGAGCGACATTGTAATCAAATATCTTATTCGTTCCTATTTAAATCAAAATCTGAAAAAAAAACCATCCTCATTTTAAATGTCCATTTTTTTTTAATATTTTTTAATATTATTCTAGCTTAGCACCTTGCATAAGTATATAGCATATTGCGTGTAAGTTGTAACTTACTTAACTGCCGGCATGATTCAATTCTCACTCGCATGTAAGATCATTCAGCGATTGTAAGCTTCAGTGCTCTGCTGTATTTGCTGTAATAAAACTTCCGTTATGTCGGCATTGCAATATCAATGCAGGCAGTGATGCATATAACGAAACAATTTGAACTTGGTAACTTTCCGACACAGTATTTATTCATGAACCATGCATGACACTTAGTTAAAAGCATAAATCTCTTTGGATAAAACAGCTGCAATTTATATCCTGATATTGCATATATATCCTGAACTTGAGATCGATAGCTATCGCAACAAGTAATCGTAGGGTATATAATCAAAATGTATGATATCATTTCCACAAACAACACTCTTTGGGTAAAATGAGCGAATAATAGAGTTTCTGATATTTTTATTTATTTCCAATCTGGAATTCTGAACCTGACTTAATTGCAATAGAATTCATCTGTAGGTAGATTAATGATACATGTACAGTTAGTCTACATCGGTTGCTATTAGTTCACATTCATTACAATTGCATATCAGTGAAAACACTTTCTTCTCTAAATTTTTGCTGGGAAGTCTCATGGTCACCAGCGATTGTTATCTCTTTCTCCATCAGTCTTAATTAAATCAACGATGCGTGCATGATGCTTAAACTTGATTGATGGTAGTATTTGCAAATAGCATAGCTCACATGTTTCCAGGAGTTTGCATACGCCTCATCGAATGCTCGCACAAGAAGCCCGAAATCTTGCAACAGCAAACACACGGAACATGGATCGTACCTGATCTACTGTAGAAATCTGAGCCTCATCTCAAGACAAATAAGAAAGTAATGTCCGAGGGAAATTCTTATTCTCTAGCGGCCTAGCCCTTTTTATCAATTTTATTTTAAAAGCAGAAACGGAATTTAATAACAGTAATCTAGGACCAGCTTCGATCAAAGTTCAAGGAGACAAAAGAAATCAACAACAAACAACACAACAATATTAGTGAAAACACTTTCTCTAGCTTTTTGCTGGAAACTCTCAATGTCACCATAGATTGGTATCTCTTTCCCCAAGAATCCGTCTTATATGTCAACGGTGCGTGCATGAAGCAATGTTCAAATAAAAGAACATGGAAATCACGAAGATGTTGTGATCGAGTATGAGCCACGACCAGCCATGAGTGAATCTCCGATCCGCATCCAGGAAAGTACGAATATGAATATATATTTGCTATTGTGAATTTTTTAATGTTATTTAAACCCATATTATTAGTATGTTCAACACGGGGATTTGATATCGTTCGTTTTGATATCGTTTCCTTTTTGGTGATTTACTCGCGTCAAGCTTAATGCAACGTTGCTTGTACCGAGAAGATTGGTGACGCATTGTCGGCCTTCGGACGAGAGTGCTTTTTTGTCAGCATGTTCTTTGTCAGCCGTAAATTGAATTTCAACCGTATACTAGTAATAAAGTTTGAAGTGTATTTCAGTGTCTGCTTATAGGAGCAATTCGATTGTGCGACTTGTACGATATATAAACATGTGGCATCTTAATCTTAACCTTCGAATTCCTGATATTACGGGGTATAGGACAAGCAGAATACGAATCTACTTTCTCTAGAGCGTGGTGTAATTTGCCATCGAACTGACTCCGATTAGTTGCGGAAGCAACGAACCACAGAAACAACCACCAAACAACACAATTATCAACAACAAATAGATCTTTTATACAAAGCCCCCATCACTAATGAAAAAATGCGAGATTTGAGAAAATCACACCCGCCACGTTTTAAAATAACAAATAACCGGTAGTAACTATCTAGTTAAGGTTCGGAATGATTTAAAAATTTGAATTTTGGAGCAATCTGCATTTTTAGCCCCAACCGGATAATTACTATTTTATTTTGGGCGGTTGCAGGGGTGTTTTTTTGGCAGGTGCTTCGTGCAAAAGATCCCAACAAAATAGCAAAACAGCCCGGGGTCCACTTCGTATCCAATAACTTTAACAATGATGGGTTGCAATGTTACTTTTATGATACAACAATCGAAACGTTCAAAATGACGTATAGCAAATACTTCCAGGATTTGTTTCTACCTAATACAATGTCATTTAATGTTTGTAATATTCTTTTTAGGCTTGTACTTTCGTCCAGCATTGCATTCTTTGTTTTTGTGGACAATACACTCAAGTAAATATTGACAATTTGAAATTCTTTCAGTCACGCTGTAAGTTTGCGATGTTTGTTTGAGCTGGACAGTGAAGCGTTTAAACCCAATACATACGTATTTGTGTTTCGACTATATTCGCTTCTTTCCGTGAATATTAAATTTGTTCTCCCCAGTTTAAGTAATAGAATGGCAAATGAAATATAAAACGTGTATGTAATAGACATCTAAATTCCATTTTCAGATTCGTATTCAAGAGCTTTAATTGAACCTAAGGCCCTATAATGTCGCTTTATCGATTATCGGGGAAGGCTGCTATTGTGACTGGAGGAGGAAGTGGAATAGGACGCTCAGTTTGCAAAGTATTTGCCCGAGAAGGTTGCAGCGTTGCGGTTTTGGATTCAAATCAAGACGGAATCGCGGAGACTATAAAACTTATGGACAGTAAACAAGACTGCATACACTGTTCCATTAAAGCTGATGTAACCTCATCTGATCAAGTTCAAAAAGCCTTCAAGACCGCTGAGGAAGAACTTGGAAAGAAAGTGACTGTGCTTATTAACTGTGCAGGCATCGCACAAACCCAACGTTTTCTCAGCGAAACGGAAGAGCAAGTTTTTGATGATACCATTCGAGTTAATTTGAAAGGTACCTTTATAATGTGCAAGCAATTTATGATGTCGTTAGGAATATCCAGAGACGACGAGGACACCAGAGGAATCATAGTCAATGTATCGAGCCGGTATGGAATACAAGGATTCCCAGGAGTGTCGAGTTATTGTTCTTCTAAATTTGGGGTAATTGGATTAACTAAAACTGCTGCGTTGGAATATGCTCAGCATAAAGTTCGTTGCAATGCAGTGTTACCTGGTCCTACTAAAACACCGTTACTCGAAACTTTTCCGGAAGACCATATTGCTTCTCTTGAAAAAGATATTCCCATGAAAAGAATAGCAAAGCCCGAAGAAGTAGCAAGCTGTATTTTATTTCTGGCATGTGAAGAAAGTTCGTTCGTAAATGGGGCATGCTTGGAAGTCACTGGAGGATATGGCCTATAAGTTATGGAAAGACGACTAATACTTCTGTCTACTAAATTTCACGACTGGAATCTAATCAAATTCAAAATCATTGGTATATGAATACTAAAAGTCGCTCGTCAATTCCACAGCCATTGATCATATCATGATTTCACCTGACCTGGAACAGTACTTCAATCGCCAACAAATATCTTCGATTTTCAAACCATCCCATGTAATTAAGTGTTTACGTGATTCTTTTATCCATAAAATAAGAATTGAATAAACACTAAATAAAGTTAAAATTTGATCGTTTGCTTAAGGTTTAGAACACCGTTCATTACACATTTCGCAATGGATATATAAAATAGGCGGAACGGCTGATGCAGAGAGTCTTGCGGTTGGAGTAGGATTTTCATATTTATTCATGGGGAGAGGAAAGCCAATAATACTGCTTAATCATATGGTGTACCACAGCCTCTCGTCGAGTTACCGAGTATGGGATTAGTTAGCGAGTTTTATGTTTTAAATGCATTGACTGGATGATGGCGGAAGCCTTAACCGTCAACTGACCACCTGTTACGTAAACGACCCTATGGCGATTGTATCCGAAACATCGCGATGAGCGCTGACAAGTTCCCCGTAAGCGCACTGCTGATTAGTACAGGACAGGGGTTCCAAAACTTTTTCAGCTTGCAGCTTCACACTAACAGCGAGATGAAAAAGTCGCGGCACAACTCTTACAAATCAGTTTTATTAAATCCCTTATCCGTAAATATTATTCTTTCGACAGTTAATAAGATTAAAACAAGATTTTGCGGGTTAATTGCAACAAGTCTTGATCGTTTTTAGCTTTTAATTCATGTCTGCGCAGAAAATTAACATCTGCAATCTATATATACCGACAATATAACAAAAAGACTAGTAACAGACCCACATAAATTATAAAATATAGATGATTTGAGACAAAAAATAGCCCGGTATGCGTTATAAAGAAAGCTATAATTGCCTTTGACCTAATGCAAAATTAGGCAAAGAGTTCTCACTACTACGTCATCAACGGGACATACTTTATGCAAACGGTGAACGATAAATGCAAAATTAGGCGAAGAGTTCTCACTACTACGTCATCAACGGGACATACTTTATGCAAACGGTGAACGATAAAAATCTGTAAAAGTTATATAGAATCAAATTTGCCACAAAAATGTTTGCTTGATAACCCACCTCAAAGAGTCTCTTCAATTTCTTGACTGTTGCTGACAGTTTGAAAAAGATTGTCTAGTTGAAATCTAGCGACTTTGTATTGAGCAAACTTGCATTGTTGGGTTGGTGTCGAAAACGTATAACGCAATATATATTGGAGAAGTGTTGCATATTGCATCACCTACCGGTACCGGTGGACACAGAATAATCTTCATACAAGGTGAATTAAAAAACGGAACCCATAGAATATGTTCCAAATGGACTGGGTTCCGGTTTGGGGTTACCGAACTACACCCATCACTGATTGCAATGTAATAAAGTTCATGTTGCAGTGCTGATTATTGTGAAAAAAATATCAGGAATTTTGTGAAAATTCGCGGCACACTTTCAAGACCTTGCCGCGGCACACAGGGAAACTCTGCATTAGTACATGAAAACCGAGATTGGGTATCATGCAAGACATTTAAAAATAAACTCGGTTTAGGTTTTAATATTATTAAATCTGTGCTGAGATTCTGAATTAGGAACAGGTTCCCTTTATATTAAATTCATAATTTTCTTTCTATATATCAGATACAAATTTTCTTTACATCTTATACAGAATTTGCGAAACGCCAAATATAGAACCTAGTCGTCAGCTGCGGTCCACGTTACCGATTTGATTCCGTCTTCTTGTCCAAAATAGAAAACAAGAACAGGTTCCATGATTATCAAACCATTTCAAGAAGTGGTTTTGGCATGCCCGCTGAATCCCACCACTACAGTAAATGCCGCAAACCCCTGAGAATTGAGCCCTTGATAAACTATATTGCAAGTATAGTCTATACATGACATGGGCAAACTATGGTATCCAGCCAAACCCGGCCCGTTGGGTTATTCAATATGGCCAGTCTGATGCTGCCACAGCCGAACTAAAGCCTAATTTTGATGTTTTAACTAATAAATAGCTTAAGAAATTTGTTGAAATTGCGATTAAATTTAGTTTTGGCCCGAGGTTTATTGTTTTCCACTTTGACATTTGTAACACTGTAATTATTGTTCATAAAATGTAACTTTTTATGTCACACTCACATGGCCGGCCAGTCTAAGTGGGCAAAATTTTTGGCCTGTGGTTTGAAAACCTTGCCCACCCACCCCTGGTCGATACCCTAGCTCAACGGTTGGAAACCACCGGGCTGCGGCCCATCGCCGTCTGTGGAAAGGTTACTACCGGCCCGCAGAAAGGTGACACAAAAACGGACAGGGGCCTAATAACATCTCTACAATCCAACCACAAACCCTATGACTAAAAACAGCAAACCAGACAAACACAACACATTAGTTATTGCTAAACGAACATCAAACAATACCCAGATATTGATTCAGAAGCTGTTACCTTCAGGAATTTTCAACCTGCTAGAATGAACTTACAAACTGCAAAATGCATCAAACACAAAGAAGTCGATTCAATGTATTTTTTTAGATGTCCTAACAAAACATCAGTAGAACAGAGCTCAACTGAAATTGGCTCAATTATATTTTTGTTTAGAAAACCAAGAATCAGCATTTTATCAAAAATTCAAGCATGTGTAGCTTAAAGAGGATTTGAGTATGAATATCAAAATTCTGCTCACTGGTGGAATTTTGAATATTCTTCTCAAAATTATAAGGAATGAGTATCATTCTAACTGGACACAGGACATATATAAGGAGCCAACGAACAGTAATTGGCTTTCCTCATTCATTATGTGTACAACATTCTACAGTTCAACGTTGGCAATTTTTGAAATCATACAAACTCAAAAGCAGGAACTTTTGTTGAAGGTCTATCTTTTTCAGCTAGGGTTTCAGAGAGAGAATGTATGCCATCTTTATCAACAATACGAACTCTGACAGCAGGTATTTGAATGATAAATCTTTTACGCAGCTATAAAAATGGGAAATATAGATAATTTTAAATGTTGCTTTATGCTATGCCTTTGACCCAGTGGTCTACCAGTCAAATTGGTCAATTTTGCTTGGTGATTGGTCAATATGTGGAATTCACAGTCTTAGCTAGGAACTTTGAATGATTTTCTTCTGATGTCATGATTTACAACATTATACTAATTATGATCCACTGGAGACTTGGACTTGTGACATACTCTCATTCAGGATGATGAGTAGTCTTATGACTAATGTGTTCATAATGCTCAGATAAATGAGCCAACCAACTGTTGGAAAGGATTCGAATCAAAACTCAATGAACAAAAATTTTAAATAAAGATATAAAAAACAATACAAACCTCTTGCATGCATTTATCCAAGATTTCAACTGCCTCAAGTTTGGATAAATCTGGACGATACAGTCTGTCCAATATAGAAAGACAAAAATATGAACCGTAACCATGAGCAGCAAAGGGTACCTCCATTGACGATGCCAAGTAATCCATGAAATACAGTGCCGGTCCCATGTCTGGATCAACACCACCTATCAACAGGTTTGCCATATATGGAGTCTGTTGAAAATAAAAAACATTATAAAAAAGTGAAACTAATCAAATAGGAAATTTATCTATCACCTTTTATTATTCATAACTCAGTTCTCCTGTAGTATGCGAACCGATATGGCGGACACCTGAATGTAGTATGTGCACCAGGTTGGGGTTAGGCCATAATTTCAGGTACAAATACTACGGGAGTTACTTGGCTAGTCCCCGAACTTGTAATAGAACTAAGAAAAATTGGAATAAAATTATGGTAGAACCTCAAAGAAGTTCAGCAGTACTATTCACTGACACAGCCTCACATGGATTTTTGCACTGAAATTTTGATTGATGCTGTTTGACTCTCCCAAAAACATTGAGGTACTCCAAAAACAGCAATAAAAAAAGATATTTTGACAATTTTGTACTCGAAAAAAAAAAATTTGCTCTATTTTATGTTCACCATAACAGACACTTATCATTAAACTTTTTGCTTTCATATTTAGTCTTTAGTGAATCATCCATACACAGTAAAGATGCCCTATGGTTTTTCCGAGAACTTACAAATATAACTGCTCTATATGGATCGATGGATTGATAACAATAAAAAAATTACCCTGCTCCTTAGATATTCCGCAAGATTCCTTCGTGTAAAATTAGCTGCGGCTCGTGTAGACAATTCATATCCATTTCTCAATTTATAAAGAGTTAAATTTTTCTGAATATATTCTGAGAACTGATCCCTGTCCCCAGGTTCACCAGAAACGGCCATTAATGTGTTCGACCCCAATTTGACCATTTTGTCTTCATCTGTAAAATGAATAAGTCACAACGTGGAAATTCTCAAAATCTTTTCGATGGTTTTTAGTAAATTGTGCACTATTTTTGAACCATGATTCATGATCACTTTTAATAGTTTGATAATGTAAACGAAATTTTTCAAATAGGTATACTTTAGAGATTATAACTGATACCGGTACCGGTACCGGTATTGACTAAAATTATTACTCTAATACTAGGCCCTATAGCTTGTAAAAAAATCATTTTGTATCAACTCAAGTTTGCATAACATTCGATAAGAAATCGCATTGAATACGCAGATATAGAACTGTCATGCTTAATGCTGTATTGATAAAAATAGAGTAGTTCATTATGTTATAACTGATTGATTTCAATACCGGTACCGGTATCAGATCAAAACCATAAAAATATGCAATAACTGGTGCAAGTACTACGGTACTGTAACTAGGTCGGTACGGTACCGTACTTACTGTCTGTGGCAGTGTAGACAGAAAACCAAGTGACCCCACGCGAAACAGCGGAAGGGCTTTACACCCCTATATACAAGAAAAATAAACTCACAGATCGCCTACCTTGTTGAAATACCACAATACTCCTTGCTGCAGAAGTATCAGCAGCAAGCAATACAAAATCTGGACCTCTGATTCCAATTAAAAACTCCATAACTTCACTGCACAGATCAAAATAGCGAGCGGTGAATTGAGAAACGATAACGGTATAGTGATATCATGAATCAGCTAAATCAATTTTGTACGCAACCTTAGTCAGCAATTTAGTCTATCACTAACTCTGGAGTCACCGGACTTAATTTTGACCGTACCATGGAATTAAATATTGAGAAAATAGATTTTTTTTTATGAAAAAAATAAACATTTAACGGGAAAATAAGTGCTCCCATTGGACGAGTAAAAATTTCAAAGAATTCAACTTCGCAACTTGACTACGGACTTCTCGTACTTGCGTTTTCAGAGTGATCAGAGCCATTATATAACTCTGGAGTGATGTTGTTTTTAATCGTGTTTTTTTTTACTTTACTGAGTATACCGGGTTTCCCCCAAAATAAGACCTAGCCTGAAAAAAGACCTAGCCTAAATTTTGAAAATGAATTCAATATAAGCTTCCACATAAAATAAGACCTAGTCGATAGCGCGAATTTTTTTTTACCGAGTCGATGGCAAGAAATCTCTCCTACACGTTTTAAAATTTAAATGAATAATCTCAACGCGTGAACGGGTAAAGGGTTATTTATAAGTAAATGGATATCGGTTTCCAAATTTTGTATATTTGAAAATCTCGTACTTCTCTACTTCGTAATTTTGTTTTTGATAAATGAGAATAAAAGACATCCTCTAAAAATAAGCCCTAGTGTTATTTTTCGAAAGAAAATTGAAATAGGACACTGTCTCATTTTTGAGGAAACACGGTGCGAGAATACGTCCGCAGGTTTTAATTTACCTTCAATTCCAGTTTTATTTGCGTTCCCCAGTTTCCTCTCTTCAAACATATTATTTTCATACTTTGTGTTGTGAGACGGGAGAATGAAAAATTACTCATGAATGAATTAGAGTATTTACAAACGATTATTCAAAAACAAAACGGAAGGGTTAATTAGTAACTGCCAGACAAGCTGTAGATACGAGAATCCGTAGATTTTATTGTAGAGTCGGCAGGAATTTATTTCTATCGTAAAATATGACAATACTGTACTCAAGGCTACTAATTTGATACGCTGGCTTGGGTCAAATTACAGGCGACAATTACCCGCGTTGAACATTTAGGCAACATAAATAGCCTGGGGCAATCTCAGTGCTCCGATATTTGAAGTAAAAGATGAGTCCGAAAGAAAAATTTGTTTAGTTGAGTTATTATTATTATAAACAGTTGCTTTCTCTCGAGAACAAATATCAAAATCATTTGTACTCAGTTACTCTACTGCTTGGCATGCGGGATCGTGATGTGAATCAGTTTTATTTGCACTAACTTACTAGAAGTAACTTACGAAACCCGTTTTCGGGGCAGCAACCAAGGAGGATATAAAACAATACGAAGTATGTTTCAGAGGCGGTTTTGGCTATTATAGCACCCACATTTCAATACAGTTTTGCTCATATTTGATGTGATTTCAAACTTTTATTGAGTTTTTCAAAAAACTTTCAGTACATGTTCCCCCTTAGTTACATTTTCAAACTTGACTAGAGTGAATTCTTGCATCAACCAGTACCTAAAATGTAAATAATCAACAGGTAAACTAGAGAACCCAATGACTCCGATAAAAGCTGTATAAGGAGCAGAATTCTTAAAGCCGAATCATTCGCCAATAGATTGTGGAATTTGTACTATTTGAAAAGAAATTAAAGTGTATAATTACCATTATTCTTAATTTCTCTTATTTCGAATTAGACTGGTAGAAAGACAAAATAGGCTAGTACCGATAAATTATAAAATTTGCTGCAATGATATGGCTAAAGCACCGTCCAATATTTAAAATTTGTAGAGTTGTAGCTGAACTTGCGATGTTGGTGGTATGTCTGCTTTATTTCATGTCGCCGAACAGGATACTTCGTGAAGATATTAGAAGAAATTCAGAAGAAACAAGTGAGAAATCTGCCATACTTATTTTAAAATCTTGTATATATTATATATATATATATATATATATATTAAGATGAATGTAATTAAAGGCAGAAAATGGAATTTTATATAGTTAAAATATTGTCCTTTCAGTTAGTAAAGTGTTTTGGTGAAACAATAGCATTTTTGAAATTGAAATCAATTACAGTTTTCTATTAAAAAGTGGAAATACGATTTCAAGTCATTTTTATATGCCAATAACACTAATCAATAATTTATATCAACAAGTAGAAAAACATTTTTCGCTTTGTCTTCTTGGTGTGTATCCATGCCACCTTATTATAATAAGCTATGTCACACTAATAGTATATATGGCAATCCAGTGGTTAGCAGGTCGAATAAACTCCATCTAATAAGTGCACCAAACATGACGAGGCGTGTTAAGTTAAATAAACAAAAAAGTCAATACACTGTCTTATTTTTGGTCACAGTTCCTATTCGTAAACAGAAAGACGCGGACGAAATATCACGTTTGCTGGCAATGCGCCAATGGAACTGTGAATCTCGTAAATCGAACAAGTTCCAGTCTGAAGGAGAGAAGGTAATTTACGAGCTTGCAAAGTGAATAGAAACGTTTGTGTAAGCTATTATAATTACGCTGAAAATCCTTTAGTAATATAGAACTACCCAAGGCCATGCCAAACATAAATTTTTCAGGTTAAAGATACAAACGAATTGTGTCCAAAATGGGCAAATGAACTGGACTGGAAACCATCTGATAAACCGCTAATTCAATTAAATCCAGCCCGAATAATATATCCAGCAAATCAAAATGGGCCGAGCAATGAACTAATTTCGTTTCAGGAAGCAATATTCATTGGAATTGAAACGAATAGGTATGTTTAAAATATTCATCAGCAGTTTCACATTTTTTTTTTGAGAATTAATTATTCGGTTGCAGACACAATATTTTGCAAATACCCTACTGATACCGGTCGAGTATAGCGCACGCATGAAGACGTATACTGTAATTGAGAAATTTCACTTATGGTTGACTCAACCACCTGATTTTAGACTTGAACTGACTCACGTTAGTTGCGATAATGACTCATCTTGAGACATGTCCGTTTGGTGAAATTACCTAAATTTAATGATGACCAAAGATTGTACGTACATTAGGGCATCTAATCTCACGACTTTGGGCAACTGTTTGCTAGGCACTTAACGTCATAATTTCATACCTTTTATTTGATAGAACAGTTGTCGTTCCTCAGTTTTTACCCCATAGAATGGACAGAGATACGTTTCACGAAAGTGAAGTGCCAGCTTCAAGGAGGGTTGATCTCAACTTTCTTTCACGCTTAGTTTCTATGGTTACGGTTGATAAAATGCAGGAACTGTGCTATTTGAAATTTGATGTCGGATTTCAGGTAAATTGTGTTATCATTCATCGCTCGATAAGGCGACATTTTATTTCCTAATTTAGTAATTTCCACAAAATTCCAATACCAAATGCGTTTTCAGCAACGCTCTTGAGAGAGTAGTGGGATATTCGATAACCATGCTCATTTGTGAATGAAACTTTGAACAGAACAATCTGATTGTATTTTTTCTGCTCAAATTTTTATCAGAAACAAGACGCGGAATGCAATTTTTTCTCTTATCTCAAAAAAACAAGCGGAATGATTCCAGGGAGCACACATGATACTGTACTCGGTACAGATGGTTTCACGGAAATAAAAATGCTGAAGAAACACGATCGCGCGTGTGAACCTCCTTCATTTCCAGTGCGAAGAATGGCAAAAATTAAACGAGCCATGCGTGTGGACGACGTTAAATATAATTATAGGTAATAATAATAATATTGTTGAGGTGTTATAAACGAATATATTACATACTTAAATTTTCGTAGCTGTTAATTATTTATGTATCATAAATTCCAGTATATATTCATTCATTTGTGTTATTCATTTGTGGTTATTATTTTGCTGAATTATTAACATTTTTTAAATGAAGTCTTAAATTTTATAACGCAGGTCGGACTTGCCGTGTGCGGTTTTAATAGATACTTACAAAACATTCACAAATGATTTTGATGGCTTTGATCAAGCAATATTGGACAAGGCAATCAATGATATCAACTCTCTCACACATGAAGATTTAATCGGAGCAAATAGTCGAACAAAATTCAAACTGGTTGAAATATTTACGAAAAGACCAAGATATATTCGTGAAATAGCAAAGGAATTCATTGGAAAGGTTATGCAAGGTGATGAATATATAGCGATGCACTGGAGGTTAGTATGTGTTCTTTATCGAGGCAAATACAGAAATTGCTAAGTTAGCTACCAATATATATATATTATAGGTTGTCATAATCGTCGATATTGGTCATTTCGACATGATAGAATAGCATCGTCCATTTCAATAATCGATGTTATCGATTATATTTGATATGAACGAGAAGTTATGATATCGGTCAATCTCTGGCTCCAACTTATCATAATTTCCGTCCTCTGTGTTTTTCGTTATTTTTTTTCGTTAGCATTCAGCCAAAGAGAATAATCTAGAACGAGAATTACATGAAGACGAATGACGAAGGTGTAGATGTTTTTCTTTTTTGATTTTTCAATAAAAATGACAAAAATAGGAAGGTAGTTAGTTCTAACTTCCAATTCATTGATCGACCATACAATGCAACTCCCCATGGCAAACAAAATTTTAATTAAAATTGTTAACTCGATGAGGAATTTGTTTTTCAGATACAATCATGAATTTATTTGCTTCCATAAATATCCATTTTGCGCCCAAATAGAAAAAGTGGAATCTCGTGACCTCTCAGAAGTCATTATCTTAGCAAGCAAAAATTTCACCTCTAGCAAGGTAAAGAATTTTAATTTAGTTTTAGTGAGTCAATTTCCCAACCTGATAATTCATTTATTCTTCAAACGAAGCAACCACTGGCATAGCCCCACGGTATGAGCATGAACATGATTTCTCACGGTCACTTCAACTTATAATTGATAGCCATTTGTGATATGCTGAACTAGACCTGTTCTGGACCGGATATAAAATAAAATAACAACCGAATCTACAATAGGCTCTAGCAGTATTTAGTACAGTATACTATATTTCGGTTATTCGTACAGGTTTCGAAATATTCCAATTGTGATGGGACTCAAGTCGTGCACGTCTATTTGGCCACTGCGACAACCGACTACGAAACGGTAAGTACTAGATTAATTTATTTAGATTCACAATCAAGTTCTATTGATGGATTCGACAAAGCTTGTAAAAAATTTATGCCCCACCAGATAAGTCATTGATCACTTACCAGTTTCAAAGGATTTTCATTCATTCTTTTTTGACGGATAGCTGTAACAATAATTTCTACTAATGTTCATTTATTCTCTTTACGCAAATCATCAAGTTTCTTTCATTTCTATTCTTTTTTGGCTGTTTTAATTGTTAATTATATGCATCTATATTTTGCCCCATTTTCTCAAATATATATCTTTTCAACCGCCGCACTTGTCGTGTATATGAACTTATTCACCACAGTGCATTATAAAAATAGGTTGAATATCCCATTTCTAGATCAAATTTATGACAAAAGACAGCGACTTCCAACGAGAAATATTTCGTAAAATTTTGAAAAAAGAAGGAAAAGCCGACGAAATTTCATATTACGGTGATCAGCGATGCTGGAAAGTTCAACTTTTCAATAAAGTTGACCTATATCGGTTCATCGATTCACACTATCCCAGAGAAAAGTGTTCAGTCATTTGGAGAGATACACACGAACTCATAGCTCTAGTAGAAAATGAAATTTGCAGACAAAGCTCAATTTTTATCTATTCCCCGGAATCTGCATGGTCGGAAATTGCCATGCAAACGAGAACAAACAATGTACCAGTTTGGGATGTTTTATCTGAACTTGCCGAAATAAATGCTATTGATGAAATATATTAATAAATTGCCTATCTTAATGCAAACACATTTGCATTGACGAAATCGGTTTGAACAAAAGCGACTTTTTTAACAATAGTGTCGATTCGACCCATATCAACGCTCGTATGATGGTTGAATAAACCTTCTGTCCGCGCTTAACCACTTACGTTCACTCCTAAGGAACGGTTACACGGTTAGATCTTTATATCCCAGGGATAGTATGTAGGCCTAACCGCCTAACCCATGCCATCAGATACACAAACTATCACCTTGGGGATAAATTACATTTGAGGAACTAAAAGGGGGATACATAAATATGTATATACAGTAGGTACATAGGCCTCTCGTGGAACATTTAAAAACGACTGCTCCCACACAGTCTCAACTCCAGTTAAGCGTTTTTTGTGACCTATCTTACCGATGTGCATAGCTAGCGCAATTTTATAGATCCAAACGAAACAATATTACTTCGCAAATTACCATAATACAGGTGGTGATCCAGTGGAAAGTTCTGCTTCGCGCTCATGCTATGCAATTACTCCAACTTACTGTTATACTCATATTAGCCTGTGATAATATGCGTACTTTTAACACTTTTTTTGAGTGAATTGGGTTGATTTGCTAATGTAAACTTGGGAGTGCAAACAATCCTATTGATATTAGAGGACAAAAACTCTAATGTGAAGCTTGGGCGATAGTGATTCTGGTTGTAGGCAGAAAAAAGATTGAAATCCCATGAATCGGCAAAAACAAAGTTTATCAAGTTCTTTAAACATGATTATCGACAAAATAGTAAATTAAGTAAGGAAGAATGTCCTCGAAACTGCAAAAGCAACAAAAAGAAATGCAACAGTCGGTAATGCCGAATTTTTTTTTTTTTATAAAAAATAAAAGGGTATCAGAAATAATGTTAAACTTTTGTTCCACGTTATTGAATTTTGAAAATCACATGTACTCAAAATGAACTAACATGACCACGGTATGTTAGTCGTTGATGACCACTAAACTGGAACAGGTTTTATATTAAACCTTTAACCCCAAAAACACAAACAATGAATTTATGCAAATGATGCATTCGCCGGGTCTCTGATCTCTGGATTTCAGTTCATTTTCAACGACTCGAAATGTATAATACTCGTAGTCTGTGGAGTGCTTGCTTCCGACGAGGGGGATGGATATCTATTCAGTCAGACCTCCAGTCAAGATTAGGTAAGTTACGTATGTGTTTTCTTTGCTCATTGTTATTTTAGTCCACTGATCTATCATTCAGCCATATGCATATCACTCTCATATATCAGTATATCTTATCATGATATAGGATAGGATTTACATATTTATCCCGATGATATGTAATATTTCAGGATTTTTTTTCATAAATTTCCATGCTATGCTCATTGGTGTGTTATACTAACTGTACATACCCCCCCCCCCCCTGTCTGCCTGTTTATATGGCGCGGCGGTGTGGCTCAACGGGCTAAGCGTTAGGAATACGCTCGCCACCGCACCTCTAATTACTCTGCGTGGGTTCGCAGGTTCGAATCCCATGCAGGGATGGTTATGTGCGAGAGGATTGCTGGACTCCTCGCCGCCGTTGGGTGGTTCACGTAACCGCTGGTCGGTTACCGGTACAGCTTCCTCCACGACCAAGTCCATGCTTCCGAAAACAAACAATACAGTAAAACTAATCCCATACCCGACTTGGAATGGTAACCGGACGAGAGGCCGTGATTCGCCATATGGATAAGCCGCCTTATCGGCTTTCCTTTCCCCCGGGATAAATATGTAAATCCTATCCTATCCTATAAATTATCAGACATTACACAATAAGTCCACTTTGCTTATTTTATTGAATGCCATATATTTTTGATGGTACTGCCATAGTACCAGGTTAGAGTTAGACCATAATTTTATTCAGATTTTCTTAATTTTAGTTCTATTACGAGTTCGGGGACTGTCTGTGTTAGCCAAGTAAATATCTTCCTGCGAATAGGTTTCAGTCCTTTTACACAACTTCATGTAAAATAGACCAACAAAATTAGTTACCTCCATATTGGTACACATACTTTAGAAGCACCGTTTTGACAATAGATACCATTTAGTCATAATATGGACCAAGACTGTAAACCATGCACCTAGAGGGTAACTTAGTTGCTTCATTATTTTACATCATTATGGTTTTTTGAAACACAGTTGTTTGGTGATGAAGTATACGTTTTTGTGAAATTTTCTGAATCGAAACATTTAACACAGGAACTTCTTTGAAACGATTAGTTGTGAAAAAGACTCATTTTTCATCTGAATTGACTTCACTACCTTGCCTATGCAGCACTAGCAGCAAATGTTATTCCACTCAGAACGATAAATCGAATGAGAACAGTCCTGAAGCAGGAAAATCCACTACAACTCAAAAACTTACCTCAAAAGATAGACTTAAAATAATAACAACTCAATATGGTGCGTTTGGAATGGCTTTCCACATTACTATATCACTTGCATCATTGGGATTCTTCTATTCTCTAGTATACATGTAAGTAGAAGCAAAATAAAAAGGATTTTCATTTGTTTTCCAATGCTGACCAGACAAGGAAAAACACTTGCTTACATGTTTTGTTTAATTTCTCACATGGTGGACTGAACAATGCTGGAAATACTAGACCAGTGGATGGGAACTTCATATTTATCCTGGGGGGAAAGCGGTGGAAGAAATCTGACATGACAGTTTAATCATATGGCGAACCACAGACTACTCTCGTCCAGTTACCAGTCCATTTTGGGTATGGGTTTAGTTAACTAGGGAACAGTTTGGCAATCACTGCACTAGATCATCATTCATAGAATACATTTCTAACTACTTAAATAGCTTATTTTTATTGTTCTTGTTACATAAATTGTTAATTTATTATTCAGGGGTGTTGATATGGCATCATTGTTTAATTGGTTTGGAGTTGAAAGCTCTTCATTTACAACTGGAGCTAGTACTTTTATGATTGCATATGCAGTGCATAAGGTAAGTTGAATGCTGTTAAATTTGGAAGAAATAAACAATCACCCGATTGTTTATAATGTTTGCATGCATATTTGATGATTCATGATAGATACATATAGTGGACAGGATGTATGTACAAGACTGTTGATTGTAAACACACAATGTGCGAAACGCTTAATTAGGGATGGGCAATATAGAATAAAATTTACTATTCTAGAATAGTTGAATCGAATCCAGAATACCGAATTCTATTTCATATTTAAATAGTGGTAATTTTCCCACATTGATGGATTTAGTTGTTAAATTGTAAAAACAGGCATTTCCCAGGACAATGAAATTTAAGAACATTACAATATTTTTTCCCTTGAATTGTTCAAAATGTGTGTACGGTAATTTCTAAATGCCGATATGCTAAATTAAAACTTGCTTTAGACACTTTAATAATAAACGGTTAAATACAAAAATATATATCAAACGGCATTAAATCATTAATGTTAGTGCCGAGAATACTTAAACTAAACTCAATAAGTTTTTTAATTTATCGTCGACTAAAATACCACACACACTCGATCAAACGTATGTCGATCTTGAACGATAGAAACGGACTTGAACAACGAAAAATATGTAATCTTTCGGAAGTGAAAATAAATGTGACAGTTCGCCTTGTTTTGCGATATACAACATCGTTTTTCGAAAAATGGTGCAGTAAAAGTACTAAAATTAATCACGAATAATATTGGATCCAAATTGATCGCAAATAATGTCGCGAAAATCATTTAATGTAAATTGAAGCAAGGCACGACTTTTAAAATTAAAGCTTGTTGCAACCAGTTTATCGGAATGTCACCAGTCACGCTAACTAGATCGTAAAGGGGGAAAACGCAAAAATGGTGCGATAACGACTCTTCGCCGTGAGGTGTTCATCGCCGTCTTCTTGTTCTGAAAATGCCGTTGAGATTATCGTGTTTGATGTTTACCGATTTTGCGGTAATATATTGCCCATCCCAGTTAAGTTAAGCTATTGTTTTTTTGAAATTTGACTTGATAAAATCAATACAGCCGCAAAGTCTTTTTCATTAGTAAACAAATGTTTGACTTGATAAAATCAATACAGCCGCAAAGTCTTTTTCATTAGTAAACAAATGCTAATGCCATATTTAGTTCTGTAGAAGCAAAGTCCGAAATCACCCTGGTGGAGACTAATAGTACCAGTGGTAATATGGGCGTCATGGATTTCTTTCACATTTCACAAGTGCATGGTCTCTTATTCACATTTCTTTCTACAGCCCACTAAGCGCTGCCTTCAATTGTTGATAATACATGGGACTGAGTATTCCGTTTCAATATGTATCAGATATTTGAATAATCCATATAATAAAAATAAATATTCCTGATTTACTGTCTAAAATGTCTTCCAGATTTTTGCTCCTGTTCGAATTGGAATTACATTTGTGTCAGTGCCTATTTTGGTGAAGTACTTCAGGAATATTGGATTTTTCAAGAACAAATGAAGTGCATTGTTGTATGAAGTGACTTCATCAGCTTATGCTTTTGAATTGGGTGATCTGCAATAACTCCAAAGCATGAATGCAGGCCATTCGCCGCAACCCTGCCTATAAATTCTCTCAGTCGTCTATCCGATAGGGCGTGTAAGGACATTTTTTATGTTACCTGTCTGTTAGTATAATACTTACGGTCCTATTAATAATGTTTAATACTATTATTAAAATATAATACAATATTTTGAATGTGTATGGAGACTGCAATTTTATACTTGTTTGGCATCGTTGTCAACTTGATAAGAGATCCTTTTTTACGTGCACTATCAGTTTTGTTTTGTTCGTCAATGGAAAACGAGGCACAATGCACGAAACAAGATAAAAGTGAATGGTCAGCACCTGGGCCGCCAACTGGAAGAAAATTTGCAATCGGTTGACCTAGAATAGTTTTTTTTCTCCGACTCCGGGTTGTGAAAATTTATACTCCCATCTCCGACCACTGCGAAAATCTGATTTTAACAACTTAGGCATATTCCAGACTTCTTCAATCAGCTGCTAAAAACTCTTGGCAAAGTTGGTGTTTTTAGCTTATTGTATCACCATTGAAAGTCTGCGATACGAATCCAGCGAATTCATAATTTCGACTTTGGGGAGTTTGTAAATGTGACTCTAGGGAAAGCTTGCTAAACCAGACTCCTGCTACAGGCTAGTAAGGTGTCGTTAGTCGTACGCTGTCAGAGGTGTGGCGCATGGTGTTAAGCGTCAGGAATACGCTCGTCACCGCACCACTGATTACCGTGAGTGGGTTCGAATCCCGTGGGGGATTAATATGTGCGAGAGGATTGCTGGAATCCTCGCCGCCGCAGGGTGGTTTACGTAACCACTGGTCAGTTACGGCGTCCTCTACCATCAAGTCTATGCGTCTGAAACAAATAATAACCTGCTAACTAATCCCATACCAGACATGGTCTGGTAACCGGACGAGACGCCGATGTTAGCTATATGATTAAGGACCCATTCACATCTGTTATATACAATACAATATACCCACTTACTTCTCTAACACAGTGCCTATTGGGTTGCTGAGCCAGAGTGGGTACGGATACAGGCAGTGGCGTAGCATCCACCCCCGCAACCCCCGCGATCGCGGGAGGGCCCAAGCGGTTAGACTTTAGAAATTTAAGCCACAAAACCAAAAGCTGCATTGCAAAACCATTAATGCACATCTTATAACGTTGGTGTTAGTTCTGCTCAAATCGTCTTGTTACGTAATAATGCCAGGCAGTCGTCGATTTTCGGCGTCTTGTGGTTTGATCGCACCGGCAAAATTACGGAGGCTGTCAGGTAGTAGTAGGGTTGCCGACTATGAAAAGTTTCAATAAAGGACATAGATTACCGTCATCATTTATTTTGTAACTTGCAGAAAAGAACAATATAAAACAATGAACTACAAATTATATACAAGCTAAAAAGATATATTAAAAAATCATCATGTATTTTTCATTCAATGTTTATTTAACATTGACCCAATCAAGCTGCATTCTGTGAACAGTTTAGTGCTTTGAATCGTGCCAAATTTTTTTTGATCAAGTAGGTTAAACATATTCAAATTAAGTTTGTCTTTTAGCTTCAAATGCTCTACAATTTTTACAAGTGTCTGATATTTTGGAGAAAGATTATCCAAAAGAGATTATTTTCCAAATGTTGAATTTCCATCAAAGTCAAATCTTTTTCCCAAATACGTTATCGCAGAGTTAAGAAATAATCTATAATCTTAGAGACCAATTATATTCTAGTTAAAATTCTAGTTATTAGACTAAAATTCACCTAAATCTTAGAGTGTTGCCACTTGTCATCTTCGGAAAATTAATGCAAAATATTTAAAATTATTAATAAAAGCTGAGCAGTAGGGCATTATGGAGCTTGACAGAAGAAAAATGTTAACAAGAAAATAGAAACGGCCATTGAAGCAAAGTTGGGTCGGCCGGTAACTTCGACGAATAAACACAACTTTTCATCTGTGACATCATAATGAAAACCATTGTCAAATGGTTAATTATGACGATTAAATGACCAATTTACTTCGTAAGTAACTCGGAACCGGTATACTTTTCAAAGACAATTTAATGTACTATAAATGTAATTTGGCCAACATGAAAGGATATAAGCATGTGCGGCTAAGATTCTACTTCAAAATGCCACCGTCAAAATTTTTCTATCTAAAATATTAGTGAAAATAATAGGTATGTTTCAATAATTGTGTTGGAACTTCTCACAAGGCGCCGTCGAGAACAATAGGCACAAGATGGCGTCCATTGTCTGAGCGTTGCCTCGCTTTGGTCTGAGCGACTGCAGAAATTGCGATTGTTACGTCATTGTTGACTTTTTGCTGATTAATTATGGAAATAAACAAGGAAATTGATGCCCGGGGAAACATTCATAAAAGCCGCTCAGCGAATACATACAGTTTGGAAGATAAAGCGTTGTCGGCATAATTTAGCCAATTAAAAAGTTGAATGTTGCAATAATTCACCTAAAAATCTTCCACAGGTTGATAACCACTGCCGTAGAAGAAGTAGACTGTTTTTCATTTCACGCCAAATAGCAAAAAAACAAGAGTTGATGCGACTCAAATTTCGCCAAAAACATCGTTTGACCTATTCCTGAATGCCGAAATAAATCGTATTATATCCTCGACGGGTGAGAATCATTGGTGTAGGTGTAGGCGAAAGTCGCTTTTGAAAAACAATGAAACTACACTCGCCATGTTAAATAAGCCTATTCTAGAACTGAGACGCTTCCACTGCATGAACTGCCGGTGGCCTGGATTGCATCGAAAACAAAGGCAAACGTTTACGAACTTTTATACCTAAAAGATGATATAGCCTTTCTCAATAACTAAAATACATAAATACCATATAAATCACGGATCAAATGCAGAGTCGCTGGAACTAGGGATGTAATTTCGAATCAGAATGTTCCGATTCGAATATTTCCGAATCTGATTCTACTGAATATAACATCATAATATTGTTAAGTTTCTTCCAAATTGGTAAAACTATAGTATAAATTGTGATTAAGTAACAACAAAGAACTGAAGAATGATTGAAGCTTGCAGGAAATAATACATCAACTATAAAACGAAACGAAAATTTATTTTTTGTTACGCAAAGGTACGCATAAAGTTACATATTTACTTTTTACATAAATTTTTGTTTGCAAACTATACCGGATGACTGTTTTCATCTGAAAGAGACTTCCTAAATTCATCCGTACACTAACATTTTGAACGATGCAATGATAGGATGTTAACATCCCGGACGTACGTTTTTAATAAAGAATAATGTTGTTATAAATAAATACAATATTATTTACGTACTTTGAAGAGCTCATAAACAGATTTCTCAACCTTAACATTTTGAGTAGCGGAACAAAATCGCTATGTCTTCTAATACTGTGACCAATACACCAGGAGTGTTACGACTTGGGGAAAAAAAAGCCAGAAAAATAAACGCGTTTGGTCGACTTTTATACAACGCCGCTACGTCGCGCAGAAGCCATGTGAAGCTTACATCCCTAACTGGAACAAATAAGAGTCGCGGATAATAGCAAGATGAAGGCTCTATCTAAAGTTCTACCTAATCTCAGCCAGATTGAAGGTTGTAATTTACATCCATGTTTACAGTAAGCCTTTATTTCAATGCATTTGCGAGAATCAAATTTCACTCCTTTGCCAATTTAGGGTTGAAACCACAAACTTGCAGCTTGCGAACATATCATAAGCGAGTAATGCCAAAATAATTATATCTAACCAATTAATTTAATAGCATAAATAATAGCTGTCAATTCATTCACACAGTGCATGCAACTGATGCATTACCATTCTCTTGTGCAAATGTACTAATGTGCCACAATTATCAGGTATACAAGTTCGAAATAAAGAAATATATTTATCTTTGAGCAGCTTGTCATCCAATAGAAGACTTTAAAAAAAAAAATGAAGCAATAGAAACATGAATTGCTTCTTCGACAAAGTTGTCAACAACTTCATGCCCACTTTTTTCACCTAAAATCTGGGGATGACCAATGAAAATTAAATAGACAAACAGCAAAATACAGCCATTACAATACATAACTCGGTTCATAATTTTGAAAATAATGCTGAATAAATTTGACTACGCTTTCAAGTACTGCACCACCAAAGTATTAACAGAAAATGAATTTGAGCTTTCACTATCAGGCCATACCTTATACTGTTTATATACCAAAAGCAACAAGCCCCAAAGATCAGGAAACAAAATAATTCAATTATAAACAATATTCATGTTTCATTTGACAAATTATACCTGCTAAAACTCAAAAAAAGTAACAAAAAAATGACGGTACAGAGAATAGACCATAATTATCAGTTCCAAGTCGTATCCATAGAAAACACCGACTAGACAGTAAAAATATATACAGCCATATACTGATATAGTAGACTCATAATAGGTATATGTAATGACTTAGTTACAATCTTTTGTTGGTAATTTAATTGGTCAACTAGTAATACATCTTGATAACATGCGAATACAAAGTCTAATGGGCCAGTTAGTGTGGTACAGTGCAATAGCCTATAGCATAATTGAATGTTTATTGCTTTATCAGTTTATTCCATTAATATTTTTGTGATATTACTCGACTTGATCTATTAAGCTTCATCTTGCGGTGCATCGTCGACATCACCACCTTCCGATGGCTGTTCAGAATTGTCATCAGAGGTCCACAACGTTAAATTGTCACGAAGCAACTGCATTATCAAGGTAGAATCTTTGTAAGAATCTTCTGCGAGAGTATCTAATTTTTTAATAGCTGAATCAAAAGCTAACTTTGCGAGCTTACACGCCATATCTGGTTGTTTTAAAATTTCATAGTAAAACACCGAAAAATTTAGAGCAAGACCAAGGCGAATCGGATGAGTAACGTCCAAATCTTTAGATGCCGCTTCTTGTGCCTTTTCGTAAGCCGCAAGGCTATTTTCTGATTCGGCACTCTTCTCAGCGCCAGGCATAAATTCTGCCAGATAACGATAGTAATCACCCTTCATTTTGTAGTAAAATACATTGGATTCAGCTGTTTTAGACTTAGGAATGAGGTGGTCATCCAAGGCTTTCAGAATTTTAGTACAGATGTCTTGTAATTCCTGTTCCACCTTCACTCGGTATTCCTTGGCCATGCTGTGTTTTTTATCAGCTTCGTATTCATTTTTTCCTTCTATGCTAGTTATTATTCTCCACGACGCACGACGGGCTCCAATTACATTTTTATAAGCAACCGAAAGCAGATTCCGTTCCTCCACTGATAATTCGTCGTCCATTTTTACCACTTCTGTCATCGCATTTACCATGTCGTCATATCGCTCTGCTTGTTCAGCAAGCTTGGCTTTATAGACATAATCTGCTCTTGATTTTACACTCATACTTCTTTGATACTTATAGAGTGATATGAAGAAAATTTAACAGAATTGTAACAGCGATTCAAGTAGATACGAACAAGTGCGCAAAACCAAACCAACTACCACGCTCACGAATAAACGAGAAGGGCAGTCAGCCGTTGGAGACCATCCCGAAATCCGAAAACTTCCGAAAGTGCGATATCTAGTGATTATTACCGTGTATATATTTTCGGATAGCTTCCAAATTTAAATTAACTTTTGGATTATTTAACCTAGACTGAGACCCTTCACTAAACATGCAATATAAATGAGTTGAATTTCCTTCTAATTATATCGAAGTGCTATTTTTTACATGATTCGATGCTGTTTCAAGTCCCGAGCATTGAATGGTTCCGAGCCATATATTTCATAAAATCAGTGAAATGGAAAAGTATGAGTCACAGTGAATTCAAACTTGCGATAAAACAATGTTAATGAAGGGACAAGAAGTGAACCTATGGTCTTTTTGCTATTTTGTACTTGTTGGTATTGTACTTGTTGGTATTTTTCTTCTTGATGGTATGAAAAAAATCGCTTGACTTTGACATTTTAAGTGGGTAATAAAGATTGTATTTTTTGCTAGAAGGCTATTTATTACTTTTAGTAATTTCTGAATTTTCTATGAATTTTATGAGATCTGATATTTTATCCAAAATTTCGCTATATTTTTGTTCTTATAGGAACACGGTATTTAATCCGCCTACCGTGACGGCTGCTTTCGAGCTATGCGAAACGCAGAGATTAATTGATACTTTGTTTTGGATTTCGTGTCCATATATTTGGGCATCGCTGTATTGTTTTAAAAATCAAACTAAAATTTAATCATGTTTTATTATATGGGGATGATAATTGTTATATTAAGCGTGCTTCCACCCCATTTGTATTTCTACAATGACTAAATATGTGACAATAATCATATTTTTACAGTTGCACATAATACAACTTGGCAGCAATATATTCAAACTATCGATGAAGACCAACTATTTTCACCGCCAATGATGAGATATATAAATTATTTGTCAGTATTACCGACTTACAAGTTCAATAAATACCAAAAACGCGCGACAGTCGTTAAGTTAAATTCAGGTTGCAATTGTTCTTGAATTGAAGGCTATATATATCATAATTTAGCCAAGCTCTCGGACACTGCAGAGGAAAGCAAGATCTTTGAAACATTTTCTAATTTAGTATATTTTTGATATATTTGAATATGCTGTTCAATGTACGCAGTTCAATGTAGGGGTATAGTGACGATTATCTTCAAATGTAGTATTGATAGTCTATTGGTGGGATGATGGCCAGTCTTTATATGTAGAGCATATTCTATGGGACGTCTTGGTGGAAAGTTCTACCGCAATATTTCCATCTGGGTATCTCGACTTCAACTGAATCTTTGTCACATTAGCTGGTGTTTTTTGGGTAAGTTCCGTCATGACTTTGCGATATAGGCATATAGCATATATATATATATAATTGGTAAATGAATGTGATGTCACCGTATATTGCTATTTCGTAGACCGTCTCAGAACTGCCAATTGCCCGTTCACCCTTCAGCTTCAATGCCCACGTTAATGAATAAATTTTAGAAAACTCTGTTTGATTTTATTCTCAGATTTCCACGATACACAGAATAGAAATCTTAAAACATTTATCCAGACTAGCTTAACTTTGAAAGATATTGAGTCGTATTTATACGTTGATCATAAATCTAATTAAATACTGTAAACGTGAGTTATAAACAGAAACTCCTATTATCTCAATATGGGTAATTATGAACATCGTACTGATGGGAACTTACATATCGTCACGCTAATAACCGAATTGCGTAAGTCATTTTCAGCAGTTGGAGAAAAACGTAAAAAACTTCCTCTTGGTATTGTTTTGCCATGTAGAGTAAATAATTTCCCATGGTTCATTATTTTAACGGTAACAAATTTATCCATTGGAATGGTTTTTCAGGTTTATGGATTCTGCGTGGAAGTAATTCCCAGTGAAGTGAATTGTGGAAGTATACTGTATTGCTCGGAGATGATGCACCTTTGGATCACCTACTGTATTTCCAGGGCGTATACTGGCAAAGTATTTCCCCATCCTTCTTTTGTTTGCAAATTATAAAGAGTAAAATTATGCATCTGAAGTTTGGTTTTATAATACATCGAACTGGCGTGAGTTTTGGGAAGAATCAGGACTGCCTGTAAGTCCATAGTCCAAACGGATCTGCTGCCGTCAGCTGATTCTTTGTCGGCATTTTTTAGCTCTCGCCACATCTTTTGATATTCCATGGGCTCCCCGTCGTCAATATTTCCATGCGAAAATCCCACACAAATATCACATTGGGGCTTTCTAGGCCGAAATGATGAAAAATTTTCTTTGTTGAATATGTCCCTGAACTTTGCGATGTTAATAACCCGTCTTTCAGAATTTGTTGCCTCTTCAGAATATAAACGATGAAGGTTTGAAACAGTCGTTCCGGGATATAGATACTTTTTATTCTTATAGGTACCTCTAGAACGGCAATAGTGAGATGGCAATGTAGGTAGTGCATGAAACCGTTTTATAATGAAATCCATATCTTGCCTTTGGGTAAAAGCAGTTTTACCTTAAAAAAATAGAAAATGAATGTTTCAGTCATTATTCAATGAATATTACATTGTGCATTTATTGCTCTTTTTGCTACATACCTTTCTTGGACGACGCGGGTCCAAAAACTTTATGAATGGTGCGGGACCTTCCAGCCACGAGAGCAAAGTTCGTTGGCTAATGCCAATTGTAGCCGAAAAGAGTTTTTTGCACACCAGAATGCATGTTCCATTTTGTGATTGTAAATGGTATTCAAAAGATGACTTTCTTCTTGACATATTTTCAGCAATTTTCCTTTGCTTGGTGGTAACCTACGAAACAGTACAAATTTAATTGAATGAGATGCGGAAATCGTGACATAAAATCAGTGTTTCTAAATATCGTTTACCTTCGATACTGAAGCCCTGACATATGATCTTCTTTCAGACCACGATTCCATTTTCCAAAAATTTTTGAAAACCCGCTGTCTATCATCTTCTGTCAAACTCGCACATTGCCGTAAGCTGGATTTTCGACAATACGTGGATTTGCACGGCATCCCCATTTTTCTTGCTATATTTTGCTTTCCTTTTCTTTTCGGCTTTTGTAATTTAATCCAGCTAGACGATTCCTTTTGCAAATATTATTTTTCCATCCAAAGGGGCGCGCCCGTTTTACGCGTTTCCTTTTACCCAACGTCTAAAACAGATAATGAAAACATAATTTAAAGTATAACGTTATCGGCAATGATGATATTAAATAAATTGAAAACAAAACAGGACTAACCACTGTGGAACTGCGTTGAGCGTAGTTGGATAATTTTTTAGATTTAACACCTTGCCAATTTTCTTCATCCTCATCAAACTCTTGAATAAAAACAAGGTCTGGGTCTGAATCTGACACACTTTGGGTTTCAAGCATGTCATCTATAAGAATAAAATACTTGGTACGTCCTTTACTAAACTCATTTTTAGTTGGTACGTAGACTAACGAAACTTTGCTAAAATTAAATATAGACCTACAGACCCACCTGAATCTTCATTTTCTATCCTCATAATAACTTCATTCGCATTAAGGTTTCTCAGAAGTGAAGCACTCATTTTAATCGCTATATAATGACAAGACACACCAACATCTAATAACGGCGCACAATCTAACGGCAGGCTTCTACGGCGATGTCTGCTGAAGACAACCTCGATGTAATGGGTATGACGTCATAATATCGTTTGATGGCATCGCTTTAGAAACGTTGCAAAATTGCGTATGTCACATCCATGACTTAGGCCAGGGGTCACCAAACTACGGCCCGCGGGCCGGATCCGGCCCGCGACGTCATTTTATCCGGCCCGCGGCGTCATTTTATCCGGTCCGCAATAACACACAAAAATGGCTAAATTTTTTTCCAAGGGAGATTTTCACGAGCATCGTCGTCTTTGTTTATTTCGTAACATTGGCCAATCGGCAAGATGCAAAAAAGTGACGTAATAATTGGCCTTTCCGCGTCCGCTCAGACACTTTTGTCACCCCGACAGATTTTCAGTTGTGGTTGTAAACAAAACTTCGTTTTTGCGACTTTGAATGCTACCATAACGTAACGTTTTCTGCGATACACTTGTGCACTCGTGGCGCGTGCTTTCGACGAAACTAAACTGCTCCAGTGGAAAGATCTGAGTAAAAATAGAAAACAATACCAAGTTTACAATAAACGGTCAAGAAATAACGGAGATATCGGAATTTTAGTACCGCCCGACTGGCCAATTTTTTCCATAATGATTGTATTACTTTTTTGATAAGAACTGAACTAAATATGGAAAAATAACACATATCAAAATCACTAATCTTTCGTTGTGCGTCACATCTATGGTATATTGAGACTATTTCAGATTTTTATTCTGGCAACGGTCATTGACACCGCCGAAAGATCGTCGCAAATAAACGCTGGAGTTGTGCATGATAGTTTGACAGTGGTTCATTGTGGGTAATAATTAACGATGTTCTGATTGTACGAACTTCATAAAAATTGTATCAAGTTAAGAAAGAAATACACACGTCCACATACATTTTATTGGTGTCCATAGACAATATTATTATTTTGCACTACGTATAACTGGAGCGTAATTTTTAAAAGCGTCGAATGTTGGGAAATTTATGCGCAAATGAATAAAAATACAAATACCAGATAATAGTTGTTTATTTTATCTAAATTATGTCAAAATTTCATAGAATTCCAAGCTACAGCAGGTAGTCGTTTTTATGAGAGGTATTTCAACAAGGCGTAACGGTACTTAGCAGACCGTAGTAGTATATATTTACGAGCAGACGTGATGCGTACATTTTTTGCCGCGGATTTTGTAACATTTCTAATTCATGACGGCAACGTTTTGATAACAGCTAAACTCAGGATAGTTGTCTAGATATAGAAATCTTGTTAATTTTTTTCCTAGGATGTTCTCGATCGATATTCTGCGATATTCCCAACATTTGTGAATTTATTGTCTTGCATTGACAGAAATATTCATCCGGCCCGTTTCAACACAATTTGAGTCATACCCGGCCCGCGGTCAAAAAAGTTTGGTGACCCCTGACTTAGGCAAAGCGTTTTTTTTCTCCCAGTAAAGCGTTTTATTATCCGTTTAATAAAAACTAATTCAACATGCTGGTGCGCAACAACATATAGATGGGTTTTAACGAGAAAACTCAAATTCGTTAAAAATGACTTACGCAATTCGGTTATTAGCGTGACGATATATATAATTAGTGTTTAAATATCGTGATAAAATATATTTCAATTTGATAATGGCCGGACGAAACTTGTTATTTTCCTAAAAGTGAATTAATTTGATTGAAACGAAAGTCTTTGTTCGAATTTTGGGAAAATTAACTTTGTTTTCATGTTTTTAACATGAAATGGGGTACATTTGGTTGGGGGTTAATTGCTATAGGCAAACGTACGAGGCGCCAGGCATCTAAACGTGGGTGAGAGACGCGTGATCTAAGATTACAACTTATGATATGATAATGAGGTTGGCATCTATCAACGTTTGCCTGCTCGGTTACTGTCGATGGACCCATATGGCGAAGAATTTTTCGCGTTTTCCCCAACCTCATGTGGATTTCACCATCATTTATCCGTCTATTAGTCACGTTAACTTGGACCTCTTCAACTCTCGCGCAGTCGGCGATGCCCCCAGCGATACCACTGCTGGTGCTTATGATCCAGCAAATCTCACAAAAAATCTTCAGACTTGTGGATTAGGCTACCATTAGCCTTCTCAAAATCTTGTCCGAGGAGAATAACAATTACGTTTATTCACATTCATATTTTAATAGGTTTATTCAATTTTTAATATCGCACGTGCATATGAAATGCTAATAATAATCACAGTGCGAAGGTATATATATGGAACTTCATGGGTGGATATACCGATTTCAAAATGTGATAGTTCAAAGCAAAGGCAAGAAGAAACTTGAACTACAAACATCCATCAATATTGTTGGCAAATCATAAACGTGGAGGACACTGGCTTCCACAGAAAACATTTTCAACATCTCCTCGTTTAGTCAGGAATAAAAAATGAAAAAAAAAACTTTCTTAAAATTAAATCCACAAGATCAGTAAAATGACAAATAGAAATTATAACAGGGGGATTGACTAAACATTTAAAAAAAATATAAGCGATATTTAATACGTCTGCGCGTCCTTATTTACCAATTGCTTCAACAGACCCATGTTTTGACTGGTTAGCATAAAAATAATAAAAACAAGCTCTGAGCTTGCCAGTGAAATAGGTTCAATCTTTCCATAACGTGCTGTTTTCCGTAATGTAATATTTCTCTAATAAACAAACTCTTTTAAACTTAGTGTACATATAAATAAATATAGTTACGGCTTCAGTGTTATCTACTGAGTATCTCAGGACGGTTCTAGGAAAATTCGCCGCAGGAAATTTCGCCGTAGAAAATCTCGCCGCAGGTAATTTCGCCGCAAGGGCATATTGCTGTAAAACAAGTATGTGCGACAAAAACAGTAAAGTTTTGGAGGTATCTTATATTTAAAAAGTTCGTTATTTAAGAGCATACCCTAACCCTATAAACCATAATTATCACAAATACTTGTTTTACAGCAAAATGCTCTTGCGACGATTTTTCATACGTCAAATTGTCCTATGCGGCGAAATTTCCTGCGGCGAATTTTTCGGACACGCCTCAGGACATTACCAACAACTTTACAGATTTGGGACGAAAACTGTTGTGATTTGCAGCATTAAAATATCTGGTGCTGTCGGATGGTGCGGGAAATTATTATGCGGTTAGAACAATACGACGTGCCATATAAATTCAAAATAAGACTAGTATGAATAAATAACATTTGATTCGTTTTAAGATAAATATTTGTACAGTAAATACTATGTGAAAATTTGGATTTACAAATTTTTGAACAGAACGGTCGATACAATGGCCAGCAATCTTATATTGAATTTGGAAGTATGTAGAGTTTTTGGACAAACCCAAAGCCATCGAAATATGTGTTGTAAGGAAAATACCTCCATGCTGTATTCGCATGATAATTATTGATCGATATCAAAATACTTGAGTCTACGTGTATTTAGTTAAATCGGTTTGGGTTGTGAATTGTTAATGACTAATTTGACTCTGTGGGAATAATAATTTTTTGCACTTTCCAACCAAGAATACTTCACAAATCCATAGTTTATGGAAAAAAGCAGAAATAATTTAGTTATTAATAATACTTATTTCTTGAGGCATTCTCACACATTTACAACAAACAAATAATGAGAAAAACACTATTTTTGGATGTACCGGAAGCTTTCCGGTTTGGCCTTTATTTATCACACCTTCCAGGTGAGTTTGTGGGAATGAGTTTTCAACCTGCGAAATTGGTTTAAATAAAAAAAAATGGCTACTGCCGTTTTATGATACGTTCTTTGCGATATGAAAAAGTGCGCGAGAAATTAAAAACAACGTTGTAAACGTAGTAAAAGCATAATAAATACAACGTACATAAAATAAGAATACACCTTTCGTTTAAAAACTCATTCAACGCGTCTGCCAAAAATTTTGTTGAGCGAATAGGTTTGTTCTATTTTTAATGGGAATGGCTTTATTGTGAAAGTCATTACTACGGGGACAAGAGGGATGCCAAATCGGGATGTTCAAGATATTTAATTTGTCTTTCTCAGGGATAACGTGGTGCGTAGTAATGTTTCGATGACAGAACCAGATTAAAACAGATCTTAAAATGACGACTTCTAATATCGCTGTCGATAAAACGCATTGATACAAGAGAGAAATGCTCCAATATAGGAACACGAATGTATACATGGTCTGCAAAATTCTAATTCAATGGTAAAATAATTGCACCGAATGTCACATGAAAGTGTGACAGTGAATTATCATCCTTAGCAAAATTTAGGGTGAAATTATCGTGGGGATCGGAGAAAGTTTAAAAAAATGGACAGCCTTGTAGCGACTCCAAAGAACGTAGTCATGAATTTTCAATTATCAGGGCGTATCCTCTAGCGGGTCTATTAGTGAAGAAGAAAAAAACGCTTTTTTTAAAAAAAAAACTTAACAACCCCAGTCAGAAAATCAGGAGCAATTCAGCAATGCGTTCCATAAGTACACTTCCTGTCCAATTTCAAAAGTCATAATTGATACTTGATAGTCCTGCCTAGGTTTATCAGCTTTTTTCCAAAATCATCAAATAGGTCTGAAGTCGGGATTGGAATTCCGACTTTGAGCCACAGTTGCTCGTTTCGTTTGTCGCTCTTTTTTTGATCGTCTGTTTCGATCGAAGCGGGAAATTCCGCTTTTAAATTTTACAACTGCATCCGTTACATATTGCTGTTTTTCATCTGAATCACTTGCCTTGATTCGTGAATATGCGCTTCGGTGAGTCGGTACAAAAGCGCCTTCTCAGATAGGATACATGTGGTAGACACGAACCACATGACGTTTTTCGTTATCTTTGAACGCAAGGTTGAAATCCGACGGCCGCTCCAGAACCAGATCTTCCCGGGCTCATATTATTGGTTAATTCTCGCCATTCGCCCCGATCGGGATCAAAATACTCAACACTGGAAAGGAAATCGGAACCGTCGTATCCACCTGTGTAATTGAATATAGATTGAAAGTTTAGTTTAGTCTGTACTACAAGGTGGGACTTTAAATTGTGGCGTTTGGTGCAGAGGTACCTTTTCATATGACCTTCCTGCACGTTTTCACTTCAAATAAGGCCGTGTAAGCTTCCATTGTGGGGTTACCTAACCAATTTATTAACCCACCCAGGCTGGGTGAGGGGTTGAACATGGGATTTGAACCCAAACATTTTGAACCTGTGATGCCAATATAGTCGAAGCAGGCATTTTTTTTATTATTAGGTTTTATCACTAAAATTAATTTTCTCGGAACTGGCGTCAAAATTTTCACCAACCCGGAGTCGGAGTCAACAACTTTCCCAACCCGGATTCAAGAATCGGAGTCGTTTTTAAATTGTCCCGGAATCCAGAGTACCTTAGAAATCACCACCTATACCCCCAGTCCAATATTAAAACAAGTATTACCATTCACTCACCTAGTGCAAAAATCTTATTTTCGTGTACAGTTACTGCAAGTGCTGATCGTTTATGCCTCATTCTGGCAATAGGTTGCCAAGTGTCGTCTACTACGCTGTATCTTTCGACTGAATTCAGCTGCTGCGTACCGTCGTATCCACCAACGGCGTAAATGTAGTTACCGATAGCAACGACGCCTGGATGTAACAAATAAACAATGTTATCAAATATATTAACAACGTATTTTAAAGCATACTAAATAGGATATTTTGACGTCGTTAAAGTGGTAATTACGCACGTTAACCTACGTATTTCAAAAAGTTTTCTTGATGTAAATATTTGTTCAAGGAAGGAATACAAGGAGTTAAGAAAAATGGCTCGAAACATGTAAGTAACCTCATCGTTAAAGACTTGTAAAAAATGTCCTACAAAAGACCCACCTGCTCCACTCCTTGGAGTGTTCATTGAGGCAACAAAACACCATTCATCTGTTTCGGGAACGTATCTTTCGACTGATTTTAAACGATTTCGGCCGTCGAATCCACCGACTGCATATAATATTCGATTTGCTACTGCACATCCTACGCCGATACGCTTCGTTTTCATACATTTTACCATGGTCCAAGTGTCTTTTTGCGGGTCATATCTGGAAACAGAAAGTACTATGATTAATTATTTTGTTCCATTATGAACAAAACAATTTGAGTGAACACGTACCACTTGTTTTGACGAAGCCCTCTAACTTAAATTATGTAGGCTATTATTTGTTTGCCTTCTGATTTCATAAACAGTTCATTCATTTGCTATTATCAATTATTTTATCGTCTGTTATGCTAATATGATGTCCAAAAAACGTATTACGCTCATAATAATGTACGGTAACAACAACAATATGAAGGCCGAAATGAAGGCGCTCCAGAAGTGTGTGTACCAATATTGAGTTAAGCTGACTAATTTAGTTCGCCTACTTAAACAAGTTGCGTAAAGTGACTGAAACCTATGGGCAGGGGTATATTCACTCGGCTAACACATACAGACAGTAATATCAGACAGTAATCCTAACTCGTAATAGATCTAAAATAAGGAAAATCGGAATAAAATTATGGCCTAACCCTAACCTGGTACACACACTACGGGAGTATCGAAATAAATGGCCTTAAGATAAACAAAGTACAAAAAAGGGCATGTACAATAGCAATACATAGTATAACTCGAGGTCAACAAGGACACTCAAATAACCATATCTTGTTAGGTTTCATTCTTGAAGCATTCTGATGACGCAATGCTCAACAAAGGAATTGGACTTGGCAAACCATACAGCAAAAGAGAGCAGGAATTGCTTTAAAATAAAATCGGACGGTAGTTATAACAACGGTGTAAACATTCCAAATAAGTCAAACTAAATGTGACCTTGTATGTGATGTAAAGCAGATACTGTTTACGTCATAATGCTACTTATTTATATATGAACATGCTTGGTCATATATGAGTATTGTACATGTTTTGGTTTGGGTTTAGCTCCTTACATAAGGTTTACCTGTCGTTAAGCGGTTAAGGTATAAAGGGTGTCTTGCGTATCCACTCGTATTTGACTATTCAAGTAATAGAGGGCCATAAAAAAGGGTTGCCATATTTTACTCGTTACAAAATACGTTTCTACGGGATGTTTCATATATACAAAAAGCAGAGGTTATTGAACATTTGGCCAATTCTTTTGAACCGTAATCAGAATCATCAACTAGGACACATATTAACATCCTAGAAACATATGTAGTTTACATATTCCAAACATGATTATAGCAATCAGGATACTTATACATATGCGTGTTTTTCTAATAGACCGACAGTCAAAAACCATAAACAGTTGACACGTACATATGCAATGTACTTGTACGGTCACTTATATCTTTTAAAACCTTTTTTAATATATTCATCATCGGATTGGACACGAAATGAACCTATGAATCGTTAGGCAAATTGTTGTCGTCAAAAATCGCATTTCTTCGCAAACTAATGTAGCAACTGGATTTCAAATTTTCAGTACTTTCATTTTTTCAATTCATATGTTGTGGAGTTTTCATAATACATTACAAATTTTGCTATTTTTGCGAATATGGGTCGGCAGAGAAGCGTTCTGTCAGGATTGTCCACCAAGGCCCTACCCTACCATTGGCATTGTTCTCTATTTCAGTAAGCAACTACGCTTCAATGCAGGTAAATTAGGAAATGAGGAATGTTTTTGAAGGAAAACCTTTATTTTGGATCTTCCCATTTTCTCTTATAATTGGGCCCTGGAAAAACACCAAATTGTTCTCGAACAACCGACTTGAAACATGGTTTTTCGAAATGAATAATATGTGATTATATATCACTGGTTCGAATAGACATGAAAATTTGAATAAATGCTTTAAAGTGAGCATATACATTGGAATTCATGATGCAATTGATGTCTCACATACGGTACCAACTACATTCCAAACTAATCTTCAATTTTGATTTATATTCGCGCGCTACGTAAAATTCAAAAACGTCGGGCAATTTGGTACACTTCAAAATGACCAAATATTTTTAAAATAAGCCTCTTCAACTAAATAAAATTGATTTGCGAATGGTACTTAACTCATTCATGGTTGGCTACTATCTAACAGTATAGCAATTTTTGGCGCGCAATTCACAACCCCGTTCGAAAATGAATACGTCATCTTACGTTATCTGTGACACGTAAAATAAAAATCTGCGTGACGAGCGACATGTTGTACACATAAAAGTACTCTTGTATTTCGTGGCAACGGTTAATAAACGACCACTCCCGCTCGTGCCTGATTGACAATTTATGGCTGTTGGTTATGTTTGATGACAAAAAAAAACACCATAAAAAGTCATTTAAAAATGTATGTAGTACTTTCAACATTTTATTTATCACATGAAGACCACAAAATCGGATAACCACGGATATCAAATACATTGTCAATAATAACTTTCGATGTAGATAGTCTGACCGCATCTCAATACACGCGAAAGTAGGATATGTATTTTGATATTGAGTTGAAGAGCCATGAAAACGCCAAATTTTCACATTTTAAATCGAATGTTTCGAAATATGACATCTTTTATTCAACATCACAGTCATCGAATACAAATGAACTCTTTTAAGATCTTATTCTATTTTTAGGTGGTGGGGTTTCATAACAACGAAATTCAGAAAAAATCTTTGTTGAGATTTGGGGAATAGGGGAATAGAACTACTTAGGTCGGCTAGCTGAGAAAAGAACTTAAACGTAGTCAGCGGTACGAAATAAGTGCGCCACATGTACCTTGTCCCCATTTTTGAATGATTTATAAAAATGGCCTAAACACGGTATTATATCCTAACGGTATATAATTAGAATATTTGGTTAAAAATACAAGGTTTTCCATAGGGGATATCATAAGCTTGAAGATACCGATAACTAAAGAAAGAATCGGATGTTTTGTAGAAATTCCCCACTGATGCAAAAGTGTGAGATTTGAGAAAACACCACCGCCCACACCCAAATCAGACATTATTTTGCATAGTGGCGGGAGAATTCCACAATGGATCCAAAGAATCAAATATCAATTTCAAAACAATATATCATAAACTATAAATTGTTAATCAGGATTATTCAAATATATATCGAAAATTAAATAATACGATCCACTGAATTGAAGTTTGCTGACGATCACGACTTGGCATCACGAAATAGAAAATAGAAAATGGAAAACCCCTTTATCAAAACAATCAGTTTGTTTACTTTTGATGAAAACAAATAATTGCTCGAGGCTCGGTTAAGAATTAACAAAATATAATTTTTGCTTGTCATCGTCTGTGGTTTCTAAGGAAAACCAGACGCGCAGGATGTGAGTAAAATAAAAATTATTAACACGATTAAATTTAGTTTCATATTGTTTGATAAGGGGGTGGCCGAAAGAATTTTGCAAAAATTCCAAAATCAAAATGGCGGCAGCATACCATGTTGGATATATTGCTACAATACAATGACACTGTTATTGCCTAAATATATCCTAATATGAAAATTGTTGTCCATCTCTGTTTTATACCATGAAAAATAACAATTTTCAAACTCTATTTCGCTCAAAAATTTAATACTTCTGAATCTGATACATTTGGTTTCCTTTTGATCGGTTTTCTGTTTTAATCCATCTTGTTCATGATTTTATAATATCAACGTCGAGATGTGTTTGGATTACAGCATATCTCAAATCGTGGCCACGAACAAAAGAAGCAATATAAATTGTGAAATAATTGAACACTATTTCGAAATACTGTTACTTGAGAGACCAGGATCTTGATTTGAGTGAACTTCTATAAAATGAAAGATGGCGGCTGTGAGTTTCACAGCGAAAACGCAAAGTTATTTAAATCAAAAATGTTCAAAAATAATCCTTTTCAACCTAAAAATAGGTGATAGTTTGTGTGTCTTGATGTTACTAACCATAGCGCTAGCCACCGCTTCTAAAATTATCGGTATCCGTAATGGTTCTATAGGAAAATTCGCTGCAAGAGCATTTTGCTGTAAAACAAGTATTTGTGATAAAAACAGTTAGGTTTATAGGGTTAGGGTATGCTCTTGAATAACGAATCTTTTTTAAATAAAAAGTTACTTCCAAAATCTAACTGTTTTTATCACAAATACTTGTTTTACAGCAAAATGCTCTTGCGCGATTTTTCATGCGGCGAATTTCCCTATGCGGCGAAATTCCTGCGGCGAGATTTCATACGGCGAAATTTCCTGCGGCAAATTTTTCGGACACGATCCATAATTGATCGTATACTAGAATTTCACTTTGTAATAAATATTAATTTCAATAATAATATACATGAATATATTTTACAAGGTATTCGTGAGTCACCTGTGTGTAGCCATATTGAGAAATTTTACCCAATGTTTGCAAAGTACAGAATTCACACGATCCGAAAATTTGGTGTATTCTGATGAAAAGCGATCTCTCACGAATATACTTCTTTACAAAAGCAATACACAAGAACAAAAAACCATACTGGGTGGGTTAGGCGAAAAATATTCGCGGTCAGAGACCTGTGCACGAACCGGCTGTACAACAATGTGACCTGGCCTTACTAAACAAAGATCACGTGACAGATTAAGAAATATGCGACCTTGCGTTGGCGAGAGTAAACAATCACTTCGATACACAATGACGACACAATCATGAAATCCTGACCGAGGAAGACCGCCTAGTCTTTCTTGCAGAATACAGACACTTCGTCAAATAATTATTATTCCATTTATCATGGGCGATAGCATTTGGACGATATCACGAAAAGGTGGTTTTAAGAATTTAATTTGCATTTTTTTTTCATGTCTATTCATGTTGTATAGATAAATGAGGCATAATTGGGTTACCACACAAAATAAATGATGGCGAATATGCTATTTTTTAGCGGAAAAAAATATATCTGGTAACATAGAATTAGAAACCGGCAAAATTGTACAAATAATGATAAAATATATGTCGATGTGGTTGAATATTTCTGGGCTGAGAAGATCGTAACGGAAATGACAATTTATCTCAAATATTTCCCAATATTCGTCTATTATTCCATAAGCTATTGAATCTCCATTGCTTGTCCATTTCAAAAGCCGACATATTTTGTCCAAACGTCCGTCTCACTAACTATTTTTATGGTTCAGAAAACTGATTATTAAGCTTTGGCCATGATTGAACCGTAGTTAGATGCGTGTTGTATCCATGGTCCATAGTTGTATACGTAGGAAGAAATAACATCGATAATTGTATGGGCGGAAAACATAACACATAAAATCGTTTTAGTTTTCCGTTTCGCATAATAATAACTACAAGAGAGCAACGCTCAAATATATTCACGAAGGTACCAATATGGAGGTAACTAATTTTGATCGCCTACTTTACATCAAGTTGTGTAAAGGGACGCAAGACTATGGGATATATTCATTTGGCTAACACAGACAGTCCCCGAACTCGTAATAGAACTAAAATGCGAAAAATCGGAATAAAATTATGGTCTGACCCTAAACTGGTACACACACTCCGGGAGTACTAAATTTTGGATGAAATATCGAATTCCACGGTACTCAGAGAAAATTGAAAATAAATAAATGAATAAATAAAAGCAATAGCGTTCCCCGGCTTCATTCATTTTGAAATCAATTGGTTGGCGATTTTTGTTCATAACAACAATTTATCAAAGCGACCCATAAGCCCACTTCGTGTCCAATAACAATATTGATGAATGTGGATTAACGAATAGCATAACATTCGACGTAAACACTCTTTTTACGTACACGCGACCATAATTCGTACGCTTAGTCATCGCGTAGGAAGTTGAATGGGCAGCAATTATACGTTTCAGATTTGGATGACGAAAGCGAAACTTTGTTCACCTTACACAAGGAATATATTTTTACTACGCAGAAAGTAACAGTTAACCTTATTTATCTATTTTGATATGATTCATCGGAATTTCAAAGAAAATATTTGCTTTTGTTACATTTGGTTGAAATGTTTTCGAAATTTTGTAGGCATATTAGTAGTTAGTACCGTAAAAAAATTGCATATCAAAATGGTGGTAGATCTTAGTTATGTAATACCAACCCTGAATTGTGATCGTGACATACAAAAACGCATATAGCTGTCGCCTGCACTATTTTAGAGCCTATGCTAATAATATGTATTGCTTTTATTATCATTCACAATAAAATACACGTCTTAGCAATGGCATATCTGTGGCCCGCACTTGATGATAATACATTTCCTATGTTACGTCAATCACAATTTGTTTAATCATTTTAATAACTGTTATAACATTACGCCGAAACGAACGCAAGCAGTTCACAGGCACGAAATTAGAGCCACAGGCGCGGTCACGTAAAATGAAATATCACAATGACTTGCAGTTTTAACGAACGAATGGCAGCAGTTTGTGCGCCGACAGCCATCTGCAGACTGCTACGCTGGCTAAGCGATTCGCCTTCCTCGGCGTGTTGGCTATCATACTTTAAACATGGCCCGAATATAATCTTTCAAGCATTTTATGCATGGTGAAATCAATTTAAAAAACAAATAAAAAACTGCCTTTCGTTATATAAAACTGGATTATGATCTGAGATAGATATTATAAAATGCTGCATTTTGGAAAAAAATATATTAGAGTAAAAATACAAATAGTCGCGTAGATTTTATCGTTAACCACTGCAATAATATACGTTAACTCAGCTTTGAAATTCTATTACTTATTACACGGACGCAACATAATCTCTAAAATTACGTTAACTTTCCTATAACATGGTACTTATTATTAAAGCATGTGCTTATTATGTTCGCTTTATGGTTGGACTCTTCAAATTTGAGTAAGCCTTTTTATTTTAAATTTATAATGATAATATTTCATGAAATATTAAATTTAACAAAATTCGTGTTATTGTCCATAACTCCGCTAATAAAAAAAAAATTTCCGTGAAAAATTCATATTCATCCCGATTTGAATTTCCAAAAACTGACCGGTGACTTTTGGTCAGAAAAAACAAACTCATGTTTACGATAGAAATATTCTGTCTAGCACCGCCCAAATAGGCGTGGTTGTGAATTATCTAGAAGCTCATTTTCGAAGAAGAATGACAAATTGCCAGTAATACTAATTAAGATCCCCGGAATAAATTTTGTCTATAGCACTTTCACAATGACTTGCAATAATACAAATAAGGAAGGTACACACGATCCATAGATCTACTGTGAGTCTTAGCAACAAATTCAATGTTTTCGTAGACGGGAAGCATCATTGAATCTCATACCCGGCCATGTGTGTTCGAGATATAGATTGGTAAAATTAACATACATCATATATGATATATTTTATACATGGAATTAACTTAATGGTAGTAAATTATCACCGACCATAGGCAATTTGCGCTTTACATTACGAAATATTAATTTGCGCTTTACATTACGAAATATTAAAAATTAATTTTAACGACCGACATGGTAGCCTATAAACTAAGTAAATGAAAACTACTATCCCTTGTAAGTGTAAATCAAATATTTGGTTTGATAGTACCAAATCAAGCATGTTCCGGAGATAAATGACGGCGTTGAAGCGCACAATCTTTGGAATAAATTATATTTGGAAAATGAAAATGTCACTCACAAATTCACTAAAAAAAAAGAAAAAGCTATTTTTCCTTCCAAATTTATAAACATCTCTCATCCTATAGAATTGCAAGATGGCGTTGAGGGTTTTGTTTAATAAACTCAATGCAAAAATCATGTTACGAGCGGAAGGGGGAAAAAATTGCTGAAAAAAATTACAAATAACCATTCAAATGTGTTAGTAAACACCAGAATCCATGATTTAGAATAACATTGGACTGAAAAAACAAAACAATAAAATTTTCGAAGCCTACCTTTCGACTGTGTTATGATTGTCTGTACCGTCTGAACCTCCCACTGCATATATCATATGATCGATCACTTCGACTCCAACTCGATTTCTTGGTGCGTTCATAGATGAACAAGTGTGCCATTGATTCGTCATAGGATTGTACCTGATAATTGAAGGAGTGGAATTCATAGACAATAAACAATGATATAAAAGTAGTCACGAATGCACGTGATCCTTGATTGAATCAGCGAAGTGATTGGTACCAGCCTCTATATATATTTTTAAAAAAAAATTCAAACTTGCCAAGAATGATATATTGGTAATCTACATTTAAATTAGCCGAAATAACCACCGCAAAATTACTCAATCAAATAATTTCAATCAAAACCAATTCACTAGACCAGCGTTTCCCAACTGGATGAATTCCTCACAAGGGAGGATTTTTGTTTTGTTTTTGGAAGAAATTTTTCTTTTTATTCGGGTATAAGTAGCGTTACTGATATTCTTAACGTATTTACTATTATTGTGATACATATTTATAAACACATTATAGATAAATTTGCGCACGAAGGCCAGATTGTGAGTTTCGTACGGCAATATCTAATAATCCATCGAAGATCGAACGACAGACGAAAACGAGTTTTTATGCACATTGCACAGTGAAGCGAATAAAAAGTTTCAAAATTTAAAAAGGAAGAATATATCAAATAATGTTGCACAAGATTACAGCCCTATTTCATTCGGCGTGTTTTCAACGAACAGGGCTTTATGTCAGCCACAAATTCGATCTACTCAAACTATTGTGGTTTTTTCACTGACTATTTTATCTCTCTGATTCGGATTAAGCATACATAGGGTTCTGATCTATATCCCGAGATATATTTTATGAATCGTAATCGGTATTTATATACGATGTCTAGGAGTAGTACAAAAGCTGTTTTATGTAGAATGTTGGTTAAATTATAGCACTCACTATTCTAAACATATTCTATGAATTCTATATGAAGCTAAACACATACATTTTAATTCATGAAAGTAATACTAATCCCGATGTCAAATTTTGGGTTTTCCCTTCATCGAACGTGAAAGAATTGTATCAAGTGCGACCTATATTTATTAGCTATGAAAATGTCACTGACATTAATAAAAAAAAAAACTAACGGTTTTATAACTTGCGAAACGACAATGCTATAATTTCAGTATTGCGCTCAGAGTTATACAACATACCAGTACGCAATGACGATGCAATTTTTGTATACAGTCAAATGCTATGACATTTACATTCAGCAATATAAAAATGGCGATATATATTTTTTTCATACTGTGATGTCAACACTTGATGACGTCACTTTTCTTTTCAATAAAACTCACCTGTCGCACGATGCGGAGTCCATATTTCCTTCAGGTGAATTGTTACGCCCGCCGATTGCGTAAAAAAGTCCACGCACGACGCACGACGCTATTCCTGATCTTGGCATTGGTAAATCGCATAATTTTAACCAGCGTTTTTCGTCGGCTTTATAACATTCCATGTTGGACAGTGAATGGCGTAAATACCCGCCAGCAACGTAGATTACCTGTACAGTTAAATAATTGTTATTTAAAAAATATTGACCCCCAAAATTTGACCCTAAAACCGAACCCGGAAGTAAATGCCGGAAATTGACCCCTACGAGAAAATGTTTTATATATATTTCGTAGAATTTATAGAAGATCGTAAATATGATGATAAACCAAAATTACCGAAAGGCTATTTTTGTCGTGTTTTTTGAAAACAAACACATTTTAAAATTATGTTCCGACTCCGAAATGTGGTGAGAAAAAGATGCGATATCATAACAGGCCAAATAAGTGGATATGTTGCAAATTCGGTACGCTTTTCTGCGATAGTCATAAATTGCATATTTCTTCCTTGCTTACCTGAGGTATAATAGGTGTTCGAGGCTTCGTATGAACCGGTTTGTGCAATGTTAAGTCTTTAATAATAAGAGAGATATATTCTATACATTTCGGGTTTTTTGCAACGGTCGGACAATTTTTTAACTGTTCATCTAGAAAAGTCGGCGTCAAAGAGTGGCATCGAACCTAAAAATAAATTGAATTATAAATAAAATTTCTTTCTATGATGATTCGCTCGAAACAAGGTTACAAATACTCATCTAAAAGCGAAACAAAATTACTGATCCAGGGGTGTATAAGTGAGAAGCCATCTGTGTGTTACCAGTAAAAATTTGATCGTGAGAATTGAAAGTTCATCTGCGTCATGGAAAGAAGACAGAATCGAGTCGTTATGACCCATATTAGTGGAGGCGTTGGGCATAGCTATGATGGCATCTCAGGTTACACTTTTGGGTTGAAACCCCATGCCCAGCACCTCACCCAGGACGAAGATTCCGTTTCGTCCGGCCTTATCCAGAATGAAAAGCGTATAAAATCGGCGTATAAAATAAATTTCAAAGTTTTTTTTTTTTTGGAAAAAACTTTTACCGCAGAAATTTGGTTGACAAGAATCTGAACGCCGATATTTTTATGCATTGGTCAAAAATTTCCTCTTGTGTACCAATGCGAATATCGCCGTTTGGAGAAAACAGGAACTTTATAAAGACAACAATTGTTCAAATCAAACATTATATCTTAATTGTTCACTCTAATGGTCAACTAATCAAAATTTGCTCTGAAGTTTGAACGAATAAAAATGTTATTCAAAATTACCACTCATGGTTATATCATAAATCAGTTGATGATTGGCGCATTCCAATCAAGTATGGTTTATATTTGATAACAAAAAACAATCTTCTCACCCCTTCAAGTAGCATATGAAAGTAGTCCCGCCTTCTTTCAACGTCATAACTGACCCATTGTACAACGGCTTTATAAACTTGAGTTTCACATTTTATATTCATTTCATCTGATGAAATTATTGTTGATAAACGACATGGTGTAATGTCTTTGAACTCTTCGGACTGAACGACCTAAGATGAATTAAATAAAAATTACAGTAATTTAATGGAAATTATATGTATTTGTAACATTAATCAAAACTAATATGAGTTTGCGATATCAGTCATATGACAATAACTAACCGCGGAATGTTGACTATATTTAACTTCTCTGTATGAGTATTAAACATGGAATGTTACATATTAAAATGGCGACATTAATATTGATAATAAGGCTAAGTATTCATATTCAATGTTTATAAAGGTGATCGAATAAATGACGTAATTGAACAGAAAATGGCGATTTCTTTGTTGAAAAAGTCATTATCGAATATTATTTCTACATACTTATATTAAAAATACTGAATTACCTCGCAAAAGTGTGTCCTTATATATTTATCAATTTTTTCTTTCAGACATGTCATTCCCAAATGTTCTGCATATTGTACCAAGCCGATGCAGTTGGTAGGGTCGAGCTTTTTTTCCAAAAATCTAAAAATAAATTTTTTAAAATATATCAAAAAGGAGCCAAAAAAGTTGTACTAGAACCAGACGGGAGTGTTTCATCACATAGGGCGAATTTTGGGCGACAGACAGACAACATAGAACATTCCGTCGTTTATACTTTGTATTAAAATATGACGGGGCGCCAATATTTCAGCTTTAATGCGTCGTGTTAAATTAAAATTTTGGAGCATGGGTATTACATTCAATCAGCAGAAAATAATCTTTGATGGTAGTTATATAGATTTTAAAGGAAAGACTGCCAGGTCCTTAATTGAGCACATATAAATTATGATTACCAATATGAAAACACACCAAGGTTAAGATGTTACGTGTTTCTGATTACAGTTTTCAGTTTGAAATTCTGGTTATTCCAAAAGTCAAATCAGGTCTACCACAAAACTCAGAATATAACAATAAACAAAATGGTGCAACCGCAAAAATTGGATTGCCCAGAGAGACGGAAGTAGAAGAATACCACAAAAAACTTCAAGCCTTAAGAAATACTAGGAATTAATTAAATGACACTTACTGACAGCATATTTTCAAAACATGGGTCATTTGAAGCATGTTTGCACCTTGCATTATATACAATACGCATTTTTCACTAATTGATATTCTTGAGGTATATGCAAAATCAAGCAACTTGGTGAATATTTCTGGGTGAATTTCGCTCATATTCACTTCTGGTTGATTTCGTTCCCGGCAACCACCTGAAAATACCAGTCAAAAAATCATACTAGAAACCTATTACTTCATCGATGACGTCACAATGGCGTCTGGAAATAGAAACTGAATTTACTTGTCGATTCTGGCGATGACGATAGCTTGCGAATGATATTGCACTAAGGAAGGTGTTGAAAAACATTAGCCCGTGTTGATTAAAATATATTATAATATCGGCATACCCGAAATGAATGTTTGAGAAACCGTACCTATATGGGCAGTAATTGAAATATTATCTATTTTATATTATATCATTATTACGTTAGAATTATAGATGAAAATATCACTTACCAGTGAACATGGCTTTAAAATATGGCGAGCACGCGGCTAATACTAGTTTGTGTGCGTGAAATTTCTGCTTCTTCCCATCGTATTCAAGTTTTATTGTTACGTCACAAAGAAGTCCATTCAACCGCAACTCGTGCATGATGGCCAGAGAATCGTTTGGATATTCTTTCTGTTCGTATTTTTCCAACCTAGGAGTCACGGAAAATATATAAAAATATAATTATGTGGTGAATTTTCGCAAGCAAAGTATTTTGAGGAGTGATATGAGTTTCAGTAATCGAGCAAAACGAAAAGGGATAAGCGAACTCCTCGGCAGCGAGCAAAAAAATTAAAAGTTTCAATGTTAACCATATCGTACACATAAAATTGTCGTACTTTCCACGTCCGGATTACGTAAAGATAATACTTCGATTACCGAAAAAGTTGGAAATTTTTATTCAAATTCGGTCAAATTATCGTGTGTTACAAAGTAATATATGTGATTCTATCACAGATTTTAAAGTCATAACCAGGCGATTTCTCCAAGAAATGCATAAATTTTTTGTGCCACTTTTCTTTCTTTTAGCTACGAACACTGTTAGCACAGTAATGCCTACTTGCACTATTATGGATTAAATGATAGGTCACTTGAAACGGCAAGTCAAAGCCAAATTAATAACATCGCGACAGGACTGGCATTTTGTCTGATATTTTTACTACAAGATTAATTAGCATTTTTTTAATAACAAATTGACTCGGTCATATACTGAATGAAAATCGTTTTACAATTTGACAATTTAGGCATCAGCTTTGTTTCATTGTGACATCATGAGCATTAATTTCTAGAGACCATAAAAGTATTATTGGACATCGGGACAAGCAATTTTTCGTTTGTAAAATTAGCAGTATCGGCAAGTGAAACTGCATGCAAGCTTTTATCGATCAAACGTAAATAGCACCTACGTAACCGATATCCGGAAATAGTACAAAACTAGATTGATGATTAATCAGTATAATTTCACCTTAACGACACCAATCGCACGTATCCCAGGCTCGGAAGGCGTTTGATTGAAAAACAGCTATTTCGTGTATTTTTAGTAAATCACCATATTCGTCAGTAAAGTGGGAAGTGGGTACCGCCAGATGTTACCGTAGTTACCAGAAGCAGCAGGAAAGCACAGAACACAATGCAAAGACTGATAATTTTGTTGCCCGACGGGGCAAACAGGTCAAAAAACGTATGTAATATCAAAGCTACTTGAATACAGCGGTGATTCGCTATGGAAAACGATATATATATATATATATATATATATATATATATATATATATAAACTGAAAATGGTCCGATCGCAATCGGCTGTGTTTAATTACTGACCAGCTAACCGTTTTATCGAGTTTACCCGATAAGATGAACTCATACTCTGAATCAACATACCTGTCTCCGTCCATCGTCGGAATTACTTGCCCAGGACATTTTCCTGATACTTCACACGAAGATGAATTCTTCTTTCGAGGCATTGTATTGTAGGTTTGATTGAAGCCAGTGGTAGAATGGTACTGCGCTTTTGGGTTTAAGCAGTACTTTACTATCTAGTAGTACGATATACAGATATTGCTTCGGTATAATTCCAGTACGTTTGTTGAAGTTGATATATAACATTTCATCGCAGAATTCCATACATACATAGCCATTCCGCCTGTTTAGTTATGCATCATTTCCATTTATTTATATATCTACGAATATGGTACAACCGAAATGTTACAATGTTACAGAATAATAAACCCTGCATACAGGGTACGGACTCAGTACAGCAGTATGACATGCTCTTATAAACCTGAAGGCTAACACAGCTAATGTCATATAAACCTAATCTAAAACTACAACACAATATAACTATAATATGATAAACAGCTGAGATATCGTGCGGTCTAATTTGTAGGTAACCAAAACCTCAAGAAAGCTACGGAAATTACATAAAGCAGTCACTATGCCGCCCTCGGCGTTTGGTCTGAAAAATATGGCGATAACTTGTACAGGGAACCATAGAAAATGAGAGAAATCAACAACGAAGAAATAAAAGCAGACTGCTGAGTCACGCACGTGCAATGATAATTTACGGTTCATCGAACTCTCTTTTTTAAACAAGAACAAACTGACAACCGGACAAAGAGCACGACGAAGAGACAAGCCCAACTGTTTGATTGGCTGAAGCGCGCAACCTCAGGTCGTTTGCCTGCCTCAAAAGGTATATATTTAGCCTGTCTTTTGTTTGTGTTCATACGTATTGTCCATGGCTTATCTCGTTTGATATTTTTATCTGAATCAGTCCGTGGAAACACTTAGTGTATATTTACCAGGATTTTTAGTAACCCTGTCAAATACTTGTTTTCGCTGTAGGAAATGTCCGGAATGTTGTGGAAGCATGATTCAGCGCTCGGGCTGTTCCCAAGTACCATGACTGGAATAAAATAATTACAACATGCCATAAAAATATGTGACCGATAATATTTTAATTAGGCGTACTTCCGAAAGATATAACTACAAAACATCAAAATATAATTATTGACTATATTGTATATTTATTTTTGTTCGCAAGATACTCACTTTTGCGTGAGTATAAGGCAGCTTTCTCCAAACCACCTAACATTTTAAGAAATACCACAATAATAAAATTGGTCTCTGGATCCTGATTGGTCAAAGCGGCCAACGCCCACAACGAAAGACAATCGGTACCGCTATCGATATCTCAAAAATTGTGCCACAAAACTCTTGTTCTTACGCAACAAAGTTCCCCATTTTTTTTATTCTTCAGTCGTCAAGTGGTAGATAGACGTACCTACTCTCTACAATTGAAGGCGTAGACTTATTTTGAAATGGGATTTTCTCGTATACGTATCATTTAACCCATTTTTTTTATCCTTCAGTCGCCAAGTGGTAGATAGACGTGCCTACTCTTTACAATTGAAGGCGTAGACTTATTTTGAAAGGGGATTTCCTCGTATACATATTATTTAAAGTTTTAAACATACAGTAATACTTTAGTTCTTATTTACCGATTGGGTGATATTGTACAGTTGATCCAACAAGAACTTTACTCATAAGATATTACGTTAGGTATTTACGTACCAAATCGGTTGTTTGAAGTTTCAAAAAATTCTGACTCTGAAGTGTTTGATGTAAAAAAAATGAATCATGATGAAACTATTCATGATACCCCCTTTGAAAGTTTTTTTCTGAACGCTTTCTTTGTCACGCTTTCCATATCTGATAGGCCTATGATATAATTGCCCAAGAAAACCAACATTATGCGATCATATACAAATTGTAACTCGTTATATGAGCCATGGATGTAGGTAGTTGATGACATTCGACCAATCAGTCCAGTATTCCACGTTAGAAATCGCTAATATTAGTCGTTCTTTGATTATTTCATATTATAGCATCGGTGGACAAGGAAGTATCGTCGAGACAGTTTTACACATCCGTGGGTTTACAGTATATTAATATTTGCAATTTACTTGGTGCTGCTAATATCTGTTCAAAACACAAAATATAGTAATCTGAATTGGATTTCGAGTTTGTGATAAGAGTCGGTCTTAGCCCGTATACCTGCCAAAATCTTCCACTCGATTTTACATTCCACTGCAAGACATGCTGAATTGACCTATTATCTAATACATTTATGACATAAAGATTATAATAAAGAATACTGTAATTCTTAACTATGAATTGTACATATTAACTTGAAGATAACAATTAATTCAATTTCAAACTTCAAGGTATGAAATTATTAAACTAAAGCATCCTTCTTAAATAGACGTCGCTGGTTTCCGGAATCTGCTAATTTACCCCCGATAATTGAGGCCTAAAGTAGCCTATTAACCACATGTTTACAATGACGTAATGCAAACGACCGTTGAGGCACCGCAACAAATTGAAGAAAAAAATCATAAGCATAGTTCATATATATCTGAATGACCAATATATTCGTTCTATTCTCGTAAACTTGAGAATATCGTATTTGATTGAATGCAAATTTATGAGAATTATGGACGCTAACAAGTACCTCTTTCATTCAGCGAAGCGATGTTTGCTGTTATTTTGTGATTGGGAATTTAAACCCCGATATACAAGCATTGGTAATATTACCAAACCATTTTACCATTACAGCGATGACGAAGTTTCGCACGTTTTTGTGAATGAGGCAGTGGTTACAGTAAGGCCACGATGTGAAACAGTTTTGGTCGAGCTGGGATATGTGGACTTCCACGTCCACTCTACTGCATACTTCACCCGTAAAGTTCATAAAATAGACCTTCCATGGAGTTTTGCTGCAGTATCTGGACGGATAAACTTATATGAGTCCTCTTTCGCAACTCTTTTATGAGTAATTTTCAATTCCGCTGGGGATCCGATTCAATATTACTCACCATCTCGTGGCAAAGTTTGCTTTTGAGATGTCCTGACCAAATTAAAACTGAAAAATCTGTTCAGTGCTATTTCCAGGCAAAAAATGCCACTTTTCGTATTTGTAATAGCAGTTAGTGCATCCTCTCTCGTATCCGAGGCGACTGACCAAAATCTTCGATTCTTATCATTTTTCTATAATTCTAAAATTGAGGTATAATAACGAGCGGTGCTTAACTAGATTATATAAATCAAGGAATTACCAGAGTTGCGTGTTATATCAGAGCTTAGTGTAACATTGTCCCGATATATGATGACGAGGAGGAACGCAGAGTCGGATATGCTGCTTTTCTACACATGAAAAAAAAAACTTAGTGCATTTTTGTTACAAAAAATATACGAATGAAATTTTAACCCCGTAGGCAAATACTTGTAGATGTAAATCGCAACACCCTGTGGTTTTTAACACAAAATTGAACATATCAAAACTATATTCCTTACTCTTAAAACCATATATATTATAGATATTACTTTATAATCCTTAGCATTATGATGTGTGGTTATAGGCGCACAGATAATTCTGTGGCTTATGATACAAATCTGTTTGAGGCTGGTAGACACGGGCCCAATGTCTATGGATGCCCTTTTCGTAACAATAAAGAAGGTGAGGGCGAAATACGTTTATGGGTGACGACTGTTGTTCGTGTGTACGAACACACGACGAGTGGTGTGCAGTTCGTGATTTGCAATACCAGGTTAGGGCGATTTTTACAATAGCCTAATCTCTCTTACAAATATAATTTTACTTCCGTTATTCGATTTATACTTATAAAATCATATATTATATATAACATTTGTATCCACAACCACTTGATAATGATGTTCTTACAAAATTCTCATCCAAGTGCAACCTCGCAATTGGCTTCGTATGTCTTGTGGGGTGGCTTCAAATTTTGTGTGCTTTGATGCAAATTTTTACCTTAGAACCAACCCAATAACTCAAAAGGCAAAAGAGTGAAACTTTTAGTTCCACAGGATAACAAGGACGGTTCATGAATGATGCTCTTCACTGTATGTAATTTATTTCTAAATTTACTCGCAATAAAAGGATATCCGGACTGCTCTGCACGGCACCAATCGGATCAGTAACGGGCAGATGCTCCTTACATTTCTGAGTACACCTTCAACCGATATTCAGTTTTCGTATCTCATTATGTATACTCTTTTTCTCGTAGATTGAAAATTTAGGCCAATCTATATTGCGTTATTGTTTTTTAATTGTTTCTCCATTAATAGACCATATTTTGTAAACATCTTCATAAAAAATGCATGCCCTTGGATTGGCTTGGGTTTTTCGATGAATAAACTGATGCAACCAAATACCTTAAAATATGTTGAAATCGATGGTATTAGGAATTTCAATTTGAAATTTAATACAACGAGGAGATGACTTGCTAATATATAAATGAATCCCGTAGAAGAGACTAGCACAGAAGAACACAGGAGATTTGTGAAAAATTATTGTGAAATGCATGAAGGGGCGGACTTGAAAACTGTTAACCAAGTTGACAACAAATCTAACAGCGAAATGGAACACTCCGAAAACGTTCCAAGTTGTATGCCTCAGTCTGTTGACTCTGAGGAACTTCACAAGTCGATTTTAAATCCAGATAGACAAGGTTGGGGTGAGTATACTCATAGTGATTGCTTGTTATTAAGGCCAGCATTTCGCATAATTTTGTTTTAAACGTTTAGTGTTCGCAGTCTTTTTATTATTATTATTAATAATATTTTACCAGGCGGCATTATATATTTTAATAAGTTACATGTGTTATTTTTAAATGGCCACCATCCGTGCCAATCGTGTTATGCGACATTCAGAATAACAAAAATAGTGGATTAAATTTTATTTTTCGATAAATATCTAAAATACTTATTCAATTAATACTTTTCAGTATTTCACTCCTCGCCATCTGCATACTTGAGCGTTGAATCCAAAGATTTCCGGGACAATTCATCAATATTTCACGGAATCTGCGGGAGATCCGGACGGCGCCGAAACCGGACAAGCTTTACGGCAGAACAATTATCGCTGCTGGAAGATATATTCACCAAAAATCATTATCCAGATATATTTTGTCGGGAAGAAATTGCTTCAAAAATTAGTATGACTGAGGCACGGATACAGGTAGTTATTACAACATTTGATTACATTACTACTATAAGTTTAGATGGTTGTACCTATGGTAACATTACACTCTTGAGACAAGTATTAAATTATAAATAGGCTAATCATTATGCCCATATTTATTTGATAATACGATAATTCTTTTTTCTGATTGTTGCAAATTGTTCGATTGTTCCTAAAATTCTAAATCTTCTTCTATTCTATAGGTTTGGTTCCAAAACAGAAGAGCCAAATTCCGGAAACAACATCGTAACATGGCATCACCAAAATATGTAGAGTCACTCACCAAAATTAAAGCAACGCGATTATGTGAAGATGAAGACAAAGAGAGTCATCGAATAATTAATACCACAAGACCATCAGCTTCCAGATATACTACCGAAGCAATCAATTGGCCAAATAGGAATAATGTTATGCCGCAGACCTTAAGCTTGCCCAATTATTTCCCTCCTCCATTACCTTACAATACTATCCAAAGCATGAATCTTCAATCTGCATATAATAGTGGCGCTGTTGCACCGTTACCTATTCGTCCTTTGGCAATGACGTCAGAGTGTCATTCCACACCTTCACGATCGCTCTTTAATTTCAACGACTTCACTGCATATCTGAGATATTTTTATGCTTCACAATTCGTCTTGAAAAATCGATTTACGCTTGGTGTCAGAGAATCAGATCCAGTAACGTCGAACCGTGAAAATTCTCCCGCTAAAGAGTTTATCTCGCCGGGTGAAATATGAGTATTCGAAATAAAACAATATATATAAAACAAAACAATACAACAATATTTTTATATATATAGGCTCTCATATATATACATAACTCTTGTGTAAAATATCAACAGATAGTTTACCCCTTTGCTCTGAGTTATTCACGGACGTAATTCAACTTTTGACACTGTAAAATGGATTTCCAATAAATTTTAAATGAATGCAATTGTTTGTTTGTTTTTTTCGAGAGGTGGGATTACCGATAAAAAATACATCATGGGAATTAGTCGTAAACGGGCTGAATATGGCACTATGGAAAATCAATGGATGCTTTGCTATCTAGACAGCTCAGAAGTGAGAATGATTATTTGGAGGGCCAAAAACAATACAATAAATACATAAAATACCTGATACGACAATCAGATTCACAGTAGATCTCAAAAAAGAGGTAATACAGTAAGAGGCCAAAAGTGAAGTATAGAATCCAAGATAGCCCGTCACAAACAGTACATGAGAATCAAATAATGATTGTAATAGGAGGTTACTGGAGTTCCTGCATCTCGTCATAAACAACCACAGATTTTTTTTCTATGGAGTGCTTCGAAAGAGGGAATGTTCCCAGATACCATTTTGTGACGGACACTCTCAAATCTAGAAACACAGTGAATTACGCGATGAGCATTATTATATGAAATTTTAACTTTTTTATAATTATAATTATTGAAAAACAACCAGAGCTGGCAGTTATAAATACTACAATAATACGTCATAAATAAAAGATTTTTTACAGTAGTGAAATAATTGACAAATTTTTTCAAAATGGGGCTATAAAATAAATTGATTTATACTGACGTTTCAAGTCAAGGTCATCTCTAAGATCATTGGATAGGAGTAAGTAGGTTAGAGTGAGCTATAGAAAAGGCGGACAGTACACCAATATCTTACCTCCCACACACATACGGAAAATATGACTGTCTGTGTATGGACAATATGATATATATGTAGGCTTACCATACGTCCCGGTTTAGCCGGGACAGTCCCGGATTTGACAAGCTGTCCCGGCGTCCCGGCCGGTTGACTCAAATGTCCCGGTTTGTCAGCACGGTTTTCATGAGTAAAAAATTCAAATTCATTATTATGATGAGTTGAAGAAAGATTTTCCTTATTTGAAGCAAACTGAAGGAGGAAAGGTACACTGTACGCATTGCAGATCTGTTTTTCTATTAGTCATGACGGACGTTCAGATGTCAACGATCATATCCAAAGCAGGAAGCACAAAACATTGAGGCATCGACTCGACTGACCAATTTTGCGATAACATATATATATAGGGCTGCACGATGAAGCCTACAATGCTGCCAGGCCACACATATGGACAAATTTGAAGAGTGAAATAAACTGGACTGAAGGGTTTGGTCTGCAAAATTGATAAATGATTTGTTTGGTTATAGCTGATCAGGTTTTGAATAACGATGCACTTTTCGACGAATACTGATAAAGAGATATTTATCTGAGCATGGTTCAAATGCAATTTGACTTACTTTGCCGGTTGAAATTAAGTGGACAGAGATGTTTAACGTTTTTTCTAACAGAAATATTAGCATTTCGAATTTGCAGCAAATTGGTTGATTTTGTTTTTCGGAACATCGGCATCTGATAAAAGGATTTTTCCATTGTTAAAAAATTTTGGTCCGAAAGCAGGTGCAGAATGCCAGAAGAAAATATAAAACCACTCCGTAACCTGCAAATTTAATGGTGATGTCTCTTGTTATCAGTTTTATGACAAAATTAAAACAAGAATTTTTGAGAAAGGTTCCATCTGCGGACAAATACTTTTGGTCTAAATGAATAATACAAACTAATTTTTTGTGTTTTTTCTAATTCAATGATCAGTAGAGATTTACAGCCGTATATACCCACAATGGCATGGTAGACGTTCCAATATTATCAAGACTGGCAATCGACCGAATGTTTGCAAAATCGCACCGTCCCGGTTTTTTGTTTCAGATTTATGGTAAGCCTATATATATGGGCTACCTGCTATTCGCGAATATGCAAACGTGTTCTGCTGACTTTTCACACAAATCTGTATCACACAGGCAATGTTCGTTTTCCTGACCGGATCACTTTTCCACTACAAGTCACACCGATTATTTACGTTTCATCCACGTATTTTCAACGTGTATTTCGAATAAAACATACTCTCCCCTTCCTATCTGATATTTGTAGCTTATTTTCAGCTACGGTAGTTGTTTTTGAGGTGGAGCGCGAGACTTCACAAATTCTGAAAAGGGGGCGCGGCTTGAAAAGTTTGAGAACCACTGATTCACTGGCTTTTAGGCTGGATCTGCAATCTCTGCAAAAATGACATAATTACGATAAAATATTAAAATGATTTGAAACCTATTCCACAAACTTTATAAAGGCATTTCTTTTTCATGGCCTCAAGTTTAAATGTTCCATTCAATGTAAATTTCTCCACGCGTGACGGAATCAGCAAATCAAAATTATTGCTCTCAGCGCGGTATATTTGATCTCATCATTCCTGCATTTCGTCTTGTTTTGTTTTGCTTGCTGGTCTCTGGTTTTTATTTTCAGATTTTAGTGTTGCGTGTTGTTGTTTGTTCTACCGCATTGCTGTATTGTGTAAATTATAATTTTATAACCTCCTAGCTACTACTGTGTTGAATGCTCAAAAAATAAAAATAGCATCTTTAAAAATTATGGAAGAATGAAGTTTGCTTGCGATACGCAGCAGCCTGGGTTCTTAGCTCTGTAGCCTAGTTCAGTACCGGTAGTTTGTTACGCCAAGGGTACGCTCGGGAACAGTTTTTCTACTATTATCATAGGCTATTTCAGTTTCTATTATTTTTTGTCATACATTCTGTCTACGTTATTCAGTTATTGTGAATGCGTGTTCTGGTGTTGGTGAGCGGGCACATGATACCGGTACTCATCTTGTTCCAAACTTTTTTAAAGGTTTTGCTCACTCTCCAGAATTCTCCATTTTTTATTTGTTTGTATTGTCAGATTGTGAAGTTTTTGAAATAAACCATCTATCTATTGGTGATTTCCATATGGGCTAGATAAATATATAATTTATAAGGTACCGAACCGGTACCGTAAAAGTAGGAATGTTACAAAACGCGCTTTTTCGCGCCAAAAAATGTACGCACCACGTCTGCTAAGTACCGTAAGGCCGTGTCAGAATACCGCTCATAAAAACGACTACGGACTGCCTGCTGTTGTTTGGAATTCCATGAAATTTGGACATAACTTAGGTAAAATGCGCAACTATGATTTGATATTTGAATTTTTTCATTAGCGCATAAATTTCCCAACATTCGGGGCTTTTAAAAATTACGCTAAAGTTATACGTACTGCAAATTAATGATATTGTCTATGGACACCAATAAAATATATATGGACGCATGTATGTCATTCCTAACTTGATACTTACCAATTTTTATGAAGTTTGTTCAATCAGAACATCGTTAATTATTACCCGCAACGAGGCACTGTCAAACTAATATGCTCAACTCCAGGGTTGATTTGCGACGATCTTCCGACGGCCTCAATGATCGTTGCCAGAATAAAATCCTAAAGTAATCTGAATTTTCATAGATGTGACGCACATCGGAAAATTAAAGATTGATATGTGTTTTTTTTTCATATTTATTAAAGTTCTTATTGAAAAAAGTCAATTCGCATACGTTTACGAAACGGTACAAATTAATTCAAGGCACGAGAAGTATGATCTTAGCACGCGTCTGTCAACGCGCATCAGTTATCGACTGAATGCCGACATTTTCCCTCGCAGCGATTTCTCTCGTTTTGCGTTTCACTAAGCGCGGTAAATCTCCTACGAGTTAAGGAATATTAAATGATAATTAATCGTTCATTAAGGTCGGATATGAAAAACGCTAAATCAGTTAATTGCCGCGTATGCGAGGACTTGCGTATTGGGAAAGTCGTTGCCGACCAGAGGTTATGTAAAGTTCAGAAACTTTCTCGTACATAATTAATTGAAAAGCAGCTAATATCGTTAAAAAGAATTTGTAAACTTTTTTGCATTAGGTTCTTCTATTCACAATAACTTTTCGTTCAAAATTTTTTTCGATTACCTCCAAAAATAGCCGAGATACATTCTGTTGTTTATCGGTCTGACATTCTCGCGGTCACAGTTTTTGAGTCGGCGCAATACAATCCTTATGGAAAAAATTGGCCTATCGGGCGGTACTTAAATGCAGATATCTCCGTTAATTCTTGACCATTTTTCGCAAACTTGGTATTGTTTTCTTATTTTCACTTAGATCTATCCACTGGTGCAGTTTTTATTTAAATCGGATGAACTTTAATTTTTTTGTAACATACCTAGTAAAAGTACATGTCTGCCAGTAGGGTAGGTACGGTACTGATAATCTGTAACTATTCGGTATACCCAGATGGGTCTCATGTAGTTTCGTACCTAACGTACTTCTAGTAGGCGTACCATAACAATTTTTTAACGTGTCAATCCTAACCCCCACCTGACCACACCATCCAAAAATTACGTCACTACGACGTCACAGTATCGTAATAGAGCCCTTCAAACTATACGAACTGTCATCCTAGACGCGCAGACGAGAACCCGAAATCCAACAGCCATTTCTCTCGTTTTCACGTCGCAACGATCCCGATAGGAGAGAGATCGTTGACGTTAGTCAGTTCTTTATCGTCGGCGCCGATGCCATTTCGGGCGATCGTATGAGTATTTGGCAAGCTCTGACGTGATTGTGACGTCATTTTTGAATGGCGTAGTCAGGTGAGGGTTAGGATTGGCATGTCAAAAAATTATTATTCTATGCCTACTAGAAGTACATTAGGTACGAAACTACACGAGACCCTACCCAGATACCGTATTTCATGTATTTTAAGAAAAATAAACATTTTAATCGAAAGTCGTTATTTATAGGCCTAGATCTAACCTCACTTTTCTACAGGGGTGGTGACTCCTCTACGACCCATGGGCCGGGGCCACGGCCCATCTAATTGGGCCACATGGGCCGTGGCCAATCAAGCTATGGGCCGCGGCCCCGTCAGGAAAAATTCAATTATCTTACCAAAATTTTCAATTTTTACAAAATTGTCAATATTCGAACCAAAAAATAAACTCCTGTAGTATGTGTACCAGGTTAGGGTTAAGGCAAAATTTTGTTCAGATTTTTTACATTATAGTTCTATTATGAGTTTGGGGACTGTTTGTGTTAGCCAAGTGAATAGTTTCTTTACACAACTTGATGGGCCGCGGCCCATAGCCTGATGGGCCGGGGCCCAATTTGATGGGCCGTGGCCCCGGCCCGTGGGCCGAAGAGGAGTCACCACTCCCACTCTCACTTTTTGCATTTAAACATATTTCGCTATTTATTCATACTCAAATTTATTAAACTTATCATATCGGCATATTTCAGTATTTAACATTTAATTATAAGTTCAAGTTGAAATTGACGTAATTTCGGTTTAAAATACAGAAATAGAAACAGGAATTTTATTTGATGACGATATTCATATATTGGAGCATGATTGAATATGGAGCCCCAAGTTCATAGTTTTGATTCTTTGACTTTGTTTCATGTTTCGTGCTGTTTGTTTATGAGATAGGCTATTAAAAGGATTCCATTTCTGATATTTGGCAACCGGAATAACATTAGACTGATAGAAGTACGCTCCATCCAAAACCTCGTTAATCTACCGAATCTAAAATTTATTTATCTAAATTGTTTTTATAATAACCTCATATTTTAACTTCAGATTTTAAGTTAATAATCTGAGCTTGTGGCATTGAACCTTGAAGCATAGGATTTACAGATTTTTGCTCAGCATGTTTCAATCGACAGATGTATCACAAGGACCTTATCGAGCCACTAAACTGGTGAGTTGGAAATGTTCTGATTCATATTTGGGGAATAGTCTGTTTCATATATTCAATTTACTTTAATCTAGCCAAGAAAAATGAGAAGTAATGGCCATATTACTTGCAAGTTAGCATAACACAGTTCAGCTCAGTCATGCTTTAGTGATTCCCTCTTGTGGCATAGTCGGGATGGTGTGACGTGTGATGATCTAATAAGTCAATGCATGTGGACCAATAACTGAACAACCATGCCCTGCTTGGAATGTTGACCAGGCGAGAAGCTGTGGCCCACCCAACCACCAGCTGTCCTATCGACTTTGTTCTCCATTTAGATCTAGATGATTATGGAAGACTCGTTCAATTTGGAATCTCTTAATTAGTAATAAGTTACTTCAACTTATGAATGTTATGTCTCCATATCATGGGTTTTATTGATAATCTATCGAAAGTATGCCTCATGTGCGTTTCAAACTGTTTATATATGTATTTATTTCAGTGGAATGAAGTTGTTCGACTATTCCGATGTGGAATGCCCACCAAACGACACTGGCACCAGTTCAAAGTTTTCCATGATACTTTCACTGGTGCAGAAGCTGCTGATTGGCTGCATGATTGTTTGAAAATAAACAACAATTTTGGGGCTCAGGTAAAAGCATGATTCTTATTATGAGCCTGGGATGAAAGAAAATGATGAAGTACAAATAGTGGATTCTGAAATAACTTTTTTTACTTGGATTGTTTATGTATCATAAATCCTCTTTTTTAATCCATCAAACCGCACTTTTCTGATATGATTCAAGTCTATGGGCCTGTGGAATCGGGGAATATTTACGATCTCTCTAGCTTCGATCACAACACCAGAAATTAAAAAAAATCGATTTCGACTTCCGACTCAGTTGTAAATATTTTCGTCCCTCATTCAGGAAATACCTCTGAGAAAAGCATATTTTCATAACAAAAATTTTGTTATATGCATATTCAATAGACTGTTAAGAACGGCTAGTAAACTTGATGCTATTTAAACTCTGACCCCCTGGCTGTGATATGCATGGCATAGGTTTGAGTGTTTACCATTATTAGTAATTTGTAATATATATTTGCCATTGGAATTTTAATAAAAGTTGATTACTCCTTACTTTCATAACATTTACAACATATGCCATTTTGTTATCCAATAAGCAGATAACAATTATTTAATGGAAGTGGAATCTTCCCTTCTAGAATAATATTAACCATATAATTTATATGTTTAGGTCACCAGAGAGCAAACTATAAGACTTCTCTGTAAATTTTTAAAAAATCATGTCATTGAAGAAGTTTCTGGTAAATGGGGAACAGAAGAATATACAGATAATAAACAATTATACAGGTAGAAATATTATCTAGAATGATGATTAGTTGTGCCTATTATTAAATGCTTCCAAAGCTGGGCTAGATGTAGAACTTTTTTTGAAGAAATTTGTAGTTTTCTATGTTTTTAGGCCTTTTTTATACTTGATATGAACGTGTGAGCATAAATAGATATCGTAGGATAGCATAGGCCCAATTCCCAGAAGCGTATGAATTTTATGAATGAATGAACAAATTGTAAGAATGTTTATTTTTTTCACATAATATCCTTTGTTCAAATTCTGAATTATTCTGACATAATAATGATATTCTAACATATTAGAATTTTTACTGTTTTGAAGTTTGAATGTAAGCTTTCTAAATCTTGGTTTGCAGTTAGAGTTCTAGTTACAACTGATTTTTCCATGTCATAAATTTTCCGAATATAAACTTATAGGTTTCCCATTGGAGTTTCGCCTTCTAAAGTGATTCGGCAACCATTGGCTCTTCTCAACACAAATCAAGCTTCACCAAGACAACAGAACATCACTAATGCAAAAAACAAGTTTATAGTACAATCTCGGATGAAGAAAAACAATGTATGCATATTTTTTTGTTTCAATTTTGAAATAGAATAAAATAGTTTGTAATATTTGTGTTTTTTGTTTATAGCATGAATCTCCAAAAACAACATCAAGCATGTGGCAAAGGGCATATATGTCAAGGTATTGTTTTTTGTTCAATTTTTGTAACATCATATTACAGTGAACTGGTATTTTTTTATGTTTGGGTAGGCTATGATAAATTGATGAGGTTGCTGCAATATGACTATCTCGTCCAAGTTTGGACAATGATGGTCGAAATTGAATAATTTGCTTCTTTCGAATACATCCTGAAATAATATTTTTGAATAGGAAAAATTAAATTCATATTCTAAATTTTATGTTCAACAGAAAAATTGGCAGAAATCATTGGAATTCATCAAAATTAAATCAAATAATGCCGAATATAAATCCTTAGTCTGCCTCTGTTCATGTACTTACAAAAGTTGGTGATAAACATCGCTTCTATCATTTTCTATTTATTGTTTGTTTGAGATTACGTTAATTGAGGTCTATTTTTTGTCTGACGTTGAGATGTCAAATGCCTAAAATGACAACTTTTTAAAGGAAAATAGTTACTTTATTGTATATACTAAATTCCAATATTTGATTTTTCATTGACATCCCTGGAATTAATGGTTATTTTTCATTTACATAGCGATGCATACAGATGAATATGCATGCTATAGTGCCTTCATTCTGACAACCAACTAATCATACCTTAACTTTATGATCTTAATTTAACATGAAGAACAGGATATCCTCTTCATCTCACATTTCTAATATCAAAGGGTCATGTCACAGTTTTGCTCCTAATTGTTTTAGAGATTTAACAGGAAAGATCATTAGAGCTTAATGGTTCAATTTGGTGCATCTTGTGTGCAAATTGCATTTTGTTTAATTCAAATTTAGGCAGATTATCCTTATGGGCTTATTACAAAAATATCTCAACAATGTTGTAGTATGGTGAACTTTTTTAGAAGAAACATGAAAGTTTTTGCTTCAAACATGGCTCTGTACACTCTGGATGAGGTGATGGCGATGTCAACTTATTTAAGCCTAACACTTCATCTGCCAGGCCACGCTAATTTCGTCGTTTGTCAAATCTTTGAATTTGTATTAATTACATAATCCAATATCGATATTTTGATAAAGTCTTTCAATTTAAAAAAACGAATATTTTACTCGCTTTCTGGCTAGTTAATTAAATTACATTTACCGTAGTAACTTCAAAATTTTGAGAAAATATTACATCTTAATCAATTTCAGTAAATAAATTTCTCAAAATGCTTCTTCAATCGTAAGGTAAGACTAGTACAGAATGGCTGTATGGTTACTTCTTCTCGGAGTAATTTCTACGTAGACCTGTTCATGACTAACCATCTCATCCAGGATGTAGTAACCGTTCAGAAATGCTCCTCATTGATTCTTTTTTTCTTCTTGTGCAGAGCATTGTTCGGAGTGCAGTACAGTAATAAAAACTTAGCATGTTCAATTTTTTTATGTATTTTCCAAACAGCTTTCAAAAACTCCTCAATTTGAAATCAATAGAAGAAATACTACCATGTGGAATACTTCACACAGAATGGCTTCTACATAATGTTACAAAAGATGAATTATCAACTTTCACGGAACATGAAATGCCATATTGGGTTATCAGTGCTATGCAATGTCTTGCAACATGTAATACTTTTACAGAATATTTTTAATAATTACCGTATTTGCTCGCTTTATAACCCGTTCCCATATTTTCTTCAACCAACTCACTAACCGGGCCATCATTCAAACCGGCCCTTATTCAAGCACGGGCGCTTGTTATTTTCGATCGTTGCAATAATTAATGTATATATTGCTATTTCCAGTTCTCAAGTATGATTTAAACAAGAATAACGAAAGTTTTGACTTTTTCTACGCACCACAGAAAAGCGAAGAAAAGTTTTTCGACGCCCTAGCAATATTGAAACGACGATGCCCAGTTTGAGAACCTTGGTGTTACGTAATCAATGCTATCTGTTATGTACTTGGACGCCTAAGGCGTGAGTGTTATCTACCGACGCTTCTTATTTCCTATTGTTCTCTACCACTGAAAAATCAGCTTTTACATTTATTTTTATGTTCTGTTCACACCGGCGGCTATTCAAACGGGCCCTTAATCAAGATCTGGCGGTAAAACGAGCATATACGGTATAGGAAAACGTTTTATTTAAATAGTACTTCATTATGTGGCCTATTTTTGTGCACATTAGTGCAAATATTTTAATTTAGTCATGGCCACTTTCTTTCTTCTAAACGTTTAATTCTATAGATTTACATATAATTGTCTTGAGCATGAAGCATGAAAATATCGTCTTTTAAAGCCGACGTTGTTGATTGGTGGTTATTTTCATATAAAAATTTTTCACTTGCAAGCTATTATTTTTAAAAAGACTAATCTTTCCATTTCAGAATTTGTCTACCTAAATTATTACACGTTATGTGTGATATGGTCAGCATTGACTTTATTTACCTATGATCATTAAACTATATTCCCAATATAATTAGGTCCAACGCACTTAACCATTTAATCCAATATTACTATATTCTTGATAATTATCTTTTATTTAAATTATTTTAGGGCCAAACAGTGAAAGCTCTGGACTTCCAAACTACCCTGGCTTTGAACGAGATATTTTTTCAGCAGTTTGTGGATATTTCCAAGCTCTTTCAGAACCACTATTAACGTACAATCTGTATCAACTTTTCATTACTGTGTTTGGTAAGTCGAATTGATTATACTATTCCAGGGTTAATTTGGACTGGCATCTTTCATCTAGTAGTTATGACCAAGGTGAATTAAAGTTATGAATAGGTCAAAATAAGATTAGCATAACCAGGACAGTGAATTGGAAGGTTGAAATGGCATGTTTTAATTATATTAGTAGTCTGAGTCAAACTTTCTAGTGTCATAATTTTGAATTTTTCATAATCTGAGTCGAAAATTCAAATTTTAATAGAGGGTATGGAAGTTGGAATTTTCGACAGAAATTCAAGCATCTCAACACACTATTAAAGAAAACTCGCATGTGCCTAATTTGGTTATCTTGTAGGAGTTGTAGTTCAAATTTTGATTTGGAGTAAAATCTTTCAAAAAGTAGATTGTAGTCGGCCTAGATTGGAGTCTGATATAATTTTTTCACTCTACAGCTGTGGGTTGGAAAAACAGAAATGTTGAGTTGAGTTGTTAAATTCCCTAAAGTGAAGATTGAAGCTTTTTCCTAACACTTTTTTTCAATTATTCTTGTGTACATTGTAGTTACCTATATAGTGAATTTCTGGACTTGTTATACTTTCTTTTTTTTTGTTAAATAATGATTCAATTTACAGTACGTTCAGAAATTTTGGATGAAGATGACTCAGAGAATCATTCGGACAATTTTCATGGTAATTTTGTGAAAAATTGTTTTTCTTACTTTTTACTACCAGTACAACCAAGGCCTTATTAATAAACTTAATCATGCAGAAAGCCATGCACAAAATGTGCAATGGTGAGCGTGTTCTAAACGCTCAGCACGATGCGCCATCCGCTGGGCCGTGATATGAATTGATTATAATTTTTACTTAAATACCTAAAAATGCTTAATTTTCATTATAATTTTAAGCGAAATCCTCGCCGCAAGTAGAAAATGAGAGTGGGGAAGAAGTTGAGAAACTGAGAAGAAAACTCATGCAAGCTCAAATGAGACATGCGAATAAAGCAATCAGACATCATAAAAGTATGAGACATGGAAGCATGCCTGCAAAATATCTCAACTTCAACGAAGGTAACTTATTCATCTAAGATTGAATTTGACTTATATTTTGTTTTAGGAATATTTGAATGATATTAGTAAAAGTCCTCAGGTTTAAATAAGTGACATATACGGTATAAAGAGCTGTGTTGGAATTTTTAAAAATCTTGTGTGTTATGTGGTTGGAGCATTGGGTGAAAATCTTGGTTTCAAACCCAAGCCTACTGCCTCATCCCCGGTGTAATAAGTTGAGTATGCAACGGTAATCTGGTAAGATCCACCCAAAAAATAATATCTCTTTGCAATACTAGTGTATTCTGATCATCAGGCAAGCAATTTAAACAAATTCTTGTGTTTTACTTCAGTGGATGTTCCTGCCCACTTCGGAAGTTTGCCAAGATGGTAAGTTATATGATTTATTACTCTTTTTTTTAAGATTTATATACAGATCCTACCTGTTTTTAAAATGTACTATGGAGTACAAGCATTTCAAATGAAGGCCATGAATATAAATAGTCTTTTTCCATCCCATGTCATTTTTGTATGTATGGGCACGAATATGAACAGTATGAAAGCAACCATAGGGATATTATTTTTGATTGAAATTATTATTTTTGTAAAGGAATTGGAAGCTTGAAGACGTCGCTACAAGAGAAACGTGGAATGACAGATTCGCAAGTTCTAGAAAACTCGATGAATTGACAGAAGAGAACAGTTTTCAAACAAAACAAGAAAACTATGCATCCCTACCAGAGTTACGATTTAGTAATACTCTTCCGAGACCAAGATCTTCTCATAATAATGAAGCGAAAGTAGAAAAGAAGATTTCTCAGCATGACAAATTGTAAGTTGGGTTACTCAACCATGTCGATGTTATCAAATCTTATACTATAACTATATTAAATGCATTCCCTTATTTAAATTATCTTATAAATTCTTGCCTACAAATAACAAGTATTCATTTGCTGCACAACAAATCAGAGCAGAATAACTGAATTTCACAAGAAATCGATTTCTATATATATTATTTAAAATAAGGATAAATTACCAAACTATAAGCTAAAAAACTATAAAATGTTATGTTTATTTTTGAATTCTGTGTATTTTTCAACTTTTAGGACTGGATTTGATTACAAAACATTGGATAATGAAGCAATAGAAGCTGGATTTTTACCATTGGGTGAAGAATTTAAATCTCGTTCTGTTGAAAATTTATTACTCGACATGAGTATAAGGTTAGTGGGCATAAAGAATATAGTTCTGCAGTATATATATATTATATTATAAGGTTCTTCACACATTGGCCAGGAAGAAAGCTCCAGGCAAGCAAGTACTGTACAGGAATACTACGCTGTGGAAAATACATTTGTTTTTGGCATTGAATCAGGGCCATTAGGTTTGAAATCAAAATCTTCATCCTATTGTTCTATTTTGGTCCATTACACTAACCCAGAAGTTCCCGATCTTCATGACGCATTTATTTCTGTAATACAAATCATGACAAACTTTTATTAAATTATGACAAGAAAGAATGTTATTGGACACGTTTAGTGGACATAACTTTTTGGACACCTAGTGGAAATATTAAAAAACCGCTTTTCTCTTTGATTACTGGACCAATTGCTTTGAAATTTTAAGTGGTTAAAGATGAAATTTTTCTTCAGAAGGCTATTTCTTTTATTTATTTCAAATATTTCTGTTAGCTCTGAGATTTGTTTTTGTTTGCTATGACGTCACTGAACGTTCTGCAGACATCGGACGCCATTTTGTTTCCAACTGTACTGCTTCGCTTGGTGTGAATATATTTGTAGACTGTGATCTGACGGTATGGTATACCGTACTGTACTGCGAACAGATGTGTACATATATTTGGGCATAGCTCTCTTGTTTTATGAAATATGCTTATTTATCGATATGATGCTTGAAGTTGTTTTTGTGTTCATGAGTGCTTGCAATTAACTCAGAATCATGCCATAACTTAGTATTTCCTTTCAATTACTACATACTGCATCTTTCATACTTCATCTTTGGTAAAATTTTTCTACAGGATGCATGATGAACTGGAAAATGATTTGATGAAAGATAATAATTATGAAGCTACTGGTCATTGCAATTCAAATGCAGACAAAAATAGAAGCAATCCACTGTCGAACACAAACGAAGGATACGAGAATTTAAGTTTCGAGAAAAAGGATGATTTCGTTGATTCTCCTATGTATCGGACAATGAAACCAATTTATGAAAAAAACAAAAAACCTCAAAAGCAAAATACGAGATTTCAATCTAATTTCTCGACAGTGAAAAAATGTCGAAGTTTTAATTCTCGACAGATTCATAGTATCGACAGTAATTTGTCAAAAGAAGGCGTTTACATGGAAATTTCAGCCAGTCAGCCTAGTTTAAATAAAGCATCAAATATGTACCTTGGGGGGAACCTTGCTACGTTACGAGAACCAGCAAAACCGAGCTCTCAGTTCCAGGGAATAAAAGAACAGAAAACAATCAAGAGACGTTCGATAAAACCATCGATAGAAGATTTGGAAAATGATTTGATGTTTTCTCCGTTTGTTCATAAACCTGCTCTACCTGCTCAAAACAACAAGGGTGATCAACTTGATAGGTATTGTGCTTTTGTTTTAATAATCAGTTGACTCGACTGCTTGTCTAGAGCCTTGTTTGGGGTGAAAGTATAGAATTATTATGAAATAATAGCAAAAAATTTTAAATTACGAAATTTGTCTTTTATTTTCTTCTATTTTGCTTTTTGTTTGAATTTGAAAAAAAAATTACTAATTTTGTAATAACATCACTATAGTACAAAACCAGTGTCTCGAAATGTCATGTCCCACTTGTCCAACGTGTCCCATATGTCTCACTTGTAACACGTGTCCCACTTGTAATGGGTGGGTCACCTAGTGGGACACGACATTTTCGAGAGACACCTCACCTGAACATTTTGAGACAGCCGTACAAAACCACAAAGGATTATGTGCAATTCATTGTCTGTAGAATTTTTGCAATAGCATCATGCACTAGAGCTACATTTTCAATTGTGTTATGTGATGGCCTGGTGGTTTGATCCTGAAATGTTGGAATTGCATGGTAAAAATCCGAGATTCGAATCACATGCCCATCTTACCCTAGGTGTAAGTAGGTGGTCACACCGTAAAGTTTTCGGTACATCTCGAAACAGTATCTTTTAAGCAGTCAGTAGCTGCTTACACAGAGCCTTTTTTGGAGTGAAAACTAACCATTCATTCTAATTCAACAGCAAAAAACAACATCCTCAATCTGCAATTAAAGAACGTAGAGAAGTTCCACCACCCTGCGTCACGAATGCAAAGAAAATCGATCCACATTTTATTCAACAGAGATTAGATAGATTGCCTTATGTGTCACAAACTATGCTTCCAAGCAAACAACATGCAAATTCGGAATCTCAACTTCATGTTGGATTAACCAGGTAATTTGACTTTCAATCCTAATTTCTTTGTTCAAATGGAATTTTATAGGTTCAATCGTCATTAAACTAACTGAGATTGATAACAGACCGTGGAAACAGGCAAGAGCGAAGCCTGAAATTTCTAATTGCCGTAACAGGTAGCAAGAGGCCAGGAAACATGGATTTCCAGGAGTCTCAAGGGTAAAAAAACACTCAAGCTACGCAAAATTGCTATATATAATGGCAAGATGTTCTTTTTCATATTTTAAAACGGGGGGTTCTGACCCACAGTACCCCTGCAACAAAACCCTCCATCACTCTCAACCTAATTTCATAATTACCCAATTAATGTTTCAGGTCTCATAGTACATTAAGTTATCGCCCACTGCGTGAAGTTTCACTCAACAATCATGGCAACGATCGTTATGTTGGTCGACAATCATCAATCAATGATAGATTTTCGTGGAATAATAAATCAATGATGTCAGGCGCAAAATCATGCAACAATTTTAATGAGGTATTGATGCAATATTTTATTCTTAGGTAATTCATATCTACAAAATTTTATTCATTGGATATTCCTCCCAGACAAAATTCAATCCTCCAATCTCCATTACAATCCTTTTTTTATTCATTTTTCGTATAATATCTTATTTTTAGAATTGTTTTAAAATTATCTGGGTGAAACCGAACGAAGATGTTCATATCCTTACAGTTCGATATTCCAGAGTTCTATGTTATAATTAATTTTACATTTATAATATTCTGAATAGATTGAAAAAATTGAAATATATACAAATTGATGAAACCATAATTCGAGTATATAACCGTATATATATATTTTTTCATTCCAGGCATTCTCACACCCTCAATGTGATGTCCCTCCATCACCTCTTACCACAGCGTTTGATTCTGCTCGGACAAAAGCAAATCCAACTACAGGTAAAAATATTTACTTCCCAATTAGCTATACAAAGTTAAATTGGGACGGTTTTATTTCATTGCTGTTCAGCTTATATTTCATTTGAAGAAATATAGATTCTTTTGTGTCCCATATCAACCAATGGCATCACTGTCGCAGTGTAGCTTTTTTATCAGTATTTTTTCCACTTATAGTTAAAGTTCCATGACCTTATTTTCAGCATGCATGTATATAAAAGTGAATTTCATTCTTTTACTGTCAGTGTATCTGAGCGTAGACGAAAAAATATGGCAAAATTATTTTCATGAATTTCAGTTTTGTGGAATTCACTGTTTTTTGACAGTATCAAAAGTCTCACATCAACTAATAATTGCGACTACTGTACTATCATAAATTTCTACTTGTTCAATAGCTCTTGTTATTTTGGTGATCATCTTCATTTTGCTATGGAATGAGTTCGCTTCACTCTTGAGTGAGTGGCTCAATCTTGCTTTATTCAAATTCTTATAAATAAATAAATAAAAAATCTATTTGTGGGTCTTGTACTGACAAAAGCAATAGGCATTTGCTTGATTGTGTATTTCTTATTCAGGAGCATCGAACAGACTGGTAGAAGCATTGCAGTTTTGTCTTCTCTTACTTCCTCCCTGTAGTCGTAGTAAGCTTCGACTTTTGTTGCGACTGATCACCAAAATGTGTAACAATCCACATCTCGTTGATCTTCACGATCTTTTATCAACGAGAGCATTTGTAAGTTTTTTAGTAAGTTTAGTAAGTAAAAACCAGGAGTATGAGGAAATTACTATAGGTTTAATAAAATTTGAATTGGACTCTTGGACTTGGTCAAAAAATTTTTTAAATACAATTCAATCTCCGAACTCAGAGAAAATAAAATTTCGATGACGAAAATATTGGCATATGCAAGCTTTCCTCTCTGTTTAGAATGCTTAGTGAATTTTCGAAGCTTTTGGAATTTACATTTGAAGGTGTGTCTTGTGAGTAAGTCTTGTATTGAGTCAATGAAGTATATTAACATATCTATTTTTTAGGTTTTGCAAGAGTTGTCTCCATGTATAATTCGTCAAAGACCTGTGAAACAACAATCGAGATTCTCAATGAACAAAGATATCGAACAGAAAATCATCAGTGTGTTTTTAGAACATACATCTGTGTTGATGAATAAACCAACTTCTCTTGAAAAAACTGTGAAAGAACTGACAATAGGAACAAAATCAGAGGTTTGGAAAAATTTTGTTAAAATAATTGTCCATCACATTGAAAGCAAAACTAGGTACTTTCATAGAAGACCGAGGGACCAAAAGTCTTTATAGAGTATTTCTACAGGGTTCACTGATCATGAATCTTTGAAAAACCTGGTCCAGATTTTTTTTGAGTCGAATAATTATATTTGTTACACTTCGGGATCCAGTGCTGGGTTTCACCCCTGTCCTTGATTGAGCAATAGAAAATCATATACAGATTGTAATTTGTAATAATTCATTTCAAACCTAGTGACTCAGAATATTTTGAACAGATAATTTGAATACCCGCTTTTCTGTTATTTAGACCGCAACAAACCTCACTTCTAACATGAAACCAATTGCTCAGGAAAAATCAATGAAGAGACAGACAACATTCTGCAAACAGGTTAATTGATAAATTAGATTATTCAACTCGTTTCAAAGTGAAGCTGTTGTTGAAATATTCATTTTGTTGATATTTACGTATCACTCCCTTTCTTGAACTTTTCACAGATTTTGAATTTCATCATTTTGCTTGCTTACTCACTCAAGTCAAAAACACTTTATTCTTGAATAAGTATATAGTTACACACCAACTACCCAAGTTTAGATAGTGTTGTTATCCAATTGCTATTACAGTCTGTAGTTATGCTCAGTGTTTTTCAAGTCCCTTCGAACCAGCCAGCATGGGTAATGGCCCTAATGGGCCAGTATTTCTGTATTATTAAACATATTTTTGCCATTAGTTAATGTTAATAAATTAAAATTTTTTTGTAATACTACATGATTTTTTACAAAAAAGTAAACGTGCCATAACCCAAGTTACCGTAGATTGCTTGATACAGGTTCTGTTTCAAAACTTGCTATGCATGTTATTTACTTAATAGTTTTGTAATGTTCTTTTGATCTGTAATTCTTGTGTTTATTAGGTTACTGTAAGTGAATATGAAAAGCAAAGAAGATCTAATTTGGAAAGTTCGTTAAAACAATTACTGGAAGACATTGTTCACAGTGAAAACATGACAACAAAAGAAAAGAGGAAGAAATTGAAGCAGGTAAACAGAACATTTACTAGTATTTCAAACAATTTATATGGCGCGTCTACACACCCTTTCACTCTTAACAAGTCTATGTACAAGCAGACATGGACAAGTAAAAAGCTACTATTTTTGGGAAGACCAGAACCTGTTTGCTTCAACATGGTAGACCCAATTACCCTGGAGGGAGGGGGAGGGGGCTAGGTATGGAATTTGATCCCAAGATGTATATCTTGCAATGTCAACATAGTTTAGTTCAGGGGTGGGCAATTATTTTTCTGAGTGGGCCAATTACAGATAATATATTTGGTTACTGGTCCGAAGGCTCAAAACTCAATATGAAAAATTATAAATAAAAAAAACTTTTATTTACGACAGCTAGTCCAACTAGGCTGACGTTTATATAATAATAAGAGGCACAATGTAACAATCAGGGCCATTATGAGGTTATATTATATTTTTCAATGGAAATTTATATCTATAAAAACTATAGTCATAATTTCAGCTGACACAAGTGGGCCGGATTAAACACTTTGGTGGGCTGAATACGGCCCGCGGGCTGTATTCTGCCATAGTAGTTAATATCAATTTTCTTCTCGTTAAGACAGTATCCCAAAATTCACGATATTTTTCTAGTTCCAGAAATCATACCCTGAGATTTACAAAGGATCATATCCAAATGGGGATCCTCTTCTGGATAGAAGATCATCAACAAGAAGAAAGCCTATGTTCTCTACTGCCATCAAGAGGCTTAGAAGTTTACGATCCTAGATACAACTTTAGTTAACTTGAAACTTAACTAAAATCCAGGAACTTTTTTTCAATTTGTTTTTATATTTTGATATTGTATAGACTTCATTGTGGAGTCATAGTTTTATGTAAATCATAATTGGATTGAATAAATCGCTCATGGCTCATGACACACCACAATCTAGTAGCCACATTCCATTTTATCTCTATTAATGCGTACTAGTGCTTTTTTGTATTGTAGTTTTTATATTATGGATTAAACTATAATTATGTAGTAGGAATAGACATTCTTTGAGATTATTTGAGAGCGTGTTATTATTTCAATTACCTTTTCTATATTTGAATTGTTCGTTATTTGACTTATCAGGCTGGTTTCAAATAACTGGTGTATATTTGATTCTTGTAGCAAAGTAGATTATTTTAGCTTAATCTGATTATAGGTGACTCATATACATGTTTCGTTTAGGCATATATATATTAGATATAGATGTTATATTGCCATTTAATTCAAATATTACAAATTGACATTCAACGTATTATATTACAACTTAGTAGATTAATTTGGATTTTTTGAAATCAAAATTTATTTCCTAAATATACTCACTTTGGATTCGATAATATAATATCTAGTTGAGTCTGCTCCTTGATTGGGACCCAATTTTTGATTAGTTTGTTAGAAATATTATTCGCCATCCTAAATAAATAAGTATGGGAACACCATTCTCTGTCGAGGCACATGCATCAAGGCCATGTACAGGGCTGGGTAAAAGTAGGGTAACAGTTATTGAAATATTTAACTGTTACCCTCGTTTGACCCCCATCCTTGTAGTTCCTGATTCCAAAATACAAATCAAAATATATATTGTTGTTTTGGGATTAGGATTCATTTGTGGTTATATTTTAGAATTAAAGCCATGACAACATTTGTAATGATTTCAATTATATTATTTATCTTTCTTGTATCTTCGAATCATGTATGATTTTAGGAATAATGTAAATAACTTCCATGTTGTAATTCACATCCCACATCTGGGTCATTAGTCGTCAAAATTTTTTTTTTGCACAGAGGTGTTAGTTTTCGGGTGAATGTTTAGGTCATGTTCGATCAAGCTTGTACGATGTATTTGCTTACTTGTGTGTGTGTGTGTATTTGTTTGTGTTAGATAATTTTGCTATCTCACTTTAAGGGCGACCATTGATGTCTTGTGTAATGCATGGTTTGCCCTTATGACCATTTTTCTAAAAAAAATCTTGTATTAGTGATTTAATTGTCTCAGATACCCATACTGTACTGCTGACCTGATTTTTGTTTGTTATAAAGTTTTCTTCATTCCACTTTTGTCCAAATTTTTTTGGGGTCGGATTCACTGTTTTGAAACAGATGGTAAAATTTCACTGTCAACGTTTTCGTGTATTCTCACTGCCTTGTCTTTTTTGTATTTTGTTGTTAGCCGATTCTGCACCTCGGTACATACACTCTCTATAAATTCGTAATATTCTAATTATATATATTTCTAAGTGATTGTTACATAACAATTGGACTGCAAATTTATTCTATTTTGTGATTGTTGTCATCTATTATTTTTGTATATAGCATTATTCGTCCATACGCTTACCTCCGTTGGTCAGTATGGACGACATTTGCATCACCGTTAGTTGTAATTATAACATCATAATTGATATTGTTATTAGTTTTTAATGAGAATAATAAATTCACTTATTCAGTCAGAAATATTGAAAAGAGATTCCATGCGGAATTGAAACAGGAAAATAAAATGTTGCAAGTTATTTTACGACCTTGCCACATCTAACAGTCTTACGTCGTCCCAAGCGTCGCGCTCTGGCGATCACTTTGGTGTTTTACGAACGCGCCGCGCACGATTCTAGTTTCACGCCTGAACGGAGTGTCATCGTAGGTCGCCGTCGACCACACAGGAAATGGGGCCTACAGAGTAGACGTCTCCGCTTTCTGTCTTGTCTCGAAGGCATAGAGATGAATTGATGGATGCTTTTGGGCTCCCTTATTAGCTGTGCTGGTGAACTGATAGGATAGAATTTTCATATTTATCCCGGCGATGGTAAAGCCGAGCTTAATCACATGCCGTGCCACGGCCTCTCGTCCGACATCATTCCCATGTCGTGTATGGGACTAGCTGGCTAGTCAGATGTATGAACAACTGTATTTCTAAGGAGAATTTTCAGAAATATTCTAAAAAAAAAGAGGTAGATCGAGATATTCGTGGCTCGGATGACCCCGTTTCAGATTCATGTTTTTCCTAGTGCGCAAGTAACGTTATGAGAAATACCCCGAAGATTGCAGAATTGTACTGGGTAGCCGATTTTACGCGGTAAATAAATATTTGAAATCTATTACTGTCGTTAGGGTGCTTGTGAGTGAAACAGTAATTTAGATGTAGGTGACAAGAGGCCCTAGCCAGCATTGCAGAATCCGTGTCCCGCCGAACTGGCCTCGTTATTCACATTCTGCCTAAGGCGAATGATTACTAATCGTCCAATGTTTATTTTTCTCATAAGATATTGGGTAATCGCCTTCCTTATCGTGTTGCCAAACACAATTTTCCACGGAGCGCTATGTAACGGTAACAACACCTCAAAGTAAAATGGAAATAAATTTACTCCTACCGTTCGCGGGAATATTACTATCGTTGATTTCAAGTATATCTACCGGGATAGTCGAAAGAAATTTGGATCTAGAAGTTACCAATGGAAGGACTGTTTATATTAGAAAATCGCATTTGAGATTTGCTACAAGTCCCGGCGAAGTCTGTAAAGTACAAGTCGTACAAAACGAGCCTATTTATCAAAGAGTCGGCGAGTTCACACCCAAGGTAAGTGATCGTAAAGGTTCCATTACATTTGAGCCCACGACTAATTGCGCCTATGGATTTTTTTCTGTTTTACGGATATTTGAACCCAAACTAACCCTAACCCATTGGTTTTAGCACCCACATATATATATTGAACCCGCGGATATACACATGGGTTCAAATGTACGTGAGTTCAAATGTACGGTCACCGATCATAAAATATGTTCTCAATCTCTAATGCTTTTGTTTTCTATACAACGAATCACCAACAATTGCAGTTTAGTCACATCTGGGTATATCGACTAACGCAAAGCATTCTAGTTCCCGCCGAAATGTACTTCGATTATTAGCGACGACGTTTTGCTAATTTTTGGCATATTCAACTTTTCTAAATCTGTTTCGATTGGCGACAGGATATGAGAGTATTATGTATCCCCGGGCGTGTTTACAAATTGTCCGCGCACTTGACTATCAATATTGTGACAAGTGATGGATGAATTTTATAAAGTAAACTGAACGTTTGTAGGAGTTGCATTGTGCCAACATCTTTTTTCGTTCGTATTGTAACATGTAAAGAAATACTTTTTATTTTACCATATAGTATCTTCAAATAACACTTTTTGAGAGAAATCCAATGGCAAATAAACCGACATCCGATAGTAAATTTCGGAAGCAGTAAATGGGTAAATATTGGAATTACTAGAAACGGAAATTTCAGCAGCAATCCTCGAATCAGCACTTTCGTATTCAATACGAGAAGGAAGTCAGCTCGAACTCGAGTTTACAGTATCGGCCAAGCTTGGCGTCAAGTCATATTTAATTAACTGGACTATTATTAATTGGTGTCGTAAAAAACAATGCTAAAATAAAATATGGAAAACTCCCTGATAAATTCTCGGTATGGCTTTGCTTCATGTGATTGTATTTTGTTGTTCATTGATCATTAGCCTCGCAATGTAACCTACTCTTGAAGCAGTTTGTCGTCGCGTACGAAGTTTCATAATCCATTTTCCCATGGGGATGATATATATAAATATCATCACCACGAATCAGAAACGCGTACCTAAAAGATGACGCCAACCGAATAATATAAATTTTAGAGATTTTGAACCCCTTTCCGACTATCTTGCATACGACTTTTCAAATGCGTGTGTAATAAAAATGTTCGTGTTCCTAGAAATGCATTGTGGTGACTTTGGCCTTTTGTCTGATGGGTTAGCACAACGATAAAATTCGTTGTCTTTCGCGGGCCGTGTGCCTTGTAAATTGACAGTTGTGGTTTTTCTATTGTATTGTTATTTAAATGTTAGCATTTGAATGCTAAACCATCCGAGCCACAAAATCTCCTTTTCGTCAGTCTACTATCTACTACAACAATGTCTATTGTGAGAAATCTTCAACCAAAAACGAATATTTGTTATTTTGTTTTGTGACCCGTAACTATAAGATTGATAAAATTAACCACCTGGAAAAATGGTACTATTTGTATTAACCAAACGTGGGACGCGGATAGTACACAAATACAAAAACATTTTTATCTACATTACATGCATGATCGATGGCTGATAGCGTACTGAAATGTTTGAATAGAAGGAAGGTTGAGAGGTCAAATGAGTTCAATAAAGCGAAACTTTTCAAGTCGATGCGTGAAATGACAGCAAAACAACCCGACCAAGTTTGTCCCATATATATAATCACCGCATAGAGTTCCCACTCTAGTAAAAATGCATTGTGCACGAACTTGGTGTTGAATGAATGGTTCTTCACCTTGGTGTTATAATGTTTTGGTTAATTGAACTTTCCATGTTCCGGTTTCACAATGACGTAGTGATAAATGTCTTTCACCTAAAAATAATATTATACAGAATGATTTGGTTGTTTCCTCCGCATCTATCAACGAACTCGAAAATATCGGACTTGGCGAGAAACTATATAGGGGTTGTTTTCATTGGCGAAATAAGCGGGAGAAACATACGTTGAAGGGCGATTTCAAGGCTTCAGATGGGCATAAACTACTTTTTTTTAAGCGTCCCATAGCACCGTTTAAAAATTTTGCGTTCGTCAAAATATATCGCTAGTTCATCATTCTATTTTTACTCTGAGTTTCATTTGAAGACGTGAATTTCTGTTAAGATCATCGTATTATATAACAGACAGACCTTAAAATTAATCTGTTTGTATTTATTGGACAATCTTGCGAATAACAAGTACATATTTTCACGAATACTCAAACTTTGAAGCAATAATGATTGACGCTTTCAACATTCAAGTTTTAATTGTGAGCGCCAAATCGTTGTATAGCATACCAAGCTTCGGAATCGCTCGGTTTTTACTCCGAGTTTTCACGTAGTAGAAGGCGCCGTAACCTAAATGTCATATTCCCAAACTCACACAATGCGAACATGGAATTAAGCCTATTTTAAGCTCACCAATAGCCTCGATGAAGTGTTCAAAATAATTATTGAATAAAATAATAGCAGGGATTCGAATGATTAAAAGACTTCAAGTAAAACAAAGGCATCTCTCAGTTAATGAGTAAGTGTCGTGGTGTGTTTGCCTTCGTGTAGTAATTTTGGACAATCATCGATGAAGAATCAACACCAAAAATCGGATTTTGCATGCGATCTGCACGAAATTCGCAACTGTCACGAAGCTACGTCCACCTAGCTAAAAGTTTGTTTGTTTTGTCAACTGCTAAACGAGAGATTATCTGTTAAAAGATAACGAGAGAATTCAGAAACAAGAAATATTGTGGAGGCGTCTCTTATCGATGAATTTTAATCCCTTCTTGACCTCATGCCTTAGTTAAGCTTTTCCACACCCAAAGTCGTTTTTCCTGTTTAACCAATTATGGGCCGTACATAACAGATGGTATTAGACACATTTATCTATTCTGCATGCTTGATACGTAGACAATTCTGATTTGGTTAACTAACATTATGGTGAACAAATTAGAACAGTATAACAACACATCTCTGCAATATACCTGTACCTGTGATTGGAATTCCTAATTTCACTTATTGCAAGTTGAATTAGATATGGCACATACAATTTGAACTCAAAATAGTAACTTCAATTTGTAAACAAGTTAAGAATCTCAAATCTGCAATAAAACGACCTTATAGTAGAAAGGTGAAGACCTTATAGTAGAAAATGTGAAATCATAATACCAGTTCCAGTACAACAAATGCCCTCAGAGGTGATGTGGCTATTCATATTCAGAACTTCAGTTTAAAGCTTTTAGAATTATTTCTAAAATCTCCACAATAATCCATATAAAAATTCCTGAAAATATAATATCTCTATAAACCTTATTTTTTGTTGATTTTTCAGGTGTTTGATTGTGACTACCTCAAAAATTCATTAAAATATCAACACAATGGATCACCACTCTTATCAGAAGATTCCGTCAAATTACGAGTTAACAGACTTCTTGTTAACGAAACTATTCAAGTAAGAGATATTTTTGTGCTTAATCACGGTTTTCAATTTTATTAATTATATTGTATTTTGGCCCCAAAACTCCTACTCCCCAAGAATTGGTACTTCTACAACAATTTTGTTTTCTGGATCGACCTTTTTTGATTTGATTTAGTTTTTTGAAACTTCATTTTTCAATTTATTTTAATATTATGTGAAAAAAGTTAACTAGTTAAGCTTAGAATGTGTAAAAAATCGAAATTCATAAATTTCTTTTATCTAAAGATTTAACAATCTTGTATTTTCTTCTTTTTCCAGGAAACATTTTACCTCATAATAAGAATTATTCACTCTGAATGTGATGTCATCAAAATTGGGAGAAGAGAACTTGTGGTTCCTGAGATGAATGGGGTAAGTTGTATTTTCCATTTTGCATACCAATTTCAGATGTCAATAGTAAGTGCTTTGAAAATTTGTTAGAAATCACTAAATCTACATCTTTGCAATCCCTGGGTGATAGGTATGCTAATCGTAAAGAATACATTTTTTAAGCTTTAGATAGTAGATTTAAAATGTGGATTTGTATCAGTTGCTATTCAGTCAGAGTTGCACTTGCACATGAAACGAGTCTCGAATCAGAGAAATATTTTGCTTCATTTCTGTATTTCTAGTTATTTCACATCTTATCAAACCAAGAAAATACCACTTACTCAAAATATCTATTTTTAACAAAAATTAATGTTCCCATATTGCGTATTTTTTGCACATTTTGTATGACTTGCATCCTGGCAGACTAATATATTTTTTTTTTATATTTCTTTATTCTAATGAAAGTATTTCAAATAGGATATTTGTAAATTTAAATCGGGAAATAAAGCTGTTTTCATCACTATTGGCAACGGTTCTCACAATGAATAATCTGCATTATTGATTCAGATCATATTCTAGCTGTTTATCACATTATGTAGAAAACTAAATTATGGTTTATTCATTTTAGGTGTCAAATACTATTAATAAAGACATTCTACAGTTCAACTACGATCGAATGTTCAACACAAAATGTCAAATTCAAATCGAAACAACAAAATACAATTTTCCGCAAATGGGACAATTAGTCGTCAAGGCAAAACAACCAAAAGAAAATAGGTACTTCAAAACTTATACATTTAGTTTTATGCAGAAATTGGATAACTCTTAACTACCAGACCGTTCTTGGCGAAACATTGAGGCTAAATAGTTTCAAATTTCATTGCAAATATCAAAAAATTTCATATAAAACACTTTTATTTCTCATCTGCCCCTGTTTAGAACTTGACAAAATATCAGATCAAATCAGTTAATATTAAGTTTGTAAAAAAAATACTACTTTTGTTTTATTCAGGGAATATGAACCGACTGGTGTAATTATTTCAGATTGTGATGATTTCTTACTGAAGGAAATTCGTTATCAACATTTAGTTCCACCTACTCCTGATGTTGACTACATTCCTCTGCTTGTTACAATCACAGACAAGTAAGTTTAATATTTAGTCTTTGGTGACAAAGTTCCTTGAAACAGCCAACTTAAATTTACTGCAATTTGAATATTTCTTTCCAGGCGATCTCGTTACATTTTGAAACAAGAACAACATTGGCTTCCTGTGAGAATAAGGGGTGCATTCCCAAATGAAGTACCCAGGCCAAGCTACAGTAACATAAATATTTTAGAGGTTAGTCAATTTACAATGAGATTTTTATATTTATCACAGGAAAGATGTTGGTAACCATACCATGCCAGGTATGGAAATAGTTAACCAGAACTTTGTCTCAGATGCATGGGCTGCATGGTTGAGGAAGCCATAACTGGCTAACTTGTGGTTATTTGAACCATTCTACTGAGATGAAGGTTCAGAAATCCTCTCACATGTACTTATCACCCACAAAATTCAAACTTGCAAACTCACATAGTGCGGTTGCAAGTGTGTTCTTATCGCTTAGCACAATGTGCCAATTGTTAAATCTAATTTTGTATAAAAAACATTGAATTTTGCCTGGAGGGCCATATTTATTGTACGGTAAGTATTACATAGCTGAATAATTCAATAAATAGTCTTGCTGCACACTAACACAAATATATTTCTATGACGTTTCGTCTGACCAAGGTCAAACTTCCTCAGACATACATATTTCAACGAACTTAATTTTTGTGCAGTAATTTTCCCCGCCCACATGTGTAGTTACCAAGACAATAAGATAAGATAACAATTGTGTGATAAAGTGAAAATCCCTCATTTCAATCAATATTCTTTGAAATCAAAAAATTGAAATTGTCATGTTATAAAATATCTATTTTGCCTGAGGGAGACTTTGTACTACAATTGTTGCATAAGGTAATTTTGTTCTAAATTGCATACATATAATAACATCCACTTTCAACTTTTCTGAAATAAATTTTGCCGCCCATGGTTACCAAGACAAAAAAGATAAATCACATTCAATTTCTCAATCATTGAAAAATGTGAAAATTTGGTTTTCCAATTTTTTTAATTTTAAAATTTTTATCTTTACATTTACAGGTTGATCAATTTGTTACAACTAACATACTCTCAATGACAATGTCAGCCTCGGACTTAGAGACAGATAATGACAAATTGATATTCAACATCACCAGACCTCCGAAAAAAGGTTTCATCACACATCTAAATGATGAATCAAAACCTGTGGAATCTTTTTATCAAAAAGTAAATTTTCTTTGTGTAATTTATAATATTTAAACAAAGTTCATGTTTGGATATGCTGTTTTAAGTAACACCATAAATTTTGCATCACATTTTTAATGTTATTCATTCCAGATTACCAAAATTCGGGGTATAATAATTGATCTTGAAAATTCCAGCTATTTTGTTGAAAATTGAAGCTTTTTGTATCTCAAGTTTGCTCAAAAAAGTAATTTCAAACTATAAAAGAATAATAGGAAATAAATCAGAAAGTATTTTTTTAATTCATCAACATGTTAAATCCGATTCCAATATGTGTATATTTCTCTGATTTACTATTTCACTTACCGTATATTATTTAAATTTGTTCACAGTTGATTTTATACTTAATTTGTTTTTACTCTTTGACAGGATATTGGTGCTCTAAAGATCGCTTATCAACCTCCAAATACCAGTTTCTCAGAACGAGAAACTTTCATTGTCGAGTTCAGAGTGTATGACAGTCAATTTGGTGTCAGTCAAATCATACAGGTTAGAATAGTTGTTTTCATTGCATTTGAAGGGATAGTCATGTTACATTGTCGTCATGATATAAATCAATTAGAAACTTGTATTATCAGTGCTAAAAAGATTGAAAATTTCTAAAATGTATGGTTTAATAAGAACAAAATAATAGAGTTCAATTGATTTTTTTCTTTTTATTTGTATGCAACACCAGCAAAATGGTCAGTTTTCATGAAAAGATACCATGCAAGAATGCTAGAATGCAAGAAAATTTGTGCTTGTGAATTCAATGCCCATTTGACTGAAAAAGTTTTTGACTAGCCATTTAATATATCAAATGTTTTTAAATTTTTGTTTTGTTGCTTATATACTAATAATTCTAATTAAATTAATAGGTTATGCTTTCTGTTCGAGTATCACACACAACAGCCCCAAGAATATCTTGGAACATGGGTCTTACTATGTTGGAAGGACAATCAAGATGTATTAACAAAGATTGTTTGCAAATTATGGACAGTGATTCAATAAGCTCTGTGAGTAACTGTTGTGTAGTTACTAGGTTTTGATACTTCTTCATTGAACTATTCAAGTATGACAAAGAAGTATGAAAACTAGAACTTGTGGATTCATGACAAAATTATCATTGATAGATTAGATAAATAATATAAGGTATGCATTTTTTTCGAGTGCAGAATAAAACCAATATGGCAGTTTTAATACTGAAAGAAAAAAAATATCTTTATTTTTCATAATTCTATTTTTTGCAAATGCAAGTGACGTCTTTGCACTTACGAAACATGATTAAATATTTTTCCAGGTTAGAATCACACTTGCAGGAGGATTACAACATGGTAGATTATATGTTGATAATAAACCAGGTTATTCATTCTCCTGGTCTGATATTGAAAGTAACAAAGTTATTTACAAACATGATGATTCCGATACAACTCGTGATTACATCATGTTTCAAGTTTCTGATGGATTTCATAGGTATATTTCATGTGTTTGTATTTTGAAAACATGATTTTTCAGGCTTGTCACTCAAAACAAAGCTGTACAAAGGGTTCTTATTTTTGAAAAGGTGAGAATTTTTTGGTTCGACCACATTCACCCTATTTATTACATCCTGGATGATGGGAAAAACGAAATTTGAACACGCTACTTCTGTCCTGCAGCTGCAATCTCAACATATTTAAGTCCAACATTTTATCCACTACGTCACTTGCATCTTGAAAACTCTCCGAGCAAATAAACATAAAATTTACAGACCCACATTGGACATTCAAAACTTTGCTGGCATATAGGATCTGCAAAACTAATATAAATATGTTATTATTCTGAAAGGTCTGAAATAGATTGAATTTTATTTATACCTTAGCTCAGTGTAAGAACCCAGGTCTTCAATTGAAGGTGGGGAAGAGTACTGATAAAAAGGATAGGATAGGATTTACATATTTATCCCGGGGGAGAGGAAAGCCGATAAGACGGCTTATCCATATGGCGAACAACGGCCTCTCGTCCGGTTACCATTCCAAGTCGGGTATGGGATTAGTTATATTGTTTTGTTTTCGGAAGCATGGACTTGATGGTGGAGGAAGCCGTAACCGACCAGCGGTTACGTGAACCACCCAATGACGGCGAGGAGTCCAGCAATCCTCTCGCACATGATCATCCCTGCATGAGATTCGAACCTGCGAACCTACGCAGAGTAATTAGTGGTGCGGTGGCGAGCGTATTCCTAACGCTTAGCCCGTTGAGCCACACCGCCGCGCAAAAGCAAACACTGTTACTGTGAGATTTATATAAATGTTATCTTTGGAAGGAATATAGGTTGATATCAGCTAACACAATTTCATTATATCGTATACTGGTATTTTTCAGCACAAGATTCAAGTTGCCAGTTGAAATTTTACCAAAAGATGATTCTCCCCCTGTTCTTGTAAACAATATTGTATTTGAAGTGGCAGAAGGCCAGGTAAATAAGTTTTTGTAATTGTAATCAATTAGTAATTGTAATCAAATCAGTTCAATATGGAATGGCAAGCCGCAGTGTTTACATTAACATCGTTTTGATTGGATTCGATACCACTTACAACATTTTTTATGCAACATATACAAAATTATGACTAAAGTTGTTTTATCTTACGAATCTTGCATATACTAAATAAACATTCTGACCTATACATGATTAAAATTTATATTGCCTAAATTTAACTTCAACTTACACCCAGAATTAGCATGCTGTCCACTCTGGCCGCATAAGTTGCAGTCGTCTAGGGTCAGCCCTTTTTGTTGTTGACATATATTTTATGACTGCTGTGACTGTATTTTATGACTTTTGACTTTGCAATATGGTTATTAGGTAAATTCAAGCAAAATCAATCAATATAGTATTCACTTATTTTGAATTTTAAATAGGACATCTTATCCACCTGTGTCCTTGTCTGTGTTAGTTTAGCACTTAATCACTGTTTGTTGAATGGACACTGCCCTGTTAGAAAATTACACTCACTGTAAAAAAAGTCATGTAAATTTAACTGTTATAATAATATTAATTAGTCTCGCTGACAAGTTTTTATCAGTCATTGAACATTGTTATCGGATCAATGTTGGTCAGGAATCGCATTTTCTTGTCCCGGAGATAATATGGGGAATTACATGTTTAGTTTGTTAGGTCTGATATCATGATCAGAGATACATAATGACCATTCTGCAAATAACCTAAGTAGTTTATGTTTGTTTGAGGCTGTATGCCCAGCTGTCTAATATTTTTTGAAAGGCAGTATGTTTTAATATGATATTTGTGTCATAAATTGGGCACCAATTTTCTAAATTGATGAATAAATGTTGATTCTATTTGTGAATGCAAATATCTATGAAATAAATATAAACTATTTTGATGTTTTTAACAATGAACAACATTCATGGATTACATTAATGACACCTCGTGCATTGCAAGATGTTCTATGCACGATGGTTATGAACAATCACTAACGCCCGAAACATTGCTAACACTAAGATGTTTAATTATTGTGATCTTTATGGTGGGGCCTACACAATTTCCAACACAAGGTAAGAAATTGGGCTCAAATTATCATATTGTTTAACCAGGGCTTGAATAAAGGTAACAAACCATAATGTTGTCAATTGCAATATGCTAACCAATTATACTATTCCATGGTGTCTATAAAATAAATATTGCCTAAATAAGAACGCATTATGTCTGTATAAAATCTAGTTTATATATAATATATTATCACCAGTTTTCACATCTATTTATAGATTATCAGCATTTATCATTTCATGTTGGAAGCATATGATCAAGATTCCAGTTCTGACTATATCAAGTTTAATATCACCAGTCCACCAAAAGCTGGTCAGATTATGAAAATACGTCAAGGAGAAAGAGCTGGATGGGAAGTACAGAAGTTTGATCAAAAAGATCTCAATGAGGTATGAATATAAATGTGGAAAGAGGCAGAGTTATTGACTCGACTTGAGTCATCATATATCAAAGTATCTGAGTGACTAGAGTTGACTCAAGATATAACTCGGTGATTGCCTGGACTTCAGATTCGAATCTGAGTCAAGACTCAGATGACTTGTGAATCGACTGTATTTGCGACTCTGTATTTGGGAACTTTGGAGACTAACCAACACCTAAAAGAGGGGTAAAATTCAACTGCCTGGGTTTGTGATTGACTATTGGGTACAAGTCCAAAGTCTATTCTTTTCATCGATCATTTGAGTCTTGATTCAAGTGTGAATATCAGCAAATTTTGGATTTTGAGTCCTAAGTCGAGTCGAGTCACAACCATTTTGTTTTACAACAATTTGAGTCTGAGCCTGAGTTGTGGGCTATTTCAACCATATTTCACCAAATGTTTTTTTCCACTACTCAACACTATTTTTCGAATTTTTGTAAAGGTGGCTGACTTGATTCTTCCCAATACTGGTTTGTACAGCATAAATACTAAAAAGTTCCTGATTTTCGAATTTGACAAATTCAATTTTCAATTCCAATTCAATAGCATAAAGTTCGGACCTCCTAAAGTATGCGCACCAAGATGGCGCACAAGCTGAACTCAGATTGTGTACCAGGTTAGGGTTCAAGTTATGCGACACTTGGTGCGCATACTTCAGGAGTACCTAAAGTTCTGTAAGAGACATATACTAACTAAAAATAGATGTGAGATTCTATCTTGTTATGGTTGAAAAGGTTTGTTTACAAAATATACCACGATAGCTACACCTCTTGACTCAGTTTGCATTGCGTCATTTTTGTAACATGATAGTATTTGCGTGTGGTTTACCATCTTTTCAAGTATTTTGTATATATAGTTATATTGAGAATGGCTAAGATATGAATGAAAAAAAATAAACTCATAGTGTAAGAATTTTTTATGCTATTCAGAGGGATTATTTATGATCATATTAATATGAGTTGCTTTAAGTTTTGCGATGATTGTAATTTACTATAGTGCAATTTCTGATTGAGTGCTCCTGACCTTCAGCTTTTCTGAATATTTTTAACTTTTCAATTTGGAGTATTTTTACTTACACTTTGAACAAGTCTCTTGACAAGTTGTCACTGTCAGGTATGGGGCCACTATAAGCCGAAATCTTTTTGGATCGGTGTAGAATGTAGGGATGGACAATTTGAATACCAAAACCAGAGTATTCAAATCCCAAAGTATTCGATTCCAGAAGGAGACGATAACATGATTCGACAAAAAAATGTTGTTAAAATTCTTAAATTTCATTGTGAGTAATGCCTGTTTGCTATCAAATAAAATCCAATGCTCGGGACATTTCTAAATATATACAGTACAAATAGAGTAATACCTTTAGGCGACGATTTTGCTTTTTTAAATTTTAGTTGTGCAATGTGGTGGGGAATTCCCATCATTTCAATAACGGTAACTACAAATAGAAGAGGATTCGGTATTCTGGATTCGATTTAAGTATTCTTGAATATTTTAGTATAGTAAATTATTCTACACTGCCCATCCCTAGTAGCATGCCCAATTTAATATATTCCAATGTTGTATGCCATGTCCTGAATTATATCGAAATATGAGTCTATTCAAGCATATCTGACATCACAGATTACCCATTACAGGTTCAAATCTCATGCCCACCACCTCACCCAAGCAGGAATAAATTAGGTAGGCAATGCTGAGTCAGAAAAATTTTAGTTCTCACAACAATGTTAGCTCTCTACATATCGCTAGACATTAGTTCCTTTGTACTCAGTGTTAATAACCATTGAAAAAGAAATCCAAATGAGTGAATTTTTAATTTGAGATAAATTACTTTTCTTTTTTAGGGAAATATCTATTACAAACATATGGGAGATGAGGCATTTGACGATTCATTTGATTTTGTTCTTATGGACAGTCATAAACCTTATCCAAATATTTCACCAACCCAAACCGTGTCTGTGAAAATCACACCGGTAGATGATCAACCACCAAAACCCATACCCGGTATTACAAGGTTTGCTCTTACAAATGATACACTTACTGAAAGAATCCATATTTTAGAGCAGGGGGTGGACCCCAATTTTTAAATGTAAAATTTAAAGCATTTTCTGTATCATACCTGGTAATTTTTCATGGCTTGAAATGCTCATTAGGCCCTCAAGACTTTTTCCAACCTCGCATTTTTCGACCTCAAGCTGGACTAGCTAGTCGTTACAGTTTAACCTGGCAATTAACAATTTTAAAACCCCCCAAATTTAAAAATTCCTGACTACACCCCTGTTGTAGAGTTGAAAACCGTGCTATGGATAGAAACTGACTTGGCTCCACTCTAGGCTGACTTGGATATTTTGACTCTGCGTTTGGCTTCTCACTCCAGGCTGATGGAAATTTTGACTCTAGCACTGAACTTTAAAATTCAAATTTTGATCACAAAAACTCCTAATGTTCTTTGATTTTGTTAGAAATTCCGACTTCGATATTAAAATTCTGAAATATTGTTTTGACCTTTGACTTCTATTCTATTTATAACAAAAAAAAAACAATCCTCAGTTTAGTTCTGTGTACTGTAGTTTTAGATCTAACTATCCTGACATTTCTAGAAGGGTTTTATGCAAATCTGCAAATCCCTTGAATCCCACCGAAACAATTGCCCACCTCTGTCTGTTCTGAATTATAACTTCTTTTCAACAGATCTCTAACAATAAATGAAACAGATGTTGCATTCATCACCCCAGAGATGTTGTCTTACATTGATGAGGAAAATCTAAATTCAGAGATCAAATATATTCTTACTACTGAAGTTGAATTGTTATCTGCCTTAGATAATAACAATGAACATAATAATAAAACTGATGCTGGTCATTTGTTTTATGCTGATGATATGATAATGCTCATGAAAGCACCTTCTGTACCCAAACTGAAGTATGTATGTTATTTTGTTATATTTGTAACAGTGATCAATCTCTATGTCTAGAATAGAATCATAGGAGTATGGCGTCAGATATTCACCACCTTACATTCGAATCTTTCTAAACTTTGATCCAATTTTCATATGAAAATAATGCTAATATAAAGTAGTTATGTGAATACCGATGCGAAAGTTAAGAGTCCAACAGTTCTCTTCTACATAATCATCACCCATAGAATCCGCACCCCTCGCTATCAACTATGCACTCAGTAAGATGCTCAGCACATTGACTATAATAAAAACATTGCCCCTCAAATAAATAATGTACAAAAGTTTACGCTTGATATAGGCTGTTTCAGAAATGAGATATCAATGAAATTATTCAATATAGTAAGTACTGAAGAACTTTCATTTCTTTCTTGAAACTAATTTGAAGATCAATTGCATCTAAAATTATAGTATCAGTATATCATACCAAACACATTGAAGATTCAGCAAATAAATTCAGTCTATTTCAATGTCTGGCTGTCTCTCGACCCCGAGTCACAAATCAATTCGAGTAACAGGTCATCCGAGACTCAAGGCGAGTTCGAGTCTGAAGTCTATTCATTCACTAAGCAATTAGTTTTAACTTGATGACAACACCAGGTCATTCCATTTAAATCACTTAAGTTGCTTCTTGTCATTTATGAATAATGAATCAAGTCCGACTCAATTCAAGTCTATGACTTGAGCCTCCCCAACGCTCTTCTTTACTTTAATATCCTTTTTTAGAATGTTCTCACAACATGCAGTGAATCATAATAAAGTGGTTTATATGCCACCAATGCAAGATATTGGTTTGTCTCCTATGGATGTTCATTTTGAATATTCAGTAACTGATGAACATGGAACAACTCTCACTGGAGAACAATTTTTTATTACTGTTTTGCCGGTTGATAATCAGGTAAGATGTTTTTCAATTTTTAATGTGTTTTAGAAAATTTGACTTGAAAAAAAATGTTGATGCCAAAACGTTTTTCAATAATCCTATCACATTGTTACTTTTAGTACATACAAGTTTTAAAATCTTATTCATCTTAGTGCATGTAATTCAATGAGTCAACTTTTTATTGGCAGCTTACATGAACTTATCCATATGCCAATATTTTGCACTTAGTTTGCTAAAATGACTAATAAACAGTATAACATAAACCAGTAATAATGGCTTTTGCATATGCATGCTTGCTTTGGATGTCTGTTGAGCAATTTCCATTTTGTTTATCACCATACGAAGTTTACATTTCAAAAATACGACTCCAGCTGTGAATCAATTGGGAATGCTAAACTCCGAACTCCCAATAACACTCCACATCCCTGGTAGTCAGGCACTCTAGCAGTCACTGATGATACTTGCTTACAGAAGTGACAGAGTTAATTTATTTTTGTTTTATCTTCAGTCACCAACATTGTCAGTGAAGAAACTAAAAGTCCAGGAAGGAGGGACAGTTGTTTTATCTGTCAGAAGTATTCAATTAAAAGATGTTGATACAGAAATAAACCAACTGAAATTTATTCTGAACAAATCTCCTAAGAATGGATTTGTTGAAAAATATGGAAAGATGATGACAGTTGGAGATACTTTTGCATATCCTGATATTGATGAATTTGGGTATAGATAATATATTTTTGTTGTTTGAATAGATCTGTATAAATGTTGACTAACTTTTATGAATCAGATCCAGGGCAGTTTCAAAATACGGCTTTGACTTGAGTGAAAACATACTAAACTTTTACTTTTCATTCTGATCCCAAGTCCAAAGCATCCAGTTTGGAGCGGGGGTCTAAAATAGGCTCAACCATATTTCGAACCATGGCCTCCCATCCGGTTACCATTCCATGTGGGGTATGGAATTAGTTATTTGTTTTCGGAAGCATGGACTTGATGGTAGAGGAAGCCATAACCGGCCAGCGGTTACGTGAACCACCCTGTGCCGGCGAGGAGCCCAGCGATCCTATCGCACATAACAATCCCCGCATGGGATTCGAACCTGCGGACCCACACAGAGTAATCATAGGTGCGCTGACGAGCGTATTTCTAACGCTTAGCATGATGAGCCACACAGCCGTGTTAGATAAAATTTTATTGTTGTAGGCCTTGAAATAAATTTTACCAATGAATTTTCACATTTATTATTGTTTCACATCTAAATACTTGATATTTCTTAAATTTTACTCTGTTAAGGATTTTATATACTCACAATGGACAAGAGGCTTTTACTGATATGTTTGAGCTGATTGCAACTGATGGATTTCAGAATTCAACACTTGCTGTTGTTGACATTACAATTCTACCTGTGGATGATGAACGGCCAGTATTTGGACGTGAGTTTTAAAGTCAATTATTTTTGTCCAATTAGTGAAAAACTTTTCGGTATAGGTGGAGGATGGTTTTCAAAAATCTTCATTTTTATATCTCTTCATTTTTGAGTGTTTTACTTTCCTCGTCCAACCGTAGTTATTATAAACTATTCTGATATTTAAAATGATACTAGGTTTCATTGTTTTAATTCAAACATCATGTAACTTCTAAATACAAGATCATATAGGCATTCGCGTTTATCGCGTCATTCACCACCATAGACTGACTATTCAGTTAACTGGTTAACTGTTCAGGATAAGAAGCCATAATTTGCCATCTTATCAATTCTCCTCTTCTCTAGAATGAATGGGAAAATCCAATCTTGTGTTATGTTACTTCTTTCTTAAGTTTTCACTACTGGTATATCAATATTAAATTAAAAAGTGTATTTGTATTAATATAAAAAACTAGGTTTATAAATACATATTTTATAACTTTTAAACACTTGCATTTTTTGTCAGAATCGACCAAGTTGCGTGTAAATGAAAGTGGTTCTGCCATCATTACATCTAATCATCTTCGTGCAACTGATCTTGATACTGATGATCAAAAACTTATATTTCAAATAGCTGGTTTACCGCAATTTGGCAAAGTTCTTGTTGATGAAGAGGTTTGTAATTGAATATGTTATATATATCATGAATGCTTAATTTTGTTGTTATTTTATGCCCATATAATTTTATACTTATAATAATGCTCATTGTGAAATATATTGCAAATTTGTTTTGCTTTATTCTTCATTCTGTGTTAGAATGATATTTATACTATAATATTGGAGGTATTTATTTGAACTCAAGATTCAATCCTCTTTCTTGGTTTAATAGTGTAAACTAATTTTTATAACACAGTTTAACCCTTTCCGTGCGCTGGGCACGTATACGTACCAGCGACAAAACTCGCTAGATCGCGGCTGGTACTTCAAGTTACCCATAGTTTTATTTAGCAATTAGTCGCAAACTGTTGGTCTAGTTTTTCCAGGTTTTAGTTTATTGATAAGAAGTCTTCTTCGAGATTAACATAAGCGACAGTAAATCTCGCTTTCGTTTACGACGGGAATTTTATTTGCGGCGGAACGAGGGAGTGATTTTGAAATTTATGCAAATTTCGGTGTTTTTTGGGTGGTAATAGAAGACATATTATCTCTTCCATCTACCAAAGTATTTTGACTCAGACCACCACTTTTAACTTTTAATCGCCAACTGCAAGCTCTTTAAATAAGCTTTCTAACGAGCCGTCAGTGGGCAGCAGAGGATCATTAGTTTTTCATTAGTCGATCGATTAGTTGTGGGGGTACAAATGCATAAAATCGGCGTAGCAAATACGATTATTTAATAAAAAATAAAAATCGCATGGAAAGGGTTAAAAAACAAAAACTTGATGTAGGCTTGTCAAGATATGGGCGATATTAATTATTTCATGAAAACAATACCCAATATTGATGATGTTAAAATTGTTATCCAATTTCAATTCATTACATTAAAAAGCCTATATAATATTAAATTTGTATGCATTTTTAAATTCAATATGATTAATATCCCCATAAATAATCTATGAGTGTTTTCTATGTAATTTCCTAAATATTTTGAATCCATTTTTATTCATTTTAGGAATCTGTTTCTTTTACTCAACAAGATGTTATTGAGAACAGAGTAAAATATCAACACAATGGAAATGAGATTGGCTACACACCTACTCATGATATTGTTTCATTTATTGTATTCGACAAGGATATGAACTACGGTTGGTATTGTTATCCTAAAAATAGTGTTCTTTGGAAAAGTTACAAATAATTTTCAGATAATGCATCCCTGCTATTTCATACTTTAGCTATGTCCATATTTTAGGATAGGATTTAAATACTTATCATAGGGAGAGGAAAACCGATAATATGGCTTGATCATATGGCGAACCACGGCCTCTCGTCCAGTTACTAGTCCATATCTGATATGGGCTTGATGGTGGAGAAAGCCGAAACTGACCAGCGGGTACATGAACCACCCTACAGCCGCGAGAAGTCCAGCAACCTCTTGCACATAACTATCCCCGCATGGGATTCGAACCTCCGAATGCACATAGAGTAATTAGAGACGCGGTGGCGAGCATATTCCTAACGCTTTTTCTTAATGAATTGCCAATAGAATGATTATTTTTTATTTTTCATTCAAGTTCAAACTTTTTTCTGATCTGAAATTGGAATAAATCATGTCATGTCATCAAGTTAATTTTATCAGATTGGAACCATGGATCATTTTGCAAAATAAAAATTGAAACTAATAGACCAATCGATTATAAATTTTCAACACTCAAAAATAGAAGTTGATAGAAAGCTATTATGGAATTTTACTAACATTGTGGCATCCATATTTGTCATTTGAACTTTGTATCCATATCAGTCATTTGCATTTCAGCTGTTTCTATCTTTAAATGTTTTTTAAATTTTTCCTTTCAGCTTCAAATTTTAAATACCAAGAATGATAAACTTTCCATTATCATAAAATTATGTATGTCATTTTTTCCTTTATAAATGTGCAATTTTTTTGTTTGTTTTCAAATCAGTTGGTTCATATCCTTTCAGAAGACTCACTTGAGAGCCTATATACCGGTGATGATCTGTATGAAAACGGCCCTATGGAGACACTAGACCTGAATATAACAATATATCCCGTTAATGATAGACCTCCAAATATTATCCTCGGGAGTGCAATCTTTAACTGTGATGAGGGAGGAAGACATGAACTTACGCCAGAGCACTTATGGGCGAATGATTTGGACACACCACAAGAAAATTTAGGTGAGATAATATTAATATAAGTTCAGATATATATTGAGCAATAAACAACTTTTGGTCGGTCGATACCCTTTTTCTGAACGTTAGTAACATGCTCGCCAACGCACTGGTGATTATCCTCTATTTGTTTGTATACTTATAATTTTGTGTATGATTGTGTTATCATTTGAGCATGGTTTACATAACCGCTGTTATGTTATGGATTCCTCTGGCATCTAACAATTATTTGGTTAGATATTTCCATACCGAACATAGACTGATATCAGGATGAGATAAGGTACGCATACCTTAACTTGTGATTAAGCTGTGTAATCTAAACTTTCCTCTCTCCTTTTTCATAACTATTAAAAATCATATTTTGTTATTTTGTCCATGTTTACTGAATAAAACTTAATTCAGCACTGAATTTTGAAATGTCAAATGAAGCAGAATAAAACAAATATTTTTCACTTTTCACTCATTCATTTTAACTTTTTTCTTATTTCACAGTTTTCAAAATTTCTCCACCTGAATTTGGCAGAATAGAAGACAATACACCAAGGGAAGGTTATGAAAAACAAATCAGTGTTCCAGTTACCTCATTCACTTTACAGAAACTTCAGTCTGGCAATATATTTTATGTTCAATCAAAACATCGAGGAATTGAACCAACAGCTGATACTTTTTTAGTTCATGTTTCAGATGGAAAACATCAGTCTGCAGAGGTCTAATATTAATGATTTAAAAGCTAATAATGTTGTTTGTTAATAATTTACTTGTAGATTTAATAACAAAATTATTAATATTATAATTAAAGACTAAAAAAACAAATTTTGTTTTAAGATTTTATTGCCAGATAAAAATGTTTTCTTAAAGCTATTTCAGATATTGTAAATCATAAAAAGATTGCGTGCCTATGCATAGTTGGTTTTTCATGTATTTTGCCATTTTATCTATTGTCAGTTTCAAACAAGTCATATTAAAATCACCGCCAGGAATATATTCTGGGTCATGATGAAGTTAAATCTAATCATTGCCATATATGTTCAATAAATATTCTATTCTACTTAAATAAATTGTATTCCTTGGGATTTTACAAATAAACGTAATTGCTTGTTTATGTCGAATGCAATTATTAGAACATGAAATTCAGATGTTATTACCGGCCATGGATTATTAATTTTCCGCATCAAAAAAATCAATATTAGCTGAAAAACTCGGCTGAAATAATTTGCAGCAATCATTTAGTAGACGCTGCTCAATTATTCTAATCCATTCCTAAATCTTGAACATTCATTTGATGAGCTTACCTTGTATTCCAACTAGACTTATATCCATATATGGATTTAGTCCTTTCACATATTTTCAGTTTTGCACCAACATTTTTTGTACTTCACTAATTGGTGTAGAAACACTACATGCAAAATTTTAAATTTCTGAATCATTGTTTTCTAGATACCATTTCTAATTGCCATTGTTCCAACCAATGATGAATTACCAGAAGTTCGAGTTAGTAATTTTTCTTGTGGTGAAGGCGGCATGTTCTCACTATCTGAATCTGTTTTAAGTATTGTGGATCTGGATATCCCAGCAGATGAGGTTTGGGTTTACCATAATTTTTATTTTGTGTTAAAATTGTGTTAAATAACAAAGTTTCATATTTTGTAATATTTTATATCCGAGTTGTTAGGGTTAGAACTTCAAAAAACAATTTTATCTGGAAATATAACAAAAATTGGGTCCTTTTTAGCTGGTATTTAATCTTAGTTTTAAGCAATATTCATCAAGGTATTTCAATAAAAAGTTACAGTTTAAAAATCGAAAATATATACTCGAGTTTCGCTGTTCGATAACCAGTTTTGGTTCACCACGACTCCCCTTCTCCAGTAATGCATACATTATCTATTCTCAATTTTTTGCATGATTTTTGTCTTTTTACTGGTTGGAAAAAAAACTTGCTTTTCTCATTTTTCTAAACATTCTTCTTCAGATTTCTCTGAACTCTGAAGTTGATGAAATTTAAACAATTTTGAATTTTGATTTCTACTATTTCAGGTAATGATATCTGTTGAATCCCCACCAACCCATGGTATGTTAATAGATGAAATGGAACTGCAGAGAGCAAAAAGATCAAGTAAAAGGTTTTAATGTTTAAATTCTTTCAATGTGATATTATGTCAGGCAAAAATTACTGTAACGTATACCAAACTTCAAAGCATTGGAATAAATCTTGTATAAATAAATCTTACTTCATATAAAAATCCCAAAGTATTATATCTATTCAGAACCTAATATTATTATTATTATATCGATCTATACCTAATCTAGAACATAGCATAAATCTAACTTCATATGCTTAATTTAATCATTTGCTCCATCGTATATACCTAGCCCTATATCAAAACAGAGGGAAAAGTGTGCAAAAAAGGGGACAAGTGGGGCACAATATTTTTGAGATAACTTTTCATAGCTTCCACAATACATAACTAACTATAAAAATCGAAATTTTTAAAAACGTCAATTTCAAATCATTTAAAATATAATCTTTACCAATATATTCAACATTTAGAGCCGCAAACAAAAACAGTTTGATGAATGAAATGGAACATGTTTCAGAATTTTCTTTGAATGACTGGTCTAACCATAGAATTCAACCAGCATATGTACATGATGGATCAGAAACTGCTAACGACAATTTTCAACTTAAAGTTAGTGATGGAAAAAATGTACTCATGAAAGAAATGGTATATAAATTTAAATTTTTTTATAATAAATTTTCTGTCATTGAACGTGAAGTAGACTAATTTTAATTAGTTCTACTGACTTTTTTAGTTACTTAAAAAATTAATTTAATAATTTTGCTTTCCTTGTAGGGAGTGAATGTTGTTCTTGTCAATGATGAAAAACCAGCGATTGTAACAAACAAAGGATTGACTTTGGAACTTGGTGACACAGAAGTATGACAAATTTATTTTATAAAATATGTAGACGTAGTGATTCTGTCTGTTCACGACCATTTGTATACTATTTTGTTAGTCAATGATCATATTTGCAAGTATTATTTATCATGTATGATTCAAGGACTTTGCTGCACAATACCACAAATTTATTTATGTAACGTTTCATCTGATTGAGGTTCTTCTTTATTAGTCAGCACTTCTACCTTGAGTTTGAATATGCAAACATATCTTTAATTAAAATCTTCAAATAAACAGGTTTTAAGCAATGTCGTTCTGTATTCAACTGATGCCGATTCATCAAAAACAGAATTATTTTATATTTTGCATTCTATTCCAACCCAAGGAAAACTTCAAGTGAGAACACCAGGTAATATTTTTAAATGATAATATTCACATCAATATCGGAGATTAAGTTAGATCATAAGGTAATGTTTGGCAGGCTCAAGCCATTGACTCAACTCGAGTCGGGCTCAGGTCATTAAAATGAAATGACTCAGACTAGTATGACCTGTGATTTGACTTGACCCGGGGTTAGAAACCGTTACCCGACAATGTTACAAGTATTTCCAGACAGCTATTAGAATGAACTTGATGTTGCAATGCTCATTATGTAGGTTCACAGTTTGGAATTCTATCAAGGATAATTTTTGTGTCGGATGATTTGCTGAAATCTACTTCGCAGAGTAGTTTGCCACCATGCTGCGTAGTGATGATATACCTCTGCAATACAATCCATAATCATGGGCGGTGAAATCATTGAACTTTATGCATCATTGCATTGGGTCCAAATACATTGGCTACCACCTCACCCAGGATGTGCTAAATTGGGTCGGCGATGTTGAACCGGGAAAATTCCGTTCCTTCTAAAAATAGTAGTTATTCACACACATTGCTTGGACAGTGCCCTGTTCAGAGCAAACGGAAATAATGAGCATCTTATAGAAAAACAACTGCATGTATCTTGACGGATTACCGTAAATGTTTCCTGTTGCAATATTGTTTTAATCGGCCTAGACTCGTAATCAGATAAGATAGTGATGTTAGTTTTTGTTAAGATATGATGGTTTTTTTCTTTTTATATTATATATTTAGCCACAGATGAATGGACTAATCTTCAAGTTGGTGATTCCTTTACCGAGGAAGATGTTTCGAATAACTGGGTTCAATATGTACATTCTAATGTCTTCTCAACAAAAGGCAGAGTAAGTAATCAAATCAAATTTATGAATAATGTATCTAAACATGCTTTCAAATAAAAATGGATTATCAATATGCAATAACATGAACTTGCTAGAAATAGAAAAGGTAATGGTGTACACAAATGAGGGCTGTGGAACCAGAATCAGAGTTTGACATGTGATAGTGGAGTCAAATTTTCAAACTCTTCGGAGTTTGAGCCGCGCTGACTTGGAGCCGAAAATTGAGCATTCTAATGATAATAATTGAACACATAATTTTTTATAGGAACTTGAAAGCATTATGGTAAGTTGATAAAGAATTGTTAACAAGCAAATAAAGACAGCTTACATAAGTCAATTTTTTGACATTAAAAATCAGCTCTTAGATATATATCTCCTTGTGAGACAAAAGATATTTTTTTTCTAATTTTTACATACAGGATTCATTCCGTTTTTCTGTTACTGATGGTTCTTGGACAACAAAACGACAAAATTTTGAAATCACAATCAAACATAAAGAAAAAAGTACTGTTCATGTTGTTACTAATCCTGCCACAGTTGATGAAGGAAATAGGGTAACAGAATCATTTCTTTGGATTATTTGATTTTTATTGTTCAGAACAATATATCATTATATATATATTTATTTCAGTAGAAATGAAATGGCCTAATATGTAGGATTTTCAAATTTATCTAGGGAGAAAGGGAAGACCGATTGAATATTTTGTCATCGATGAATCCATGACTACATAATATATTAAAGCGAACAAAATCAAGTACCAATGTGGGAATCTATTTTCACTGTACATTATAAGATGCTATTCTATTTTCATTTATAGTTTTATATTACGACTGATATATTGAGTGCGAAAGATGGATTCGATCGACCTGAAGACATAAGCTATGAAATTATATCAGATCCAATGTTGGGACAGGTTGAACATATCAGTGATTTTTATACCCCGATCAAATTGTTTACACAATTAGATTTGATGGCTCGAAAGGTATTTTTAATAATTTTCAAGGTTTTGTTTTGGTGGTTACAGTATAGTGGGTACCCCCGAAGTATGCGAACCAAGATGGCGGACACCCGAACGTAGTATGTGTACCAGGTTAGGCCAAAATTTCAGGTACAAATACTACAAGAGTCACTTGGTTAGTCCCCGAACTCGTAATAGAACTAAAATAAGGAAAATGGAAATAAAATTATGGCCTAACCCTAACCTGGTACACATACTGCGTTCCGATGTCCGCCATATTGGTTCACATATTCGGGAGTGCCGTATAGTGTACTTTATTTATATAGGTTTTATTTTTGTTATATGATGCTTATTTGAAACTTTAGCCCCATTTCGAGAAATTCTCAAAACTTTCAAATTTTCTTTTTTTTTTAGATTGTTTATCGTCACATGAGCTTGGATGATTCCGTACTTGATTCATTTACAGTCGCAGCCAGTAATGGTATTAATACAAAAGAAGCGGTTGTGACTGTACAAATTGAAACTGTGGACGATATGTTGCCCCTTTTAGTTCTTTTTGCAGCAAGAGTGAATAGAAATGAAAATTCATACTTGACTGTATTCAGAGGATCTTCAGTTACTATCAATATAATGACGATTTTAATTTCTGATAACGATACACCAAAAAGTAGGCCTTTTTTTTTAATTTTGCTATGAACAAGACTCATGACATTTTACTCAACAAGCTATTGTTCAAACTGTTCGGCATAGCCACTGGTTTCACTCTGTCTAAACTACTAAATATTATTATGACATCATAAATTTCCAAACTTTCATTTCGGTGACCCCGTGGGGCAATTTAAGAAACTTTCACATAGACACTACTAGTCAATTACATCACGTTTTGCTGTGAATAAATGTTATGTAATTTAGATCGCGTTCGAATCGTTATTACATCGTTTCCTGAGCATGGGAATCTTATTTTGAATGGTGAAACCCTATCAAGCAATGGAACATTCGAAGTAACTCAGCTACAACTTCAAAATTCTGACCTCATGTATGAGAACAATGGCGACATGAGTGAAATTGATAGATTTTCGTTCATTGTTACTGATGGTGTACATGAGGGATACATGATTGATGGTAAGGTTGTTTTTATGAAACTACACTGAATCTGCCAGTAGCTAACATGTTTTACAGCCAAAAATATTTTTACATCAAATTATGTTAAAATTTGATTTGAGAAATTAGGTCAGAGTCAAAATTTTTGAAAAGTAGTCAAAATTTCCAGATTTAAAATGAAAATTTTAATAGCCATACATACCTGTCCATAACCTTTGACCTCAGGATAATTTTTTCGATACTTAACTTGCAAAACTTTTGATGTTCAATTTAAAACTGTTTTCCATGATTTGATGCTCACAAATTTATAAATATTTGAAAGTACGAACAACTAATTATAGCCTAGTTTATCATAGCTAAATCGAGTTCGATTTATACCTAAAATTCCAAAACATGACTAAAAACTAACAATAAAACCACAAAAAAAGAGCTAATGTTCACAACTATTCTGAAAATCTGACTGATTGAAAAAAGTGTTCGTGCTAAAACTTTAAGTGTTACATCAGTTTTAATATCTTGTTGATTAGCCAATATTACAAAAGAAAATAATAAAGTCAATGCTCAGAAGAACATCAATACCAAATTTACATACTCAATTTCGAGATTAATTTTCTATATCCCTATTAAATTTCCTTTCATCATGTTTAGATGTATTAACGCTTGAACCATCGGTTTTCAATATAAAAGTTGAACAGATTGACGACACACCTCCATCAGTTACCTACAATATTCCAACACGTTCCATTAATCCATATCCATATGGTAAGACTGTTACTTGGTTTGTTTTGATGTAACTTTTTTAAAGTGTTCAAAAATTTGATTGATTCTATTGAGTCATAGTTTTGCATAGATTTACTGATATTGGAGTCATAGCCAGATTCTTATTTTCAAATCCGATTGAGGTAGAGTTCAGAATTTCCGGATTATAATGGTGATAATTGAAGTTAAAATTTAGGAAAAAAATTAAAAATCCTGAAGTTGACTAAGCATTATCAACAGACAAACCAAATTTTTGTTTGAAAAATATGATGAAGTTTGGGTCAAAAATTCCATGTTAGATTTAATTCCTATGCCAATCATCTAATCCAGGGTGTAATAAATGAATTGGTTATCCCAGCGGTTCCCAACCTTTTCGTTCGCCATTTTAGCAGATCTAAGCAATAAAAGCAAGACGTCAACTCTTCTTTCTCACCTCTGCCCGAATTTTGTTTAAAATGCTTCAAAAATCACTCATGTTTGCTAAACTCGATTCAGCAGAATAATAAAATACAGGTTGGGAAATTCCAACAAGTATAGTTACATAACAATAGAGACAGACGCAGCGTAACAAAAAGTAAATAAGATAGAGAGGTGAAATGAATTTATCGATTCCTATTTATTCTGCATTATTAATAATCAGAAACAATAAAAATGTTATAACAAATACAATATATTTTTGGCTGTGAACCAAGCAACTGATATTTGACAATAGGCTTGACCAATTTATTAGAGCTACAGTGGGGTTGCGGGGATCGGATTTGAACCCCTGAGGAATAGGATTTGAACCTGTGTAGTCTGATATGCCAACATTGTTAAGTACCGTATAAGGCTTTAGCCACTACACCATCCTTCCCTGCAAAATCATTTGCACATCCATAACTATTATTTAACAATATTGTTTGGTTGACTTTTAACAGGCAGCAGTTCTTCACGATATGCAGTTTTTATAAGCGCTGGATGTTTGGCTGTTTCTGATGGTCTGAGATCAGATCATGATGAAGAAATTCTATTTTCAGTTACCGAACCTCCTCTATATGGGATGATACAGAAGGTAGGTTATTATTTCAACATTATTGTATATGAATTTGTTATTTGCAGTCTTCTGTAACATACATTTAGAATATGATTTTTATACAACTTTTTACATGTTGTTCGCTCTGAGCCAGCGTTGGGTTACAGATCATTCAAGTTTCAAAGTCGAGTTAAGTAATGAGTTACATCTCACTGGTGGTTATTTAATGATGATTCTGAGCCATTCCATTGAGATGACTTGAGTCACTTTGGGTTTTAATGAATTGTAGCCCGAGTATTATTTGAGTTGAGTCTTTATTTCGAGCCTCCTCAACATTAATCTCTAAAATAGATGCTGGTATATAGGGAGCTACTGTAATATTGAGACGACTAGAACTGGGGTGTGCAACATTTTTTGATGGTGGGCCCTATCACCAACTTTAGACATCTAGTTGGCATACACAAAAAAGTTAGTAGGCATGGCAAGATTGTCATCCCACTATCCCTCTTTTTCTTACAATGTAATCAGATATCCTATGGATGTCCTGTATAATATCTTTGCGAATTGAAAGTTATATATATTACATATGATATTATTATTATACAAATCATTGTTTATTTTTTCGAATTATAAACAAATATTTCTTAGCTTGGTGAAAACTCAAAATTGATGAATGTGACGGAATTCACCATGGGAGAAGTATCTGCTAGGAAAGTGTTGTACATGATTGATGGAAAATTGAACGTTACAAATGATAGTTTTGTATTCGACATTCAAGATGATTGGGGTAATGTTTTAATGGGAACTAGGTAAATTCAATTCTTATTTTTGTCTTATTTATAAGCAACATCCAGAACTTGATAAAGTTTTCTAGTTCAACCCCATGTCCATCTTCCACCGCTTGATGAAATATATTGGATAGGCTACAGGGTGAGAAGGGTGACTGACTCCCAAAAACAGAACCCAGGTCACTCGAGAGATATTCAAGTTGCAGTTAATATCCAGTTCTGGTATTTTTTTGAGGGGGGGGACCCTATACATGCCAATACACCCTGGATGAGATGGTGGGTGTGGGATTTTAACTCACGATGTGTAACCTGTGATGCAAACACAGTTCAGTCTAATGCTACCTATACTAAGCTACACTAAGAAAGCTTGCAAAAGCTAAATTTTTCGTAATGAAATTTGTTGTTTTGGAGTGACTTCATCTAGAAATTTGTGTATATAATCTGTACGGGAGTCTACTTTTTTGGTCCAACTCTTTATCCACTTTTTTCTACTTTCATAAAACAACATTAATTTTACCTATATTCCAATGTATATACAGATTTTCAATGTCATGGAGCAGAATCGAATTAGTAGAGAAAGAATTGACAGTTTGTGAAGGAGTAAATGATGCGAACATTACGATAAGAAGATACGGCGAAGTTTTATTATCATCATTTATCGGAGTTAAAACTATCAATATTAATTCCGATGGTGCATACTATGACTTTGTTCCAAGTACTGCAAAACAAGTTCAATTTGACTCACGTGAGTAAATATTTAAAATTAGTATTACTGGAATGCATAAATTATCTAAAAATTTCGGTACTCCTGTAGTGTGTGTACCAGGTTAGGGTTGGGCAATAATTTTGTACCAATTCTCCTTATTTTATTCCCATTACGAATTCGGGGTGTGTCTCTGTTAGCCAAGTGAATAGCCCCCTGCCCATAGGAAAAAGTCCCTTCACACAACTTGATAGGCAAACAAAATAAGTTACCTCCATATCGGTACACATACTTCTGGAGCGCCAAAATCTCTTTTCTATTTTTCAAACAATTTTTATGTTTCTAATATGTAACGTATATGTTTCAATTTCATTCTGACCCCTTATACTGAACTAAAAAAAATTCAAACTCTTTCATATATATAGAAGTTCATACCTTTATTTCTTTGCTCGTTTATAGCCTTATTTGAAGATAAAAATGCGAAAAGATTCATAAATACATATTTATCATCAACTTCCAATCAATAATATAGCAACTAAAATTGTTTCGATCAACCCAATGAACTAAAATTTTATCCAAGATGTTAGATCGAAAGCGTGGACTTTCCGAGTAGTTGACGACAGAGTTCGTGAAAGGAAAGAGAAATTCAAAATCGTCCTGCATTCACCTGTTGATTCTGTATTGGAGCCACTAAGTAAAGAAGTCACAGTTACGATATTAGATGCAAGAATTAGGAAGTGTAACCAGAATTCAACAACAATAGGTCGGTTTCCATTTTTTAATGTCCTAATTAGTTATTTGCAGTCATTTCTGTATGGCATACTCCACTTGTCCAGCCATCTGGGCAAATTACTTTGTTTGTGGACCCACGCATCAGATGTGGGCCCCACTTTTTTAGGAATGCATTTTATTTTGCATTCAACTTCTCTATAGAATTAAAAACGAACAGTTATCAATCCCAATGAATAAACATAGTTCTATTCTATCTAAAATACAAACACATTTATTTTTCGAATTCTATCATTGATAAAAACGCACCATATTACTTTATAATTTTATTTAAAATGATTGGTATTATTTCTTGTTGGGACCCTCTTAAGTCTGCCAAGGAGCTATGATGAAACTTGTCTATTTTATTTCTGACTGATTAGAAACTAAGGTTGGTTATTTTTTGGTGAATTAATACGAATCACTAGGTCATTGCGTCCATTTCTGGTCTCGTCAAAATTCCATTTAATTAAAAAAAAATTAATTTTTTTTAAATTTTTTAATACATGCTTGTTTTTGATGATTTTCTTTTCATACAGCAAAACCGAGAAAATCATCCTCAAAGAAAAAAAACAAAAAATCCAAGAATAGAAAGAGGAAATCTAAGAAAAGAAGAAGGAATGCCAAGAAACGAAATAAAAAGAAATCCAAGAAACCTGTTAAAGATGAACCATGTGAGTTTAGTTGAAATGTTGCAAAGAGTAAATTATACATAAATTAAGATAGGATTCCAATGTTCATCCCCAGAAACGGGAAAACAGATAAAACGGCTTAACCATAAGATGAACCACGACTCTTGTCTCATCTCCCATTTACCAGTCAATTGTTTTGGGTGGATGGTTTTAAAGGTGGAGGAAGCAGTAACCAACCTATGGTTATATGAACCACCCTGTTTTCCATACAATTGCTCATCTGTAGAATCTATTATTATCGGTAACATTAGTTGGAAAGTGTTTTCGATAATATATTGAGTTTTCCAAATCTTATGTCTTTCAAAGTTTAAAAAATGGTTGATTTTAAATCAAATTTCAGCTTCATCAACATCAAAGCGATCCAGCAAAAAAAAGAAAAAATATGGAAAACTGGGACAACCTGTTACGGTGGCTCCAGATACTTACTCAAGCAATAAAACTCATAGAATATGGAAGGTCGTTATTATTTAATTTTTCAGACAAGGCCTTGAGTTAGTAGCCACTGATATTTAACGATATGTAGGGGCTACTACTATATACTGGATATTTTCCAGTTGAGTATTGCACACCCAATTTAATACACTCTGGGTGAAATGATGGCAATGGAATATAAACCTTCATTTATTAAGTCATTTCTAGAGCTGGGCATTTCGAATCGAATGAATATTTCAAATCGCCGCCATCTTGTTTTTTAATTTGGCTGCAAAAAGGTCGAGGTGGAATTACAATATCATTTTATCACATGACCCTTTTCTTTCTTGCGACGTATTGATGAAACATGTTTCCTATTGTGTCTAAACTCTCAGCAAACTGTCTGAGTGATGAGTTCTATGAGTCCTAGTCATGACTTTTATTTTAATGCTTTACTTATGATCATACATTTTATAGCCCACTGGGTCTATTATAATATAGCTCCTATAAATGAACACAAGAATTCAAAAATCACGTTTCTAAAGAAGATTGATTTCTTTACTTGTTACATCTCTGAATTCAGTTCCTGATTTATACATAAAGTATTTATAAAATTTAAACTATATAATTATAACCCAAAGTTTTCTATATAGTATCATGGTTTAATACCAATTACAATTGATGAAGAAGATGAAGAGGTGGAAGAAAAACAACCAAAAGGAGGAGGTGAATTCAATCAATTCATACTTACTTATGTCAAACAGTGACATAGGGATTAATGCCATGGACTAAAATAAAGTCATAGGTTATATACATTAAGCTCAGCTGTATGTTTGCTTTTATTTGCGTAAATAAGATTCAATGGTATGTATTCGGTTAGATTAAATATATAACTGTAATAAATGACAAGAAAATGGGATGATGGTTTGGGTATAAGATTTTCTTACATGACATCCAATGAGCCTTATTCAGAATTCACCGCATTATTACTCGTTTCCTAAATTAGAACAATATTAAAAAGGGCTGTCTTCACGTAATATTAATGAAATGTTGCTTTAACCTGCTTGTCCATTTTTATTTCTACGCACAGACTTCCAACCTTCATCAAAAGATGACATACCCAATGATGAATTAATAAATGATGAACCTCATATGGAAAATAGGAAGAATTTGAACAAAGATTCCTTTGAGGCTGAGCTGGTATGAGTTAACTATTCCCATTTTATATCTGATCTGCGTAATATGCGTAATATATGCATGCACCTTATGAAAACAATGATGATAAGCCTAGTGTCGAAGAGGCTCAAGTCATAGATTCAACTTGGACTCGAGTCCACATTTATCAAGTACTCAAAGTGACTATATTCATCCAAATGAAATAACTTAGACTCGTCATCAAGTAATCCCCTGTGAGACTCAAGTCAGTGATTCAACTTCGAACTCTACTCGAGACCTAGACCCAGAACTCAGTTCCTCAATAAAGGTTTGACATCAAACAGACAAATTTTCAACTCTCCATATTTTAGCGCGCAAGTTATGTGAAGTAAAGTAAACATGTCGATTTCACATTTCAGCTTCACCGACCTGATATTCCTATACCTCCTGATATACCAAGACCCCAGCATGTACCTCGCACATGTTCTATTTATATGTTCGATAGACTGTATTATGATCCAATGGCCAAATCATTAATGAGATGTAATGGTGCATCATGGGTTCCATGGTCACCATCAAAATCGAAGGCTACAACTCCATTGAAATTGTCAGAGTGTGAAAAAGATTGGCACAAGTATGAATCTAGGTAAGAACATACCATAAGAAATTTTAGCGTGATAAGTTACTGCAGTAAAGGAAGTAGTCTTCGAAAATTTGCTTTGAAATACTATTTTTGCTTTTTTATGCTTTCGGACTGCGGATTATCTATAACTTACAATAAGAACATATTCGAAAAAAAAGTTATGCTCCTACTTTTGCTCTGAATAAGGCTCTAAACAAGTTTTTTTGGAAGAGCTTGATTCAGTTTGTCAACATATCTAACTGGCTGTACCCTGGTCAAAGGCCTGGATTAACAACCCAAATTTTATTGCCATGAGCTAAAAATTCCTGGTCCCTTCTGTATATTATACCTAACAATAGCCTATTGTTTTGTAATTTCCCTGTTTCATGAACTGAAATAATATTATTCGACATTGCTCGGAAAACATTAAATATTTCAAGAATTACTTTGCAGAAACGTTGACCACCCAAATACTAGCATAATCATGAAATATGTTATTTAGTATTACGTCTGCTCAATCATTCTGTAAGTACTCATTTTAAAATTTGTACGGTAAATCTCTTTGTTTATTTATATATTCTCCAGATGCTTCTACATTCATATTGGGGATGAAAGTGGGCATTCATGGAATTCTGCACAGAGATCATGCAGAGAAGTACATGGTGCTCAATTAGCAACAATATCATCAAAGAAACATATGGATTGGTTGAGAAAAAAAAGTGGAAAACAAATGTTGTGGATTGGTATGTTGATACAGAAAATTCATTAGTATGGTTATCATTGTATATGGCAGAAAGTTTAATGTGTTTCTGTGGATTTGAAGCATAATTCCATAAGAATTATGCAATTATTATCAAAATTTAAATTTGTTTGCCACCTTTTGATTGCTGATTGAACTGTGAAAGAGATTTGAGCTCATATTTCAGAATGGCTCGCATATTATCTCTACTTTGTTATTGCCAAGCCATCAAAAGTGTAATATATTGTGTATGCAATATCAAAACCAGGGGTGTGTAACAAGCGGCCCACAGGCCACAGCCTGGTCAGTCAAGGCATTTAGTGTGGCCTTTGTCAACACTCAGATTAGGTTTTCCCCATCAAAAGGGCGATCATGGAAAAATATATGAAATTTTAGAGCTTCTTTCACTGGGCTTTTGAGTTTGGTCATGTGGTGGTATTAAGTAAAATAAGCTTAAAAAAACAGTGATGTCACAATAAGCACCTACATTTTCTATAGCATAAAGCGATGTCTATGGGCCTGTTTTAAAGTAAGCCATGGTACAAACTGCTAAATTTAACATGGTTTGTCAAATCCTATATGTTTTGTACATCCATTCTCCATCATACTTCAGTGAGCCCACGACCTGTTTGCGACCCTACCTACTTATCACTCTGACCCAATTTGGGATTGCGACCCCTGGCCTAAACCAAAAAGATTTTAGTCCTTTCAGAATATTTGGTTTGTCTTGCACAGTGTCTTGTTCCGATTGAAGGTTTCATAAAATAATTACCAATTTTCAATTTGTTGTTTACGGTAATTTAGGGCTGAACAAAAAACTCAGTGACGACTGGCAATGGACAGGGGGTGATGCGGTAGAATTTACAAACTGGAAAGGAGGATATCAAAAACAACTAAACAAACCTGGTAAAATGAAATCAAATAATGCAGATTGCGCAATGATTGCAGAAAGAAAGAGATGGATTCCGAAGGATTGTTCCTTACAAATTAACAGCGCTGGTTATGTTTGTATGACAGAAATGCTTTCTTAGTTGGAAAGGTGTATCAATGAAACTCAAATTTTGCGGAATATGGTCAATCGGAATTAGATTATTATTTACTGAATATATTCCGTAAACGAGGTTGCTCAAATGTTCATTCATCCTATTAATGCAACTGAAGGTAATAAATCAAAGTGTAGAAACAATTAAAAAACGAAAACTTCATTACAGACGGCAAAAGATTTTATCTAGAAATTAACTGAGATTCTATTACACGATTCTTGATTTTATAACAGTTGATTGAATTTTTTCTTTACCTCACATTGCTATAAGTAACCAATACAAGTTCTCTAAAAATCATAATCAACTTCGGGTGTTCATTTCATCATTTTATTTCAATTTAGTGATATTACAAATATTGAATGGCAATCGCACATCTTTTCTTGGGTGCCATACAATCTGACGCTGTTTGGTGTATTTTAGTATCCCTCCAATAAGGCGGAGGGTTCCCAATCGACAATTATACTCGAAAAACTGATTCCATTTCTAAAAACCTAGTTTCATTGCTTTGCAAGGTTATTTCACATGGGGGGGAGGCACTTTGTTGAGCATGAACTATTTGAACATAATTGGATTTGGGATCTTCCAATAAAAATACCTCGATAAACACTCCTGGCCACTCCCTGGTTGGGAACTACTGCAATATGGAAAGAGAACATCAATTACTGATCCATTTCAAGTTGCTGTATGTGCAGAAAATGCTTTTCAGGTGTTGTATTAAGTGTTCGAAGCCGCCATCCTTTGTTTTTTCAGCATACTTGTTTTTTGTGATGTTTTCTCTCAGCATGGAATTATCTCAATATTAAAATAAAATACGCTTTTCATTTTCATTGCCATTTATTTTTTTACATAACGTACCACAGCATTGTAAAATCTATCATTTTGAAAACTAATTTTTTTTAACAAATAATAAACTAAAAATGTTAGTAGAAACATATGAAGAAAATTAGAACAGAAGAAAGAATAGATAATAACATCTTCGAAGGTAGAAACAGCAAACAGTCACGAGTTAGAAAAATGGAACATGCATATTATGTATGAATACACTGAATCACAAGTGATTAGTTACAAAACTATGCGATGACTCCAGAAATGATGTTCTTATTGGGAAAATGTGTGACAGAACTAACTCTTTGTTACTTTATCTCGAAATTTAAACTCAAACTCATGTCTGAAATTCTAATCAATATGAATTAGGAAATTACACTAATTCCTGAATCTATCACCAACTTCCGGTAGTAGGTCTACCTAGTCCTTAACTAGAGAAGACCAATTTCATCATAACCCTGACATGGGCAAACTACAGCCCGCCCGTTGGGTAATTCAATCTGGCCCGCTTGATGCTATCACAACCAAACTAAAACCAAATTTCAAGATAAAAAAAGCTCGAAGAATTTGTTGAGATTGTGAGAAAATTTAGGCATAATGTTCTCCACTTTTGCTTTTGTAACTCTTTAAATATTGTTCATAGAATGTAACTTTTATCTCACACTTACATGGCCCGCCAGTCTATGTGGGCACAATTTTTGGCCCCTGGTTCAAAAACCTTGCCCACGCCTGTTTTAGATTCAAATAATCGTAACATAAAATGACTGAAATTTCTTAATTTCCAAATATACTCTTCAGTAATAAGCAAGTCTAGTCTGACCATCTTTCCACTCTTTGATTCTCTCAAATCTAAGTCGTTTTCTACAAGGATTTGATTCGTTTTTACTCGAGCAAGAAAGAGAATCGAAATTAGAAGCAAATGGATTACTTTGTTGAAAGCAGCTACTCTCACTGAAATGGGAACTAGAACAATCTGAACCATCCTTGGATTGATATTCACGACCAAAGTAAGCAGCAAAATCAGGGAACTCGTCTGTCAATAGAATTAGCAAATTACATTAAAAAAATTACTTTAAATGACCCAAGTCATCTGAACAGATTGACTCATCTCTAACTCATTGAACTGACATATATTGTAACTGGGGATAGTTTTGACTAAAGTTTTTAAATTGAAAAAAAAATCCCAATTGTTTCATTTGCTAGTGAAAAGTTCCAAATGCATGCACACATAGACCCATTTATACCCAAAAAAATGTTATCATCACTTGTTTAATTCTTTTTTCGTTTTCAAAGCAATGTCAGTTTTTTCACAAGACAAAGTAGTATTATTCACTGTAGCGGACAAAATTTACTATGGACCTCACGTCTGACTAAACATAGCAGTGACACAACTCGAGAGTGCAATTCTGAAAAGATTAACTAGCTATTACCATACCCGATACCCGACATGGACTGGTATCTGGATCCACAATAGTATGAAGTCATCTTCATTTGAATCCCATTCTCCAAGAAAAAATATGATAATCCCACTGTCAATAGTTAGAAGAATAGAACTTCCAAAACCAATCTACCTTGTGATTTTCCCATTGCCATAGAATCACTTTGCTCAAGTTTAAAACTGAATTCAGGTGTAACATCGACATCAATTTCATCATAAAATGCAGGCAAAGGTTGTCCTGGTGCATGAAGTTTGGAATAAAAATCCTGAATATTAAAAAAGAAATTGTTATATTTGTGTATATTCAAGTTAAAAATACAAATAACAATGCTCAAATATATGAACACAAAAGTCAAATACAAGTGATTCCATATGATATGTTTTTTATAGGTCATTTTTACATTTTCATCCTAAGGAAAGTCACTGATTATGTAAGGGGATACTATTTCGGGAAAACCGGAATTTTCCCTGGGTGAGGTGGTGGAGGGTGTCCATGGGGTCCGAACCAAAGTTCAAATTCGGTAGAATAGAAAACAGAAGCAGCACACGGTATCCACATATGAAAGAATGTCAAGGGTCTTATTCAAAAAATGAAAAGTATGCTTCGCCTCGAAGACTATACAATGCTATCCTACCTGTAAACATTCTTTTGAAATGTGTGAAAACCTTTCAAGCAATTCAGAAATACTCATCGAAGCTATTTCCTTCAATGAAGCAATAGACAACATATTTTGTGCAACAAGAGAATTAATACTTGGAAATTGTACGAGGAATTTTTCATGACTACTCTGTGACATAGTCAGTCGCTTCATCCTGTGAAATAATAAAAAAAAATGGATTAGAATATTTGTAGAACTAATTTTTAATGATTGTTGCCAAATTAATGGATGTGTCTCTGACACCACTTGGGTATCGCTGACATATAGTATTAGTGGAATATGAAAGTTGATACTGACAACATTGATATATAGGAATACTAGATCATACCTTGGTTCTTTACTCATCGATTTGTCTGACTTTGAATTTTCAACAAGACGTTGAATTAAATAAGCAAAATGTTCAACATCAAAGCAGCAAAACAACTTCATCTGAAATGGAAATGTAATCAAAGCATTTGAAAACTTGTGTTTCGCAATGCGGTTTATTACTGCAAGGAATGAAATGAATAAAACTAAAAATAGTATTGGATAAACGAGGTGGGTGGACCCCATTAAGCAGTTACTTTGACTACTTTACAAGTTTGGCGAAGTAATACATAAATTACAATATACCTCAAAAACTGAATCCTGTTGAAGAAAGTTTTCCAAAGCTGTGTGGAGTTTTGACAAATTTAAGGGGAAATCTCCTCTCATGGGGTAGCTGAAATATTGAGATGAAAAGTAATACTACAATATTAAACGAAATCAAACAGAAGTGAAGATTGTAAAAAAATCCAGCGAAGAGCAGAGTTACTAGTCTAATTTGGATCTAAGAATAATTAATCAGTTGAACATTCCAGATACAGATTGCTTGAGAAAGCTGTAACTGATTATTGGGAGCAATACTTTTTCACAAAAAAAAAGTTTATGAAATTGAATTTGATGATAATATGTTTTGCGATAGGATTTCTTATAATATTTTGTACTGTCCGAAAATCGAAATTGTGGCAAAATCAGTGTACTCCACAAAAATAGTTGCACCATACACAACAGAGCCCTGCAGAGAGTGAAAAGCATAAAAATGTTGTGTAAAGAGACTGCAACTCAAAAAATAACTATGAGAACCACTTGGTAATCGGTCCTACAATCTATTTGTAAATTCATATCAAACTACGAACCTCGGATAAAGTGAGCCAACTGATGAAATCAAATAATTGTATGTAGAGTCTTACCCTGACTTTTTTGCAGACAGATCAGCAATGATAACATAACGTTTAGTAAATCTTGTTTTCAAATCTAAAATTTTCAAAATAATATTATGCAGAAGTTGTGATCCATCTTCTCCACTCAAAGCTGAGAATGTTTCTACAATAATACATGTTGTCTGATCTATAATTATATCAGGATGTCCTGTTATCGAGTTTTCGTTTGGCGAAATGCTTTTATTTAATTCAACATAATCTCGTTCCAATATTTCAATGTTGTGTCTGGAAAACATCAATAGTTATTAAAGTTTTTGTGAGTTATCACTCAGTTCAATTTTGCTCAGGTATTACTAATCTTATTTCAAAACCCCAGGCGAGCTGGCCTTTGTCAACATCACAGGTAAAAGATCTTCAGTTTAAACCCTATTTATTCCTTTAATCAACATAAGCTCACATTTCACTTACAAATTTAATAATTGTCTACCTATACATTGCAGCAGTATTATTTTCAGTCACTCAAATATACTCCAAAACAAAATTCCTATACATATTCTCTACATTAGAAACAAATACATCAGATATCATTTTTTTTATAAATATCAAGTTCATAACATTTCATTCCCTATTCAAAAGCCTCACCATAAAAAATATGTGATATCGCAATTGATAATATGATTTATAAATTCAAACTTGAAATCAAATAAGTTCAGCAAAGATATTATTATATTGTGATACTCTTTTCATAAGTATATCGTTCCACGTATGGGTGTATTTTTCTACGGGCAATATGTCAATATGAAAGCACAGTATATGATGATTCATTTCAAATCTAAGTCACATTACCTTGTTTCAAGCAGATGCAGAAGATTTCCACATTGTGTTATTGTTGAAGAACCAATCAGTGTTATGATGTCACAATCATCATTGTTTGCAGTGTCACCATCCATGTCTAATTGAGATTCAGTTCTTAATTAAGAAATATTTGATTAGGTTTAAATGTGAGAATTACTTGTAAAAAATAAAACAATAACATGTCTCACAACCTTTCGATTTCTAAAGCAATATGTCGAATTCCAAGTCCCATTGATATTCTTTTCCAAGGTGAATCTTTTTTAGCCTCATATTCCAACAAAAGAGTAAATTTATCCCACGGAAAACTTGATGATAAAGCAGCAACTGGTATGATGACAATGTTATATCCACTGGTGGAATAACAAAAATAAATTTTAAATCACGGCTAGCCAAAACGCAGTAATTCACCACTTCGAAATAATCTAGAATCTGGGACATGCAAATAATTTATTAAAGGTGAGCTTGAATTCGGAAATACAGGGATTTGATGGGTTTTCCATCTTCTACAGTTTCAAGAAAATGAGGTAAAGTTGTTTTTGCTTTGTTACTGTTAAACTTCAATTTCACAAAATGATAATATTTTGAATAATTTCTAAAATCTTAAATTTAAATCAGACATAAATAAAGTGTAATAAATAGGGTAGGCAATGCCGAATCAAAAATATTCCAGCGCACATTCCAGATTAAAAACTCGTTTCGTGGGCTGCACATTATTTAAAATTGACACTTTTCCACGTGCCGCACAATTTTTCCTTGTGAGCCCCATTTGGCCCGCGGCCGCCGGTTGCACAATTTTGATGGAAGTAATACATGCCTGGCAATAGCGTTCTTAACGAAATCATCTACTGTATATGACTGTTGTCCAGAAGGCAGAGCAATAGGATTCACTCCAATTTTAGAACTACAATTTTTTATCAGAGTGTGAATTATTTCATCAAATAAATGTTGACATTTGGTATCACAAAGTATCAAAATCTGAAAAAAAAATCAATAAGAGAAAAATCTGATGTATTATACTCATGTATGAATTATAATCTGTATACTTCAGTATTATGGAATTCCATTTCATGCTAAATATCAATCAATTTCCTAAGAATTACGGCATATCACAATTGAATTTTTTTTAGTAGAATAATGAATGAATCCCCACTAACCTTAGTTATAGATCCATCTCTTCTGCTATCTTTATATAATCGTTCATAAATTATTTTCCCTAATTCTGCAATCTTTGGATGAATAAGATGTGATTCCATTATACTTTGCTGGAATATGCAGAGAAAAAATCTTGAGTTAGGAAGGAAGGAATTTCATATCTATCCTGGGGGAGAGAAAAGCCGTCAGGGCTTAATCATATAGCAAACAATGGCCTATTACAGTCCATGTCTGGTATGAGATCAGATACCCAGTTATTTGTTTTTAGATACCATGACTTCATGGTGGAGAAGGCCGTAACAGGCCAGTGGTTACTTGAACCATCCTCCAAGGCAAAGCGTCGTCTGACACATAATTAACCCTCACATGATTTGGAGCGTTAACCCTGAGAAAGGTCATCAGTGCTAAAATGGCAAGCGTATTCAGGCTTAGCATGATGCGCCAATTCATGTAATTTTAAAGGTAATATGAAAAGTACAATATTTCCCACCTTTAATGTATGTATAGCAAGAGGAATCAATGATAACATTGACTTAAAATCATTGAATTCATTGAGATGTATCAAGCTTTCCAACATTTCTTTGTTGTTTTGATAAAAGTCGATCAAAAAACCTTAAAAAATATATGATGAAAAGAGTAGAAAAAAAAACTTCAATAAAAATTGTGATAAAGATAAGTATATATTTATGACTCGTCCCAGTGAGTCCTCAATAAAAAATTGGAAGTTTTATGCTCTTATTGTGTTTGCTTACACAGAGCCTTGTTCAGAGCAAATGTGTAAAACAGACCACAAGAACCGCAATGCAAGATTAATTTATTAAACTCAATTTAGGAAGCTCAAGCATGTTTGGGAACCTACAACCAGTTTTGAGTTGAAGGCCTCAATTCCCTAAGAGTCACATGTCACAAGTCATCCGAGTCGAGTCAAATACCCAAATGCCCTCAAGAAGTGGGCCCCAGTCGACTCCACTTCAGTCAAGTTAATGACTTGAGCTTCTCCAGCCGTGTCTATAACCAGCAATTATGTGAATCAAACTTTTACACAAGTACGATATAGTTTAAATATTCATTATAAAAGAGAGGAAAGTCGAGAAGATGGCCTAATAATAAGCGAACATAAATCTGCATGATTGTACTTACCAAGTCCAGATGCAGGAGATAGGTTTACTAGTCTTGATTTACATACAATGAAACAATGTAACATCACCAGCAACACATATTGAGGATGTTGTACCATACCAGAGCTATTCTGTTTGTAAAGATTAAAAAGCAGGGTGATTTATTACGGATAATTACTATGAAACAAAAACTTCGTGATGCTGGTGCATAAAAGATTAATGTGGTCTATATTTGAACTACCGGTAACCAAGAATTAATAAGAATGAAGTCACAAGAAATATATATTCATATATAATTATATTACAGTAAGCGACCTATATAAAATTATCAATTGCCATTAACTTAATACACCGGCATACCTGGACAAATCTTTTTGATTGTTTCAAAAGGTATTTTGACATGTCTTCATTAATATTTCGTATATCACACTGTTCAGGTATAACTCGAAACGTTTTCAATTGATTGAATATAGGCTCAATATAACTTTCTATATCCAAAATTATTCGTAAAATACCACCTGTAAACGAAGAACAAATTTTAAACATCAATTAAATTTTAATACATTTATAAACAAATTATGATAAGTAATATTTTGCAAAAAAAATTCAAAATCACCAATAGTGAAGTATATATCCCATGCTTACAATCTAAATCTAGATGTCTAGTGATAACTCTAGATCAAGATTTGAACAATTTAGCCTGTAGGTAAGCACATACATTGACAATAGCCTGGTCTACGTTACCAACAATACACTAAGAACATCAATGTAGTTGTTGGCACATTTAACATGTTGGGGGCGCAGGGTAAAAGATCTTCAATACAAAGCAAATGGCCACCATTCAACTCAAGATGCAATAAAATTGGGAAACAGTGCTAATCCAAAAAGATTTCTATCTTTAAGACACATTTAGCTCCTTATGTATCTTCTTGCATAATAAAGCATCAATAAGGGTAAATGTGTGAAAACAATCTTTGCTGCTGTTTCTGCAATGAATATAATCACAAAATAAACCAAAGAAACTAGCCGTTTACTTACCAGTGATATTTACTTTGACCAATCTGTAGTTTGAATCTTCAACAGGTGGAAAGGATGGTATTGTTGGTATTGAAGTAGATGAAACACTATTTAGTGAAGAAAAGTCCTTACTATCATGTATGGTTTCTACTGCAACCTGCATATCCTTTTTACTACCCACAGCTCTCATGAATTTCTGTATTTTAGGTTTCATCATTTTTCCACGCATTTGTAAGAAAGAATCCAAAGAAAATTCATCATTTTCATATGAAGCACTTTCCTGTATTTCACAAATTTTTCTTTTACCTGAAATATCAAGTGTCAAGTTTAAAAAAGAATTTGAACGACCATTTCATAATGGTTAGGTTAGTAACAATGACTCTGCTTTGTTTTCCACTACAATTACAACGAAAGTAAAAGCAATAGGTACTCTCATAGTATGTGCAACAAGATGGCGGACACCAGAACGTAGTATGTGTAACATGTTAGGGTTAGCCCATAATTTCAGGTACAAATACTACGGGAGTCACTTGGCTAGTCCCCGAACTCGTAATAGAACTAAAATAAGGAAAATTGGAATAAATTTATGGCCTAACCCTAACCTGGTACACATACCATGTTCGAGTGTCCGTCATTTTGCACATACTACGAGACCGCCAATCAATGTATATATTATCTCTTCTCTGCTTTTCAAAATTCACCTCTGCATATCTGTTCCTAGATAGTACGGACACTAAGCTTTTCACTTTGCTAACTTGTAGTATTTCAATTCTTTTATAACAACAACAGATCCACACATAACTCTTAATGCACTGAAGGCTACTTTTAATGCTTTTGTTGGTGATTTTTCCCTCTTTTTCGGCTTGTAGCCTAGCTATGTGTATTCATCAATTAACTCTCAACTTACTTGGCTGTTTTTTCACCTGCTCTTGTTTCTTCAGATACTCAGATTCGACATTTCTTATTTCAGAAGGGACAAATGGTGATATTTTCTGTGTACAATTATCCCAATATGGAAAAAAAATGTTTATGAATTTATCAGTTATTGAAAATGAACCTTCTGTTGACAGAATTGTGATAAAATCATGAAGACCACTGAGTGTGTCAAGTATCTGAGTGGGCACAAAAAACCAACTAGTACTGGCATTTGAAAGTTAGACATTTCAATATCTTCAATTGGTATCATTGTGGCCCAAGTGCATCACTTTATTTATATTGTAACAAATTGGAAACCAAAACTTCCAATTACTAGCTTCCCACTATCATGTGATTGCATATGCATTTTTTCGATTCCTCAGTGCTTCAGCAGTTACCGGTAATATTAAAAATCTGAGTATGATTTTTATTCTAACACTTTATAAATATACTAGTAAGTAAATAGTAAAATGATGGTCAATTACATACATACAGGTATTTGTACTACCTCAGTTTTTTTCATTTCGGAAATTTTTTGCTCTACAGCTCTAGCTTGGTAATCTTCAGTCGAATCCAGATCACAGACTACTGGTGTTTGTGCCTGATTCAGTACATTTCTCATATTTTCAGTCTCGTGTCTATCTTCTGGAATATTAAATGACTAGCGATGACCGAGTATATCTAGCACTACAATATTCTACATACCCGTAATAAAGGCGAATACAATTTTAAAATGAAATTATTCATATATAAGAATAGCTTTATAAAAATATATATTTATTTTGCTATCATTTTTTTTTATTCAGCTGTTTTAGTATATACCGAGTAAAATTCAGTAAACATCAAGATTTCGCAGCAAAGTAGACTGACTTTGATAATTAAAATAAAAATTATTTCTAAGGCAGTATCGTATAATACCATGCAATTCTGAGGCGTCTCTAAAAGATATAAGGAAATACTACCTGTATTTTCCTCAATCACTGGAACAAGTTCCTCAAAAACTTCAGCATCAGTACAATATGAATTTCTGTTATTAAATTCCGTAGGTCTTCGTTGCAATATCTCAACATTAAGTTTTTCCAGTCTTTGCAATTTGGTTATCAAGCCTTTAACATGTGTAGTGAAGCTCCAATGTAATGCCAACTCAATATCACTAGTAGAAAGTCTTGACTGAGGTCGGCAGAGATCTGAACATTTTGTTGATTCCGTAGCATCTATTTCTGGCAAATTTGCTTCTTTTAGTGCTGTCTCTGATATAAAAATAATCAATTTGATACCAATTGTTACCTTGAATCAGGGGTTTTCAAATTGGGTTAAATTTACCTCCAAAGTTCGCCACTTGAGTTATTATAGGTATTTGCGGAGTGGAAACGAAAGAACTTAGGGTTATATTTTACTTTCAAAATTAGTCAAGGAGGAAATATAAGAAAAAAAGGTAGACAACCCTTGTATTTAATATTATTCAACTCATAAAGAGTAATCGCTCAACACAAAACCTTTAGCATGGTGATTCATTAACATCAAAAAATTTAAATTGTTTGATATTAACATGACAATGATCGTTAGATTGGCTATTCTGAACTAGTACACTAGTTCTATACCATAAAAGTTTAACCCAACAAATCCATTGAGTCACAATGAGTAAAAGTTAGCAAGGTTTTATACCTGATAATAAGAGATGTGAAACACGAGCAGTATTCCAATCTTCTCTCTCCATTCCATTTACAAATATATTTTCAATATCGGTGCATTTTGTTATTCTGTTGAAGGATATCACAAGCATATTCATTTTGAATTGTTGAATATTGAATAATAACTTGATTATTATTATGCTAGGGTTAGGATTCCTACCGTTTTATTTTAAGTAACAACTCTTGATCCAGTAGTTAAAGAGACTACTATGTCATATCTCCATGTAAATTAGAGTCGATTATCAAGCAAATTATGTTTTATTTTAGTTAATTTCTGATTATGTGGAATTTCATATATGCATTTACATAGTGCTTTCATACACAAAAAAATTAAACAAATTAGCACATATTTTCTAATTCAATCGACACCTAGTCTATTGGAATATAAGAGACTTTAATGATTTTTTCTACCCATTCCAGACATAACCATTAATATCAATATTACCTGTGAAAATCTTCATGTGATATCTTTATAAGGTTGATTTTCTTCATATCAAAATTTTCTAATGCTTCTCTAATAAGGTCAATCTTGTACACCGGGTCAGAATTAGAAGGTACCTCTAGTTCCAAGGATGATCTTTCCAGTACTTGATCAACTTGCAATATTTCTCAATAAAAGTGTTAAGTTTACTATAGATGAAAAAAGACTATTATCGTTGTATTAATGAGATTTGATATCAAACGCATGGTAATCCTTTACATTACTGCATTTAGTCTCTAGTTGAACTTATGTCCTAAATTCTCCCCTCAAAACACTTATTATGATAATTCTTGCACATAGCCTCTTCCTATTACCATATTATACGCTATCTAAATAGATTCATTTTGCAACAAAATTATCACTTTTTTATTAAAATTAATTAGAATTTCAGTTTTCTGGTGAGCTGATTTAGACATAAATAGACAGCTAATCCACTTTTATATAGATTTCTAGGTAACAGTAAGAAATTAGAATTGATACAAAATTCAATTGTTCATATTTACTTATTTCATCACTATTTATAGATTTTGGCAAGGTGCTTAAAACTTCATCATTTTCAAAATGTTTTGTTGTCATTGATACATATGATCCAAAGTCTCCTTTAACAGAAGATGATTCGACAACTTTAATTTTTTCTAGATCGGTGTTGTCAATATCTGGTTTTTGTCCCTGATGAAAGTGAATATAATAAAAATAAGGATTAGTATGTAAATGCAACAGTTATATTCATTTTTTATGATGAAATAAATCAAATACTGTTATATTCAACGAAGCTTCATTTTTTTAATAAAAATTGTGATTTATAATTTTTTCGAATTCTAAACTTCAAGTTTTGATTTTAAGTAAAGTAACACTGTTGAGTGGATCTGTTTTATTTACATTAATAAGACTCTTGGTTCACTTAATTACCATTACAATTACAATAATATGAACTGGAATAATATCAGTATCAGTGTAACGAAGAAGTGTCAATGCCAAAATTATATAATTGAGTTGATATGAGATTGCAGTAAAGTATAGTACAAATGATAATTGTTGACACCAATTCTGTTACAATTACAAGTAAATAATACCTCATGTGTTTCTTTGATTTCATCAAGAAAATCATTGTCTACTTCATAATTCAATTTTTCGTCAAAATCCAGTGAACATTTTGAGCTTGTTGCCTCCATGATTTCAAAAGTTGGATCGTCATCCAGATTAAATTTTTGAATTTTACTGATATCTAATTTTTCATATTTCTTGTAAACATTAGCGATTTCCGCATACGGATCAGATAACACCAAATTGCTATGCTTTCTCAACAATCGCGAAATAGATGGTTGCGAAACTTTAATAGATTCAAGTCCTTCAATCTCTTCAAAGAGTTTAGAATCTGTTGCGTTTGCATCTTTATCAGATTCTGTGAATGCCTTGAGTTCAGAAACATCATAACTTGTTTTACCCTGCATGAGAGGTTCGAATTCGATATCAGTAGCATTCAGTGATTCACAACGACTTAGTAATAATTTAAGTTCATTTCTTGAAGAACTTGATTCTGTTTCCTTTGATACTGAAAAAGCATATTATAATGACTTGTAACCTTCATCTAGACTCTAGAGAAGGGGTGGGCAAGGTTTTTGAACCAGGGGCCAAATATTTTGCCCACTTAGACTGGCGGGTCATGTAAGTGTGACGTAAAATGTTACATTTTATGAACAATATTTACAGTGCTACAAAGCAAAGGTGAAAAACAATAAGCCTCATGCCAAAACTAAATTTAACCGCAATTTCAACAAATTCCTTGAGCTATTTTAACTGGAACATCAAAATTTGATTTCAGTTTGGTTGTGGCAGCATCAGGGGGGCCAGAATAAATTAATCGAAGGGCCGGATTTGGCTCGCGGGCTGTACTGTGCTCATGTCTGCTCTAGAAGCAAGTCAGTCAGATTCGCAGCATTACTAATAAGAATGCGAGCCATAGTGAATTTTGTTACGAATTCACATATTACATCGAATTTATGTGATAGAGAAAAACATGTCAAATTACATGATGTTGACTTCTAGTTGTGTTAAAGTTTATTCATAAATTGCAGAGATAGAAAATTTTTGAAAGCCATATTTTTGATAGGAGTTTACCGGGAATTAAGAAAATAGGTACATATGCACAGCCTCTGTATTCAAACTTCATTCCTGCATCCAGATATCTGTGTATTGTCACCACTGGGAATTTTTATCTTACCACCAATCCATGGCGTTCTGTGGCTAAATATATCTTTTCGTCTCCGAATATCCTCTGTTGGAGAACTGATATTTGTAATGGTCAGTCTATTACGCAAACCCCTTCGTTTCTGAGCGAAATCTGATTCATAATCGATCGCCAAATATCGACAGCGCACCATGTTCACATCTTCGGAGAGGAAATATGTTAACGATTATTTATGTTTTATTCTGAAACCACAATGAAAAATGTTTCAATCGTTTAGCATTAATTCTACGTGCTAACGTTACAGTCACAGAATGAACAAGAGAGCTATGCTCAAATATATGGACACGTAGAGTCACATAATTTTGATGACGTCATAGCGAAAAAAAAGTAATAGCCTTCTGGAGAAAATTTTTATCTTTAACCACTAAAAATTTCAAAGCAATTGGTCCAGTATTCGAAGAGAAAAGCGACTTTTAAAAACGTGTCAAGCGGTACTGAGTTAGCAGTCAGGCAGCATCTTACCTGTACACTGTAGGCCATATACGGTAATTGATCACAGAACAGTTGTTCCCTTGCAAATTTTATGTTGTTTACACTTTAGGACAGATAATTGATCACAGAACAATTCTTCCCTTTCAAATTTTATGTTGTTTCCAGTAGACTCTCATCAAAATAAACAAATATAGTAGGCTACAAATGCTACAACGCTTGCATTACTGCACTGGTAGGACCGTGAAAGAATAAGTTACGGTAATTTCATTGTGGTAAGACACCGGTACCGGCACCAGTACCAGTATCGTACTTACGTACTGAGCTACCAGTACCGGTTAGCAGTCAGCCAGCATCTTACCTGTACACTGTAGGCCATATACGGTACCGTAATTGATCACAGAACAGTTGTTCCCTTGCAAATTTTATGTTGTTTACACTTTAGGACAGATAATTGATCACAGAACAATTCTTCCCTTTCAAATTTTATGTTGTTTCCAGTAGACTCTCGTCAAAATAAACAAATATAGTAGGCTACAAGTGCTACAACGCTTGCATTACTGCACTGGTAGGACCGTGAAAGAATAAGTTACGGTAATTTCATTGTGGTAAGACACCAGTACCAGTATCGTACCGTACTTACGTACTGAGCTACCAGTACCGGTACCGAACCTGTAGGTCTGATATTCCGTTCCGCATACGATAGGCTATAAAACTTGCATTGCAGCATTAGTAATACCGCGGAAGGAATAAGTCAATTTCACTGCGTTACGGTACCTGTATGGCAACTTACCAGTACCGACCTACAGTAGCTGTAGTACTGAGCAAGACAATCGATCGCGAAACCGCTTGAAATAAGTGTAAAACAGTGTTCCCATGAGTAAAAATAAATACCGCGAAATTTTGTATGAAATATCATATCTCATAGGATTCATATAAAATTTAAGAATAAACAAAAGTAATAGCCTTCTAGCGAAAAAATTAATCTTTAACCACTGAAAATTTCAAAGCAATTGGTCCAGTATTCGAAGAGAAAAGCGACTTTTTAAAAACGTGTCAAAGAACAACAAGAACAAGAACAAGAACAACAACAACATAATATTGAAACGATCGTTATGTCCACTACAATAGCCTTCTAGCGAAAAAATTAATCTTTAACCACTGAAAATTTCAAAGCAATTGGTCCAGTATTCGAAGAGAAAAGCGACTTTTTAAAAACGTGTCAAAGAACAACAAGAACAAGAACAAGAACAACAACAACATAATATTGAAACGATCGTTATGTCCACTACGTGTCCAAAAACAGGTCTGTCAGTATGACGTCAGGCAGTGCCCATTTTCAATATGGTGGAAAAATAAACTACTTACCGGTACCGGTATTATACTGATATGTAAAAACTGTCCACAACAAAATCTGAACTCGGGGGAATACCCAACCAACGGTCACTCTTGTCAAGAATTGGATTCTTGATATTTACGGCACTTTGCCCCCCGCCCCCTACCCAGAGTTGTCCGGCCGGCATATCCACTCATGTCGTGGGTGGACTGCAGCAGGTCTGGTTCGTAATAACTTAATTGTAAATAACAAGAGAGCTACGCACAAATATATGGACACGTCAGACCAGAGCGAATCAGTCCTTACCGGTACCTTTGACCAATGACATTAAACAACATGATAGGCAACTCTGACGTCACTCCATAAGACTACAGGCAAAACATTGTATTTCATGATACGCTCCAATGCACATATTTCTCGTCGCCTTTCGCGTCCGTTTTCCGCTCGCTTTTGCTACTCGGCGTCTTTTTTACGTGTAGTACCTGCCTTTTTGCGCCTGTAACGAAACAAAATAATCTCTATATCTAAGAAGTTTTGCTTACTTGGAAAGCTGGAATAACAGGCAAGCTGTAAAGAGCAATTCTGGACATCATAGACTTTTTTTTTTATCAGAGAAGATTACAAACGCGATAGCGGAAAGATTTGTGTGGAACATTTTGCAGATAATGACAAAGTTCAAAGTTAGTAATTTTATTGTTTGCGCTTAATCATTGAAATTTCATTTAAAGAGGGTGTCATACAAAACTGTGCTGCGATACAATTCCATAACACAAAGTTTGCACCTATCGAACTTGCTTTTGTAGGTGAATTTATTAGACATATTACATATTCAGTTAATCGTAGGTAACATTGCTGGTACATAATGCATCATAGAGGTTTGTTTAAATTTAGGAATTTAGCTCATAGCCCACTAATTAATATTATCTTCTATGCAGGAGGTTGCAGGGCTGAATTCAACTTGCAGCCTTACCGATCACCTGACGATGCTCATTTAGTTTGGCTCGAGCAAGTCTCCTTGAAATGCTTGTGTGGATGGAAACTACCTATATTTTTTGCCTTCCTCCGATTTTAGACAAATTTATTCTGAGGGATTTCGCATATAATTCTCACTGATTGTTGGCTGTTTATAATTCCTATTGATTGTGAATTCTGATTATAACAATGAGTTAAAAATTTTTTTACCTAATTTACTGGCACCTTTTTCTTGTCAATACTCCAAGCTGAGGTAATAAACATGACAATACATTTATGTCATCTGGAAGCAAAATATGCACACTAATTAATAGTTTGGCACATTGAGATAATACATCATGACAGAAAATACAAGTTAAAGATATGTATGACCATCACATGGTAATTAAAATTAAAAAAAATTAATAGGGGCTGTGGAGTATGGAAAGTTCAAGACAAAGAAAAAGACAAATGTTCATAGCTCATGAAGTCTCAATTTTGCCTCCATTGCTTCGTGAAGGCCAATATATTTCGAGTGGCTGAATTGGTTTACCTTTATGATAGCAACGATTTTGTATTTAATATAGCGAGATTATTTCAATTTAATTGAAGTGATATAATCGCCCAAAGCAATGCTTGAATCGTCTAGAATAGATCAGTGGTGTCAAACTCATGTTTTCGAGAGCCGCATTGCATTTTGAAAATTGTAAAAAGAGCCGCAAACAGTTTTTGATTATGTATACTTAAAAGATATTTTTAGGATAGTTTTAGTTTGTGACATATATTGTGATGCAACTAAACAGTTGGATTAAGTTTTATTAATTTCTTCAATTTCAAATGCAATTACATATTAATATTTGCATTCCACTATTATTGCAACATTTGCAAGTTACAGTATTTATTATAAAAAATCGTAAAATTCTATGTACAACCATCAAAATCATTTTTGAACAAGCTTTGAATAAGGAAAGAATAATACATACACTAAAAATAACTTAATCTAAATATATGAACCTAAAATTAACAAAAATACTACAGTATAAACTCAATGTTTTAATAATTACATTTGTCCTGGCGTTTGGCATCTTTTTTGTGTCACCAGCATACTAAGGCCAGTCTGAAATGATTTTATAGTACCAACTCTAACTAACGAGACCACATGATCATGGATTTATCTGGATCTTTACGAATGTTTAATTAATTCCACTAATGCAAAAAAGTTACTTTTATCATTTCATGTATAGATCAGTAAAAAAACAAATGACAGATTTTTTCGACAACACATATCGCACTACATTGCGTGGCATAGGATTGCTTGAATTATTATTGATATTGATTTTTAGTAACTAAGTCGTTGTATAATTATATTAATATACAAACACATGGAAATTTTCTGTCCGAAGTTGGTCTTCGAATTTGTCATATTGACTGCTGAGCTTATTGTGTTTTTTGATTGTATTGATGGAAATATGACAAATTAAACAATGTGCTTCAGAATTTTGTGAAGAGCAGAAATGTTACAACTCCCATTTTCTTCGAAAATGCCACCTTCTTCATGTACTTTGCGTTTAATTTAATTACTCAAGTGTTTTATTCAAGTATTCTTTTGCTAGCTTGATGCGTATTCTTAATTGGGTCAAAATGTGGACAAAAAAATCAATATTCCAAAACTACTTTCAGTAAATTGTTTTCTGTGTGAATAATCAATTTCACTTTAGAAGGTTTGAAAAATCTATTACATTTAGATAAAAAAAAAACTTCCAAAATACTATTACAATTATTGTTAATCGAGGGCCGCACTGGAAGTTCTCTGGGGCCGCGAGTTTGAGATCCCTGGTCTAGATTGAAGTTGTTCAAAAAGTATATGATAGTATTTTATCGTGAATGATGATTATACCCCTTCCGGAATTTCTTCTATAGTACTACCAAAAGTTGATGAACCAAATATAACACAGGTGCAGTGAGGTACCCGTAATCCTCATTTCCAAAGCTGTTTTAAGTATGTCTGGCGTGTTTTGTGCCTTTTTACAAATAAGACCGCTTAAGCAATCTTACGCTTTGGAATTTTTAGTTATTTTCCTCAAGCCCTGCAGGATGTGGGGGCCATACACAACTCTACCGGAGGGTCAAATGTCTATTTTCAATTGCATTATATTTCTTGGAATCACACTGTCACTGATATGTCGCCAGACTTCTGATATCTCCCCGTCTGCTATAGTTGTCCTGTGAATAAATAATAGGAAATTGAGATTAGACGAATAGTTTAAAGTTTTGTCTTATGTCGGCTTAATTTCTTGATTGATATACTTACTATTTCTGCTATTGCCCCTTGTGCTGCAAGAGTCTCACAATGCTTAGACAGGTTTGTCCATAACTTTCACATCTGAAGAAAGAGAGGAGATTTATTAATTTTCGTTAAGAATAAATAAAGCAGTCTATATGATTCAGAATGGAAAAGCTAA